TCCTCTTGTGTTCCTTATTGTTTATCTTGGGGAAGTAATATTGTAGTGAGTGGTGCTGATAAGAGAGTTTCTTTTTATAGCATTGATGGTTCAATGTTACAAAATTTTGATTTTGCAGATCGTGAAGAGAAAGAATTTAGTTCAATTGCTTGTAATCCTTCAGGTCAATGTTGTGTTGTTGGTTCATGGAATAGATTAAGAGTTTTTAATTTTAATATTCATAGAAATATGTGGGAAGAAGGTGATCATATTGAAGTTCCAAATATGTATGCTGTTACTTCTGCTTGTTGGAAACCTGATGGTTCTCGTCTTGTAATTGGTAATATGACTGGTCAAGTTGATTGGTTTGATGCTTGTATTAAGAGATATCGTTATAAGGGAGAATTCGAGTTTACTTTTGTTAGTTCAAGTCAAGTTATTGTTAAGAGACTTTCAACAAATGTTAGAATTGTTTTAAAATCTTTATTTGAAGAGGAAATTTTAAAAGTTAATGTTGCTAGAGATCAATATATTATTGCTAGAACACCAAGAACTTTACTTTTAGGTGATTTGGAATCTTGTAAACTTTCTGAAATTGCTTGGAATTCAGATGAAACAAATGAAAAATTCTACTTTGATAATCCTAAAGTTTGTATGGTTTACAAGGCTGGTGAATTTTCAATTATTGAATATGGTATTAATGATATTATTGGAAGTTTTAGAACTGAACATGTTAGTACATTCTTGATTAGTGCAAGAATTGCTGATAAGGAAACACCAAATAATGAAATTGATTTGAGTGGAGGAAATAAGAAAGTAGCTTATTTGATTGATTCTCATACAATTTGTATTCTTGATTTGGTTTCATCATTTACAATTGCAAAAATTAATCATGATTACAAGATTGATTGGCTTGAATTGAATAATAGAGCAACAAAATTACTTTTCAGAGATAAGCAAAGACATCTTCATGTTTTTGATTTAAAGACACAAAAAACAACAACATTATTAACATATTGTAGTTATGTTCAATGGGTTCCAGATTCTGATGTTGTTGTTGCACAAAATAGAAGTGATTTATGTGTTTGGTATAATATTGATTCACCAGATAGAGTTACAATTGTTCAAATTAAGGGTGAAGTTGTTGATATTATTAGATCTGATGGATGTACAGCTGTACTTGTTGATGAAGGACCAGGAACTGTTAATTATGATCTTAATGAAGGTTTAATTAATTTTGGTAATGCAATGGAAGATAAAAAGTATGAACATGCAGCAAGTATTTTAGAAAGATTATCACTCACTCCAGAAACAGAAGCCATGTGGAAGAAATTGAGTGAAGTTGTTATGGATGATCAAAGATATGATATTGCAGAAAGATGTTATGCTTCATTGGGTGATGTTTCAAAATCAAGATTTTTAAGAAAATTAAATCAAGAATCTAAAAGATTAAGAGAAAATGAAGAAGATGCAATGGTTGAACCATTAGATCATTGGAGAATTAGAGCTGAAATTGCAATTCTTGGAAAGGATTTCAAATCAGCTGAACAAATTTATTTGGAACAAGCCAAAGTAGATGAAGCTATCAAAATGTATGAACAATTACACAAATTTGAAGAGAGTATTTTCCTTGCTATTGATAAGGGTATTAATAATGCTCAAGAAAAGAAACAAAAATACATTGAATGGCTTATTCAATCTAAACAAGAAGATAAGGCAGCTAAAATTTATGAAAAGGAAGGACAATATATCAAATCTATTAATTTATATCTTCAAGGTGGTTTCCCAGCTAGTGCAGCCAATGTAGTTTCCAAATATAATGTTGTATTTGATAATAGTGCAAGTGAAAAGTTATTGGATACTATTGCTGAAGCACTTTCAAAGAATGGTTTATTTGAAAAGGCAGGTGAATTCTTTGAAAAGAGAGGATTATATGATAAGGCAATTGAAGCTTATAGAAAGGGAAGATCCTATCGTTTTGCAGTTGAATTATCACGTACTTCATTCCCTGAACTTGTTGTAAAACTTGAAGAAGAATGGGGTGATTATTTAGTACAACAAAAACAAGTTGAATCTGCCATTCATCACTTTATTGAATCTAATAATTATGTTAAAGCAATTGAAGCTGCAATTAATTCAAGACAATGGACAAAGGCTGTTCAAATTCTAGAAGGAATGGATGTTCAAATTGCTAAACGTTATTATGGTAGAATTGCTAGACATTATGAAGATATTCAAAATTTACAACAAGCTAAAAAGTTATATCTTAAAGCTAATGAATATCGTGAAGCTATGGAAATGTTTGAAAGATATAACAAGTGGGAAGAAGTTCAATCCATTGCTGAAACTTATATGAATCAAGCAGAAATGAAACAATTTTATACAGAACTTGCAACCAAATTGGAAAAGAAGCAACGTTTCAAAGAAGCTGAAAAGTTATTTATCAAGGCAGATGAAACTGATTTGGCAATTAACATGTATGCAAAGAATCACATGTTTGATGATATGGTTAGATTAGTTTCAAAATATAATCCAATTCATTTGAAACAAGCACAATTAAAGATTGCTGAACAATTAGAATCTGAAGGACATTTAAGACAAGCAGAACATTATTATATTGAAGCATCTGATTGGAAGAATGCAGTTAACATGTATAGAAATAATGATAAATGGAATGATGCAATTAGAGTTGCTAAAGCTCATGGTGGTTTAACTGCATGGAAAAAGGTTGCACTTGAATGGGCTAAACAATATACAGGTGGTGAAGCAGGTGTCAAGTTATTAAGTAAACTTGGACTTGTAGAAGATGCTATTGATTATGCAATGGATGGTGAATTTTGGGAACTTGCATTTGAAATGGCAAGATCTTCAAGTAATAACATGACTCAAAAACTTCCACAAATTCACATGAAATATGCAATTTCATTAGAAGAAGCTGGTAATTTGAAAGAAGCTGAAACTGAATATATTAATGCTAATAGTCCTAAAGAAGCAATTGATATGTATGTTCATCATACTGATTGGGATAATGCTATGAGAGTTGCTGAAACTCATGATTCAACTTTAATTAATTTCATTATTGAATTCCAAGCTGAATTGGCATTTACTGCTAGAGAATTTGAAAAGGCTGAAAAATTATATTTGGAAGCTAGAAATCCTGAAAAATTAATTGACAAGTACAAGTCAATTCATAGATTCCAAGATGCAAAGAGAATTGCAGATAATCATTTATCAACAGATTATCAAAGACAATTAACATCAGAATGGGCTGAATATTTAGTTGATAATCAAAAAGATCAATCATTATCCAATAATAGTAATAATAATACTAATAATGGTGGTGGTTCAAATTCATCAAACAGTATGAGACAATCATCACGTAATTTAGAACAAGATGATTCAATGATTGATAATGAAAATGATCCAGCAGCACCTGCTAGAATGTTTGCACAAAGTGGACAATATGGTAAAGCTGTTGATGCTTTTATTGGATTTCCATGGAAGGGTGTTGATACAGATTATTTAGAAAATGAATATGTTTCAGCTGTTAAATTAACAATTAATCATTTACAACCAAGAGTTTCAGATGTTGTAAATATTCTTTCAAAGAGATTGATTGAAATTAAGAAATATCAAGCAGCAGTTGAAGTTTATTGTATGGCTAAACAATTTAGAGATGCAGTTGATGTTTTTGTTAAACAAAAAATGTTTGGTGAAGCACTTGAATTGGCAAAACAACGTTCACCTGATTTGATTGATTATATTAAGGATCAACATAAGAGAAGTTTGAAACCAGTTGAAGGACCAATTGATTTAGCAGATCAAATTGAAAGATTAGCAGAATCAGGTGAATGGACTAAATGTTTAGAATTGTGTCAAAAACATGATAATCATGATATATTATCTAGACATACAGCATCATTTATTAATATACTTGTTAATGAAAGACATGATTATAATCAAGCATTAACAATATTAGAAAAGTATGGAGTACCATTAGAAAAACAATTATTGAATACATATAAGGAATTAGTAACACGTATAGTTTGGATGTCAGTTCATCAAGAAAATGCTAATTCATCTGATTTGAAGAGATGTAGAGATATGTTAAATTCATTAATTGAAGGATTTTCAAATTCAGGAATTGTAGTACCAATAAGTCTTGTTAAAATGAGACAAGTATGTCATATTTATCATGTTAAAGATATTTGTAAAAAAGTAACAGAATTACAAGAATTATATACAAAGAATTGTGTTAGTTTATGTAGATATACAGATGAAATACCACCTGATTCTGTTTTTTATGAAGCAGGTAAAGCATGTGAAAAGATGAAATGGGAAAATATGATGTTTGTATTTTATAATAGATTTTTAGATATTGGTGATGCTATTGAAGAAATTGAATTGAAAGAAGAATATCAAAATCAAGATCCACCTATTCTTATTAAGGGTACTGCTGAATTGGAAAATTCAGATTTTCAAGGAACTGATGTACCCTATAAGGTACCAATTCCAGTTTCACAACTCATTGATGATGATTTTAAAGATGATATTACAAATGTTGTTTTACAAAAATCTATGAATGCATCATTTAATAATTCATTATCAAAATGTTCATGTCCATCATGTAAACAACAAATTTACATTGCAAATTCAAATTGTTCAAAATGTAAAACACAATTTGAAATTTGTTCTGTTACTGGTTATCCTGTATTCCCTGATCAAAAAGTACAATGTACAAATTGTAGAAGACCTGCAAATAGAAATGATTGGAATTTATTCATTTTAAAACATAAGAGATGTCCTCATTGTGATGATTTACAATTAACTTTATAAATTATTATTAAATAAATAAAATTCTTTTTACATTATTCTACTAATCTAATTTATTTTAATATTTTAATAATCTATTTTAATTTTAAATTTACTTATTGGATGATTGTAATTTACTCAAAGTAACACCCAAACCAATACCACTTGCCATCATACTTGCAATGGTTAATAAACCAGCAAAACTTAAATTAGCCATTTGAGATAAACCATGTCCAGAAGTACAACCATTGGCACATCTTGCACCAAAAAGTAATAAGAAACCAGATGCAATAGCCATTAATTTTTCATTCAATGTCAATTTCTTTGGTTGTACTCTTGTATTTCCCATAATTGAAGAAATATAAGAACCAGTAATAATACTAATATCAGAAATTAATTGCCAAACATATTTTGGACCAGCAGATAAAGCATACTTATCAAAATAAGATTGATTTACAGGTAAATATCTTGTTAAGAATGAAGCAGCAGTAACAAAAGCAGATGAAGTACCAAGATATGTCTTGACAAATAAATTAACTGGAATTTGAAGTGAACCCAATGCAATACCACTTAAAATTGGATTCCATTGTTTCATTTTCATTAAATTTCTATCATTCTTATTATTACTACTTTGATATTTTGGAGTTGGAAATAATTTTTCTAATAATAAAGCAATACCAATTAAACAACTTCCAAATGGTAAAGCAATACTCCACATTGGTTGATTTAATAAACCATTAATAGTATTAAATGATCCTGATACTTCTTTAGATTGTAAAATTCCTTGAATTGATGGAATATTAATAATTGATCCATAACTAATAGCTCCTAATAATCCACCTAATAATGTATATGGTGATGATGTTACTCCTTCTCCAATTTGTGCCAATACTATTATTATTATTATATTAAATTAAATATAAATTAAATATTATTAAATTAAATATTAAATATATTAAATATATTAAATATAAATAAAACATACCAGTACCAGGACAAGCACCACCCAAAGTTAAACCAGTACCCATAATTAAACCACCAATAATATTACCTCTCCAATTAATATTAAAAGGAGCTAAAGTAGCTAAATTAAATAAATTTAATAAACCTAATGAAATGGTTGAAGTACCACTGGCTGATAAAAATGTTTTCATCATTGTCCAATCTTTTAAATACATTTGATTTTTAATATTTTCAGGTGCTGACATTCTACTCTTTTGTAATATAATACCAAATGCTAATCCTTGTGGAATACCAACACTTGTTGCAATACTATTAGTACACGATGATGATGACATGATGTAAATGGTGATGATCAAGATAAAGATGATAAAGTATTTTTTTTTTTAATTAAAAATATCTCTAAAATGGAGTTGGGTTTTATCTGATATTTTCAATGATGATGCCTCCGCTATCAGTAGGATAACAATTACACGCTAATAAAAACAGTATCGCCGAAAATTTTATTGTAATTACACCTTTGTTTACAAGTCCACTAGTTTGATGAGAAATAAGGGAAATAGTTCCGACAATCATTAATGATTGAAAACTAACACTTTTCAATGAAACAAAATAAGTTGAGTTCATTCTGGTTGTGTGTTAGCATATTGTTCCTCATGTGTATTAACAGGTATAGCGGACACTCAAGTTCTGTTAAATTAATGAATTGAATGTTGTTCCTTTATTGAGCTTGAATACATTACAATTAGGTCAATGAGAAATAATGATGATGTATCGAACAATCTAATGATTGATGGTTTAAATATATAACAACAATGTATAATAATGATGAATAATAACATCTTACAACAACAATAATAACATATTTGATAATATGATGGTAATGATGATCATTTGGTGCTTTTTGGTATTGTTTGGACAATGATCATCCTATTGATGCAATCTACCGATCCGGTATTGATGGTTATCAACTTTCTTGTTGTTTTGCTTAACAACAATAAAAACCATGTATCCATCAATCAACAAATCTACTCTGCCATGATGATGATGGTAACATTGATCCTAACAAGAATAATTCCTCTATGACTGCTGATTCCTACAACAACAACAAAAATCTTTTTGTGTTCTAATGTGATTTTAGATTTGTCTCTGAATAATTCTCTAGAAATTGAAAAGGCCAACATTAGATCTGTAAATAATAGCATTGTGAGTTCTGTTACCAACTCACAAGTTTTGTCATCTCCAATACATCACCCCCAAACAAGATTACCCAACATTCATCAAAAGAAAGATATTGTCTTTGACAAACATAATAATACCCTTTCACTAGCTCTTGACAATCATCAAAGGACGATTAACGGTGCAATTTTAAACACAACACTTGAACGAGAACATTACCATCACATGCCTCAAGGTAAACCCAATACTACACCCACAATATCATGTACAGCTCTCAGTGGTTTCATATTTTCAAAAGTGCATGGTGTTCAAAACATTTCTCCTCATTCCTATTCAAAACGATACAATCCAACAACTCATACACCAACAGCCAAAAAGCCCTTCTTCCATGGAAATACTAAGAAACCATACAATGGTCTTGTGGAGATTTCCAGTTTTGCCACAAACACAGATACACAAGATGAGCAAACATTGGAAAATCCTTTTCAGAAAATCCTTTTCATAAAATCCTGGAGATGATTGTGAATTTTGTAAACCTATAAATAACATTTAAATATTATTATTACAATGATATGGTTTTTTTTTGGAATTTTGTTATTGTTGTTGTAAAATCATATGATGAAATACAATTTTGGGCCTGTGAAACAGTGTAATAGGAAAATATGAAATAAATGTAATTACATTGTTACAAATTAACTCCAATAAAACAAAGTTCCAGAACAGATTTTATTCAGTGTTATCTCAAATTTATGCAACGAGTATTAAAAAGCTTGAAATATGAACATACACTAACCAATAGGTTCGTATTTATCTTAATGTTTATCGTACATAACAGAACACCGATACAATTTCTTACCACCAAATGTCAAAGTTACACTATTCCGTCATTAGTACAGGTTTGGGTATAATGCTCAAAGATTGTATGTTATTTCGTGTATTATAAGCCAAGATATCTAAGATTGTTGATACCGTTTATCTACAAACACAGCTCCAAAGTTAATGATAAACTTTACTAGTTAATAGCATTCATTTGACATATTCATTACGAAACCGTTGTTAAAAGTCAGCATCTGATGTATCTGTAGTAAGTTGATCTGTACAACCACATGTATAAATTTAACATAATCGTGTACTAGTATAATGATTATCAATATCCAAGTGGTTGCTTGTTACGATTCTATGATTATCAGTAATATAATATTTACTTAGGTATTGCTTGGGTTAGCTCTTACTTTTCTCCAACCAACTGAATCAGACGAACAAGAAATTAAAGTTTTGACTCCCAGATTCGACTTCAGAACCTGGTTAGCCATTGTAAAGGATGATGATTCTAACAATCACATTGATTTCACAACTGTGTCCAGTAACTTGTGGCTTTTTTCTCAAGATTCCTTTAAATTTTTTACCTTTTAATTACACACCAACTTTTTATTGTTGCTCTTATTTGAGTCACCCAGAAAGAAGGTTCAATTTCCATCATTCCTAACACTTTTAATTTATGGCTTTAAATGTTAGAAAAGAATATTTCTTGACTTGAAATTTTTCACTTACCTAGCTACGGAAAACAAGCTGTTTCTAACTGTTGCAATTAACAAATTCATCAAGAAAAATCATGTCTTAATCAAAAAACAGGCAAAGGATATTATATATTCCATTATCCAAATTGATGCATCTCTCTAATATTATTGAATGGAATGAAAGCCAACACAAGGAATTCCACAAAAGAATAGAAAGTCTCTACCATGTTAAAAATATAAATTTATATAAAAATTATACAACTTGATTTCTACTAACTCATTCCTCCTGTTTGTTGGTTGTTTGTTGTTTGTTAATCATCTAATATTGAGTAACATTTAATTTCAATTGAGTAGATTGTGGTACAATAGTAGCCTTTCTAACATTCTTTGTTGCATTCATTAATTTAACATATTCAATGTATAAATCACCCTTATCACCATCTAATAATTGCATAGTTTCCTTAATTTGATTCAATTCACTATCATATTTAGCCTTTTTCAATAAAGAAATTGAATCATTTTCAGCCTTTTCTCTTTCAATTTTAGCTTGACCTTCAATTCTTGATTTTTCAATCTTTTCTTTTTGCATATTTGAATTTTTGATTTGAATTAAATTCTTTTTCAATTTTGCAAATTCAATTTGAGATTGAATTTCTTCCTTTTCAGCTAAATTCTTTGCATTTTCTTGTAATTTGTTACACATAATATTCATTGATGATTTAATGGATGAATCTAATAATTGTGCAATTTCCTTATCAACTGGTCTTAATTCTTTAACATCAACTGCATAAACAAAGAAATTAAATTCTCTAAATAATCTACCATGTACTTGAACTGATGTTTCATCATTAAATTCTACTTTGTAATCTTTAAATAAATTATTTCTTAATATATCAGCTGCTCCTTTATGGAATGATTCAAAATAATGTCCACTTGCTAATTCTCTAATTCTACTACGAAGTGATTGACATGAATATCCAATAAAATCACCTGAAAATACTTTATCATATTCTTCATCAGATACTTTTTTATCACTCATTAAAAATTGCCATTTATAGGTCAATTCCATTTGTAATACTGCATTATCTTTAGTTCTAACTAGAAATCCATCTGTCATAAAGTCCTATATTTTATATTAAATTAAATATATTTATATTAAATTAAAAATTAAATAATAAATAAATAATAATAAAAATATTAAAAAATTAAATAATAAATAAATATTAAAAATAAAATTAAAATAACATACAGGTCCCTTATTAACAATAGCAATAGTACATGAATTTTCAACTTTTGGATTACCACCTGAAATTGATAAAGTTCTTAAACCTTCATGTGAACCTAAAATCATTGATTTTGGACCTTCATGAAAAGTTTCAATTCCCTTTTTATGATCAATAATACAAACAATTTCATTCTTTTGTATTTGAATATGATATGCATTAAATGATGATTGATTTGGTAATTCTAATGCATCATATTCTCTATCTGTTAATTTTTTATAATATAATTCTTCATTACATTCTAAAAAGTATGAAGTTGGTCCTTTAACTGTTTTTAATTCACTTGTTTCTACATTTCTAATATAAATTGCTTCATTTTCACCTACATTAATAGCTGATTGAATATCACCAATTCTTTCTTCATTAGTATTAGCATAGTAAATGGTTGGTCCAATGACACGTCTCATTTCACCTGCTTTGAATAATTTCTTATCACCAGTACTATTACCAGTACTAGTATTATTACTAGTATTATTAATATAATGATCTTTTAATGCTTGTAAAAAGATATATTCATTCTTATTTAAAATATCAGCATCAAGTACACGTGAATTTAATAATGATTCACCTGGATAGAGTGAAAATGTTGATGGACCTTGACGAATTTCTTTCATACCAAATTGTGTTTGTTTACTTTCTTGATTATATGGATTTAATATAACCGCATATTGTCTTTCTTTAACAACTATTATTATTAATATTATTAAAATTATAAAAATATTATTAATAGTAAAAATAAAAAATAATTAATAAATAAATAAAAAATAATAAACTTACTAATTTTAGTTTGAATACCAAGTGATTTATCAATAGATTTATTAGCTTGAAGATAAAATCTAGTAGGACCTTCAACTAATTCAATACTACCAGTTTCATTGTTAATAACATGAACATATTGATCAGCATATAATACAACAGGTGAATCTTGACTCATTGTTTTTTTAGATGACATGTAATTTAAATATTATTATTATTATTATATATTAATATATTATTATTGTTATAATATTATAATATTAATGATGATGATAGCAATAGTTGATATATGATAGCAATAACACAAAGCAATACTTTGATTTTTTTTGATAATAAGTTCATCTATTCCTAGCCTTTGCTTTTGTATGTTTGATCAACTTAGTTGCATTCTAACTGATTGATCAACAACTCAATCACTTGTGTGGATGAACCTTTGTGTGTTAAGAAGAGATATTATAAAACAAGGTTAGTACCTAATTGAGAACTTTTACAAGTTCATTGGTGACTAAAATGATCTTCAACTTTTTGTTCAATGTTCTCAATAATAATAATTACATGTACCTACCTTATAATCCAATAATTATTAAAAACATTATTTTGATTGAAAATTGTAAAATTTGTATTATTACTAGTATTCAAATATTAAAGTATTATTAGATTAATAGTACAGTAGTTTAGATAAACATCACAACGATGTAAAGATCGGAAATAAACAACACATCATAGGACATTGTGTTTCCGAATGGCGCCTTATTTTTATTACACCCAATTGTCCACTATTGATACAATGTTGTTGTATTCATAAAGATAATAATATTCAGTATACAAAAAAAGCCTTTTTATTATCTCTCTTGTATCACCCAACAATCATTCTCATCCTATTATTATTATTAATATTACTCTAATAGTAATAATATATAATATCATCTAATCAAAATATAACAATACTAACATACAACATAACAATAACAACAATAACAAAATATGGTAACAACATTTGAAGATATAACAGAAAAACCAATTCAAACAACAATAACAACACCACACATAATATCATCGGATGAAGTGTATGAAAATGTTGAAAGATTAAATTTATTTAAAGTTAAAGAAATTGTTGAAAAACATTTAGAAAATTTAAATTTATTTTCATTACAATATTCAAAGATGGAGGAATCAATGAGTGAGGAAGATTTATTTGATAATCCAGATTATTTATCACATGATTTATTAAATATAATAGATGATGAATATAATACACCACTTCATAAATTAATTTTATTAGAAAATTTAAACAAATCACAAGAAAGTACAAGATATCAAATTATTGAAGAATTAGTTATAAAAGCTAAAGTTAGATGTGATGTTGTTAATAATGATGGTTTAACTCCTTTATTAATTGCTGTAAAGAAAAACAAACCTAAAATTGTTACTTTATTAATTAAATTTGGTAAACATTGTTCAGTGAATGATAAATGTCAATCTGCTCCATATATTGGTTATACTTCACTTCATTCATGTTGTACTTGGTCTTTAATTGATTCTAATGATAATAATTCAAATGATAACAATGATAATACAAATGAATCAAATGATAATAATAATGATGAATCAAATGAATCAAATAATGATAATAACAAATCAAATGATGATGAATCAACAGTTAAAACATTAAGAACATTAGAATCAATGGCAAGATTATTAATATCATTAGGAGCTGATGTGAATAGTAAAAATTCAGAAGGTGAAACACCACTTCATACCTGTGCTAGAAATGGAACATTGGGAGTGGCTAGAATATTAATAAGTGAGGGAGCTAATGTAAATTCACAAAACAAACACAAAGTAACACCATTAATGATTGCCTGTACATTGGGTAATTTAAATATGGTTGATTTATTATTAGATTTTGAATTACAAGAAGAGGGAAATGTACAATTGAAAAATAATTTATTATCCATTGATATTCAAGATCAAATGGGTGATACTGCTTTACATTTTGCATTTCAAAGTCAATTACAAAGAGTATTTGCTAATGGTATTGAAGTTAGTCAAGATCATGAACGTATTGCTTATAGATTAGTTTATGCAGGTAAAGCTAATTTAGATTTATATTCTAAAGATGATTATTTACCAACTGATTTTACTTCAGATTCTTTTAAATTAATTTTAAGAATTGTTTCACAACATTCACATTTATTTCCATCTAATTTAGATACTTTATTACAATTACCTGATGATTTATTATCTTCTCCTTATTTAGATCCAAAAGAAAGAAAATTATTTGTACAAGCTATTAAAGAATATAGAAAAGATAGAAATGATTTAAATGAAGCTGAATCAAAGAAATCTGGTTGTCCAATGGTAACAGGTAATAGATCTTTAATGAAAAAGAGAAATAAGAATGATAGTAATAAGAATGATAATAATAAGAGTGATAATAAGAGTGATAGTAAGAATGATGAAAAATCTAATAGTACTGCTAATGGTGGTAGTAGTGCATTGGGTGCATTATTTGGTGGTGGTTCAATTCCAGCACATGGACAAGGTGGTGATATTTCAAAGTGTCCATTTATGAAGGGTAAACAACAACCTCAAGAAACAACAAGTGAATCTACTACAAATACTACAAATACAACAAGTAATAATAATGGTGAAGAAAATAATATTGAACAACAACCAAAAGGAAAATGTCCAATTCCATATCATAATGAGTTAATGATGATATTTTCAAAGCAAAATCTCATTTATTTACTTGTTTTAATCATTTGTGTTGTACTTGCAAGAGTTCTCTAACTTGGCATAAATATTTGAATAATAAATTTATTTTTGATACAATGATTTTCCCTTGCCTCAATTCCATTTTCTAGAGTTCAAGTTGAAAATGATTCTTTTTTTACAGTCATCCATAATTTCCTTACTGATCTGTTAAGATAATAATTTAATAGAGATTTAGATCAATAAAATAATATTCAAATTTTATATAAAATAATTATTTAATAAAATATTTAAAATTGTTGTTGAATAATAAAATAATTATTCATCATCTTCTTCATCAGAATCAGAATCACCATAACTTGCACCACCTCTAACAGATGAAGTAGAAGCAGAGTTATTTAATCTTCTCATTAATTGTTGGAATTTTCTTCTCTCAGAATCCAAATCAGATTTCAATTTAGTATTTTCAGATTCCAAATCATCAACTTGATCTCTAGTGGATTGTAATTGAGATTCAATTCTACTCTTTTCTTGAGCAATTAATAATTGATTTGAAGATTCAGTTTCCAATCTCAAAACAGACATTTTCAATTCACGTTCCAATCTATCAGCCTTTTGTTCAGCCAAAGTTCTATAACGTTCAGAGTCAGATAATGAACGTTGAGCATCACGTAATTCAGATTCTAATGAATTTGAAGATTTGGAGAATTTCTTCTTATCATTCTTCAACTTGTTATATAAATCTTGTAAATCTTGTAATTCTTGTTCATATTGAGCACGAACACGACGTGATTCTTCATCCTTCTTTTGATTGGCTAATTCTAATTGAACTTTAAGATTTTGAACATCACGTTTCCATCTATTTGCTTCTTCTTCATTGTAAATTCTTTCAGATCTTTCCTTCTTTAATTCAGATTGAAGTTCACTTAAAATTTCATTATGTTGTTGTTTAACACTTGATAATTCATCTTGTAAATCTTCAGCCTTTTCTGCCAAATCTCTCAAATCTTCAATTTCAGTTTCCAATGATAATTTAACAGATTCAATCTTTTTCTTTGATTTAACTTCTTGATTATACTTGTCTCTGAAATCATTCAATTCAAATTCAGTTAATTTTCTCTTTTGTTCAGTGTCAGCAAGTTGAATAACTTGATCTTCTAATTGAGCTTTCAATTTAATTAATTCAGAATCATATTCACGTCTCAATCTTGAAATTTCAGCAGATGAAACTGTTGATGATGAAGAACCATCACCACCTTCTGAAGCATCCTTCTTTAATTGTTTCAATTGATTCTTTAAATCCTTATTATCTGATTGAAGTTTTCTAATTTCTTGATTTAATTTTTCATCTGAATCATCCATTGAACGTTGTAATTGATCTAAACGTTGTTTCATTGTTGAAACTTCACGTTCCTTATCTTGTTTTGTACGATCTAAATCTTGTTGTGCTTTAGCAGCATCTGATTGTAATTGTTTGTTTTCAGATTCAATTTGTGAAATGGATTGATCTTTTTGATCTGCTTTTGATTTCCATTCAAGTACATCACGTTCTAATTTATCAACTTGTGATTCAAATTCATCCTTTTCAGATTCTAAATCTTTGTATTTTCTATCTCTTTCTCTTAATTCTGATTTTAATTTCAAAGTTTCAGAATCATTACTTGATAAATTTGTTCTAACATTTTCCAAATCAGATCTCAATTGTGAAATTTCACGTAAAAGTCTTTGATTTTCATCTTTTGATAAATTTAATTGATTCTCACGATCAGCAATAACTTGTTGTGTTTGTTTGTGTTTTTGATTTTCATCTTTGAAACGTTGTTCAGATTCTTGTAATTGTTCTAATTGTTTCTTTAAATCATCTTTCATCTTTTTAATTTGTTTTTGAGCTTCTTCTGAAATGTTTGAATTATCTGAAAGTTGTGATCTTAATTGTTCTAATTGATCTCTTAAATTCTTTAATTCTTGTTCACGTTGAGCCAGTGTTGATTCTAAAACTTCAGATTTTGATTTATATTCAGTTTCAGATCTTCTTAAAAATTCTAAATCTGATCTCAATTTTTGAGTTTGATTCTTTTCCTGATCTAAATCATATTGTTGATCACGTACTTGTTTTTCTAATTTAGATTTTAATAAATCTAATTGTGTTAAATCTGATTCTAATTGTGTTAAACGATCACGATTTTGATTCAATTCTGAAGATTGTGTTGATGATTTTGATTTTTCTCTTGATAATTCTTCTTTTGAATTATTCAATTCCAATTCAACATCCCTGATACGATTCATTAATTCACGTTTTCTATTTTCAGATTCTTGTAATTGTTGTTTGGTATTATCTTGATCTGTATTTGATGATTTAACTTCAGATTCTAATCTTTTAACTTTAAGTTCTAAATCTGATTTATCATGTTCTAATTGTGTTTTATCCTTCTTTAAATTTCTAACATCTCTATCAGATGAATTTAATTTAGATTCAGTTTCTTCCATTCTCTTTCTAGTATCTTCTAATTTTTGAGAGAGATTGGAAATTTCATCTTGTGTACGTTGTTTTTCACGTTGTAATTCTGATTGTAATTTGTTCAATTCATTTTCAGATTTTAATCTCAAATCAGATAAATCACGTTCATAAGCTTGATTTTCTCTCTTTAATCTTTCATTTAAATCTTCTAATTCTGATATTCTCAATTTTAATGAGGCAATTTCACGTTTCAATTCATCAATTTCATTGGATAAATCTTTAGATTGAGATTCAATACGTTCCTTATCAAAACGTTCAGTATCTAATTGTTGTGCTAATTCACGTGATTTCTTTTCTAAATCATTTCTCTTTCTCTTTTCTTCTTCTAATTCACCAAATAATTGTTCAGATTGTTGATCATTGGTTAATTTTTGTTTTCTCAATTGATCAAATTCACGTGTCTTTTTATCTAATTCTTGTTGGAATGTATCTAATTGTTTCTTCATTGAATTTGATTGTAATTCTAATTCATTCTTATCAATTTCATTCTTTCTCAAATCTTGTTCCATATCTTGAACTTTACGTTTATAATCAATAATTTCATTATCACGTTCTCTTAATTTACGTTCCTTATCAATCATTTCTTGTCTTGTTTGATCTAGAGAATAATCAGATGAATTCAAAGTATTCTTTGTAATATTCAATTCAGTTTTAACATCTTCTAATTCATTTAATGCTCTTTCTAATTCTTCTTTCATTTCTTGTACTGATTTACCACGTTGTAATACTTCTACATCTTTATCAGATAATTGTCTTTTAGCTTGATCTAATTGTGTCTTTAATTGATTCATTTCAAAATCCTTATTTTGTAAATCTCTTCTCAAATTATTCATTGCACTTTCACCATCTTTTAATGATCCATTCAAATTTTCCATTTCAGATTCTCTATTTTGAATTTTATCTTTCATATCTCTCATCATTTGTTGTAATTGTTCAATTTCTGATTCTCTAATGGCCATTTCAGATCTAATTTGTTCAACATTTCTATTCAAATTATCCTTTTCTTGTTCTGTAATTTTGTTATTTTCAATTTGATTGGCAATTTCTTGTTTCAATTTTTCAATTTCATCTTTCATTTGTTGGAGAATCTTATCAGAACGATCAGCTTCAACTAATGGTCTAACTTTAACAAATAATTGATACCAATCCCAATCTTTCATACTCAAATAGGCACGGAAATTACGTTGTAATAATTTGATATAAACAATTCTACCCATCAATTTCTTATATTGTTTACGTGCTGAATGACCTTGACAAGCTGCTTGTGCTAATGCAATAACTTTTTCAATTTCTGCCTCTCTCAATTCTTCTAATTGAGCTTCAACACCTGATTTGAGGAAAATCTTTGTTTTACCTAATTTATATTTAGAATCATCTAGTGAGGTAATTTTAGAAATGATGGCATGACACTTTTCACGTTCCAATTTCATTCCATCCAATGATTTTTTATCTTTGGCCAATAATTCATATCTCTTAACAAATTCATTGAATTTAATTCTACCTGGATAACCCTTTCTAGAAATTCTAATACCTTCCAATACACCATTACATTTCAATTGTTCTAAAACACTTGGTGCTTGAATAATACCTGGTTTTTGTAAATTATTTGGTTTGATACAACGAATGAAATGAGGTTCAGTTGAACTCAATAATTGAATTAAATCACTCAATTGTTTCTTATACTTGTTACCAACAGTTTGGAAACGAACACCTGCACCTGAAACACCACGCTTATTCTTATCAGAATCTGATGAACCACCTGAACCACCAGATGATTGTTGATCAACAAAGAGTTTCTTAATGAATGGAAGTTGTGATTTTTGCATAGCCATTTTACAATCATCATTCAATGGATCAACATTCTTACTGTACCAATCACGAACATTATATTTAACTTCACCTGCATAGTGAGTTACAATGAATGATTTTTGATCAAATTTATCCTTTCTCAATTTTTCAGATTTTTGATTCTTTGACAACAAGTCACGTACGAATGATTCTTCATCTTGATTTTGAACAACACATTTTTGATGTAAAATATCTAAAACACCTTGTGGTTTTTCAATTAAATCAATAGTTGGTTGTAAATCTAAACCAAAATCAATGAAATTCCAAGCAATATCTTCTCTCAAATATTCTTCTTGTTCCTTCTTGAACATGTGATGATTGAAAAATTGTTGTAATTTTTCATTTGTAAAATTGATACACATTTGTTCAAAACTGTTCAATTCAAAGATTTCAAAACCAGCAATATCTAAAACACCAATAAAATTCTTAATTTCACATTTGGCATTCATTGATTGATTAATCTTTTGAACAATCCAATCAAACATTCTCAAATAAGTTGACATGACTAGTGCATTTCTATTAAAATTAGCTTTTCTAGAATCAACTGCCATTTCAATAATTTCACCTGGTAAAATAATACGTGGTTTACAGAAACCTTTTGTTAATTGATCGGATGGAACTGATAAAATATCACATGCAAAATCTAATGGTGATCCTGATTTTACATTTGAAACAATTTGTGCATGTTCTTCTTCATTATCTTTAAATTGAACATTACCAATATGTAAAATGAAGGAAACAATTCTAAAAATCATATCAATTTCAGAATCTGACATTTTCATAACTTTCATTGATTGTAAAGTTAATTTCAAATCATTTGTATCATCAACACCTGGTACAACATAACAATTTGATTGATTAATATATTCAAAATCAGATGGTTCTGTCAAGTATAATTCCTTCTTCTTATCAGAATCTAATGAAAATATTTGATAGAAAATGTGAAAACTTCTCTCATTCAATGCTTGTCTAATAACTCTTGTTGTTTCTAACAAGTAGTGTTGAATTCTACAACCACCAATATATCCCTGTTTATCAAATTGAATTTCAATAAATTTACCAAAACGTGAAGAATTATCATTTCTCAATGTTTTAGCATTACCAAATGATTCTAATAATGGATTACACATGATCAATTGTTGTTCAATTTGACCACCACTACCACCTTTACCAGCAACATGTGTCAAGTATTGAATAACACGTTTAGTATTAACAGTTTTACCTGCACCAGATTCACCTGTAATGAGCATACTTTGATTCTCACCATTCTGTAACATTTGTCTATAGGCAACATCTGAAACTGTATAAATGTGTGGTTCAACATCTTCACGTCTCTTACCATCATGTCTCTTTATAACCTCATCGGTATAAATTGGTAAATTCTTATACGGATTCACTGCTACCAAAAATAGACCACTATAAGTATAGATTTGATCTCTCTCATATCTGTACTTTAAATTATAAAATACAGATGGTTCATTTAACAAGGATAATTGTGCCATATCTGGAATACCATCCTGTTTTTTATCATGATTGGATATGATTGGTTATGATTGGATGATTGGATGATTGGATATTGTGTAAGTATGATTGATTGGTTATGATTGGATGATTGGATATTGTAAAGTATTACAACAATAACAATAATAATAAAAATATATATAAATATAAATATATATATAAATAAAAAACATACCAATTTTTGTGGATTCATAGGATAAACCATATCAGGTTTACATTTATCAATTCTACCATCATCTAATTTGAATTGAACTTCACTTGCAGTTTCTTCAATAATTTCACCAACAACAAAACCACCTTCACCATCAGGTACCCACTTGAATTTGTTTGAAGTTGCTTGATCTGATTTTTGTTGTTCTAATAAACGTTGAAAGAAGGATGATTTATTATCACCTCCTGATTTCTTGGCTCTTCTTGGAGTTGTGGTTTCACTTGACATTTTGAAACGACTATTGTATTATAATGTTATTAGAAGTTGAGTATATTATCTCTTCTTTTTAATCTATTATATCTAATTGACTTGCACACGTGTGTGAAAAATAATAGAGTGTAGTGTTATTGAAGAGAGAAAACTGTTTTTTTTAATGATTTTTAAGAGAGATGATGATGATGGATGTTGTTAATTATTGATTGATTTGTGAAGTCATCATTTGTATTGACGACTTGTTACCTATTATTTATCAGTGATGACATTTGATAGATTCGAAAAGTCAAAAATGTGTTACCTTTACAATTCTTATTATCGCCATTGGTGAGCAATAATCAGTGATGATTGAGAGGTTTCATTTGTGAGTTTTATTGTTCACTGAATAAAATTGTAATATTCACTGAAGAATAGATTACTCTTTGAAAGGAACCACCTGATGGAAATCACAACGGTAGCATAGTTTCAATGTAGTGTATCGAAAAGGATAAGTGAGAAGTGGTTCTCTTCTCTTTATTCGAAAGAAATTTTGCTCAAGTCCATTTCACCTGGACTGTGATATTATTAAAGTCATGCAAGATTAAAAAGAAGGTGATCACATTTTTGTAGAAGAAGGAAATATCATATGATGGATTTCTAACATACAATATCAAACTAAAACAATAAAAGTGTGTTGTATTACGAGTATTATTAAAAAAGTTAATATTTTTGATCAACAACTCATTCAGCCTAACACTTGTAAGCGCCAAAATCTAACGGCAAAAAGGCTTGATTAATAAAAATATTTAAAAAAAATATTTTGATAAATTTTTAACCTGCTCTTTCCCTTCTCCGATCTCTCATCACACATTTTTTCAAAATAAATATTCCTTCCATCGTAGCATTTAATTTATACTTTCAACCATCGGAAACAATAGTATAGTTAGTAATAACAACAACAACAACAACTGGTAATCTTCTCCAATGCCAAAACAAACAAAAATCACGGATACATTTTTCAAGCCTAAGGCTTCATCATCATCAAATGACAATGTGTCAAATACTTTCGGATTATTATTACCAATAGATGATGTAGTGGATGAAAATAATTTACTAGATACATTTATAAATTCAGCTATTAATGGAGGTGTAAAGAGAAATTGGAATATTCAACAATTAAAAAAGACTGTAGGAGATATAAATTCAGAATTTAAACCTCAAATAGAAAAAAGAACAGCTTTTTGGGAAAAGGAATTAGAAAAATTAAATAATATTAAAATACCAATAAGGAAATCAAGTCAATCAGATATTGAATCAGGTGATAAATCACAAAAAACATTATTGGATTACTTTACAAAAAATGAAAAATCATCTCAAAATGAATCAAATATTACAACAATAGTTTTAGAATCACAAGATGTTCCTCAAGATTTAGTAATTCCAATGTTAGATCCACGTACAAGTGATTTAAATATTACAACTACTAATAATGGTAATAATTCTATTAATAATACTTCAAATAATAATAATACTACTATTGCATTAATAATAATACTTCAAATAATAATAATACTACTACTACTACTACTACTTCTATTCAAATAACACCACCAAATGAAATTGTAACAAGTAATATTATTCAACCTTCTAATAATAATAATACTACTACTAGTATAGTAGATACAAATAATAATAATAATAATAATAATACAATAATCAATAATAATACTAGTAATAATACAACTATTATTGATAATAATACTACTGATGATAATAATGATATATTTTTGGATGAAGAAGAAATTATTAAACCAATTACACCATCTGAAACTGCTACCAACAATAATAATATTATGGATAGTGAAATTATAACTCTAACTTCCAATGATTTAGATGATTTATTAATGGAAGATATTATTCAAGTACCTTCCAATACTTTAAATACTACTGAAATAACACAAAATGAAACTGTTAAATTATCCTCTCCTTCACTTTCCTCTATTAATAATAATAATACCACTACTAATACTATCACCAATACTCCACCCATTAATCCTACAACAACTTCTGCAACTTCTGCTACTACTACAGCCACTATACCATCATCATCATCCAATAATTCAACTACTGCTTCTACCACTGAAATTAAATTAATTAAATCACCAAATTTAGAAGGTAAAAAACCAAAACAAGAAATAACTAAAATAGAAAGTGAAATAACAACAGGTGTTGAAGAAATATTAACAACACCTAAAAAAACAAGAAAGACAACAAGTTCTAAAAAGTCAACTGCCAGTAAGAAAACATCTAAAAAAGGGTCAAAGAAGAGAAAAGTTCAAGATGATGATGCCATGTTAGATGACGATGATGATGAATATAAACCATCTTTAACAGATGAAGAAGATTTAATACTTGATGAAGAAATTGAAGATGATGAAGATGAAACTATTGGAAAATCTGGAAAGAGAAAAAGACCAGCAGCTAAAAAAGTTACAGATGAACAAGATGAAGAAATTCTTAATCAAATACTTGATGAAGAGGATGAACCTCTTACTATTAAGACCACAACTACTAATACTACTACCAATAATAATACTTCTATTATGAATTCATCAGCTATTGCAAGTGAAACCAAAACAATAACAAAACAACCATCAACTAAAACATCCATTTCAGATACCACTTCTAACAAGTCAACAAGTAAAACATCTTCCACTGCTTCAAATTCCAAGTCAACAATTAAAGAAGAAGATGAAGAAGTTGCTGCTACTGCTGCTGTTGAAGATGAAGAAGAAATTATTGAAACACCAATCAAGACAAGATCAGCAAGAAAAAAGACAAGACAATCAGGTAAATCAAGCCTTGATTCTGAAAATGAAACATCAGCTAACAAATCATCAACTAAATCAACAACAGGATCAACAACACCAACAAGTGTTGGTAATAATGATTTATTTGAAGAAATGTCAAATTCTATTGTTCAATCACCATCAATGGAAGATGAACCTCAAACACCTGCAAATAGTAAAAAGAAGAAGAGAACAACAACAACAGTTAGAAGAAGAAAAAAGAAATCAGAAGATGGAACAGTTTCATCATTTTCTGATGGTATTGATGGTGGTGATTCATTCCTTAGTCATGAAGATGAACTCTATGTTTCTACAAATAGTAATACTGATACAAGTGCACCTTCATATCAATTTTGGGATTATGTAAATAGTTTCTTTCCTGTTATTAAGAAGGATAGATTACAATTATTAGAAATTGAACATTCTGATGATGATGATGCTTTTAACATTTCAAAAAGAGGAAAACATTACACTGAAAAATGGGAAGATGAAAATTGTAAATTATTTCCACATTTATTTAAGAAGGAAGTTCCTTCTCCAATGGAAAATGAATCCATCAGCATTTCTGCTACTCATAACACTACTCATAATACTTTTAATAACTTATCAACAACAAACAATATTTCATTTTCCAATTCAATTAATGTTGATAAGAATTCAAAACACTTTTTTTCACAACACAATTTAACACAAAGACTTTTATCAAGTTTAATTGAGGAGAGAGATTTAGTTTCAGTAGAAACATTTTTCAATGATGAAAATTCATCATCCTCCTCCTCAGCAACAACATCAGGTCTAGTCTTTGATAGTGATGAAGAATCTGATTCATCAAGTGCTAGAAAAACTACACGTTCAACTAGGAAGAGTATTGCTGGAAATTCAAATAATATTGCTCAATATTCAAATGTATTTGCATCACCATCATCTTTGAATAATGGTAATTCTAATAATCAATCAACTAATGCTGCCAATTCAAATATTAATTCAATGTTAGATAATTTTTCCAATTCATTTTCAATTCTTGAACAACAACAGCAACATGAAATTGGTGAACATTTAAAACAAAAACTTCCAACACTTTCAAAAACTCACAATCAAAAATCAAATCAAGTTTTACAAGCATCAAATCAATTTAAAGATTTTGAACAACAATTATTTGAACCATCATTTGATTATTCATCTCAATATTTAAATATATTTGAAGAGAAATTAATGAGTGAAATTAAAAGTATTGGATTATTACCACCTCCTCCATCACAACAAACAACAAGTAATAATAATAATAACATGTTAACACCATTGTGGTTTGATGAAGAATCGAGAGAGGATGATGAAATTTGTGCTGAAATTAGAACTCTTCAAAACAAACTACGACAACAAATGGAAAAGACCAACACCTATAGAATGAAAATATTAACAAGTGTTAAAGAGAAATTACATGAAGAAACTGAAATTGGAAAGAAAATTTTATTATTTTCAGAATTGGAAAAGAAATTATTTCCTCCAACTCAAAAGAAACGTTAATAAATTATTTTACAATTCTGATATTTTTTACAATCTTTCTATTAAATTAAGTTGAAAGTTTTCTGGATTTAAATATATTTACAAATTAATACAACCATGTTGATGATAATGAAATTACCAATAATTCTTATCATAATTAGTTGAATTTGAAGGTCTATAAGTGGTTGATGATCTTGAATTTGATCTCATTTCAGATAAATTTTCATTTGTATACTCTGGTATTAATTCTGAAAAGTACATTTGTTTATGAAGTCTATTAGTAAATTCTTGTGCTAAATCTTGAGCTTGTTGGTGAGTTAAATTTCTTTCCATTTCATATTCATTACCATTATCATCTAATCTTACAACTCTCCATATTGGTTTATCATGAATACTCTTTACTTTATCAGTATTATTAGTGTTAGTATTAATATTGGCATTATTATCAGTATTATTAGTATTATTATTAGTATTATTGATTTTAATATTATTATTATTGAATGTAGTAGTATTAGACTTTTCAAATAGATTAAATGATTGACTGAAATGATTTGAATAGTTTGAATTCAATGTATATGGAATAATATAATTGTTTGTATTGATTCCTATAATACTACTACTACAATTATTACAATTATAAGGTGATAATGTAATATTATGACTTGTTGATTGATACGATGATCGGATACGAAGTGTTTGTTTCAACATTTTTTTAATATAATTATTTCTTCTTTAAATGAGATTGCTATTAATAGTTCTCAACTATGGATTCTTTCTAGTAGAATAGGTCAACTAATGCTAAAGAATCTAAAATTGATTGAAAGAAATCAATACCATTTGTAATTCTTTACAATTAATTTAAATAGTATTTAATATTAACTATTATTAGAATAGATAACCGTTGGAGAGCAGGAAGATAATAAATTAAAAAAAAATGCATCCACTATTATTTATTGCACTTGTTTGTAAACAACATGTAATAACCTTCAATCATTCAATTTTATCGGAAATTAATTATCCTCACATACATTTATTAAATTGTCATCATACAACAAGTATTGAAGATTTATTTTTATTCTTTGCATCTCCTACTTCTCAACAACAACAATTAAATAATTTAAATAATAATTTAAATAATAATAATACTATTAATACTATTAATAGTAATAATAATATAAATTCAATTAAAACACCTGAATCAACATCAAATATTAAATCACCAACATCACCTCAAAGATTATCTTTAAATTATGATCAAATTAATTTAATTACAAATAATTTACAATTTAATTTATTTAATAATAATAATATAAATGAAAATGATGAAATTGGAAATAGAAATTCACTTGTAAAACAACATAAAAGAAGTAGTAGTTTAGCAATTGATAATTTAATATTAAATAATAATATAAATGGAAATAATATAAATGGAAATATTAATTCATTACCTCAATCATCTCTAATATTACAATCTAATAATAATTTAAATGAAATTAATCAACAACAATTAACAAATATGGAAAAAAGAAATAGTTTTAAACATAATAAAAATATTTTTAGTTTTGATGATAGATATCATCAAGTATTTAATGATACAAATAATTTAAATAATAATTTAAATAATACAAATAATAATAATAATAATAATTTAAATAATACTTCCATAAATAATAATAATACAAATATAGCAAATATTACTAATGTAAATCATTCATATCATCATAATGTACATTCATTAAATGATGGTAATTTGACACCATCTACACCATTTAATCAATCTCAATTACATGTTCCATTTTCATTACAAAAAAGAACTTCCATTTTAAGTAAGAGACATTTTAAACATGTTTCAAATTCACCAAATATAAATAATTCTAATTCTATTAATAATAATAATTCTAATAATATAAATGATAATATTTTTGATTTACAAGTTAAAACTAATGAAAGAAAATTTAGAATTTTAATTTTAAATAATTTTAGAAGTGTTTCTAAAAGAGTAAAATTTACTTTATTGGAAATATTTAAATATAAAAAAGTTATTTTAGGTGATAAAATTATTGATATTCCATATGAATTTATTTGTATATGTGATACTTTAGAATTACCTTCTCCATTAGTATGTTTTTAATTTTAATTTTATTTTAATTTTAATATATTTAATTTAATATTTTAATATATATAATATTTAATATATTTAAAAAATAGTTAAATGAATTTATTGGATTTGTACCAACATTATGTGCTAATACAACAATAACAATACAAGATATTCAAAATTATTCAACAAATATTCAACATATTATTCAACAACAATTGAATAGATTAAATGAACAAACAAATTTAATTGATTGTGTTGATATGACTGTTAAAATACAACAATATATTAGAGAAATTATTATACAATGTAGAAATCATCAATATATTAAAAAATATCCAACAAGTGAAGCTTTACCTTTTACTGTTATGGCATGCAAGTATGTTTTTTATTTATTTATTTAATATTTATTTAATATTTATTTAATATTATTTATTTAATTCATTGTTACAATAATTTATAACAACAACTATTATTGAATGGTTTTAAAGAGCATACGCATTGATATATAACAAGACATTTGTAACACCTACTCATGTACAATCAATAATTTCAAATTTATTATTTCATAGAATTGAATGCATTTCAGATGATAAATGGAATGTAATTCAACAAGTAGTTTCAAATGTTTTACCACCTTGAGGTTGACTGTGCAATATATTACTATGCACCATTTAAACAGTGATATCTTCATAAATGTCAAAATGACCAAATTGGTTACTATTGAAGTATCTTATTATTTAGCATGGAACTCCATGTAATGCAATATTTTATTGGCTTATCTTGAATGGAAACCATAAAGAGTCTCATCAGCATGCTAATGACGAGGCTTCTCAAGGTTTCAAAGCCAATTTCAAACAATAAAAACAAGGCTTGCAAAAAAATGTTCAATTCAACCAGACGTCAATTGATTCGTAGCATTAAATCTTCTTCTATTGCATCATCATCATCATCAACAACAACATCATTGAAGAGAGGATATGCTATTACTAAAATTCCATTACCTTCTCTTTCACCAACAATGACTTCGGGTGAAATTGTCCAATGGTTGAAGAAGGAAGGTGATAAAATCTCTGTTGGTGATTCCTTGTGCGAAATCAGAACAGATAAATCAGTATTGGATTTTGAATCAACTGAAGAAGGTATTTTGGGTAAAATTATCATTCCTGGTGGAACAAAGAATATTGAAATGGGTGCAACTATTGGCTATCTTGTTGATAAATTGGATGAAATTAAGAACATTCCTACAACATCTACTCCTGTTAGTAGTACTCCTGCTAGTACTCCAACAACAACAACAACCTCTACTACACCAGCCAGTACTTCTACTACTTCATCAAGTGCTTGTAGTAATTGGAAGGATAGAATGAATCACTCTGCTCCATTGTGTCCATCTGTTCTTCGTATTTTGAATGAAAACACTTGGATTCATGTAAAGGATATTAAAGCAACTGGTAGAGGAGGTAGACTTACCAAGACTGACTTGATTAATTATATGAATAATAGATCATGCTCTTCAAACAATGCTATTGATGCTTCTCCAAGAATTACTATTAACACAACATCAACTCCACAACCAACCACAACTACTACTGCCACTCCAACTCCTCAATCCACCAAGCCAACAGAAACCAAGCCACAACCAACCACTGCTGCTACTGCTGCTTCTTCACCAATTAAAACAGCTGCATTCAATGATATTGAAACAACACAAATTAGAAAGATTATTGCTTCTAGATTACTTGAATCTAAACAAAACATTCCACACAGTTATTATACCATTCAACCAAGAATTGATAAATTATTGAGTATTAAGAATAAGCTTGCAGAAAAGGGAGTTAAGGCCAGTGTTAATGATATTATTATTTATTGTGCTGCTAGAGCTTTACAAAGAGTTCCAGAATGTAATGTAATTTTCAATCTCAATGGACATACTCAAGTTGAAAATATTGATATTTCATTTGCTGTTGCTACTCCAACTGGTTTAATTACACCAATTATTCCAAAGACAAATACTAAGAGTATTGAACAAATTGCTGCCTCTGTTAAGGAATTAGGTAAGAGAGCTAAGGAAAACAAATTGAAACCAGAAGAATTCCAAGGTGGTTCTTTCTGTATTTCAAATCTTGGAATGTTTGGTATTCAACATTTTGCTGCTGTTATTAATCCACCTCATGGTATCATTCTTGCAATTGGTGGTTCTGAAAAGAAACCTATTTTTGAAACTGAATCTTTAGATTTGGATAACATGTCAACTGAAGATATTAGTATTAATGATGTTCAAATTGGTACTTTTATGAGTGTTACTGCAGCTTGTGATTCGAGAGCAATTGATGGAGTTACTGCTGGTAAATTTATGAAGGTTTTGAGAGAAGAATTGGAATTTGATCTTTCTCTTTAAATCATCTAATAATTCAATTAATTACTTCTCTCTTAAAATATTAAAACAGTATTTGTTTTGCTTTTATTTCAGTAATGTTACAAACAAGGCAACCTGTTCACAACGTAGTACAATTTGTTAATATGTTAACATACACAACCGAATTTCATGCTTGCTAATTTAAACATAGACATATATTTATTGGAACAAGAAGATAATCCAAAATACAACACCTTTGAAATGCCTTGTTCAAAAATTGTACTTAATTTTGGCGCGTTTTTCAGCAATTCTACAGAAAAAAAAATACAACTTTCTGATTGTTGCTCAACTAGTTAACAACCAGGTAAGTTTATTGAACAAATCAGCAAGAACTACAACAATATTAGATAGGATGTCATTGAACGGAAAGAAAACAAATCTAAGACAAACAGTCATTCCGAGACCAAGGGAACAACCGTTTGGTTCAAGTTCTGGTGGTACTCTATTTACAAAACCTCAACAAGATAGAGATACTTTACCATCATCATCTAATAACAATGCTTCATTATTGAAAACTGTAAGTTTTTGATTTGGATATTGGATAGAAAATTTCTGTAGTTATTTAAGGAAGCACCACAAAAATCATTTGAACCAAAAGTTTATGTACCTTATAAACACTCTCCAGGAGCTATTCCAAGACAAGTTATTGTGGAAAGGTTAGTATAGTTATTGAAAACAAGTTCAAAATTAATTGAACAATTTTATTAGATTGAGGAGACAATACGAACAACAGGATATTGAAGAGTTGTTAAGGAATGAAGGTATAGATTATTCAAAACCAATAACACCGGAAAGAAAGTATGAATTATATTTACCTCTTGATGCTTTTGATAATACCGATTTTGATATAAGACAACCTCATGAATGGATCAAACAAGGACTTGATGAAGATGGAAAATTTATTTATGTTCCTGCTATGGCCTTACAAGCAAAGGAAGGTGTAGGAAATTGGCACTATTGTAAAGTTTATGATGTGGATGAGGTCAACAACAAATATTTAGTTGATTTTGTTAATCAAGAAGGAAATAGAATTTGGCTTCCAAGAATTTATGTAATGTTTTTGGCTGAAAATCCAGTTAATTTTGCTAAGCGTGTTGCTCATGCACACAAATCAAGAAAGGTGGCAGAATCTTTAATTAGATACTTTTTGTATATAGAACACATGCCTTCAGATGATTCATCACCACTTACTGAAGATCAATCTCAAAATATTAGAAGACTAGGTTGCGATTCGAAAAGACTAAGAGAAAAGTTGTATGACTCCACAACTGATGATATATTGGAGGAAATTATAATAGAATATCAAGCTGTTGCTAACAGAATGATTTTTGATAAGAATATGAAAGATCCTCTCCAAAAGGATTTATTTAAAAATTTGGAATTACCAGAAGAATTTCTTGACCCATCACAAAAGAAAGTTCCATATCTTGCAACTATCTCAATTCCACCATATCCATTTACTGAAAATTCAAAACAATTCTCTTTCAATTCTTACTTTACAGAAAGGAATATTCTTGATGCTTTATTGAATGTAAAGAGGGAATTGTTAGAAAAGCAAATTTTCAAAATTTTCCACATTCCTCTGAAGAAAACTGTAACATTGGACGAATTTGAACAAATCCAAATTCAAGCAATAGATTCCATTGTTTCTAAATTAACTGGAGAATGGTTAGGTAATCTTAAACAACATATTCAAGACAGTTTAATTCATATTGAAAAGGGTTGGTTAAGTGTTGCAGGAAAAACTGTTCAAATTTATGAAATGAGTAAGCTTAAGAGATTTATGAACACCATTAGATTCATGATGCAAGATTCTATCAAATTTTTAATGCAAGACTCATTTAAGGAATATGTTAAATATATTGAGGAATATTGTACCTTTGATGTACAAATTAATTCAGTTGAAAATGTTGAGGTCAAATTCCATCATGAAAATGATTCATCAAAGAGAGCAGTTAACTTATTTTCTATAGAATTGTCATTTAAGGATGACAAATTCTTCTTTATAACACCTACCGAGAGATTCAAGGCTATTGTTGTTGAAATGTTTGATAAGGCTTTGAAAGACTTCCAAAAGATTTCTGATGTCGAATCCCACGTTTTAAGTGAAGAGTTTTGTGAAAGATTTTCGGATAAAGAAAATGACGATAAGAGAAACAAGAGAAATACCTCAATGAAGAAATCCCATAAGATGTTCCTTTGGGGAGAGGTCAAAATGCTTGATACACTCAAACCAACAGACGAAGAAGTTATTAATTGGAGAAGATCATTGGATAATTTAATGTCTTCAGCATTACAACCTCTGAATGATTTCTTGAAGCAATTTGAACAATATGAAGATCTTTTAAGAGTTGATGTTCAAAAATTCATGGAAGAATACGAAAAGAAAGACAGTCTTACCATCGATGATATCAAGGCTGAAATTCTCAAAAATTTCGAAATGAAGGACAAGATTAGAGAAAGTATACCACAAAAAGTTAATATGGGTACATTCTTAATTGATTGTCAGAGTATAAGAAACCATTTGAGCAGAAAGTGTTCAGAAATTGGTAAAAAGATTCTTGATTACTTGGCAAGAACTGCAAGTGAGAAATGTAATTTTGTTTTGGAAAATTTCAACAAGCTTTCAAGGGAAATCAACAAACCACCTGAGGATATCGAGTCATTGACAAAGTTGAAACAAAGATTGAAGGAAATTCCTGATATGGTATTAGAATATGAAGAAAAGATTATAGAAATGAAAAATTACTATACAATTTTGGAAAATGAGTTCAAATATCCATTATCAGACGAAGAATTTAAAAACTTGTGGACAGCAGCTACTTGGCCAAAGAAGGTTCAAGAGCAAATTGAAAAGGTCGAATCATTCTTGGAAAAGAAGAAGGAAAACTTGAGAGAAAGACTCGTTACAGATCAAAAGTCCTTCATGAAGGAATTGGAAAGTATTACAAAGGTTGTTTCTGGATTCTCTAAACACAGAGATATTTTATCTGTTGCAGAAGTTGCTAAGGAAGTCAAGACAATTCAAAAGCAACTTCAAGACTTCCAAGATAGAGCCAGAAAGAATAATCAAAAGGAAATACTTTTTGGCATGGATATTACAGAGCATACTCAATTGAATGCCATTGTCAAACAATTCCAACCATATGCTGATTTGTGGTTAACTGTAGATAATTACTTTGCCTGGGAAGAGAGTTGGTCTAAGGAACCATTCGAGAATTTGGATGCTCCAAAGATTGAAGAAGAAGTTAAAGCAGCTGAGAAGGCCATGTTGAAGTGTATGAAACAATTCAAAGAAATTCCAGAAATTAGAAAAATTTCTGAAACCATCAAAAAGAAGGTTGAAGAATTTACACCATACATTCCTCTTGTACTTGCATTAAGAAATCCAGGTATGAGACAAAGACATTGGCAATCAATTTCAAATGATATTGGTATTGAAATCATTCCAGGACAAACCTTAAAGTTTATGGATGACGTTTTCACCATGAAATTACTTAATCATGAAGATGTAATTAAGAAGTACAGTGATATTGCTTCAAGAGAATATACTATCGAAAAGGCATTGAAAGATATGCAAGAAGCTTGGGAAAGTTGCTTATTCGAAGTTGTGCCATACAGAAAGACTGGTACCTATGTAATGAAAGTTAGTGATGAAATTCAACAACAACTTTCTGAACATATTGCCCTCACCCAAACTATCAGCTTCTCTTCATTCAAGAAGCATTTTGAAGCAGATTTAAAGGCATGGGAAAATCAATTATATCTCGTATCTGAAATCTTTGAAGAATGGGCTAATTGTCAAAGAGAATGGATGGCTTTGGAACCAATCTTCTCTGCTGAAGAAATGCAAAACCAATTGCCTCAACTTTATAAGCAATTTAAACAAGTCGATGTCAAATGGAGAAGAATCATGGATGGCGTATTCAGAAATCCAAATATCATGTCTTTCTGTACAACTACTGCAAAGTTGTTAAAGACCTTCCAATCAAACAATTCAATCCTTTCTGTTATTCAAAAGGGCTTGAGCAATTATTTAGAAAAGAAGAGACAACAATTTGCCAGATTGTATTTCCTTGCTGATGAAGAATTACTTGAAATTTTGGCCAAGACAAGAGATCCAACAGCTGTTCAAAAGTATCTTAGTAAGATCTTTGAAGGTATTGGTGAATTGGACTTTGTAGATATTCCTGAGGAAAGAAAACAACAAACGTCTTCTAAAGGACCTGCTCTTGAAATGGTTGCTATGATGTCAAAGGCTGGCGAAAGAGTTGAATTCAAGGAAAGATTGCAACCAACTGGAAGTGTTGAAGTATGGTTAAAGGAAGTTGAAAGAGTTATGTGTGGAAGTCTTAAAGAAACTGTTTCCAAATCACTTATTGACTATAATCATACTCCAAGAAATGAATGGGTACTTAAATGGCCTGGTCAAGTTGTTATTTTGGGCAGTCAAGTATATTGGACAAAGGATATTACACAAGCACTTAATTCTGGAGGTAATAAGGGTTTAAGAGGTTATTTGGATGTTGTTAAAGAACAACTTTTGGGCTTGATTAGAATTGTAAGAACTGATATTTCCAAGCTTGAAAAGACCAATATTGAAGGTTTGATTACTATTGAAGTCCACGCCAGAGATGTAGTTGAACAAATGTTACAAGAAGGTATTCAAAGTACTCATGACTTTGAATGGGTATCCCAAATGAGATACTATTGGGAACCTAAAGAAACCTATGATGAAAATGGACAAATTGTTAAATCTGATGATTTTACATGTTATGTCAGACAAGTTGAAACTCAATTTGAATATGGTTACGAATATTTGGGTAACACATCTCGTTTAGTCATTACACCTCTTACTGACAGAATTTATTTAACATTAACAGGTGCTTTGCACTTGGGTCTTGGTGGTGCTCCAGCTGGTCCTGCCGGTACTGGTAAAACTGAAACTGTTAAGGATCTTGCAAAGGCTTTGGCCAAGAAGTGTGTTGTTTTGAATTGTCAAGAAGGTATGAGAGAAAATTCAATGGCTCAAATTTTCAAGGGTCTTGTTCAATCTGGTTCTTGGGGCTGTTTCGACGAATTCAATCGTATTGATGTTGAAGTCCTTTCAGTCGTTGCTCAACAACTTTCTACATTGCAAGAAGCTGCTAGAGCTCGATTGGCAACTTGTCAATTTGATAACACAACCATTAATGTTGATCCTTCATATGCTGTATTTATTACTATGAACCCTGGCTATGCTGGTCGTACTGAACTTCCAGATAACTTGAAAGCATTGTTTAGACCTGTCGCATGTATGGTTCCTGACTATAGATTAATTGCTGAAATTCGTTTGATTTCGTTCGGTTTTGAAAATGCTAAACCACTTTCAAACAAGATGGTTCAATCTTTCAAATTGGCCTCTGAACAATTGTCCTCACAAACTCACTACGATTTTGGTATGAGAGCTGTCAATACTGTTATTGCTGCTGCTGGTTTACTTAAGAGAAAACATCTCAAGATGAACGAAGAAGTGCTTGTATTGAGAGCATTGAGAGATTCCAATATTCCAAAGTTCTTGGTGAATGACGTTATTCTTTTCAATGGTATTGTTTCAGATTTGTTCCCTAAGGTTCAAATTGAAGCCACAGACTATGAAAAGCTCAATGCAGCACTCCTTGAAGCAACTGAACACTTTGGAATCAAACTTACACCTGTTTTCCATGAAAAATGTTTGCAACTTTATGAAACTACTATTTTGCGTCACGGTGTCATGTTGGTTGGTAATACAGGAGGTGGTAAGACAATGTGCTACAAGACTCTTGCTCACGCCCTCACAACATGTAGTAAGACCAATAAGGATGACTTCCATCCTGTTCACTATAGTGTTATCAATCCAAAGTCTGTAACTATGGAACAACTCTATGGTGAGTACGACAAGAATACAAGAGAATGGAGAAATGGTGTTTTGGCTGCAGAATTCAGAAAGTTTGGTGAAGACACAACCTTGGACTGTAAATGGTTAATCTTTGATGGACCTGTTGATGCTTTGTGGATTGAATCAATGAATACTGTATTGGACGAAAATAAGAAATTGTGTCTTTCAAACGGTTCTATGATTGAAATGTCAGTTCACATGAATATTGTCTTTGAAGTTGAAGACTTGGCTGAAGCTTCTCCTGCTACTGTCAGTCGTTGTGGTATGGTCTACTTGGATCCAAAAGCAACTGTTCCACCTATGGTACACGTAGATTGCTGGTTGAATAAGGTTTCCTCTCTTCTTAAACCATATCATGACCAATTGAGAAAATTATTTGAAATCTTCTTACCTGAGGGTATTGATTTCATTAGATATAACGTGTTGGAATATATTCCAACTGTTGATAGCAATTTGGCTCATAGTACTTTCAAGATTTTGGATACTTTATTTGTTGAATATGATCCAAGTCTTGGTAGAAAGAAAAAGAAGTCATTCAACTTTGAAGAAGAGGATAAGGGTAATGAAGCTAAGATGGCTAAACTCAGTTCTTTAATTGAACCATATTTCCTCTTTGCCATTACATGGGGTATTGGTGCTTCATGTGATTATGATGGTAGAAAGAGCTTTGATAAGTTTATGAGAAAGACAATGAAGGAAAATTCTATTACTTCTGTCTATCCAGATGAAGGATTAGTCTATGATTACTTCTTTGATTCTGAAGACGTTGTTTGGAAGAATTGGGCTGTTGTTACCCCAGAATTAGAAATTAATAATAATACTCAATTCAGAGATATGATTGTTCCAACAATTGACACAATGAGAAGTAGTTGGCTTGTTAAGAAGTTGATTCAAAATGATAATCACGTATTGTGTGTTGGTCCAACTGGTACTGGTAAATCTCAAGTTATTTCCCAAGTATTGTTGAAGGAAATTCCAGAAGAATTTATTCCTCTCGTTATCTTCTTCTCTGCAAGAACTGAAGCCAATGCTGTTCAAAATATAATTGATGCCAAATTAGATAGAAGAAGACCTGGTGTTTATGGGCCACCACAAGGTAGAAAGTATATTATCTTTATTGACGATATTAACATGCCTACCAAGGAACAATATGGTGCTCAACCTCCTATTGAATTGGTAAGACAATGGATGGATCATAGTGGTTGGTATGAATATTCCAACGAAAGATTACCATTCAGAATGGTTGAAAATCTTACATATATTGCTGCTTGCGGTCCTCCTGGAGGTGGTAGAAACACTGTTACTAACAGATTGATGAGACACTTTACCTTTATTTCATTCCCTGAAATGCAACATGACAGCTTGAGTAAGATCTTCTCAACAATCCTTAACAAGTCATATATTGAACCAAACACAAGTATCAAAGACTTTATGACTCAAGAAATTTCTACCAAATTTGTTGATTCAAGTATTGAGCTCTTTAATATTATTAGAAAGGAAATGCTTCCAACTCCATCTAGATCTCACTATACATTCAACTTGAGAGATTTATCAAAGGTATTCCAAGGTATCCTTCAAGCCAATCCAAAGAAGATTCTTAATATGACTGATATTCTCAAGTTATGGACTCACGAAAGTTCAAGAGTGTTTAAGGATCGTTTGGTAGATAATCCAGACAGAAGAAAGTTTGAAGAAATTCAAGAACAATTATTGACCAAATTCTTCCCTGAAGCTGATGCTAATACCATTGTTCATCAAAGATTAATTTATTCTGATATTTTGAGTCATGGTAATGAAGTTAGAACATATGACCAAGTATCTGACCATATTGAATTGCTTAGAATTGTTAATGAGCAATTGGGTGAATACAACATTAACAATAACGAAAAGAAGATGGACTTGGTTATGTTCTTGGATGCCATTGAACATGTATGTAAGATTGGAAGAATTATTAGACAACCAGGTGGTAATGCTTTATTACTTGGTGTTGGTGGTAGTGGTAGACAAAGTTTAACAAAACTTGCCTGCTTTATTGCTTCATACGATATGATGCAACTTGAAATTAGAAAATCCTTCTCACTGAAGGATTGGAAGGAATTCCTTAAGGTTCTTTTGCTGAACGCTGGTAAAAAGAATGGAAAGGGTGAAAATACTGTTTTCTTATTGGCAGATACTCAAATTATCTACGAATCATTCCTTGAAGATATCAACAACTTATTGAACAGTGGTGAAGTTCCAAATCTATTTGAAGCTCAAGATTTTGATGAAATTTACACTGCTATGAAGCCAATTTGTGCCATTGAAAAGCTTCCTGCAACGCCATTATCTTGGTATAATAGGTTTATCAAGTGTGTTCAAGATAACTTGCACATTGTTTTGGCTATGAGTCCAATTGGTGAGACCTTCAGAAGCAGACTCAGAATGTTCCCTTCATTGGTAAATTGCTGTACAATCGATTGGTTCAGTGAATGGCCAAAGGATGCTTTATTGAGTGTTGCAAACGAAAAGTTATCAAACTTGAGAATGATTTCAGTTGAGCATGACTCTCAAATTGAGGAGACTAGAGAAGCAGAGGAAGATTTGAAAGAAAGAGTTAATCAAATGTTTGTCTACATCCATCAATCTGTTGAAAAAGCATCCGTCGATTACTTGAGACACGCAGGTAGAACCAACTATGTCACTCCAACTAGTTATCTTGAACTTTTGAACTCATTCAATAGTGTTCTTGATGTGAACAGAAAGAATTTGGAAAAGGAGAAGAGAACATTACAAATTGGTTTGAAGATTTTGAGAGAAACCGAAGAATATGTTCACAAACTCCAAGAAGACTTGAAGATCAAGAGACCTCAATTGGATCACACAAGAACTGAAATTGATAAGAACATGATTACTTTGAATAAGGAAAGAGAAGAAGCTCAAAAGACTCAAGAAATTGTTCAAATAGAAAATGCTGAGGCTAACAAGATTGAAACTGAAGCTAAGGGTATGAAGCAATCTGCTGAAGAAGAATTGAGTCAGGTCGAACCATTGTTGGAAAAGGCCGTAGAAACAGTTAAGAACATCAAAGTCAACCAAATTCGTGAAGTTGCTAACTATAAGGTTCCTCCATCTGGTGCTCTTAAAGTTTTGGAAGCTGTCTTGATCATGTTTGGTGAAACCAACGGTGTTAAGAGAGTTAAGGATGGTGTTACTGTTTACGATTGGTGGGAAACTGCCAAGACTTATCTTAACAATGCGCCAAAACTTAAGGACGATATGATTGGTTATGATAAGGAAAATATTCAAGAAAGTATTATTAGAAGAATTACCAAATATTACAACGATCCTGAATTCCAAGTCAACAGAGTTAAGGAAGTTTCATTGGCCTTGGTTGCTATGTGTCAATGGGTCAGAGCCATGTATGATTTTTATTGGGTTAATAAGGAAGTTGAACCAAAGAGAGAAAAGGCAAGAGGTGCCGAAGCACAATGGGCTATTGCTAGACAAAAGGCCGATGAATCCCAAAGAAAATTGGCTGAAGTCATGAGACAACTTCAAGAATTGGAAGATGCAAACAATAGAGCATTGAAAGAAAAGGAAGAATTAGAAACCATGATTGATATTTGTGAAAAGAAACTTGAAAGAGCTTCCAAATTGCTTAACGGACTTTCAGATGAAAAAGTCAGATGGCAAGAAATGCTTGAAACTTACGAAAGACAGCAGTCCGATATGCTTGGTAACATGATTGTCAATGCTGGTACTGTTGCTTACTTGGGTGCTTTCACCAAACCATTCAGAGAACGTTTGATAGCTGAATGGCGTAATGAACTTTCAAGACATGTCATTCCTTACACTGAAAATACTGATGTCTATACATCATTGGGTGATCCTATTACCATTAGAATTTGGAATCAATTTGGTTTACCATCAGACAATCTCTCTATTGAAAATGCTATCATTATGAACAATTCTAGAAGATGGCCTCTCATGATTGACCCTCAATTACAAGCATCACAATGGATTAAGAATATGGAGAAAGACAAGAGCTTAAAGGTACTAAGTGCTACAAAGAAGGACTATATGGGAGAATTGATTAGAGCAGTTCAATTCGGTAATCCAGTATTGATTGAAAATATTGGTGAAGATTTAGATCCAGCACTTGAACCAATCTTGCTCAAACAAACCTTTGTTCAAAATGGTTCTAACTATATCAAGATTGGTGAAGAGTCTGTTCCATATAGTAATGATTTCAGATTGTATTTGTGCACAAAGTTCAGAAATCCAAGATATACACCAGAAACCTGTGTTAAGGTTACATTGTTGAACTTTTTCATTACGCCACTTGGTTTGGAAGATCAATTATTGGCAGAAGTTGTTAAAATGGAAAAGCCTGAATTACAAAGACTTAAGAATGACTTGATGCAAAAGAACTCCAAGATGAGAAAAGATTTGAAAGAACTTCAAGCTAACATTCTTAGAATGCTTTCTGAAAATACTGGTGACATTCTTGAAAATGAAAAACTTATTAATGCTTTGGGCGAATCAAAGGTTGCCAGTAAGGACATTCAAGAAAAGGTCGAAGAAGCAGAAACAACAGAAAGAGAAATCGACGTTACTCGTAACAAGTATAGACCTGTTGCAGAAAGAGGTTCATTGCTCTTCTTCTGTGCTTCAGATATGACAAATGTTGATCCTATGTATCAATATTCTTTGCAATGGTTCATTCATCTTTACAAATCTGTTATTGAAACAAGTGAGCAAAATGATGACTTGGAAATTCGTATGAAGACTCTTATTTATAATCACACATTATCATTGTATAACAACGTTTGTCAATCCTTGTTTGAAAAGGACAAATTACTCTTCTCCTTTGTACTTTGTATTAGAATTATGCAAGGAAGAAATGAAATTGACGAACATGAATGGAGACATTTCCTCACTGGCGGTATTAAGACAGAAGAAGATGAAAAACAAATTGCTAGAAAGCCACAATCTAGTACATGGTTAACTGATAATTGCTGGAGTGAAATTGTATTGCTTAACAAGTTACCAACATTTAAGGGATTCTTAGATTCATTCATTCAACATGCTGGAGACTTTAAGACATTCTTTGAAGATCCAAAGCCAAATATTTTACCAATTCCAGGTGGATGGGATCCTAAACTCACCGAATTCCAAAAGATTATGGCACTTAAGGTCATTAGACCTGACAAGGTTATAGAAAGTATTCAAACCTTTGTCGAAGCCAAGTTAGATAAGAATTTCATTACACCACCTCGTTTCGATTTGAGTCGTTCATTCAAGGATTCAAATTGTGTAACTCCACTCATTTTCATCTTATCTCAAGGTGCTGATCCTAAATCAGAACTCAACAAGTTTGCTGAGCAAATGAGAGTTAGGCAATTGCTTAGTGTTTCTTTGGGTAGTGGTACTGAAAATGCAGCTAAACAAGCTGTTAAGGATGCTTTACAAAATGGAAGTTGGGTTATTCTTCAAAATTGTCACTTGGCTCTTGGTTTCATGCCAATGCTTGAACAAATTGTAGAAGGATTCTCTCTTGAACAAAATCATGCCGACTTTAGATTGTGGTTAACAAGTATGCCAACTCCTAAATTCCCTACATCTGTTCTTCAAAATTCTGTAAAGATGACATTAGAACCTCCAAAAGGTTTGTCAACCAACTTGAAAGGCTCATTCGATAACTATGATGATACATTTATGGAACATTCATCCAAGCCAGTTGAATTTAAGAAACTCTTATTCAGTTTAACATTCTTCCATGCAGTTATTCAAGAACGTAGAAAGTTTGGTCCACTTGGTTGGAACATTTTCTATGAATTCACTGCAGGTGACTTGGATGTTTGTATTAAGCAATTGAGAATTTTCCTTGAAAAGTATGAAGAAATTCCTTACAAGGTTATCAAATTCTTAACAGGCCAAATTAACTATGGTGGTCGTGTAACTGATGACTGGGATAGAAGAAACCTCATGACAATGATTGAAGATTATATCACTCCTAATACTCTTAGGGATGATTATAAATTCTCTCCAAACTTGGATGAATACGTATCTATCAAGGCAGGTGATTCCAATGAATATAAGGAATATTTGGAATCTTTACCTAATGTTGCTCACCCAGAAATATTCGGTTTGCATGAAAATGCTGAAATTACATATAATACCGCTGAATTGTCCAATATTACTGATACAATTGTTGCATTGGAAGGAAGTGGAGGTAAAGCATCTGATGATAAGGATATTGTTGTTGGAAATATTGCCAATGATATCCTTGGTAAGCTTCCTCAAGCATATGACCAAGAATTGGTTGGTAAGAAATATCAAACTGATTATAATGAAAGCATGAATACTGTCATTACACAAGAAGTAACAAGATATAACAAACTCTTGAAAGAAGTTAGATCCTCATTAGAAAATATTCTCAAAGCATTGAAGGGTCAAGTAGTTATGTCTGCACAACTTGAAAGCATTGCCAACTCTTTGTATAATAACTATGTTCCTGATGTTTGGGGCAAAGCTTATCCTTCTATCATGCCTTTGTCTGAATGGGTTCTTGATTTCCTTAGACGTCTTGAATTTATTAGAGATTGGATTGATAACGGAATTCCAAATGTATTTTGGATCAATGGATTCTTCTTCCCTCAAGGTTTCTTGACTGGTCAATTACAAAATTATGCCAGAAAACATCAAGTTGCTATTGATCAAGTTTCCTTCACTTTCAAGATTTTGAATAAGGCAGAAGAAGAACAAGCCAAGACAAAGAAACCAGAAGATGGTTGCTACCTCAAAGGTCTCTATATGGAAGGTGCCAGATGGGACAGAGAAAATGAATGTGTTACTGAATCTAATCCAAAGGAATTATACTCTGAAATGCCAATTATTTGGTTCAAACCAGTGGCAAACAAGCAACCTGCAAAGGGATGTTATGAATGTCCTGTTTACAAGACTTTGAGAAGAGCAGGTACTTTGAGTACAACTGGTCACTCTACCAACTATATTCTTGCAATGGATTTACCATCAAAGATGCCTCCAGAACATTGGATTAAGAGAGGTGTTGCCTTGATTTGTGCCCTCAAATACGTTACATCAGAATTGTAAATAAATTGTATTATTTAATTATTTGAATGTTATTTATTCTATTCGTTTGAATCCAAATATAATTTACAGAGAGCTGCCAAAATCCAATCTGCAGATTCTTTCTTTTGAATTACTCTTTTGCTTACACGTTTTTCCAAATATTCCTCTTGCTTCTTGAGAGTTTCATCCATTCGGGTACTCAATTCTTTCATTCTCTGCTCTATCTCGTCACAAAAATCAGGATTTAATTGAATGGATTGAAGCGAATGAGTAGAATCTTCATTGGTTGCATCTTTAAGTATTATTTTGTTAGGGAAATATCTTGTATCTGTGGTCAATTTTCTCTTTTTTGATGAAGGACTATTCACATGTTCGGAAAGAAGATAATTATTAAGGAGAACTAGATGATCCAAATCAGAGTTGGATTTACCGTCTTTCATACAATTGTTGGTTCTTCTCTTTGTATTCATATTGATTATTTTGTTAATTGAATGATATTGACAACATCATTCACTGATTGTTTAAATAATTAACAAGCCATGATGGATACATCCTGTGGGTTTGATGCAATTGCTGTGGTGAATAACGATACATGATGTGAAGCCAATTTTCTTGTCGCTCTGAAAAGGTACACTACAATATTTTTCTAGCTACTTTCTTATTAAACGACTTGAGGGAAGTGCTTATTTTCAACAACAAATGAGCCGTACTGTTGTCGTTTAGTGGGATGAAATATTGTGGTGCTTAATATTCCTTACCAAGTAAGTCAAATTGATAGTAGTTATTTATTTTCACAGATTATTATTTGCCCAAAATTCCTCTAAATCCTTTAGCCTTTGTAATTCTCCTTGTGGTAACGATTGATGAGATTCAACAGACCCAATCCTAAATACCTTTTCAATAAAAGTTCTATCAGATGCATATTGATAAAACTCTAACCATTTTTCATTTTCTTGTAAAAGAGCTAATTGCTTATCACCAATAATTTGACCAAACACTGTCAGATATCCTGAAATGGCTAGACTAAATCTTTGTTCTCTTTGAAGTTGTTGATTCAAGTCGTGTGCTTTCAGAATTTTATCTACAATATTGTACTTTGTAAAGAGTGCCTCGAAGAATGGTTCAATATTTTGTTCTAAAATATCTAGTAAGAGTCTTGTTATCATTTGATGTAATAAACTGCTTTGATATTGGAACAATAATCTTATTAATTCTTCCAAAATGTCACAATTTAAAATAATCTGTGATAAACTTCTCTCATTCGTAGAATAAATATTATCTAAACTTTCTAAATGTTTAAAAAGAATAACAAAAAGTTCAATAATTTTCAATCTGTAAATACCCAAAGGAGGGAATGAAATTAATGGATTAAAATTAAGACATTCAATAGCTCTATCTACACTTAGTAATTGACCTCTCTTTTTATCAATTAACATTGATTGAAGAGGATGATACTGTTCTACATAGATTATTGTTGGATCTTTCTTTAAAATTTCTCTAGCACTTTCATCATTGAGTAATTTAACAAAAACTTGAATCTTTTCAATAACCAATATCAAAACCATCTTCCAATCAATATTTGATATTGAATCTTCCAAAATGAATAAACGTTGTGAATTATTAGAAATGTATAAAATCAAATTCATAATAAAATTCATATTATCTACAAAACTTGGTGAATTTGATGTAATTTTTAAAGTATTCTCTATAATTAACTCCATTTGTTTTCTATTTAAAATATATTGTACAATTGTTGGTGGTTTTTTAGTTGTTGGTTTTCTATATTGAATTATTGTTGTTAATATAAATGTTACGCTTCTACTATAATTTTGTTCACATTGTAATGAACATAATTGTTGAATTATCATTTGTTTCAATTTTAGAACTTGATTATTCTTGTGAATTTGACTTTCATCAGTTTGATTTAAAATTTGTAAAAATGAATCTTGAATTATATTTCCAGATGGAATTATTGAGAATGAATTTTCAATTTCTTCATCTTCATATAATAAACACATTAATAACAATTCACTAATCTCATCAGATGAATCAATATGTTTTAACATTTGCAATATATGACTCGATGCTACCATTGTTGTTGTTGTTGATCCAACAGCAGTACTGCCACCACTACTACCATTCACAGTAGCAGTAGCACTACTACTAGTACCACTGCTAGTACCATTGGTGCTGCTATTGTTACTACTACTATTACTACTGCTGTTACTACTAGTACTAGTACCATTAGATGATGAAATAGAAGTAGTACTTGTTGTAAAAGTTAATGATGATAATGAATTTTCTTGATAAATATAATCCATAACTAGATGTGTTAGATGAGGTATTTTCATCATTGCAATGATAACTCTAACAAAACATTTAACTTGAAATGAATTGAGAGGTTTAGTTTGATAAATGAATGAAAATAATTTTCTCCTAATAACTTCACCATTTAAATTACTTTTAAAAGTTGAACGAGGAGAAGTTGAATGGTTGGATGTCAAGTCATTATTAGAATTACTTTTTAATTGATTATTGTTGTTATTATTATTATTATTACTAGTTGCACTACTTAAAGGTGAAGTTGAATTATTTAAATTATTATTAGATGATTGTAAATTATTATTTATCATGATTAAAGGTAATATATGATATTGTCCAATAGTTGATATTAAAATTTCCGTCGCAATAAAAGGATATTTAAAATTCAATTTTTGTAACAAGTAATCCCTTTGATCTCCAATTAATGATTGATTATTTGATATTTGATTTTCCAATCCATTTGTTGTTTGAGATGATTCACTTATCGTATCAACTTGTTCACCTCTCAAATATTCTTCTTTCTGTTTTTCGTACAGCAATAATTCATCATCAGTAGCAGTTGTAGAAGAAGAAGAAGAAGAAACACCTCCAATTCCCATTGGTATCGAAGATGATGATTCTTGTAATTGATTTAATTTATATTCCAAATAGGCTGGTATTTCATCATGAAATGTTATAACATAATCTATTAATTTAGATATAATCTCTTCTTGTGTCAAACTATTCATCATTTAAATGTTTTTGTAATGTTATTAAATATATTACATTAAATATATTGTTATTGTTGTATAAAAAATTCAAAGTTTAGGCTTGTTTTAAAAAACAACAACCTACAATTCAATTAAATTCAAATCTTCAGCCTCCCTACACATCACCTCAATTCCCTCCAAATCAAAAACATCTTCCAAATTTAATTTTGCATAGTCGATGGAATTTCCACCATTGGAATTTGAAGAGTCCTGCGATTCATCATCAGCGCCACCGCCATTATCGTAAATTTTTTTAGAAATTATGGAGGGAGAATTTGTTCGGTTGGGTTTGTTTTTTGATGATGAAGAAGAGGTGGAAATGTTGGATGGTGTGATGGTATCATCTCCTTCTTCATTCCTTCGCACACTTTTGAATAGTTTGGACCAAAAGCGCATTTTTTTTTAAATTGTTTGACAAGTGAAAGGGCAAATCAGTGATGGTGAAAATGTTTGGAAATGATGGATTTCAACACGTTTTTTTTTATGATAATAACTTTGTGTGGCTGTGTGCAGTTAGTGTTGTACTTGACTGGACTTTCCATTGGAAGGTATTGATGACATATTTCAAGTTTCGAATAATAATTAAAAACTAAAGTAACTGTAGTATGTGGACCGAATAATGAGCTGTGATTCGTTGACAATAAGATGGCCCCAAAATAGTCAAATTAACTGTTTGAAAAAACACTTCTTTTTTGGTTTGGTTAAATTAAACTTCAATTCTTTTTTCTTCTCTTATTCGACATGAAACTAGTTTGTTAAAAAAGAAATATCTAAACAATAATATTATCAATACAAGTAGTGGTGAGAGGTGAAATTATCAAATTCAAATCATAGACAAACACTTGACCATCCAAACATTGAATAAATATTCTATCCAATACCTCATCATAGGTTGTTCCAATGATACATTGATTTTGTGTTTGAGCAGATGGCAGACAAGTAATTGGTATGAGTGAATAGCAATGTTCATTTAGAGGTGGTGGTGCTATGATTGTTGATGAATTTTCACTTGTTGAGTTCACTTCTGTTTTCACTTCTCCTGAATGAATTGAGTGAACCAATCTGAATAGTATAACCTTATTATCATTCTGTTTAGCAATGAGTACAAGATTATATTTTGGAATGACTCTACAAACTGAAACTCTATCCAATGATTCATAAATATATTGAGGTATGTGTGAGAGACCTCTGAATGGTTTGTAAAATATTTTAAATAGAACTGTATCGAGAGTATCATTAAGCAAATAAATATAATTCTGTGTTCCAATAATGAAAATATCAGAGCATGTTTCACTTGTTTTTTGAATGTGTTCATTGGAGCTCATTTCAAAGCTAGTTGAATCGGATGTAGAAGTAGTAGTTGAAGTATTAGTAGTAGAAGTAGATTTGATGGAATTAAATGTTTTGCATTGACATGTTCTCCCATCCAACACCATTCATCAAAATCATGTGAATATAAAATCTTTCTCTCCTCAACATCCCAAACTTTACAACTCTGATCAATACTACATGATAACAATCTACTTGTAGAATATAAATTCAAATGAGGTAAATTATGTTTGTGTCCAATTAATGTAAATGGTTCTTTTTGATCAAAATTAGGTAAATGAATCTTAATCACATGAGAATTATCACCCAAAACCCAAACACCCCCAAAATAAGAAATTGACCATGTTGATTCATTTCTATTTTGATATAAATTAATTAATTTTAATCCCAATTTCTCCAATCTTACCAAACTATTCGAAGAATTAGACTGTTCTGTTATTAAATTTCCTTCACTCTCTTCAATAATTGAAGTTTTAATTAACATTCTTGTCATTCCCTTCTCTCCAACAATGAAAATCTTATCATGATCCGATTTAGTCATGTAATTAATTTCCGATTCCAATTTATGAGTCATTAAATGTTTATATGATACATTCTCCCTAGCTGAATTAATATTTCCAACTTGTATTTGATAGATTATTAAATGTTTTTTACAACCAACAATCAAGTAGGGATAAAAGGCTTCGACACAATTTAATTTATATAAATTTAATTCATAATCAGAGGTTGTTAAATCAGTCATTAATCTAACAGTGGTCGTATCAAATGATGGTAATGCCATCCTCCCATTCAATAATGATGAGGAATTAAGCCCATTATGATGCTGATGAGGTTGTGTGGACATTTTTCAATTTTTTCAATTTTTAAAAAAAAAATAAATAAAAAATATTCGTGATGATGATCGGAATGGAAAATGATGAATTGGTTGTTGTGATTCAAAATAGATAAAGTTCAATTCTAGTTCAAAAATTTGGATCTAACTTAATAAAAGAACAATCATAATGAACTGTCTTTGCAATTTGAAAAAACATTTTTCCTTTAGACTGCTGTCAACAATCAACTTGTCAAAAAAAAATATCAAAATGCCTTCTGTTAAATTTCTTCTCGATCACCCAAAGTTTAGAAAAAGTGGATGGTTATACAAACAAGGAGGATCCTATCGTTCAGTTAAAAAACGTTTTGTTGTCCTCCTAGCCAATGAATTATTTTACTTTACAAAAGAAGATGATGAAGAACATAAAGGAAGTATTGTAATCAGAGGACCTGTTAATAGAAGTTCTCTTTCTGTTGAAGTTAAAGGTTTAAATTTAAAGAATTGTATTGAAATTCCATCAGATAAAAGAACTTACTTAATTTGGACTGATTCAGAATATTTAGCAGGAGAATGGACAGATGCATTAAATAATGCTTATAAGGAATTTTCATTAGGTCAATCATCTCATTCATCTAATCATCATCATCATCAGGTAGCAGATGATTTATCAGATGGAGGTGATGAATTTTCTGAAGATAATGCTCCATCATTTGATGAAAATAATTCCACTACTAAAATATCAAGTAAGCAAATGATTGAAAGGAGTATTGATAAGAAGGATAAATTTGAGAATACTAATTATACATTTGAGAATAATTGTTGCGTTCATCCAACTTTAATTTCAAATATTCACATTGTTGAACCGTTACAAACTTTGAATAGTTCAAATGCATCCATTTCAAGCATTTCTAAATATTTGGTTACTAAAAAGAGACAATTTGGAAACAAACTAACACTTGAAAATGCACTAGCACTTTCTAAAACTGGTGATTCTATTGTTTTAAGACCAGGTAAACATTACATTCCATCAACCTTAATTGTCAATCAATCAATTTATTTAATTGGAGAATCAGACAAACAAAACAAGTGTGAAGTGATCATTTTACAAGATTCCTCAACAACAAGTCAATATTTACCATGTATTTGTTTCAATGCTCCATTTACCTATTGTAAAAATATTGATTTTGTTCACTTTTCAGATTTGAATGTGAATAATAATCTCATTAATAATTCTACAGATATTTCTGCAACAAGTGCTGGAGTTTCACAATCCAATATTGCAAAAGGTAGAATTGAAGCTTCAGATAGTATTCTCTCGCCAAATGTATGTCAATTTCTAACTGGTCAGACAGTCATGTTAAATTGTACCTTCCAAGTGATGAGTGTCAGAGATAATGATAATGGTAATGTAGATCCAAATTCTCTATTCGATTGTTGTTGGGTCACTGGTTCAAAGACATGTGTACAATTTAGGAAGTGTAATTTTTTGGGAGGGAAGAATGGACTCGTCGGTTCTATTAATTCCAATATTTTAGTGGAAAATAATTGTCAATTTAAAGATCAATTGAATCATTCTATTACTCTATCTCAACATTCTAAATTGGAATGTAAAAATAGTAATTCAATTTATGGAAATATTTGTTTACTACATCAATCAAGTGCTGAAATATCCTCAAGTCATATTTATTCTCAATCCATAACTATTCTTGATGATTCATCTTTAAATATGCATCATAATACTTTATATTTACAAAATTTGAAATTTATTACATTTAATCATCAACAACAAACACAAAAGAACAAATTAATTCATAATACTTTCAAGATTGAATCTTCTAATATAGATGCACCATGTAAAATATCAATGTTAAATAATTCATGTCCAATTATTGATGATAATCAATTTGAAACAAAATGTAATGATTTATCTCTTATTTACATTTTCCAAAATAAGAATAATATGAAAAATATGTTGATGAATACTTCAACTAGTAATACATCTATTCTGGTAGTCTCTGACTATTTGAATTAAACATGGCAAATACTGATCCAATTACTGGAATGTTACTTAAATATGAAATAATAGTTGGAATAAAATTAAAGAATAAAACATAATATCCATATAATTCAAATAACGTTCCAATAATGGCATGACCATAAATTACAATTAAAAAACCAATAAAGAAACAAATAGTTCCTTTCAATCTGTTTTTAGATAATATAAAAGAATTAATACTAGGTCTAATTCCTATCAATAGTACAATTCCAAATACAAAGGAGATATTTCCAATAGCAATAAAGCCTCTATCAAAGAATAACAAAACTCCCAAAAGATTTGCCAAAACACCAATTAATACCAATCCGATACCAATTTTCTGAAAATCAGATAAATTAAATGGATTGATCGAAGTTGTAGTATCGCTATTATAGCTTGAGCGATTGTTATTATTGTTACCGTTACCACTGTATGAACGGAATGATGAAGAGAACATTTTTTTAAAATATTTAATAAAAATTTAAAAAAATTAATGAAAACACTGTTTGACGCACAATTGCCACGATTTTATCAGCAATTGTATCAGGTTCTGGATGATGTAATATTCACCTTGTAAATAGAACAAGGTGATTTTTTTGTTGATCGCCCGTGTTCTTTGTTCGTAGGACCGTGGGTATGTTAAAATTTTCATAGTAGATGTCTGTAGATCAGTAAGTTGTTCTCTATGTAAGGGACCATGGTCTAGTGGTATGATTCTCGCTTTGGGTGCGAGAGGCCGTGGGTTCGATTCCCACTGGTCCCCTTTCCTTTTATATCTTTGCCAACTTAATATTTATTTTGACCTCGATAAACATAAAATTATGAAGAAGATGAAAGAAACCCTAAGTCAAATTATACTCAGAGAATCAACATTGAAACCTCCTCCATAATGCAATCAGGAGGAAGCAGTGGTTAATCTCTATCAAGAAACATTATTGTAAGCACGAGATATTTTACACAGAACCTTATTTACAGTTAATTTTTCAACGAGTGGCTTTCATTGTTCCAATCTTTCTTTTAAAGTTCCTTAATCATCTTCATCACTGCCTCACACACCTAGCAAGCAATCAACTCATTTTGCTATCAAAGCCTGCTTCAGATGAGCAAAGGAACTTGTCCCCCTCAAATAGAAACACGATGTCGTTGTTGAACAAGTGCGTCAAGTAAATTCAGTGTTGCGGGTTTTCAAGATTTCTTTTTAAAAAAATTGCTCCAACTCTCGCAGAAGCATCATTGTAAATTAAAAGGGTGTTGTTTTTTGTATTGACCGAATAATTATCATCATAGTAATAATACAACACACATATAACAAAGATGATTAGATATTTTAAAGTAGTTTTGAGTGATTTTAAATGTACTGGATTACCTCCTGCAGATAGAAATGGTCTGTCAGACCCATATATCAAGGGTAACTTTGATAACTTTCGTACTTTTAAATCACCAACAAAGAAAAAGACATTGAATCCGCAGTGGGACGGTTTTACAGTTGAATTTGACTATCACACAAAATACGGATCTAAACTTCACTTGAAGAAGCTCTTGTTGGATGTTTATGATCACGATGTGCTCGGAAAGGATAACTTTTTGGGTTGTTGTGCCTTGGATTTATTCTCTCTTGCTTGTGGACCTACAAAACAAATAATTACCCTTCGTTCTCAACTCAATGCTAAGGATAATAACGGTACAATAGAATTTAATTGTGTGATGGAGGAAGTAACCAAGTCATTCATGATTTGTTTATCGAATGTAAAGGTTAATTTTAATCCTCCTTTGGAAGAACCTAAAAATTTGAGGTGTATTGTATTAGCAGAGGATATCAATGCTCCAGAGACTAATACATTAACCTGTAGAGCAGTACAATCAGAAGCTGTTTGGTCACAATTTGCCAATTTGGAACTTAAAAATGTTTCTCTCAAAACCATCTTGGATGACAGAATCATTATTAAGATTAAACAAGAAAAGACTGGTATTGACCCAACTATTGCTCGTATTAATATTGATTTGTCAAAGATTTTAGATAAATTTTTGGATGAAAATAGAACCATGTCAGCTGGAGATGGTCTCACTGAAGATATGCTTCCAGTAAAGATTACTGGTCTCAAAGTTGAATATAAGAATGCAGACAATATGTCATTCAAGAAATCTCCAAAGAAATCAGGTGGATTTGGTCTTAAGAGTTCAACTCAGGAATATGATGATGAATTGTTAGGAAATCCTAGTAACAGTATCAAGACTGCTTTTGATAGATCTTTAGGTGTTGCTGAATTGGAAATTGGATTTATTGGTATTCCAATGTATGCCCAAATGGTTAGTGGTTCTGCTAAGGATAAGATTGTAACTGGTACTCCCCTTCTTGAAAACTTGCCAGTGCCTTCTGGTTTTGTTCCATCTGCCAATAGAGATGAAAAGAGAAAGCTTTCATCTTCTCCAACTAGTACAACTAGTACAGAGAATGGAAGTGGATCAAGAAGAGCTTCAGTTGCTCTCGAACCTCAAACTTTACCAACAACTGCAGGTCTACCATACGGTTGGGAAAAGAAGGTTGATAAGAGAACAAATAAGGAATACTATGTTGATCACAATACAAGAACTACTCATTGGCATTTCCCAACCAGTGATTCAAAGTCTCAATTGGATGAAGAAGAACACTCTGAAATGGAAGAAGTTGAAATGTCTATCAAACCAGTCCAACAAGAAAGACGTCAATCTGTACAAAGTGGTAATTCTCAAGTTTATCAAATCCCTGTATCCCCAAGCCAAAAGCAAACATATCAAACTGTACCTCAAAATGTAGTACCACAAGTAATGCCACAACAAACTTATCCTCAAAACTATCCACAACAATCTCCACAATCACCACAAAACTATCCTCAAAATCAACCATACATTCCTCAAAATGTTCCACAACAACAAGCTTATCAAACCATGCCTCAAGTCATGCCACAACAACCTTCCTTACCAACAACACCTGGTTTACCATATGGTTGGGAAGAAAGAGTAGATCCTGGTTCTGGTCGTGCTTATTATTTAAATCATACTACTAAGAGCACTCAATGGGAAAGACCAGGTCAACCAACAGTTAATAATACTCAACAATCTCTTATTCAAGGTTTCAATAATCTTCGTGTCTCCCCACAAAACCCACAAACCTACCAAACAAATCCACAAGCTTATCAAACAAGTCCACAACAACAACAACAAGCCTATCCAACCATGTCTCAATATCCGACAAATCCTCAACCACAAACTTACCAAACCATGCCTCAACAGAAACAACCACTTCCAAATGGTTGGGAAGAGAGAGTTGATCCAAGCTCTGGTCGTTCTTACTATCTTAACCATTTTACAAAGACAACACAATGGGATAGACCAACTTATTAAATACCACCAATAAAATCTATTGTTAATAATATTATTTGAAGAGTTTATTCTAAAGGTGAAATTGGACTAGTGACATAAACTAAAAAGTCACAATCTTTCAAACTTCCAGAACAGTAAGTTGCTGCAAAGTAAGCACCTTTTGGAGTTGGAGGAGAAAATGATAAATTGTTCTTTGAAATTTCAAATCCATAAATGAAATGAGATCTGACAGCATCTAAAAGTTTAGAAGCAACACCACCTCTTCTGTGTTCTTCCTTAACCCAAATTCTATTTACACCACAATAAACATTTACACTCCTCTTATCATCCCATGAAAGAATTGATTTCTTGTCATCATATGCTGAATCAATACTTGTAGTTGACAAGATGACATCCAAATTATTTGATGGACAATTTTCATCTTCCACAAATGAATTAGAAAGAGTACTTTCATTCAAATCCTTCTTTTCCACAAATGAAGGATGAGCTTTACTAACTCTCTCTACAACTACACAACCCATAATTTCATCATTTTCTGTATTAATATATAAAAACATGGTATGAGTAGATATTGAAAATGGTAATGTACATTGAAGTGAACTTGTATCAATAAATTCAACAATTTGTTCTGCCTTCTTATGAAGAGCCTTAGGTGATTGAGCATTAATTACAATAATCTTATTTGGATAATCATCTTCCTTCACATTATCCTAATATTATAATATAATATCATAATAATGAATCAATCAATAAAGATCAATACTATTCAAATCATTGTAAAAACATACTTTTGATGTAACTTTGTATTTCATCAACTTTTTAAAAGATTGACAAAATTTGTTATGAACCTTTTCATCTTGAAAATCACCATTCATATAAACCATACCACATGATTTACAACGATTACTGGTAAAACTCTTCTGTCCACAATCCATTACTAATTGTTCATACTTTTTCATCTTTTTAGGTTTACTAATTTTGGAGGAGGAAGGTGCAGAGAGTATTTCATGGAGAGGATCAGTGCACTTTGGTGCAGCACTCTTGGAGATGGTAAGCTTCTTACCTGTACCAAACGAAAGAGTAGCTTGTTTCATATTGAGAGAAGCAGCAGTTGTTGCTTTTTTTTTAATTTGAAAATGTAACGGATAGAAATTTGGATCCACCAAAACTGTCATCAAACGCCTTGCCAATATTTATGTGGTATTGATAATAAAACTTATTCATCGGAACCAATCAAATCAAATTCCATTATTTTCATCCTTCATATATGAATTTAATATAGCTTGTTTTAATTTTACTTGAAATGTTAGCTCCATCAAATCAAGCCTTCATTCAAATTGTTCAATTTCTTTGATGAAATTAAAAACAAAGCTTGGAAGAAAAATTTCCAGCAGTACGATAAAAAAAATGAAGTCACAATCAGCAGCACAAAAATTGAAAGCCAAAATCAACAAGGCTAAAGAAGAGAAGAGCAACAAGCAACAAGAACAACAAGAAAAACCTGCTATTGTTGCTCCTCCTAAAAAATCAACACCACCTGTTGTTGAAAAGGCTAAACAACAAGCTAAAAAATCAAAGCAAGAAAGTCCCGAACAAGATGTAAAGGTTGCTAAAACTCTTGTTGAAAATAATACAAATGATAGCCCAATTCGTGAAGTAATGTTTGAAGTTTGTACAGGTTCATATGATTCTAGATTTGTCGGATTTTGTTATAGATATTTTACTAGTAATGATCCAAAATTCGAAACAGTACTTGAATTACCACAAGCACAATTAATTAAATTCTCTGAACAACAAAAATTGAAGGAACAACCATTAATTACAACAACATTCGCAACAAAACCACACGCAGGAAGTATCAATCAATTATTATCAACAAAGAAATATGTTATTACAACAGGTTATGATGAATTGGCTTTAGTTTATGATTTAGTTACAAGAAGAGAATTGAGATCTATACCTTTACAACAAGGAAATATTCTTGATGTTGGATCATTGAAGGATCAATATACAGCTTTTGCTACTGCTAATGGTGTCATTTCTTTACACGCAGGAGCTAAATATTCATTCACACCAATTTGGGAAAAGGTAGCTCATAAGGGACCAGTTGCTAGTATTGCAATTCATCCTTCTGGTCGTTTACTTCTTTCAGTTGGTCAAAATGATAACAAATTGAGAGTGTGGGATATGATTAAGGGTAGTTTAGCTTATACAGTCAACTTGGGTAAACACAGTGCTGAAAGAGTTAGATTTTCATCAGCAGGTAATCATTTCTTTATTCATTACAGAGAAAAGGTTGTTATACATGATACTGAATCATTAGAAGTTATTTATACACTTGCTCACGAATCAAATGTTACATATTCAATTTATGTCGGTAATGATTATGTTGCCACTGGTACACAAGATGGTAAAATCACTATATGGGATTTGGAAAATGGTGAATGTTTACAAGTTTTGGATTTGCACGAAACTAGAATCAAATCTTTGGATGTTAAGGAAGTTAACGTTGGTGAATATTGTCTTTGTGCTGTTTCATCTGATGGTGGTTTATCATTGTGGCGTTTATATTTGTTGGATGAAGAAGTTCCTCCTGCTTTATTATTCTATGAAGTATTTAATGTAAGATTGACAAGTTGTTGTTTGTGGACTCACTTTGCTTCTGAACATCAACAATTTATGAAAGAACGTAAACTTGCCTTACAAAAGAAACTTGGAGTTGAAGGTGACATGCAAGAAGATGAGATGATTGAAGATTCAGATTCAGATGATGATTATGAATATGTTATGGAAGGAGGTGAAGAAGAAGGTGATGAAATGCAAGATGATGAATAAACCAATTCCAATAATCATTTTTACTATTTACAATAATTTAATTTTTAAAAAATTCAGGATGTAAATCCTTATTAGGATAGAAAAATGGCGTTATCTTGAGTTTCTTTCCTTCAAATTCCTTCTCATGAAAAAAAGCTACTTGTTTTCTCAAATTTTTAGAAAATGTTTTAAATTGAACAACAGCATATCGGGTTTGTGTATTTTGTACCATTGTAATTCCATTAATTTGTAAATGTAAATTATTACTCGTCATGACAAAAAATTCCTCAAGTTTACTCCTCATCACTTGATCCTCTACAGAGAAATTTTCGGGAAGTCCCTTCACCACAAAACTACACGGTGCTCGAAAAGTCTTTACAATTGCTCTAACATTTGGTGGCATTTTTTTTTACTTTTTTTAGGCTTTTTTAAAACATGGCCAATTTTTTCAATGTTTTAATTTACTCAACCATAGATGAAGAGGAATTAAGGATGCAATTAAGAATTACAGATTTTTGTAACAGATAGATTCAATTTCAAAATGGAGTCATAAAATGGATCTTGGAACATTGTTCTTCTTTCACCAATCAAAAAAATGTCATCATCATCAGCCACTTCTTCTTCATCAACATCATCGGAAAAACAATATTTGTGTGATGCAACCAAGTATTCTAAATTCTTCTTCTTCTGGAATGAAGAAACCTGTTTCTCTCAATGGGTCAAAGCACCAATGAAAGTAAATGATCAAACCTTTTCAAATTGTGAACAATTCATGATGTATCAAAAGGCTTTATTATTCAATGATCAAGAAATTGCCAAGCGAATTTTACAATCCACAAATCCAAAGAATACAAAAGCCTTGGGAAGAAAAGTTTCAAACTTTAATGAAAAGATTTGGGAAGATAATAAGGTGAGAATTGTTTATGAGGGAAATTATGCAAAATTCGCTCAAAATGATGATTTGAGAAAGGATTTATTATCGAGACCTGATGTTGAATATGTTGAGGCAAGTCCATATGATAAGATTTGGGGAATTGGATTGGAAGAGAAGGATCCTAGAGCAAAACAAAGAAATGAATGGCAAGGTCAGAATCTTTTGGGAAGAATTATTACCCAAGTTAGAGATGATTTGATGATGGCTGAAATGAATAATTAAAATTTTAAAACTTGTTGTTACTCAGTTATTAATATTATTAGAAATTTCATCAATTCATGACATTGGAAAGGTTTAGTCCAATAATGATAAGCTCACCTGGGTTTAGTCCACATTCAGTATTGGCAATTTAAAGTCTTATGTTGAACAAAGACCAAATTAATAAACTCCTCCTAATAGCCATCCAATCATCATCATGTACAATTTAATTCTCTCTTTCCATCCCAACCAATGGAAAATTCAATATTCCAACCACACCACACCCCAAACTAACAAATCTTCATCATCAAGAACACAAAGAATATCGGAATCATTAAATATGAAGGATCCTTTCTTGTTCTTCACCAATGCACTCTCATTCTAAATAAAAAGGAAGAACAAGAAATCAACTACTTGGAACAAACTAACTTTAGCCAACCAACATTTTAATTCTTTAGTTCCAATCACACCCAACAACACACAGGTTCATCATCTATTGAATACCGCTATCACAAGAAGAAAAGCAAAGGCTTGTTTTGTCTTTCAAAAATATTTTAAAAAACTTTACAAAAAAACGTTTTTCCGTTAGCTAGCTAATTGGCGCCAAAGTCAATCACTCAACCACCAAGGTCTTCATCTATCGTCCAATCAATTGTCATAAAAAAAACCGAAACTTTTTGCCTTGTCAAAACCCTTTGAAAACATCATTTTAACTGTCATTTATTATTATTACCTGACAGTTAATTAGAGTTGTGAAGAATCTAGAAGCGATATTCTTTCTTCATATCAACCATCAATCTATTGAATATCATCACCCGATATAATATTATTTATTAATTATTCATCATCATTCATCAAATAGATTGTTATTCATCATCATCATCATAATACTACAGCATATAGCAATAATAATATTATTCTTCTACTTCTACTTCATTGAATATTGGTCATTAACTTGTTCTCAATAGTATAAATAAAACTAAAGTATAAAAAACTAAAAGGATGACACTACCAAATAGATTAGGATACAATTCTAAACAACATGCTTTACAGAAGAGATATCTTCAACAACAACAGCAACAACAAACACTTGTTGCTGCTCATCAATTTGCTGCTGATCCAAATTATGCAGCACTTTCTCAACAACAATTAAGTTATGGAACTCAAATGCAAGCTAATCAATATGGAGCAGCATTTAATAGTCAACCACATTATCAAGCACAACAATTACAAATGTTTAATAATCAAGCAGCTGCTGGTATGATGGCAAATCAAGGAATGATGCAAACTCAAATGATGTCTCCACAAATGTCACCTGCCATGTCTCAAACAAATCAAATGATGCCTTCTCCTGCTCCAAAGAAATCTAAAAAGAGAAAGAGTCAAGCAGCTAGTTCAAACGATGTCAGTCAACAAACTTTTTCAACTCCAGAAATTCAAAAAAAGAAGAAACCTAAAAAGAAAACCGAAACTCCAGAAAATGAAGAAAGTTCAGCAAATATTTCTTCAACTCCAACACCACCTTCCATTCAATTTGGTAATTCAGGTATAATCAAATCACCTAAAGTAATTAAGGAAGAAATTACTCAAATTAATGAAGTTTTTGAAAAGGCAATTGTTTCTCTAATTGACAGATTTAAAAATGTCAAAATTAGAGAAAAGACACATTTATTTGCCATTCAACCATCTTTATTAACTTATAAGGAAGAAGAAAAGTATAAACCTAAGGAAGAAGAAATTATTACAACATTTCCTTCAAATAATGCAACATCTAGTCAGGATGGAGGTACTGAAGAAGGATCAGCTTCTACTTCAGTTGCTCCACAACAATCTCTTTTCAATGCAACTCAACAAGTCAAGCTAATTCAAAATTATCCAGTATTTTCTGTAAATAGACAAAATGATGTATCATTGATTGATAATTCACAATCAACATTGCAAGAAGAAGAAAAGAGTAGAAGAAGATTATTCTACAAGGATGGTCAATCAGAATATTTAACCTCAGAAGATGTAATTGATGAAATTGTTCGTGATACTGATTGTTACTTTAAGAGAGAAATGTTAATTCATAATGGATTGAGTGAAACTCAGAATAATATCATTTCATTCCTTCACGCTAGAACTATTCAATTCATTGAAAATAATAGATCAAAATTTGAGAAATTCCTTTCAAGTGCTGATAATGTAACTCAATTGACCATGTTTTTGAATCAACATGAAGAATTCCAACCACTCATGCATCAATTACGTTCTGTTATTGAACATGCAGGTCATATCTTTGAAGAAAGGACAAGAGAAGAAGCATCTTCAATTATTTTACAATCAGGTTCAACAGCTGATGTTACAGATGAAGCAATTGATCAATTCCAATCAACACAAGATGATATGAATCAAGACAAGAATGTAGCTCTCATTGAAATGACACCTAGAGATATTTTACTTGTTTTCCTTGGTAAAGATGCAAATAGTGAAAGACATGAAGACGTTACAACATTCTTGGACAGATTCAAAGAACTTCAAAAGCAATACAGAGTAGAGTGTAGTTATATTGATGATGCCTTAAAGAAATGGCAAGAAACTTTTGAGAGAGTGTTAAATAATCAATCATCTTTCAGAGTTGTTAGTTTTGAGGAAAAACACAGATGTAAGAAATCACTTGAAGCTCGTTTTGGTTTAATGAAACAACTCTTGAAGGACAAGTATCTCACAAAGATTTTAAGTACACAAGAAAATACATTGATGAGATCAAAGAGAAGAGGCAACCTTCCAAGACATGCAACCAATGTTTTGAAATCATGGTTATACTCTCACTTCCTTCATCCATATCCAACTGAAAGCGAAAAGAAAGATTTGTGTATGGAAACTGGTCTCACTCTCACTCAAGTTAACAATTGGTTCATTAATCAACGTGTGAGAACTTGGAGACCAATGTTAGAATCCATGTTAGATGGTGATCAAAAGGATAAGGCAACACCATCCTCCTCCAAACCTCAAGAAGGAAAGAAGAGAGGAAAGAGGAATCAACAATCACCAGTTCAGCAACAACCAATTCAACAACAAATTCAACAACAGGTTCAACCCCAAATGATGAATCCAAATTTAATGGGAATTCCAGATTCGATGGGATCTCCAAATTATGCCTATGCCAATTGGTCTTCAAATCAATATGGTGATCCAAACTTTCCATTTTTCCCTGGTGATGTAACAGATGAACAGCAATAATTGTAAATAAATTTATTAAACATTTAGGTAAACATTACAAATCATAATCCAAACAGCTTGAATATCTTCAGGATATGTGAAAACTTTGACTCGTAACCCAAACCTCACTCGGTCACCAATACATTCTAAAATGGATTTAAAGTTCTTATGTCTTTGACATGTATTGATAATTCGCTTAGCAGATGTATGGTTGACTTGGATTGGAAATGCTCTAAAAGTATGTTTTGGAGGAATTATATTCTTAATGACCTCATTGAATTCGTTCATTAATGTGTTACTTGATGAATTGCTAACATGTGAAATTTCGTATGCCTGCAATGAGGTTGAAAGAACATAACTCAAATTATCATCCCATGATGTATTTAATCCAAGATCTTTTCTCAAATCTCCTATTGCTTTTTTGAGGGTAACTTCCAAATCTTTTTCAAGTTGTGTTGAGTTCATTCTTGGAGGGATGAACGTCACCGAGTCGAGCTTCTTTACCAGTGATAATTTCATTTGACTCATACTCTTCCACAATGTTTCATTTTCCAAATCAAAGGCACAATCACTCACGTTATCAGTCTTTTGAATATTTGCATAATAGCTGTTGTGGTTGAAAACACAACCAACGGTAAGTAATTTGTGTTTGTCAGAATGATGTTCGAATCTCTGCCCTGTAATACTATTCCAGAATGTAATTTCATTGTCTTTTGATCTTGTCATGACCCAAATTTTGGCTCCTTTTTCATCTGTACCAACACAAACATATGCATCCAAACTGAACCCTAAAAATAAGGAACACAATAACAAGGCATGATTTTCCACATCTCCTTTTTTCTTTGCCAAGAAAGCATGAGGACTCCACCAAATTTCCTTACTATGGAAGTTTAGAATGAATCAGGCATTAAAAACTTACTTTGATGTTGCTCCAACAGCACTGTCACTATGTTCATACGCGAACAGAGAGACAAATCTAGCAGCCTCAGAAGGAGAATTTATCATTCTGTCCGCTCTTAGTGGCATTAAAAAGCTAACAACAGGAATGCTGCTTCCGTCCTCTGTCTCTGCGTAGAGTTTCACAATTCTTCTCTTATGAGAATCTCTAATCTGACTGAATTCTTCAAACCATTGTTTGCAATACATATAAAACTCTCTTTCTGCTTGTAGATCTCTATTTCTTTCGATACTCAATTGTTGAGATATTTCGTTGGCCGTCACAAAAGAGTTTGGTCTAGGAAGTAATTCCAATCTGATTTCCAAAATACCTTTTGAAACTTTTGATTCTATTCCAGATCCACCTCCTAATTCTATTGTCATTAAAATTACTCCTTTCTTTAAAACTCTTCTCCATTCTAGTCTGTGACCACCAATGTATTTTGTTCTTCCTTCACTGTCCACTGAAAGAATAATGATATCAATAGGAGTGCTAATTTGAAGAAGGGCTCCAACACCATCATCAGCATCCTCTTGTTGATCTGTGAATACATTTCTAATGTTTTCAATTTCCAAATCTATTATAAAATCTTCCTCAAAAATTGGATTGCAACAACAAGACACAGGTTGTGATACAAATCGTTGATCCTTATAATTTAAAAAGCAAATCATCTTTTCATCAGTTTTTACATTATCATCATATTCCATGAAAGCATTTCCTCCTAGTAATCTCATATGTAAGATTTTGTTTTTCTTTAAATCTTTCTTTGCGTTGAGTGCAACTGTTGAATCCTTATTAAATACTGAAGTTTTGTTTGTATGTGAATGCAGAGATTTGATAATTTCCTCAACAACTCCTCTTTCCTTAAGTGATTGAAGAACCTTTTAATACAAATCGTCACCACAATGAAGAAATAAATAACAGCAATTATTGTATGAAACCTACATGCTCTTCAGAGTGCACATCATCCGATCGAGTCGGATCCAAATTCAAGTAATCCGAGAGAATTTCTCTTATCTGATTGTATACATCTTTGGTTCTTAATTGTTGGTCAATGATTCTTCTCAAGTCTTTGATTTGTTCTGGTGAGACTTGTTTAAACATTTTTTTGTACTTGTTTTGGCGCCAAACAATTCCACTCAAATACAACATCTAGCTTTGATTTCATCATCAGTATACAATTAATTATTATTTAATTGCAATTTGAACTTAAGTTTAGATTAGGAAACTTCAAATCATAAAGAAATAATCGCACCCAGTATTCGGATCATAACCATCCAATTTTTCAAATCATGTTTTTTATTGTTTTGTACCACGCCAAGTTTCTACTATTTTAGTATGATTGTGGATGGTAAAGCATTAGGAAAGTGGACGTACTTTTATTTAACCCCTCCTTCAGCTATCCAGTGCCCATGTAACTTCTCAAATCTATGATACATTCCATAGAGCTTTTTTAAATCTCACACTCAACCCTTTTACAAAAAACATTTTGAAAAAAAAACAGTATGAATAGTCGTTTCTTATTAACTATTGTTTTATTGAGTGTCTTTTTATTGGCATGTGGTATTAACCAAACACATGCAAGAAAGCTCCCAAGAGATTCACTTGTTTACTATGAAAAAGTTGGTAATCAACACAGAGATTCAGTCATTCAAAGATTGCGTCAATTGTTCAAGGAATTATCTGATCAACAACAACAAATTGAATTGTTAGCTGATAGTCAATCTGATGATGATTTCCCATGTCCATCTCCATATGTTAGAAAAGATGAAGATGTTAATGGTTTTGTTGCCAAACTTCAATCTATCAAGTGTTTAGATGACAAGTTGGTTGAATTTGATACTTATATCAAATCATCTGCTATTTTGTTTACTGTTAGTCAATCTATGAAGATTATTGAACAATTTAGCAAGATTTTGTTTGTTAAGAAGCATGTCACTACTCAATTGATTAGTCGCTTGTCAACTCTTACTGGAAGTGAAGCAGTTACTCTCTTGAAGACTGCATCTGATTCTACATTGGAAAGACTCAAGTTATTGGATAATGTTAAGACTAACATTATTGATATTCAAACATCCAAGGCAACTATTGTTTCTTCTCTCTTTGACGCTGAAACCAAGACTAAAGCAACCGAAAGTTTGGATCAAGTCAAGTATCACGATTGTGTTTTCGGTTCTATCAGCGGTGATAATATCTTGTTCACTATCGATACTAGTCCTTCCATGGATTACAAGATTGCTCCAGATTCCAAATTCTCTCGTTTGGATTTCGTCAAGAAACATTTCGAATTGGTTTTGAGAAAGTTGACTCCAAACCAAAAGTTCAACATTGACCTTTTCAATAAGGATGCTAAATTGTTATATTCTGAATTCATTCAAGCAACTCCTGAAAACATTGAAAAAGCAGTTCAATATGTCAAGAATTCCATCCAGACTAGTTCTTATACTAATTTGGAAGCTGCTATGCGTTCATCCTTCTCTGCATTCCAATCCAAAGATTCTGGATCTAAAGTCGTCTACTTGTTGAGTGATGGTGTCCCAACTGCTGGTGAACAAAATCCACAAGCTTTGATTAGAATCATTGATCAATTATCTCACTATTCCAATGTTAAAGTCAACTCAATTTCTTTCAATATGGGTAATGAATATAATAATAAGCAATATCAAGAAACTGACTTGGATAAGAATAATGCTGCTTTGATTTTGAGTAAGGTTGCTGAAGTCACTGGTGGTGTTTTCAAGCGTATTCAACAACTTTAAACATTATGTGGAATAGATTAAGTAGATTGTGAAAATAAAGCAATTTAGTATTTACCACAACTTGAATGTTAATGTGTACACATGCGATTGTTCGTAATCCTATCTGTTTTAAATTTGTTATAGTTTACCATGCACATGGAATAAACATAGTGTCCTTTCTTCTGGTTTTGGACCACTATATAAAAATAATCCTCAACGTTTCCAATAACTTGTGTTTTGTTTCCAATCTTTTCCTTAATATTATCTTTAAGGGTATCTTCTAAAAAATACTTGATTGACCAATCGATATCTGAGTATCTCCACGAATCGAAAACATTTGTAAAGCTTAAATATTCCCAGTAATCTGTTGCACTCAAATCATCAATATAATTAATAAGTCCATTTAAATAATTGTAATAGTAGAAACTTGTTGAGAGTTTAAACTTCCTTCCTTGATCCATAAAAGTAACCTTATTTTGTAATTCACCAATTGTTACAAAATAGGTTGAACATGGATTACTAATTCTTCTCACATCAATTTCCAACATGCCATCATATCCAATTCTTTTAGAAACTTTCCACATGATCGAGTAGGGATTATTATTTGTAATAAATTCCTCATTCTTCTTTGCTATTAAAACATAGAAAGTATCAATAAATAATTTACACTCAAAACCTGGATCCATATTTTCATAACACAATTTCAATTCATAGATTGAAAAGTTGCAATACTTTTCAGAATCAATCAGTGCTAGACCTTCTTTCATTAATGGTTTTGTAATATTTGTAATGTTTGCTGCAATCACTCTACTACCAATTTTCCAATTATTGAAATGAATTGGAATTATTGGATAATTTCCATTCTTTGGAATGTTGTTATTATTGACATTTCCATCAAAAACAAATGAAATACGATAATTATCTTCAAGTAATAATGAAACATAATCTCTAGTATTGAAAAGCAAGACATCCAAAGTGTTGCAATCCCAATCACAAGCTGTTATATAATGAGAGAGCCATAGTGGTAAAGGATCTTGTAAATAGGTGCAATCTTCAAAACACTGTATGTCATCTTTCAAGTTATCAATGAATAGAAATTTCTTTACAATTCCATCATTATTAGGTAATTTACCAAGTAAATAGAGTGAATAAATATAGCATTCACTGGTAGAATCTATTCTTAATTTGGATTTGTAATATTGTTGCATTTGTGAATGAAATTTAAATTGTAATTGGTCAACTACAATTTTAGATTCAAAAACATGTTTACAAAATTCAATTCCACTCACAAGCGACACTAATGTCATTACATTCTTTGTATTATCTACACAAACCATGAAAGGATAATAAACAGCAAATTGAACAGATGTTTGATTAATAAAATTATTCGAATCTAATTTGAAATTCAACTTATTGGAAATATAAAATTGCTTAATTGATCCCATTGCCTCTCTTTGATAAGGAATAAACTCACATTCCTTATTGAGTGTAATTAATTTTCTTTTTCTATTATTTTTCTTTTTACATTCCTTTTTTAAAAGTTGATGAAATAAATTTCCATTTTTAGAATCATCACGAATAAAATCCAATTTAATTTCATCAAATTGAGAATAAATTGAATCGTCGGACCCGAATAATTCTCTATATTGTTCATTCAAGTTTAATCTTCCACTTGTCGAATTTAAATAACAAATTTTAATTAATGCATGATGAAATGATGAAGTTGATGAAAAGAAAGTTGAATTCCAATAATTGCATACAAGCGAACACGATTTAAAAAGTGTGCTGACATCCAAGTGAGAAAATATGATCAATAACACATAGGGATCATCAATGTGTGAAATTGATATGGTCAATTTGTGCATTTTTTTGAAATAGTTTTTATCTAGATGGTATTCGAAGAAATTATAAGATAATGCAGTTCATACGAATCCAATTGATATTTCAATCCACATTGTTACTTCTTTATTTATCTAATCAAAAGCAAACTCATAACAAAACCAACAGTAATATAAATAATCATTACTAAGGAGAAAGTAGATGAAGATTCACTTTCCTTTCTATCCATATAATCATAATAATTGGATGGAAGTGGAGTAATGTAATCTGGAATTTTTCCAATCATTTCAACAGTCTTACTACATGAGCTAGGTGCAAAAAAGTCAACCTTCATAATCTTGGCGTCATTATGTCTACACATATCATCCAATCCAGCTGGTCTTGGAGATTTAAAGTTGGTTTTGGCAAATAATATACTACTCTTATCTCCTTGTTTGAAATTGTAATACTTTTCGTATCCAGTTCCAGACATAACCAATGGTCTTTCAAAGACAATATTAATATTGGATGAGGTATTAGTGGTTCTCGAATATCCTGCTCCTTTGAGTTGAGGAACAAGCTTATCAGGAATAGCATCGGAACCAGCAATGTATTCATGGAAGTAATGATTATAGTAGACATCTCTGTATCCAACATAGATTAAGCTGTTTAGCATTTTGGAATTATCTACACCTCCATCAACTGGAACTGGATCTAAATACTCATATCCCTATTTAATAATAGTAATATTTAAATATTAAAATTGAAGAAATTAATAATCTAAATAATTAATTATAAACGTACACTTCTGAATCCGATGCCAGCCCACCCATTAGCAGCATCAGTAAAAACAGCTCTTCCATCTATCCATCATTTAATAATAATATATTAATTTCCAATCTTTAAATACCATCAAATATTAAACCTACAAATCTTTGAATCCTTAATCGTCCAGAAGAAGTAATTATTATTGTACTCCACACAATTCTCATACACAACATCAGCATCAACAAACAAAATACTTCCGAGCAGGAGGACTATCACCACAGCTGCAAATCCCAATCTAAGGCTCATCATCAACAGCTAAGATTTTTTCTAAATAAAAGAACAATATTTTCAGAGGGGAAATCAAGATAAGGTGATCAGTCTGATCTTACGGCGTTTTGAAACGCCCTTAAACATAACTAACTGTTGTATCGGAGGTTTTTGAGAAGATCCTCGAAATGAAATATTTCTTCAGGTGGTTATGATCTGACATCTAATCCATTATAATAGATAATACTTGTACGGTAACAATTCCATTAAACCTGATATTGTTTCTAATAATTTTTCAGTTTGTTGAAGTTCGAATAAACTTATCCTTTAGAGGAAAACAAACACTCAAATTCCGAGCCAATGAGTAGCCCACAAATAGATGAATCTTATAAATGTTGTGAAATATTCACACAACCCATTCGATATCTCAACATCAGTAATGTAACATTCTTTGAAGATTCCTCCAAATTGACAACTTTTTTTGCATGAAACACCTTCAACCTCGCAGGGATCTAGCCGCAAACTGGATTTGGCGCGGTTTTGAAAACCAATTAAAATCCTCCTCGAAAAAATGTCCAAAAAGCAAAGAATGGATCCACAAGGTTATCTCTTGGCCACTGATGAAATATCCGTTGTCCTATCATTCATCAATGATCACAAGACATTAAATAATTTATCATTGTGTAACAAGGCCATACACAGTCAAATCGATCACATTGTGAATGGTTTGGTAGAAAGTCCACAGAAATTAATAGATTTTTGGAGAAGTAAATCGATTGATCCTGTTCTTGCATTCACCTATTTGAAGGAGACAAAAATCAAGTTACCATCCTATTCAGAAACTTTATTGAAATCATGCAATATGCATGTTGATTTGTTTTACAAAGCTTTCAAGTAAGTAGTTGTAGTATTGTTAATCATTATTTCACACATTTTAAAACCAAAACCTACTAAAATCATGATAATGAAACAGTCGTTGTCCAGGAGGAAATGTTGATGCATTTATTCTAATGTGGAGACTTTTATTCACACATGATGAAGGACTCAAAGTTTGGCGTTGTTCTGCAAGAAACTGGGATGGCTCTTATTATGCATATAATCCATTTTGGAGTGAAGAAAAGAAGCCAAATTGGCCACAACTTTTGAAATGTATTATGAAGCAATCCATCAAGCATAAATCAGTTCTTTTCACCGAATTGATTCCTGAATTTGATAGTGATGAGTATGATACTGATTGGGCTCAAGTTCAAGCTCAAGTTTTTGTTAATAATGCCAAATTACTTGATTTTAAAAAGAAACTTGTAACAAACAAGAAGGAAAATACTAATCCAATCAAGACAGCTAAGAAATCTAAAAAGTCTAAAAAATCTGATACACCAACCTTAATTGACCACTCCAATCCATTAACTCTTCTAGATGAAATCAAAGAATTTTGTCAAGTCAAACTTCCTGTAAATGAATCAGATGATTTTGAAGATGAGTATGGATCCATGTCAAAATCTGGAAAGGAGTTCAGAAGAGGTGCAAAATCAACTAGTCTTGCTGAAAATGATGGTGATTGTGATGACGATTATCATGATGTTTTTGCATCTCATTTGGAAAATATTATTGAGAGAATTAAAAAGATTGAACCAGTTCCACCTAAACAAGTATTGAATCAAGATGATGATGATCTAATGATAATGAAGACAATGATGAAGAACAAGATGAAGAGGAAGAGGATGAGGATGAATAAATCATCTTGAATTTTACTGTATTTCCAATAAATACAAATTCAAACAACATTGATCTTGCAACAATTAAGTGGTTGTCAATTTTCTTTCAAGTTATTATTAAAAAAATGAATAAATTGCGTTCTGTTGTGTCAAAGAAGAAACAACGTTACCAAAAGGAAGGTTTTGACCTCGACTTGACGTACATTAGTGATCGTGTCATTAGGTAAGTTTCTACTCGAAAGACAATAGTTTCGAATAAAGAATAGTATGGGTTTCCCTTCAACAGGTGCAGAAAGTTTGTACAGAAATCCTTTGGAAGAAGTAAAATCCTTTTTCCAGTCCAAACACGACGACCACTACAAGATTTATAATTTGTGTTCGGAGAAGAATTATGATCCTAGTGTATTTTCGAATCGTGTTGCTAGGTAAGTTTCGAATAGAATAATAATAGTAACACCTTTTATAGATTCCCATTTGATGACCACAATGCTCCACATTTTTCATTAATTTTGGATTTTTGTGAAGGTGAGTTTAAAGTTTCGAATTGTTTGATGGAATTGTATAGATGCTTGTCGTTACTTGATGGAAGATAAACAAAATACTCTTGCTGTTCACTGTAAAGGTAAGTCTAAATTGCTATGAATTCATTCCATTGACATGTGACTTTAGCCGGCAAAGGAAGAACTGTATGTTTTTCTAATAGTATTTGAAAATTAATGTTTTAACAACAAAAAATATCCATTAACAATTATCATCAACACACAACCGATATTTCATCATCAATCATACCAATTATGTCATTGCACAAATTTCTCTCTCAAATAGGGTACTATGGTTTCATCTTTGATGATTTATACTGGTTTCTGCTCAACTGCATCCGAAGCTATGGAATTATTTGGTAGAATCAGATGTAATGATTCTAAAGGTGTGACTATTCCTTCTCAGAAGAGGTAAGTTTTGATGCATTTTTCTTCATTTACTAAAGATTTTCAATGTTAATCATTCGATCATTGTGAAATCTCTGAAATAGATATGTTCAATATTTTGAGGAATGTGTTGTTCATAGAGGAATGAGATTTCCAACAAAAGATGCGAAAATTACACTCAAAGCTGTTCATATGAATTCAGTTCCACACTTTGATAGAGATGAAGGAAGTGATCCATACTTTGTCATTCATCAACCTTTCTATGATAAGGAAACAAGAGATAATTATCGTATGGAAAAGTTATTTGATTATTCGGTAAGTTGATCATTTTACATAATTTGCTGAAATTCACACAATTTGTAGCAAAATGAAAAAGTTAAACATTTAAAGAAGGGAGAGGAAGTTTGGATTAAAAATTTGAATATTGACCTTTCTGGTGACTTTAGAATGATTTTCTATGATATGGATAAAGTCAAGAAGGATGAAAAAATGTTCATGCTTTGGTTGAATACAAACTTTTTACACTTGCACCAACCTTACAATTCTTCCAATTCAATTCCACATAGAAAATTTTTGGGTCCTAATGATATTGTTGTTAGAATTCCAAAAGTTGAATTGGATAAAGCTGTAAAAGACAAGAAGAATCAAGCATTTGATGCTGATTTTTATGTTGACTTGATTATTGAAGTGAAGGAACCAAGTCAATATTCTGAACCACACAAATTTGTGTACAATACACCAGACAGTGGAAAGGAATTGTTTGGAGAAATTCAACAATACGCTAAAACTGAAGCTTCAAGCAAGGAAAAGGAAAAAGCCAGAAAACAATACGAACAAGGTAGAGAATTCTTTGCATTGAAACAATATTCCAATGCTGTTACATCTTTCTCGAATGCTATTTTGATTGATAGTGGATTTGAGGAAGCTTACATGTCAAGAGGTTTAGCTAACATGAATTTGAAACGTTTCCCTGAAGCAATTTACGATTTCACAACTGTTTTGAATATTCTGGCTAAGGGAACTACAAGTTTGGGTGAAGATATTCCAATTCAAGATAGTATTACAATTACTTTAAGAGCATATCACTCCAGAGGTAAATGTCATACTAAAATGAAGGAATATGAATTTGCCATCAAGGATTATGATAGTGCCACTTCAATTTTAGAACATGCTCAACATATTGGAAACGATGGATGTTCTACCACTACTGTATCCAACAATAATCACTCTACATCTCCTTTCACTGATTCACTCTTCCAAACATTCTTTAGAGTTTATCTCGATAGAGGTCTCATTAACGATGCTCTTCAAAAATACTCTGACTGTATTATTGATTATACTAACTTTATCAAATATATGGATCCACTCTCTGAATCTCTAGTTGTTAAATTGAGAGAAGGTAAAATAACTGCAAACAAGTATGAACAATACTTGTTTGAATTGTTCCAAGCCTTTTACAATAAGGCAATTGCTATTGGAAAGGTCGATAATTATCCTAACAAGGAAACTCAAGTATTCCATGACTTGAACAAGGCAGTTGATTATATTGAAAAGATGTCTGACCCAATTAACAGTCCAGATGCTCTAGTATTTGGTCAAGTCTACCTTGCCAGAGGTGATAGACAAACAGATAAGGAAGCTGCCATTAACGATTTCCTTAAATGTCTCTTATATGATAAGACTAACAGGATAGCTACAAAGAGATTGGCTGTTTTACTCTATGAACAAAAGCAGTACAAGAGAGCTGTTCTCTATTTTTCAAAACTCATCAAGGATGAACCACAAAATGTCAAAATGCTTACCAATAGAGCTATTTGTTATTTAAAATTGGAACTTTATGAAAATGCCATTGTTGATTTTAAGGCAGCTCAGAATTTATCACCTGATACTATGAATTTATATGTACAATGTGCCAGATGCTACAGAAGAAAACACGAACTCTCAGACCCAGCTCAAATACCTCAAAAAGAATTGGAAGATTGTGAAATTCAATATTCAACAGCTATTGATTATCTTCAAAAGAGAAAGAAGGCAGCTACTCCATCCACTCCAAGCACACCAACTCTCTCTTCATCCTCAACTATTAAGGACGATGATCTTAAAACTCTCTACTTTGAACGTGGTATGACTAGATTCGCTCTGAAAAAATACGAAAGTGCTATTCTCGATTATAGTCATTGTCTTGAACTCGACCCAAATCATTCCCTAGCTCTCTACAATAGAGCTTACACTCGTCAAAAATTCTTGAAACAATACGACAAGGCCATCACTGACTATGAACAAGTTCTGACCTTCAATTCATCTGATCTAAAGGCACGTCTTGAAAAGGGATGTTGCCTCTACTATTTAAAGAAAGATGAAGAAGCAATTATGGAATGGCAATTAGTATTGAAAAAAGATCCAAACAATGAAGCTGCCAAAGTGTATCTTTCCCAATTAGCTAAATAAATATTCACTCCATTTTAACTCAATTCAACAAAGTTTTTAAAAAAAAAATCAACAAATTTTCTCGCTTTTTAAAAATAGAAAAAAATGAATAAACGACTAGAGGAATTTTCTCCTAAGCCAGTTGTTCGGAGCAGTAGAACAGCTGCTGCATCATCAAGTAATAGTAATATGGATGCTGATGATGATCAATTAATGGTAATTGATGAAAAAATCCTTCAAGAATTTAAACAATTTCACTCATCAGAAATGATTGAATATAATTCTAAAAAGTTTATTGAAAAGTATTGGAGCAATACACAAGAGAAGAACGAAAAGACCATGTATTTGGTAACCTTTTTACGTGATGTGATATATAAAGTACCAGAACATGAAGAAAAGGAATTACAAGTTTCGGAGAGGACACAAACAAACAGACAAAGATTAGAAGATTTGTTGGGAGGCTTGACCGGAGGAAATACTCCTACCATTAACAATTTTATGCAGCTATTGTCTGGATTGAGAGATCAACCAATGCCCATCACTACTTATTCTGAAGTTATAGTAAATCCTGATGAAACGGTAGAGATTGGATCCGATTGGTTGTCTTGCTTGTTATGTTATGGACAAATGCAAAAGGAAGCACAGTACAAGAGAATATTAACAACAAATAGAGGAGTTTGTGGTAAAACTTGGACAGTTGGACAAATTGCATTCAAATGTAAAACTTGTCAGATGGATCCAACTTGTGCTATTTGTGAAGAATGTTTCAAGAAGGGAAATCATGAAGGACATGATTATTCCATGACTAGAAATTCTAATGGTATGTGTGATTGTGGTGATGTTGAAGCTTGGAGTGTATCAGGTTTTTGTTGTGATCATACTGGAAGAAGTGATCCTCTGGCCCACTTGACCCCTGATTATTTGGAACTTTTGAAAGCCATCACCAAAGGATTATTCTCTAAAGAGGGTGTCATTAATAATTACATTCGAGAAATTACAACCAAGTACAAATCGTTAAAAGATGAAGGTTCCAGAAAAAAGTCATTCCAACTGCAAACTCTCTACCAAAATTTCAAACAAGTTCTAGAAACTGTTTTGGAAAATTTTGATTCATCACCTTGTCTCAAAAAGTTAGCATATTTGGAACTTAAAGAGTTGAAAAAGGGATCGACGTCTCTAGATGAAATATTACTGAGCATACCATCAATGACTCAACCAATCAAGTATTTGTATTCTGATATCTTTATGTCTTTCATAACAGACATTGATTTTAAAACATTTTTCTCGGAGAGATTTATTGCTCATTACTCCATAATTATTGAAGACTACAAGGAATATTTGAAAACAAAAAATAAGGAAAATCGTGAAGATGATGAGAGAAAGTCAGTCCACATCTCTTCTCTTTCTGTTCAGCTATTAACTACTCCAACCGTAGCTGCCCACTTGATAGAAAATTGCAACTTGGTCTCAGTTCTTTTAGATACGTTAATAGAAACTGTAGAGGATGAATCTATAATGGATGAGACTAGAAATAATAGATTAGTTTATAATCCTGAAGCCAATTCTAAAAAAGTAGAAGCTCTGTATCATATCATTTTTGATATTAACTATTGTGTTATGCATCAAAAATTCAGTGATCATGTTTTACTCAATGAAGATTGCTACCACAAATTTTTAACATTCCTCTCCTATCTTCAAGCAACAATTGATATTAATAGAAAAGATAGCGATGACTCTCAATGGTATACGGCCTTCAATTTGGAGATGGGTACTTTACCTAAAATCATTAGATCCATTACCAGTTTTATCGAAGGATATGCTAATGATTCAAAATATAAGACTATCCTCCGTCAATTAATTATGAATCTCAGCAAGATCATTTTGGATGATAACTTTGAAATTGAAACAGATGGTACTGTAAAAGTTAATCCATTCAATATTCCAATTACATACAACTTACCATTGCACAGGTTTGCAACAACCATATTCAAACAATTAATGTCAATATTCCCAACTGTTTCTCTCAAGTCATCTATTTCTGAAATTTTAGAACAAACATCACCAAACTCGCCACAAGTAACAAATCAATTCTTAATACAGTTACTTGAACAGCCACTCAAAATTTTTGTTACTTCAGCCCAAATTACTGCTAGACTTTGGCAAAGAAATCATGAACATAGTAAGTAATTTAAATTTGAAAATCTTAAGATCAATTTTTCCAGTTCTTGAGCAATCTTATAATTATAATTCTGAAGCTTTTGGTGATTACACCTATTGTAATGACATATTCTTGATTCAAATTATTAGTGGACTCATGGATAATCATGATTTAATATTTAGAACACTTATCAAAAAGTTCAACAACTCCTTGGATGAATTGAAATTGTTTACCAAGGAAAAGCTAAAAGAAGATGAAGATAAAAGATCCATTTTGGAAGAAGAGTTTGCAAGACTCTTAGTTTGCATAAGTACCAACAGAGTATTTATGGATTCAATGAGCAACTTTGATATTTGTAGAAAATATGTTCTTCATTACTTGTTTACTGAGGAAAAATGCAAATTTTCAGATATTGTTTCGGCAGTTCCAAAATCCTTCAGAGCAGCTGGTATTGATCTCAAAGTTATTGTAAACGAAGTTGCTAATTTCCACAAGCCAAAAGGATCTCACGATCAGGGTTATTTTACTGTAAAATCAAATTATTGGGATGAATTGGATCCATACTTTATTGGTATGAGCTCTCAATTATTTTATCAAGCTACAGAACAATACAAGACACAAACAGGGCTAAAACAACCTCCACCAATTTGTCTGGAAAAGCCAATATTTGCTGCCAATCAACAACTTGAAAGTGGGCTTACAGGATTAATGCTCAGTAATTCACTTTACAAGATAATTTTCTTTATCATGTATAGAACGATAATTTGGAGAAAGGATTCTAGCCAAGAACAGTTACCAGCTTTTGTTCTTCATTTACTCTTACTCTCACTGAATCATGTTCCTACTGGTACAGCAGAAGTTTCCCAAATAACTGTTCCTTCTAAACAATCCTTGCTCTCACCAATTAATAGTTATTTGGACATTCCATTTAAAGATGGTGAATCTCCAGTCAAGCTCATTCTTCGACCAATAGAAGATAGTGAAGGCAATGAATATTCTATCATTAGAATGCTTTTCGAATTTGGAAATCAAGGTGAACTTGTTAATAAGATTTTCAATAGATTGATTGAATTGAACGAAGCTTGTGATAAAATTGTTGTTGAGGCTAGATTAAAGAAAGAAAACACCAGTAATAAGGAAGAGAAGGAAGCCAAGAAGAAGAGAGCTTTAGCCAATCGTCAAAAATTGTTGGAAAAGATGAATGCCAGTCAGAAAATGTTTGCCCAGAGCTTGGAAGAAGAGGAAGACACTGTTGACGATTCCGACAAATTGAAATGTGCCCTCTGTCATGACCACAAGTCACCAGAAGGAAACGAGTCTCTTTCTCTCCTCTGCCAAATTGTTAACAACCCATTCCCTCAAATCACTAGAAACAAGGAAAATGTATCCCTCTTTGGAAATATTAGAAACAAACCAATTGTTGATATTGGAGAATTAACAGAAGCATTTGCTGATGTCAATAAGGAACACAATGTTCAAATTAATTTCTGCTCTCATGCTTGCCATGCCGATTGTTTTGATAGATACTATACAAATCTTGTTCAAGAAGAATCTAGACGAAGAAGATTTAAAGGTTTTGGTCAAATAGATTTGGAAAGTATGGAAATACTCTGTCCAATTTGTTCTAGAGTGGCAAATTGTCTCTGCCCAATTGTTTCAAATCATGCCAATTTGCTCCAATCATCCAATTCTGTATCAACAGAATTACCATCACTTGAAACAATCGCTTCATTCATGAAGGATATTAAGGTTAAGGACAAGGCAGAAGATGTGAAAACTTCCACTACTCTTTCAACTATTTGTGAGAAAATTATTAATAAGAAGAAAGAAGACTTGGGTGATACTCTCGATCCAATGCCAGTTGATATTGAACCTTTTGAGTTGATTGATTCGGCATACTTTTCCAATACGTTTAGTTCGGAGATCGCTGTAGAGGAAATACTTCAAAGAAGTCAACCACATTTACAAGTATTGCCTGAAGCAGTCAGAAAATCCCTCAGCCACGTATTTGGTCTTCTCATTTCATTCCAACAACTTAATGAAAAGAATAGAGGAAAGACTCTTCAAGAAATTAATGCAGTAGTTGGTTCAATGATGGGCTTGAAATCCTATGCAAATTTGAGCCTTTATGATGAAGGATTTAGAGAAAGAAAGATGTATCTTCCATTCTTGAGTGGAGACATGTTTACACTATTTGTGAGGTTAACAACCTTGCTTTTCTCATCTGAAAGAAAGATGGATTCAGCAATGTTCAGAGATTTGTTAATGGTATTCTATACATCACATATCATTCAGATAATTATGCAATGCAACTTGAGACTTCAACAATCATTTAGTACAGGCATTCCATCTATTGATAAGGAAATCTCCACAATAGAGAATATTCCAATATTTGAAAGATTTGAACTCAGAACCCTTGAAACTGACATTATTTTATCTGAAGATGAAATTGCTAAAATGTCCTGCGGTTTCTTAAGAAGAGTTGCTCTGTATTATTCGTTACTTTTCCCAGAAGAAGAAATTCCAACCTCAAGCTCTGAACATGTAAATTTGACGAATTATCTCCACCTTCCAACAGTAGATAACCTTTTGGTAATGATTAGAGAATCTAACCCTTATTCTGAGTTGATAACTAAATGGATTGATCAAGTTAAATTGTCCATGCAAAGTCTTTCAAAAGCCCTCAATGAAGAAACACAAGATGAAGATGATGAAGATTTGTATGCTAGTCAAGCTGATTCTTTGATACCTTGCTTTGCAACTCCAAAACCTTTCAGCTTTATTGAGCTACCAAGATTATACGAAGATCTCATTCTCAAGCATAACAATGAAAGATGCCCACTCTGTTCCAAGAAATTGGAAAATCCTGCCATTTGTTTAATCACTGGAGAATTAGTATGGCTGAAGCAATGCACATGTGAGAAGCACATTTGTGGTAAGCTTACAAGATATACCAGGGAGAAATATTCTGGATTTGGACTCTTCCTTGTTATTAAATCATCGAGAATTTTGCTTATGCACGAAAGTAGATCAGGAATTTTGCATTCCCCATACCTAGATAGTCATGGAGAAGAAGATAAGAACCTTAAAAGAGGTGTTCCTTTATTCTTCCACAAAGAAAGACTCGATGAAAACATTCAAAAGTTAGGAAGAATGAATTGGGATCATGATACCATCATTTTGGAAAAATGTTCTAATTTGCAAACTCATGTTTTGTAAATCTAATTTATTTTCGATAAATTAATTATATTTTGTTCCTTTGAACTCTTCTTCATTTTGAGTGCTACTTTGAATATTTCCATACTTTCTCTCATAAACTCTAAAGACTGCAACAATAGGAACAATGTAAATTGTTCTCATCAAGAAGAAGAGATAAACCAAAAGGTAACCAGCTGTAATTCCACCTCTTACACCAAGATCACTAATGTCAAGAATTTTGAGGGTAGCACTCCAAAGAATGAAAACAACTGGAGCCATAATAACAACAAGCAATACCTTAACCCAGAATAATTTTGGTCTAAAGTTGGCAACCTTTGCAAGTGGATGTTCTTCACCTGATTTGGAGATGAATGGCTTTTGTTCTTTCTTAGTCTTTTTCTTGGCATCTTGGCTTTCCAAATCGACAGCATCATCGTCACTTTCTTCATCACTAACCATTTCTACTGAATTAGTGGAAGCTTGTTGCTTATTACTCAAGTCAAGAGTTATTTCAGCAATAATAAACTTGTAGAAGAATAAAAGTACAACTGAAACAGTTGATGTCACCCAAGCATAACAAATAGTCCATCTGAGGAGAATGTCCCATTCATTTGATTGAATGGCATTGAAGAATAAAACTGAAATAAATGAAGTTAATGCCATCAAAATACAAGATATATATCCGATTCCTCTAATCTTTGAAGAAGTATTCATATTTGAGAAAAAAACTCTTCTCAAAAAGTTTCCACAAAAACCACAAGTGAAATCGTAAAGAGCAGACTTGTTGAAAAAGCTTTGTCTTCCAATAAAGTTGAAACATAGAGCAGCAACAATAATTGGCAAGATCAAGAGGAAGAATGGTGTAAAGTCAGGTGTGATTGATTGAACTGGCAATCTATTAAAGTAAGAAACCCATTCTTGACTCAAACCAAGGAATGGATAAGAGTACCAATCCCAAGGTTTGACATACAAGTTATAGTTAATGATTCTCATACCTTGATTAACCATGTAATCCCAACTTGGCCTGTATGTATAATAAAGAGGTTCAAATCCATTCCAGTGAACTGGTAATCTAACAAGACCATCTGCCTTGGTATTACCCTCTTCAAGCATTGTATCATCAGCATATTCCGCAATTCTCCAATTATAATAAGTATTCAAGAAAGCTTGAGCGTTTCTATCGTAGGCCTTCTTGAGAACCTCTTCTTCTCTAGCAATCATATCATCAAAAGTAGCAATACTTGGTTTAATAGCCATAAAGAAGGTATCCAAGTCATCAGGAATGGTCATTGAATTTGTTCCGCAAACCTTTCCTTTACACTTGAATAAACTATCAATATTACGTTTAACTAGAACGTCTGTACTCAAGAAGATGACATTGTTAAAGCCATACTTTTCCAAATACCACAAAAAGATGTATGGGTAAATTTGTCCCTTTGATGAAGGAATTTCATGAATAATAGTAATCTTGTCCTCCTTAAGAACTTTCTTACTTCTCTCGCTAACTCTATCTGTTACGATTGCAACAAATGGATGGGTTGATTTAGTCTCTCGTACGCTTTTATGAATAACACGTACAGCAGCTAAATGTGAATCATCATCAAGTATTGTTACAAAGGCTTCTGATGATTTTTCTGTTGGTAAATTATCAATTGGATAAAGTAAACTAGATTGAGTATTTGCTCTCACAAATCCCGAATTTAAAACTACCACTACAAGAGCAAGACACAATAAAATTGTATATAAAATCGATGAAGTTCTGGGTATTATCATTTTCCCACTATACTAATTAATAAAAAATTATTAATGGCCAAGTTGTTCGTATTGTTGTTGTTTTTAAACGTTTCTCTCGTTTCCGTTGTTGTTATCTGTTAGCAATCGAACAAATTTTCCTTTACCAACTTGGCGCAATTTTTTTTTTAAAGTATTTTGGAACGTTGGCTTGCAAACGTTCATAATCCTAATCCAACTCAGCAAGTTGATGACGAATGGAAAAGTGCAACGTTCGAATTGGATATGGATTAATGAGCGAAGGAAATGTTTAAAAACTATGGGCTGTATGGTCAATCACGATTATGGTGTGTTTTATGGTGTTGATGATGGTCAAGTACTTTTTCATTCATGGATTGGAAATTCATTTGGATGGAATGAAGGAGAGCTAGTTGTGCTCTTGTTCTGATGAGATTGTGTTGTGGATAGGTAGTTTTGTAATAGGTATCACCGTTGATGTAATCTGTTAGAAATCTCAATGCCTGCTCAAAGGTAATATACTTGGCACTGAAAGCTAGATATTCAATTTCGATATCTGTGAGGAATTTGTAACCCTCAGAGAGATATCCATTGGTAAAGCTTTCGAATATGTCCATTTTGAGATGAATGTTTTGAGTATTTGGATCATCTTCTGTAGATGTGTTACAATACGAACGAATGGCATCTCCAAAATCATTCAATACTGTACTGCACATTACAGTGTCAAGGTCAATTAAGCAACATGCCTTATTGGTCTCAGTATCGAATAAAATATTACTTAATTTCGTATCGTTATGAGTAATTCTCAGTGGAATTTTGTTACTTTCTACCAATTCCCAAAAATCAATCATTTCCTTTCTATAATTTTCCACAATTCCAATTTCATCTTTCACTTCCTCCAATCTGTTAACAATATTCCTTTCAATGGCTTGATCAAATTGTTCAAATCTGAATTTAATATTGTGAAATCCAGGTAACACATCCTTAATAATGCATTCTCTATTTTCATAGGTGATATTTCCATGGCTCTCAGAAACCAAATCAGAAAGCATATTCTGGAATTTTCCAATCATTTTACCTCCTTCAAACGCCAACTCTTCCGAATCAGCCTTTTCATGAGTAGTGGTATTTTCTATAAACTTAAACATGGTCCAATATTGAGAGTTTTCCGAATCTTGATTCTCAATCAATTTGTAAAATAATTTTCCATCATTGATGGTAGGAACAATAGAAAGAGTCTCCCTATCCGGATTTCCTCCCAATTTTGCAATTTTCCCTCTCAAATGTTCAATCACGAGGGAAATATTATTCATCATGAGTTGAATGTTTTTAAATATTTTGTGATTCTTTCGTTGGAGAATGTATTTATTGTTCGGAGAGGGAATGTTAAGTTCTACCAGATAGGTATCATTGATGAGTCCACTCGGAATTGGTTCGATATTTATATTTCCAAGATTTGGACCTAAAAATTGGCTTACGATTTCATTCATTTTTTTTTGTTGAAATACTTTACAATGACTATTATTTAATAATTATTCTTGATCATCTTCTGCTTGATAATTTTCATCATTAGCATCTTCCTCTTCGTAATATTCATCATCTTCATCAATATCTTCCTCATAATCCTCATCATCATCTTCCTCATCTTCTTCCTCATCATCGTCATCATCCATGTAAAGTGAAATTGGTCTTCTAATTCCAATGAGAACTGTTTTCATTTGAGTGACAAAGGCAACATTATTGGCCTCATCTCCCTCAATGCAGAATGCAAGTGTGAAATCATCCGTCTTGTCTGAGATAAATTGATTCGTTTCAAAGGTATTTCTTTGTAAAATCAAATTGATAGAGTGTTTCTTTTCCTGCTCTGAAACATATTCCTGTAATTTGCTGACATAGAGACAAATTTCAATTATCTTTTCTTTGAGTTCCTTTTTAATGTTTGCATGATTGGCTTCAATACTGTCCATGAAACTTAAATATGATCTCGATGTCAAGTACCAAATCATTTTTGGAGTTGAAGTTGTAACATCATGTTTCGAATAGGAAGCACTCATACCAAGATTTGGAATATTTTGCTTTGGAATAATTGAAAAACTCAATGTAAATGTTGAGCTTTGTCCCATTCCCAAATCTTTTGTAACTTGTTGACCTTTAAATGTTGAGAGAAATCTGTTTTGAAACCAATTCACATGTTTGACTTGTTCCAAAGGATAATACCTCGATGCCAATTCAAATGCCTTGCTCACTCTCATCATTTGAATGATTTCTCTCAATGTAAGAAATGGAAATATGTGATTATTAATAATTTTGAATGGAATTTGCTTTTTACAAATAGAATACTTTAACTTTTCAAGATCGGACCTGAAAGATTCATGATTTTGTGTTTTCTTTCTTTCCTTGATGAGTGATGATCTCATCTGACGAGCAAATTCTTCAATTTTTCCAATATTTAATTTTCTGTCTTCTGATGATGAGGTTTCGTCTGTTGGATTTTCGTTTTCTTGTTGAGGAGGATTGGCTGCCTCTTCATTATCGTCATCATTGGTTGATTCGTCATCTCGGGATTTAGTTTTCAACATGTCGTTGAATAGTTTCTCCTTCTCATGATATTCCTTTAGTCTTTGTTCAGTTTCTCCTAACAAATCACTATCGAATAAATTTTCAAAATTACCCAGAAGAGAAAGGTTCTTAAATTGTTGTGGAAGCATTTTTTTGTAATTGGTTAATTGGTTTTTGATGTGAAATATCCAGTTAGTTTATTATTGAAATAGAGCTTCATTTTGAGTTAATTGCTTTCACATCAAATGTTTAGTCTTCAAATGCCTCAATTTTGTTGATGTCTTAAATTTCTTAATATATCATCTTGTTATTAGTAATCATTCCATAATCCAATATCCAATTTTTTCTCATTAAGTTCAAATCTTGCACTGTTGTGTCCACAAAGACATTTGCAAATATCATTGAAACAGAATGATTGAATTCCATCAAACATATCTCTTGGAATGATTGGGGAATGATTGGCAATTCCTAGTAAATTTGGAATATCAAAATGCTTTGGAATATTGATATTTAGTGGAGAATCTCTTTCAAGGTATAAACTAATAATTTGAAGAGCTGTTTCTTTTGTAATTGGTAATTTTCCTGTTTTGAATAGCTCAATATCATACCAAGCTAACATTTGCTCTGGATGGTAACCTCTTCTTGCAATATCCAAAATTTCTGCATACGCATCTCCTTCTTTTAGTTTGATTGCAACCTCCATTGAAATTTCTTCGCTATTCTTTGAGTCATATCTCACAGAATACAAGACAGGAAGGAATATTGTAACAAATTGTTCAATGGTACAATAGAATAACATGCAAGTACCAAAAGGAAAGAAATAGTCAACCAATTGGACTATAATATCAATTTGACTAGTAATAATATAAATAAGACAAAAGATGAGTTGGACAACCACTACAGCTAGAGTTTCTTTCTTAATATACCAAATATCCTTATCAGTCCTAATAGAAAGAATGACAAATATTGTCTCAATAATTATATAAATAACGGCCTCACATGTAACCAAAATAGAGGTATTCTTCTCCACAGAACATCCTCTATCAAATAAAAAGGTTCCTCCATCTACAAAGAAAAGTTTTGTTTCCACAAGCTCATCCGAAACTCCAACTGAGACCCAAAGAGCTACATGTATAAAAACAATCAAAATAAGTGCCGGTATTAAGAATTTTGAGCTCAAAAGAAATGAGTAAATTTTGATAAACCTCTTCTTGCGTTCAATGTCCCTGTTTGATATTGCAGATGCATTTGTTGTTTTGTTTTCCGAATAAATACTTTGATCATGCATTTCATGTTCATTGCCTAATTCTTTCTGCAATGTAAACAGTTCAATTTTTTTCTTACAGAGCTTAAATTTAAAGAAGAGTCTAAAGCATTTGTAAATGGTAGGAAGAAAAATACTTGCAGGAAATAAAAAGTAAATGCTCGAGTACAAAATGCATGGAAATGCAGATCTCCCAACTATGAATCTAATACTAAGAATTGATTCAAATATCACATTTCCAGTTAGTGAAAATAATAGAGACAATGGATGCCTCTCCTTAATGTGCCTACTCTTCCATTTCCACACTAGGCCAATAAAAGTCAAGAATGTTATCAGTAAATAGATCAAGTAAAATATTGCAGATAGAATTGGTGTGAAAATAGTGTCAGGACACAGCCCATAAATCTCTGTAGGCCTCTCCTCTCTCGAATAGCCTCCATTAAACAGAAAAGGATCGCAACTCGTCGCTACAGATGCATTATAATTTGGAGTTGTTGAGAGTATGGTATGAAATATTTGGTCCATGTATTCCTTAACTACATGGTCATGCAAGCCTAGATGTTGTGCTATTGATTGCACAAACGTATTTTCATTTACAGACGATGATGAAGATGTCAATTCCAAATCATGTTCCGAACAAGTCACAACATTTATCAAAGTACTCATCAAGGCCACCATTATCAATGTATTTAGAAAAAGCCAGTTAGTTTGTTTCATCTTTTTAAAGCCAAAGTTTATGTTATATTGATGTTGCTGTTGATGTTGTTCTTCTTTTCGTTGGTGAGTTGATGAAATTGCTTTTGATGTCATTGTGCGTTCATTCTTTTTTTTATGGGATTCAAAAATGTTCATAACAATTTACTAATAAATAAACTGAAGCACCGTATTGTGGATTTCTTAAATAGTCCTTCAGTGATGAAAATGGTAAAATGAACGATTTTCTTGTTACTTTGTGTTGGCATTTATAACACACTAGTTGAGAAAGTAAACAAGTGATTAAAAATCATTTCAACAATATTGCCAGTTCTCAGCCCGTAAAGAGTTACCTTAATGGAACAGTTTACAAGCAACTCAGTAATTGTTTGCGTAAACAACTTTATTCTCTGATTTTCACGTGAGGATGGCTTACATGAACCTGTGTTTTATCTTCGTGTTGCTTCAACAGGCTCACAATTTTTGTGTGCCCTTCTGTTAGTGCTATTTCCATTGGTGACTGAATTGTTAATGCTGACCAGAGCTGGCAGACAACTTACCAGCTTTTGGTTGTTTAAAAAAAGTGTTTCAGAGCCAATAATTTTAAATAGTACTTACTTCATCCTTATTTTGTTATAATGGCTTGTAAGGTGGAGAATACATACATTTTTAAAAACCCACTACATAATAGAGCTTTAACATGCTTTGTGTTCCTCAACTTACATCCTTAAATAATCGTAAACATCATGTTGATGTGATTATCACATACGAAACTTACAGTCTGCATGTTGTTAAACATCATCACACATGCCAGAAACTTACAAACTTTAGGACGTAAAAACAACATTTAACGGAAAATGGACTTACTTGCTTAATAATATCACACAACATTATTTACATCAACATCTTAAATACATACTCCTCTTTTAACATCAACTCCTACAACATTCACTAATAATTGAGGAGTCTTCATCAATGCATCCATGTTCAATGTTAAAAAAAGCTTACCTCCTATTACATCTTTCAAATGTAAATATTACAAGAAATACTTACATACTAATAATCAAGGTCATTAAAATTGATTCTTGAAAGCATGTAAAACATACAATCTATGTACATTTAGAAAATCAAATAAGCTGATCACTTACATCCTACATGGAGTGAGATCACTAATTCATACTGCATACTTACATACTGGATGGCAAGTGAGTATTCAAATAACGAACATACGTACAGACTTGAATCATTCAAATAATAAGACTATATACATCGAAAGGTACTCACATACTATCGGATTATTTAAGTGGAGAAAATGGGAGTAACTTACACTCTGACAAATTGTAAAACAAGTTCAAAAGAAGCTCACTTACTCCTTTGTTGACATCAATCCTTTTTGATTTTAACAATATTTCTACAATGGCTAAATTTTCACTCTTACATGCAACATGAAGGGGACTCTTTTGATCTGTTAGAATGTCTTCAATCCATGCTACATACATACTAAACAAAAGGAAGAGACAATGGAACAATACGAATTGGAAATGAAACTTACGTAGTTCTATTAGATTGAAAGTCAATTTTCCTTGTCAAAAAATTGAAATTGCTTACATTCTTATTACAATAATATTACAGAATAACAAGGATTGAATCTTACATTTTCCTATTTGGAATACTTCATGTAATCTTGATTCTGAACTTACATACTAACATTATTATTTCTGATATATTGTTCAAATGCCTAAGACAACTTACTCCTCTATTTACATCAACTTCATCCCTTTCCACCAATAGTTTTACTATATTGACATGCCCGAACGTACATGCTGTATGTAAGGGAGACTTTTGAGAGATTAATTTCTGGTCTTTCCTCAAACTACACTTACATTCTAATCACGCCAAATTCAATTCCTCAGATTATTGATAACTACGTACAGCCTTTTTAATAGAATCCAGTAAATTTTGATATCCACAAACTTACTCCTTTATTTACATCAATTCCTTTTATTCCCAACAGAAATTGTACATAATCTGTATCACCTCTCTCACAAGCCTCAATCAATAATGTTTTCCCTTCAACTTCATCATTGATAAAGCTTTCAAAATTCCGAATCTGACAAAATTGATGAAAGTTTCCGCTTCTAAGAATATTGAATGCCTTTTGAGCCATTTTTTAAGAGATGATTCATCTCCTCTATTGAGGCTCATCATTATATTTTCAAATGTAATGTAATTCAGTAGTGACAGATGGAAATTACATTCTATTCAATTTCGCTCTTCAATTTTTCATAGATTGTCAAGGCTACTGAATCAGAGTCAATCTTATCCTTTCCCTTGCAGAGTGATTTGGCCATTTCCTTATCAACCTCCACGAGAAGAAGTTTATGTCTCGATTTACCTCCTCTATCTAAAGTTACTCTTGATTTTGAAACTCCCAAAACACCTGATACGTAATCACATAATTCCTTGTTGGCTTCTCCTTCTTTTGGTGGTGCAGCAATGTGTACTCCAATTTCTTCATCATTAATATTAGCTATTTGACTTGATGAGCTGTTAGGCTTAGCCAATATTGTCAATCGGATTGAATAGGGTAAATTTGCAGAGGCAATACTAATTGATTTTGGAATGGCAGTGCTGCTGCTACTTGATGAATTGCTACTACTGGCACTGCTGCTACTTGTTTCCGTCTTTTTCTTAGGAGCCATGATGGTAGTGAATGACGATGAATTAAATCTTTGATATGAACAGTGAGTGTGATATTCTGAGAGTGAACTAATCGGTGGTGAATAGATTAATGATGATGAGCCAATAATAATATTGTTATGTTTCTGATGAAGATGTCTTATCAAGCCTCTCTTCAACATGAATTATTTTTTCCAATTTCTATCAATTAATAAACAATCACGATGAACAATAATTTCATCTTCATCATTTAAAATTCAGTCCAATATATGAGAGTATTAAACCATTTGATTCAGAAATTAGAATGAGAATAATATTCATCTTTTGATCCGACTAATCGCAATAGAAGACATTAGATTGTAGCACATTTGCAGCGCTGCAATCTTTCGCATCCAACGGCTAACAAAAAAACAAGGGAAAATCAAACTCTATCTTCATCAAGTAAATCGGAAATACATCAAAGCCTCCATTAAGAATATTATCATCACCAACAACAATTAATTGGATGAATAATAATTAAATAGAATAGTATTAATGAATATTCCTTCCTGGTAATAATATAATTATACAATGCCACCAAATATACCAATAGTTACAGTCACAACATCGACTACTTTAATTCCCAAACACAGATCATCAGCTGCTGTTCATAATACAAGTGGAGAAGGCTCGGATGAATCACCAATTCCTCATCTCGATCACAAGATATCTTCACCATTCCGTACGGATGACGTCGAACAGACAACAACAATTGAATAATAATAACAATGGTCAACAATCATCCTCTCCTAACATGATGAATTCGAATAATTCTATATTCTTTGTAATTTGCTTTTGTTATTCATTCTTTTGTTCTGGATTGTCTATTAGCATGATTGGACCTCTATTGCCATCCTTTGTTGCTCAAATTAATTTATCAAAGTATAGAGAAGGTGACATGACAAAAGTCTCATTAGAGGATTTAGGATTGGTATTTCCGAGCAGAGGTTTAGGAACAATGTTGGGAAGCTTGTTAGGAGGATTCTTATTGAATTATTCAATCAAACATTGCTCGAGACAACAACATTTAATTCCACTCTTATTTAGTACTACTGGAGCTATTTTCATGTTATGTGCAAAAGTTTCATTACTTTTGGCTTCACAAGTTCAAGTTTTTGCAATTATTTACTTTGTAGTTGGTTTTTGTAAGTGATTTATTTTACAATTATTGAAATAATCCCAACAATTACAGCACATGGATTAATTAATGTCAGTTCTAGTAGTTATATTTTGGCCAAATTCCCTAAAGAGAAGGTTACTTTTTATTTTCAATTATTGAATGCATTGTTTGGATTGGGAGCTGTATTTGGACCATTCTTGACAGCCATAACAAAAAAGTATTATTCTAAATCTATTCAAACCAATGTAGTTGCAGTAGCTATTCTTTCAGATAGTGCCACTACAAAGGCAATTATTATTACATTAATGCTATTATCTATTTCTATTTTCCTTTATATTTCCGAGATTAAAAAGACCAAGCCAATCAATTCATCATCACCACAAAAAGAGTCCAATAGTGTCACTAATTGGAGTTCTAGAAATATCAAGATTATTGTATTTATTTGTTTGGGAATTGTTTGCGTGACAGGTGTTGAACATGGAGTTGGTGGTACTTTGTATTCTTTTATTCATACAAAGAATTTAACAACAGAATCAGAGGCCAGTATGATAAATTCATCCTTCTGGCTTTCATTTACATTGGGAAGAATTATTAGCATTTTCCTTTCCTACCACATGAGATCATCATCAATTTTGGTTATGGACCTTGTTGGTTCATTATTGAGCTCAGTCCTCTTTTTACTTTTCAATGATAATGTTTCAGCAATATGGGCAGCTACTGTGCTTCTTGGTCTTTCACTTTCTTCTCAATATCCAACATTGCTTTCATTCCCTTCCTCATACTTAGACATCAAAGTTTCGAGCATTATCACATCATTATTTATTGTGTGTGGAGGTGTTGGATCAATGGTATTGCCTTACATTATGATTTCACTTTTCAAGTTGAAGGGACCTGAGAGCATGTTTTATGTCTTGTTCTTTACCCTCATCGTGGTTTCATTTATTTATTCATATCTGATTCTTGGTTTCAAAAAGAAGATTCTTGACCCATATTTAGGAGGTATTATTAGCGATACAGTCTATGAAGATGATTCATTAAAGAGAAGAAAATAACACGTAATTTTTCACAATTTTAAGAATTGTTTAAATGGATGATCTAGAGGATACACTCTTTCTTGATGTTTGATTTTCCATCATGGCTTCAATAGCTTGCTTTACCTTATTGTATTGATCTGGATTCTTTTCAAAGTACATTTCCAAAACTCTTGGTTCAGTTTTAGTACCTGGCTTAAAGGTGCATGTGAGAATTAATGTTTGATTGAGTGTATCTTCTTCAAGTTCCAAAGTATCAGTGGATGAATTATCATCTTTAGAATGTGGAGCAAAAATAAATTCTTGCTTGGACAAAAATCCAGATCTTCTATTCAAGAGCAAGAGATCTGTGAAAACGTATAAATCTAAAATACCAGTCTTTCCATTTGATCTCTTATAGTTGACTTCATTGTCTCCCTCAAAATAATAGAGTAATCTTCTGGTTGGAATGAAAAAGTCCTTCAATTTGAAAGTTTCTCCCAATTCCAAGCTCTTATGAATGTTAGAATATTCAAGTTGTCTATTATTCAATTCTGATGCAATTTCCTTAATGAGACTCAATGCATTCTCAATCAATACAAATGATTCATCATTATGATCAGTAAATTCTTTCAATTGTTGTAATAAGAGTTGATATCTTGGAATTCTCTGAAGTGGCAATACAAGATGTCCATCAATGGTAAAATCTGATGATACAGTAGCCTCATCACTCAATTTCTCTGCAATTTTATCCAACATTTTTCTCAATTTTCCATTCTTTTTCTTTTCCTCTTCAAGTGTTGAAACAGCAATTCCATAATTTCCAATAAATCTCGTATAAAGTTTAAAAGAGTGAGCATAATGTAACATTAACTTGGCAACAGCTAGACAGGACAATCCATCAACTCCAAAATAAATCTTTTTCAATTCTTGGAGGAAATTCTCATTAACACCCTTAATAATAGCAATATCATTAAATATTAAATCAAATGTTTCCTTTTGAAGAATTTCCTTGATTGGTTTCAAATAATTTTCTTCCAAAGTTCTCAAACCTTTAACATAGCTCTCTTCAGTGGTCAAAATTTCTTCCAAAATTCGATCTCTTTTCTTTTCGATTGGTGACTTTTCAATAACCATTTTAATGTCATCAACCATTTCATCATCATTAATTGTTGTATTCATAATTTCATCAAAAATACTTTCATTACTCTTGACTGTTAAACTATCTTCTCTGGAGTGTTTCTTTGCAGGTGATGATAAATCTTCCTTGATCAAATTGTCAGTTGACATTTTGACTGGCATCTCCTTCTTCACAACTTCGGCTTCTTGTTCATCAAATAAATTATTATCAGCTTGTTGATTATTGGTTGATGATGTCTCGCTGGCTTGCTTGTAATACATCAAGACACCAGTCACTATCAACACCAGCACGTAGAATAATACTTCGAGTAATAACATTTTTTTCTTCTGCGCCAATTTAATATCCTAAATTTACTTTTAAAGGAAGAAACTTGTCAGCATTCGAATAATTGTTATCTGCTTAACCTACCACACGAGTTTGAACTATTTTGGTTATTGAATCAATTTTGAATAAAATTCAAGACACCAGTCATGCATCTCTTGAAATGTTGTGGAAGAATGTCAGAAATGAGGTGGAATGCATGGATTGGGATTTTTTCTACATGTTTGGAGAGTTTTACGCCACTATTGTTGAGCTTGTTGATGAATGATTCAATTTCATCGACAAATCTTTCCCTCTCACTATATGAAATGAATATTCCCTTAGAAATGGTTTGGTTTACAATTTGATTGACACGTTCTTGACTCCAATAGAATGGAGAGAGATTTCTAGCTCTTTCTTGTTGGTTTAAACCACATGGTACTCCATTGGATTTCCAAGTACGAATTAATTTGTTAGAGATGGCTCTATCTTGGTGATCGAGATCCATAATTGAGGAAGTTCCTTTCAGAGTTAAATCCAACCATGGTGAGAAGAGAATGGCTCCTTTCAAAATGGATTTGTAATTCATTTCCTGCTCTCCTGTCAAGTTGGCAATCTTTTCACAAAGTAAAAGTCCCAAATTACCTCCAGATGATTCTCCAATAATGTAAATTTCATCCATTTTCTTTTCATTAACCAACCATTCAAAAGCACGAAATGCTTCCTCAACAATATCTTCAATTTGTGCATGTGGATAGAGTGAATATTCCAATCCTAATAAATTAATTCCATTCCTCTTACAAAACTTTTCATAAATGTGACAAGTCCTGGCATTTCCCACAATATAGGCTCCTCCATGTAAATGCAAAAAACAACTTGTACTCTCGGATTTGTTCTTCTTTTTAAAATTGAAATATAACGACTTGTTTCCTTTCAATAAAACAGGTTGTTCAATCATTGTTTTGAAATTCACCTCCTCACTTGGTACATAGAATGGACCAGCAAGCAGTACATGAGGAGAGGCAGGAGATTGTTGCTGAATTTCCAACAAGTCATGAATAATTAATTCCTTTGATTTTGTCTTATCAATAAAGTAATCATCTACATCGGGATGAGGTTGTGGCTTTCCATTCAATAATTCAAACCACCTCAGGCAAGCCAATTCTCTCGAATCCAATCCTTGCAAGGCAGCTTTCTTTTTATAAAGTGGTGTATCCTCATCCTCTTCATCATCATCCTCTCCTTCAGTATTATCCATCATCATGATTGGATCTACTCGAGTCTTGTAAATATTCCTCTCTACAAAATAAAAGGCTTTGAATAAGAGTTGGAGAATTGTGGCTGGAATGGATAATCTAAATAATAACCATGACATGGCAAAGAAAATTGCCCAAAATATTATACTGAAAAGAATTAACCATTTAAGCCACCACGGAATTAATTGTACAATATAATTCATTTCCAAATGTATTAATTAATAATTATTGTGATGATGAATTTTTTGTTTTTTTTAAAAAAAATGAATGAACATTATTTTCAACATTTTGTTTTTCATATTGGAGAATGGAGTGATAATTTTGGTGTTATTTTAATATTTTTGGAGAATATTGTTAATAATAATTTACAATTTTATCAATTTTTATTTTTTAAACTTTCTTTTTTTGAGGATATGGAAATGAAATATTATAATAACTTCCAAATCTTACTAGAATTTTTGAAAACCTGTCATCTAATTCAAATTCACGTAGGTAGCTTATGATACATTTTCAATATTATTGTATCACCAACTTTATGGTTATATCTAATCTCCTTGATGATACTTAGATCCTAATGTTTACCAGTGAAATCCTCATCAGCGGATTCCTTATTAGAGTCTTCATCAAGTTGATTAGCTTGTTGCAGAATAGATGAAACAGCTTCAAGATGCTTTATTCTCTCACCCAAAGAAGTGATGTTGAGCTACCATTATCAGTAACTGGGATGTAACTTGACTTGTAGAAGTTGAAGACTTGTTTGCTGAAACTCTTTGACGATGCTTGTGACTATTGGAATGGTATGAGTGATATAGGATAAAGTGGTTAGATTTTTGATTAAATCTTCTCTTTTGAAAGTTGCCACTACTTTTCTTTGGTCTTTCTTCTCTCAATTTCTCACCTTTCTTAATGGCCTTTTGTTGTTGCTTGGATATAATATCATTGATTGTGCCATCAGATTTATAAGTATTGATAAATTCTTTTGCAGCTTCAAAACCACCAGAACCGGCACTCAATTTAATGGCAATACAATTTAAGTCAGCAATATTCTGTTACATTGTAAATTAATAAAAACAAGATTGAGAACAAGTAATTATACTAATGAATATTAAAGCTCAAAGACTGTTTCACTTTTATTGATGAAGAATAAGTATGAAAAAATATTCAACTTATATTAAGTTTACAATAAAAACAAATCCATTCTTTACTTCGCTCAGAATTAGACATTATATCCTCAAATACTACTGCTCTCACTAATTCTTAATCTTAAACAATCTGATTCATCATTTGAGAGATATATCATTATACTCTCGTAAAATACAAGTTGAAAAAATTGTAACACTTTAATTATGAGTTAATCAATAATTCAAGAAACCATTGTCTACATATGGAAGAACTAGTGTATTATTATAACAAAATTATTAAAATATTTTAAAAATTATCCTCAAAAAATAAGTCTCAACATCATGTCTTCATCATTATTAAGACAAAAAAAACCACTACTCCACCCTAAATCGAAAATATCTGTAAGTATTGTATTTGCTTAATAAATTGGCTGGATGGTTGAATGAAAAGAGGATAAAATGTATACAATTTGTGTAGTAGAAAAATAAATTCACTGTTTTCAAAATCTGTTGTCCCATTGTTTTTACAAAAAAATTGATTATTTCAAAAGATTCATTCAAACTATCAATATGAAATACCAAATCAATATTACACATTTTTTTTAATTTTAAAAAAAAAACAAAATTATCATGTTATCATTTACTTCTATTCAATTACAAAAGAATTTTAATTCCATCCAAGAAAATTTAATGACAAGGAATATACTATTAACTCCTGGAGAGACGATTCAAATTAATTCTCAAGTATTTTCAGTGAATTTATATTCATCATCGGATCAAAATAATTTAAATGATGAATTTCAAAAATCAATTAGTGGACAAGTAGAAAACACAGAATTTATTCAATGTAAAGATCATTTGTTTACAATTGATAATTTATTACACGCTGATGAGTGTAGAGAAATTTTACGCATGGAAGATTCCATTTACTTTACACCAATTTCGTCCGAATATCCTGAAGAGTATAGAAATAGCAAACGAATTGTTTATAATGATAAAGAACTTTCACAGAGATTATGGCGACGATTGAAAAAGTTTCTAGTTGATTGCAATTTCATGAAACCGTATGGTTTAGACACGGATGGATATTGGATTCCAATTGGTGTGAATGAATGTTTGAGATTGAGTAAATATGAACCAGGGAATTATTTCAAACCTCACACAGATGGTCAATTTCTCAGAAATGATAATGAGAGAAGTATTTATACTTTACTAATCTATTTGAACGATGATTTTAAAGGAGGAGAAACCGAATTCTTACAAAGAGTAGATCCAACAGAGGAGTCTATCACCAAATTCAAACATATTTGTGCAATTAATCCAAGAATGGGATCTGCTGCAATATTTAATCATGAATTGTATCATCAGGGATGTATGGTCACTTCAGGGATCAAGTATATTTTGAGAACTGAGATAATGTTCAAGAGAATTGATTCAACAGAACAATTGGTGAATAAGAAGAATGATTTGCTTCACAATCAAATTATGAATCTCTTGAAAACAAGTGATGATCTAGAAAAGAAAGGTGAAGTGATGGAATCTACCTATTACTATAGAAAAGCACAAGAGCTGTTAATTCAATATGGACATTCCACCTCATTATTGCTGGTACCTACCTTTTCCAAGTCAAAAATCAGTTCCGAAGATTATTCTCTGAAAAGTACATTTTCTCAATTACCTGATGAGCTACTCATTCACATTTTCAAATATTTGATGGATTGGGAAATTTGCCAACTCATTCTTCCACTCGATAGGTATTTCAATTATATTGGCAGAGACTTACAATTATGGGAATGGATGTATATGAACAAATGGGGAAATTCTATCACAAATTTATTGAAACAATTTAATGCAAGAAATACTGAGGAACTAAGAGAATTCAATTCACAAGACAATACGAGCTCACTTGAGGAAACACCAGCTGAGGAACAAGATTGGTTTCATATCTATATTATGAAACGTTATTTTGAAAAGGAATTTGAGCCAGTCTTTATTGATTATGGAAGTAACCTATATGCAAACACCTATTTTTCATCAATTGATGGTCCTGTTCAAACTACTTTAACTAAAGTTCTTAGACCTCCAGCCTCTCAGTAAGTATTTCTATAGTTCATCTAGTTGATGACCATTATTTCAGCTTTTCACTTCCAAGATTTTCTTCTTATGGATTAATGGGAGATAATATTGATAGAGGACGTACTATAGATATGTTTGATGGTAATGGATTTAAAAAGCATATTCAAGTATTCACCTTTTTAATATACAAGAAAATGAAAAAGAGTTGTCAACGAAATCCACTTGTTGTCAGCTTGAATTCTAGAGCAATGGTTGACTTTGCAAAGGTCAAGGAAAGTATTTTGAATTTTTTGGTAAGTAGTATTGAAAATTCAACTATTAAATAATGTGAAATAGTTCAGAATTCGTATTCCAGCCGTTTGCATTCTTCCAAGATGTTATCTATTGTCAATTTATTATAATCTTCCAACTTGCATAGTAGTGGATATTGGCAAATATGATATTTATGTTCATACAGTTATTCAACATGATAAGGATCAAATAGGTACATTACATGCTGAATTTGATATTTATGGATCAAGTATCAACTTGTTCGAAACAGCTCAATCTACTGAAGAAAAAATCAAGTACATTGAAAATTGTGAAATTACTAAAGCCATTAATCAATTATTAGATCAGCATCCAAAAGAACTGAGAGCAGAATTGTTGGATAATATTATTTTCTCTGGAAATCTTGTGGAAATGGAATCATTATCAGACGTTCAACATGAAAGGAATCAAATTCTTAACATGTTCAATTCACCACATTCCACCTATCGAGTGAAACATCAAACGAGTGGTGAGGAGGCCATTCAGTCAGCCATTAATTTCTCAAAACTTCCAAACTTTAAAGATTATTGCTCTTTCTGGTTTGATTGTGAAAAGATTGTTGAGTCAAAAGACACATTTATTTAATTTGGATATTTGAAAGTGGAACTGTGTTTATTTCAGTAAGGATGAACAGTTTCTTTAGTCTTTTTTCAACATTCGTCTCACTAATTTTAACAGCGCTTAATTTGGTAAACAGTAAAAAACCTGCCCTTAGAGATACAATTAGAGCAGAGCACTACTTATATGCATATACAAGAAAAATATGTCTCAACTCATGGTTCGAAGCTATTCATTCCTCCTGTTGATGATGCTCTTGAGTGCAGTATTGATGATGTTCATCTCAGCAGCATCACCAATGAATGCTCAATCCACCAGAGCATCCAATGTTCTTTCATTATTGAATGAAAAGAAGGAACAATTAGAGAAGGTAAATAATGGCTTGTCGGAAACGAGCTTGTTGATGATTGCAAGCAAGAGGGAACAATCTTCCCCTCTCTACACTGCCTACAGTGAGGAAAAGAATAGAATTTATAATGTATTGGTAGCAACAAAGGCAGAATTGGAATATGAAGTTCAACTTCCTTCAAAAATTATACAATTCATCGATCAATGAATCAACAACCTCAACAACAAGTGAAGCAGATTTGAAAAAGCAGATGAAACTTGAGCAAGAAGCTGCTGCTGTCAAGAAAGTAGAACAAGAAAGAAAATTGAAAGAGGAACAGGAAAAGAAGATTAAGGAAGAACAAGAAAAGAAACTGAAATTAGAACAAGAAGCTACTGTTGTTGCTGCCAAGAAAGCAGAACAAGAAAAGAAGATTAAGGAAGAACAAGAGAGAAAACTCAAAGCTGCTGAAGAAGAAGAAAGAAAGTTGAAAGAAGAAGCTGCTAAAAAAGCTGAACAAGAGAAAAAACTGAAAGAAGAACAAGAAAAGAAATTGAAATTAGAACAAGAAGCTGCTGCTGTCAAGAAAGCAGAACAAGAAAGAATTCAAAAGGAAGAGCAAGCGAGAAAAGCACTCGAACTTGAAAGAAAGGCAGAACAAGAAAGAAAGGCCAAGGAAGAAAAAAGAATCCAAGAAGAAAGAGATAGATTAATCCCAACTATTGGTGAATTGGTCGATTCTGATTTATTGACACCTTCTCAATCTGAAAGATTTATGAAAGAAATCATGAAAGGAGTCAACCAACAATTACCTCACAGAATTTGGAAAGCCAAGAAGCACGGCTCATCAATTGCTAATTTCCATGCTACATGTGATAACATGGGACCAACCATTGTGTTGGCCAAGACTAGAAATGGAGCTGTATTTGGAGCCTATTCAAAGATTTCATATTCCCTATCAGGTGATTATGTTTCTGATCCAGCTGCTTTTATGTTTAGTTTGATTTCGGCTGAGGGAGAACAAAGATTTGTCAAGTTGACCCAAACACCACAAATTGTTGATGGAAAACAAACTTATCCAACTTCAAAGATTCATAACGCAAATCATTTGATTACTTTTGGAGGTGGTTATGACTTGCTCATATCAGACAATACTGTTAGCTTGAGTTCTTCCCTTGTTTGTCATACTTATTGTGCTCCACAAGTTACAAATCCAAAGACTTACCTTGCTGGTGAAAGAACATTTATGATTGACGATTTTGAAGTTTATAGAGTTTAAATTAATACACATTCGAAATATCTTTGTGAAATTTTGTTTGTATTATAGAATGTAATTTAAGGTCTTCCTCTTCCACTAGTTCGCAAGCATTCACATGTTGGACAACCATGTCTATCTCTCTCAAATCCATTTTCACAAAACATTGTACAAGTGGCACGATTACACTTCTTCACTCTCAATGGACGAATAAAATTACATTTACAAATTGGACAACCATTTCTTCTGTTCACTCTGAGTCCATATCGACACTTCTTTACAGTACAAGAGGTACTTTGACCATAGCATTTGATGAATTGAAATCTAATCCAACGAACGAAATCATTGAGATCACCCTTGTGTCTTCTGTAGAGGAAACGATCTTTAGGATAACCAAAGAGTTTTTGATGAGTTTCGGCTTTCTCTTCTTGGAAACTGAATTGAATAAAGAGGCAGAGAATGATAGCAAGCAATGAAAGGGCAATGATTTGTTTTGATTTCATTTTTTAAGCTAAATTGATGATGATCTGAATCTAGAAGTTTCTATTTATGATAAAAGAAATGAGGAATTCGAATTAGAACCGAATGAATGAAGAAAATTTCTTTTTCTGAAAGGACGAAAAGAGAAATTAACTAAACTCGATGGGAATTCACAACGTTTAAAAAGATATCACTCATAACTTTGAATTGACAACTTTCCAATTAAAAATGAAATCAAATCGTTTGGTTATTATTGCACTTCTCATGGTTCTGGTTGGCTTGATGATTGCAACGACAATTGTAAGCTGCCAAGAAGCTAGTGATACTACTATAATTGCTGAAGACAGTTCTGGTCAATCAGGAGAACAACAAGGTGGTGATTCTGATAGTGCAGATACATTGAGTCCAGGTGATGTAGAAGATTCAGATACTACCGACATTCCAGTTGACATTAACGTTGGTAGAGGAGGAAATACAAGAGATGTTAATAGTTTAAGGGGATTTAATATACTTCACGAACATTTAGATTGTAAGCCAAGTTCCAAAATGTTATTGGCTTGTAGTAAGTGTGCAGAAAAAGTATTAAGCTTTGACAGAAATGGGTGTTTGGTCTGTTCTTGTAATTAAACAACTAATAAATTAATTGAGCAAATTGAGAGCTTCAATCAAATTCTTTCTGGCAGTATCTACATCTTCAAATTGAAGTGAACTAATTGCAAATTTACATAATTTTTGTGCCTTCATCATATCATCGAGAGAGACTTCTCTCTTTGGTCCATTAGTATTGAGAACTGGTTGAGTAGTAGTGGTGGAATATGTTGGAGTTACAGGAGATGAGCTAATTGGAGTAGATGATGAGCTTGCTGGTTTTGGAATTGTTGAAACAGATTTTGGTTGTTGAAGTGGTTGTTGAGGTGGTTGAGTAAAAACAGGAGGTTGTACAAATTGTTGTTGTTGAGGTGGTTGAGGAGGAGGTTGATTAAATGTTGGTTGTTGTTGTTGAGGAGGAGGTTGTACAAATTGTTGTTGTTGTTGAGGTGGTTGTTGATATTGTGGTGGAACAAATGAAGGAGGTGAAACTTGTCTTGGAGGTTCATAAACAGTTGGTGAAGTGTTAAATGCAGATCTATTATTTGTTGGTGGAATAGGAGGTTGATTCCATGATGGGAAAGATTGTTCTTCTGTTGTTGTTGGAGAAATTTTCATGGCATCATGATTAGTGTCAAAACTCCATGATGAAGGTTGTGGAATATTATTGTTGATATTAACTGAAGATGTTTGTTGTGAAGTTGACAAATTGAGTAATCGTTGTTGTTCCATCAAATATTTAGTAACTTCATCTTCGTCATTGGAAGCATCATTGTTAATAGTATTTGCTGTTTGAGTTGGCATGTATTGCAATTGATCATCTTCCTCTTCAGCTGTTTCTTCACTTGTAACTGGAGTAACAGGTTGACCTGTTCTAACTGATTTTTGAATTTCAGCAGCTCTCCACTTGGCATACTTTTGTTTTTCCATCATCTATTAGTAATAATTAAATATGTTATTATATAATATGAAATTATTCAATGGAACCGAATGATAATAAAACACATACATCCGAACTTAAATCACCAAATTGTTTGGTAACTTCAATCAAAATAGAGGCAGCATAATATAATTTAGCAATTTGACTATTTTCCAATGTTTTTAAACAATGATTGGTTGTTAATCAATTTAAATTATTATTATTATCATCATCATATTCATAAATATGTTTAATTAATATTATTAAATATATAAATAACAATAATAATAATAAACTTACGTATCGTGTCTTCCTGCACGATCGGCATCATCAGCCTTTTTAAAAACCTTCAAAGCAAAAACTTCAACAACACCCTTGGCTTCATCTTCTTGTGCTTCAATATTCAATTGTTCCTTATCTTGTTCCAATTGATCCATCAATCCAGTAAGTAAATTAGTAGCTTCATCATCGGCCTGATCTTGCGATTGAATAATTGAAATTCCCAATTGTGCAGCATAGGTTCTACAATAAAAACTCACAATAGGAGCTCTCTTTTCAAATTCATTGGCTCTTTGAATATAGGGAACGAGCGGCTTCAAGGAGGCTGGGTAATCATTGAGGGACATTTTTTTTTAATAATTTTAATGGGAAGAAATTGTTGTATTTTAATGTTCCTCTATGAACATCTTCCTCTTCTAATTGAAAAACATTAAAATTTTATAAAAAAAAAATGAAAAGAAGCGCGGAGATTTGAATTGGAAGGTTAATTGGAAGATGGAGTAGGGATTTGATGATCTTAATGCAATTACTTTGTAAGAAATATCGCTCCTCTAAAATTAAGCAACTTATGTTCATGAATTAAATTATTATTTGAGTAAACTAATCTCGAATGATTGATGGAATTAGGTTGGATTTGAAATTGGCATTGGTACGTTAAATACTTAATATTTTGGATGATGATTTATATAGTAAGAAATCTTATCCTAAAACAATGACTGGCTTTTTGAATCAAAGTTAGTTTCACTTAAGCTTTGTTGTCAATAATTCACAAGTCAACTAACCTGTATATGGGGAAGATAACTCTAGTTTTCTGAATTGATTCTTGATTATTTGGTAATTGTAAGTTATTTGAATAATTCAATGCATTCACACAACCTAAATTGTTAGCGTTTATTCTTGTAATTTGAAACTTGATAGTTAGTGTCAGTTCATTCCAGAACTTGTAAAATTTCAATAAAGTTGAACTGTAAATTTGATACCTTGTTTATTGAAAATTGAGTACCATTTCATAAAAAACAAGGGTAATAGATTAGTAGAAATTGGTGTATTGTTGGATAAAACAATTTTTAACCAAGCCAGACCTAAATCCATCACAGTAAGTGTGTTTTGAAATAAACAAGAGACCTTCTTTCATTACCATTGAAAATGATTTAGAGAATATCAAGAGTTTAATGAACTAGAGCTCAAGTTGAAAATGATTCTTTATTTACAATCATCCATAATTTCCTTACTGATCTGTTCAACGATTTTGGCTTCCTTTGCTGCTGTTTCATTATCAGAATCAATCATTCCTATTAATTGAGTTGGTAACATCGTTGTCATCTTTAATGGTCCACCTTTTACTTCAGAATAGATCATTACTCTACAAGGAAGTGCCAAAGCAATCATTCTGTTCGATTTCACAACAGACGAAGCAATCACAGGATTACAAATCTCGCACACTATACATTCCTCATCATATTCAATTTGTTTTTCATTGAATTTTTGCTTGAAATTATGAGAAATCAAAACTCCGAACTGTCTCTTCTGACAAGATTGTTTGAAACGTTCGATGAGAATTGATGGCTCAGTTTCACTAGTTTCAACAGTGTAATACATTTTTTTGAGTTGTTTTTATATGAAACTGTTCGTGTTGATCTCAAACCTTAAATAGATTTGAATAGGACGGCAGATTTGGTCGGCGAAAATTGAGGGGAAATTTGTGTTGTAAAAACTGAAATTCTTTCCATCAATCAGCATCACAACCACAACTGCCACACGAGCCATCTGAATAATAATCATAGGTGTAGGTATCAGAAGTGGAGGTATTGTCAATTGGTGGGTCATCTTTTTTGTTGTTAACTTTCTCTGTTTTAGATGCCCAACAAAAAATCAAAACAATTACAACAATTCCACCTACGATGATAAAGGGTGGAATGCTTGATGGAGTGCATAATTCAATTGTTGAACTCTTTACAATTCCTTTCAAATTAATACTCATGACACTTTGTGGAGAAAGTTGTCTGAAATGTTCTTCAATTCTATGCATTCCTTTTTCAATAACCTTTGGAGAAACATCATCGTTCAGTCGATACAATTTTGAAGGATATTCAATTCTGAAAGTAGCTTTGTCAACATATCCCTTTTTAAATTTCATATTCCATCCCAATTCGAAAGTCTTTCGTTCACCATCTTGATAGCCAGCCAGTGGTCCTTTAATTAAATAGGTGAAAGTGAATTTGACATAGGTAGTTTGATCTGTTGGTGTTCTTTCTTTTAGGAAAGCAATTATGGAAAAACAGGATTTTTTCTGAGATAGATCTGTTTCAGTTTTGAACACTTTCGAATAATTGGAAGAAACCATCAAATCTTCAACAATAAACTGCCCTGCATTAAAAGGTAAATTAGAATGACAAATAGCTCTCTCAACTCTTCCAAAATCTCCCTCAAAACCAAACACTATTTCTTCCTGCACATTGATCATACATGAACTGCCCAATCTCAGAGTTGACATTACAGAAGAAACCCAATAATACTTTTTTGATTTTGAATTGAAAAACCATGCCTCTACCAATGAACCCCCAACAATCATCAACACGATCACGAACACTCCCATTACAAGAGGCAGCAATGATCCTTTTCTAAGTAGTTGAGCCATTTTGTTTTTGAAGAATTTTTGTTTTCTCGCAGAGATGGAAATTGCAACCAACTTTCAACTTGGAACATTGCTCTGCATTTACAGCTTGAATTGATATGGAAAACACGTGTTTTTTTGAAACAAGATTCTATCAATAGCACAGTTGCAATCCAAGCTATCAGTTTGAATCATTTCCTGAAAAGAAAATCAATACTGACACTCAATACATTAAGCAGTACAACTCGATGTGAAATATCTTGGAGGAAGATCTGCGAAAAGGCGGACAAGTTGAACGTTAGGAAAAATCAAATTTCGATTTTTTTCAAAAACTTTAAAAAAACCAACAAATTAAATTTCCTTCATAGAGAGTTTGTGTGCTCCGAAGATTACTTGTTAAATGGAAGGAAGAGAATAGAGGATATTTAGATATTGAATAGAATATTATCAAAACAAAAGAATATAAATCTAATATATAATGCTGCTGCGAGGAATTACCAACATCAAGTTTAATCATACAACAACAAGAAGAAACAGCCTAACAATGACGATGATGATGATAAATATTGCTTCACTATTATTAATCATTAATATGATGATAATGGTGATACAGAGTAATGGATTGGTGGAGGCTCAAAACTTTTGTAAGACTTATACAGACTGCTCGGGATGTGTTCAATCACCAGATAATGGTTGTGTTTGGTGTTCTTCATCGAGATTGTGTGTACCAGTGACTTCTACCTTCTCACCATCGATAGGTTATACTATTGAAGCTGAGTGTCCTATTCAGAGTGAACCAATTTCACTATTTACAGAGATGTGTACTGATCCACTTTTTGAAATTTGTGGTAATAGAGAATTGCCCAATATTGTGGAATCTAATTCATCTCTTTTCGATGCTTCTTCATCAACATTTGAAAGTACTAAATCTAATCAAAGTGTAAAGGATGTTTCATTGTGTCAGGAACATACAGATTGTGTTTCTGATAAGAATTGTGTCTATGTTTCAAGGGGTTTTTTCACAATTACTGATCCAGAGAGTTTGGAATCGAGAGTTATTCCACTTGGAGCGAATGGAACTTGTTGGAGAGCTTTACCTGTTCTTGGCTCACCTGTTTCATATAATGTTCATCGTGGAGGTTTAATTTACTCTCTCACTACACAAGAAACCTACTATGCAACATGTGTCATTAGAGAAGTGTACTATTGGGTCATTATTGGATGCAGTTTATTGGCCATTTCATGTTGCATTTGTACTGGATGTGTTTGTTGTCTGTGTTGTTTCTGTTTCTATTGTAAGAGAGATAGAAGATACATTTCACTCAATGGTTAATTTATTTTTCAATATTGTGAAACACTCAACTTGTTGATTAAATATAACATTACTTTTGAAACATTCTATTCAATTATTTAATATTATTTAATATTATTTATAAGATTTAAAATTTCCCCTTTTTTAGAAATTTAAAATTTGAATAGAAAAAAATGTTATCACAAACTGCTGCTACTATCAGCACACCCTCCGAAGAACCGTCATCAAATTCTTCTTCTGCTTGTACAAGTGGTGGTTGTGGTGGTGCAACTTTGAAATATAACTTCCAAAAACCTAAAGATGAAAGCCTTCCGACTTGTTGTCTCTTCATTACCAATCTTCCATCACTTGGAGAAACATTGTCATCAAAGGAAGAAAATCGTAAAATTTATCAAGATTGGTTACATGAAGAATTATCGGAAAATGTTCAAGAGATTGAAATTGAAGCCATTCTTGCACATGAACAAAAATTGAATAAGAAAAAGAAGGATAAATTGGAAAAGAAGAAAGAATTGGAAGGAGGTGTTGTTGAGCATCCTACCATGCAATTATATGCAGTTTTTGGAAGTGATGATGACTCTGTAAAGGTAAAGAGTTATCTTTCGGAAAAGTATAGAAGTATGCACATTTCATTTGCTGAACTTGCTGCTGAATCAAAGGAACAACGTAAGAAGAAACATGTTAAAGGATGGAATATTGATTGTACTTCATCTACTGATCATGTTTCAATTCCTGGATTGTATGTGATTGAAAATTTCATTACAGAAGAGGAAGAAGCTAAAATTATGGAACAAGTGGAACCTAAGAATTGGGTTATTGAATTACAAAGACGTGTTCAACATTATGGATTTAAATTTGATTATGATATTAGATCTATTGATTTTAATACTCAAGTTGAACCAATTCCAGAATATACCACTAATATTATGAATAGAATGAAAGAAGCAATGAAAAAGAAAAAGGAAGAAAATGATTCAACTATTATGAGTGATGAATTTATTTCTACTTTTGATTTTGAGACATACAATCCAGATCAATTGACCATTAATGAATATCAACCTGGACAAGGAATTAGACCGCATATTGATGTTCACACTCCATTCAATGATGGTCTATTCATTGTTTCTATGCTCGGTAGTGCTGTCATGTACTTTTCTAAATGTGTAGGAGAGGAGGTTGTTGAAAAGAAGTATGTCGATCTTCCAAGAAGGTCATTACTTATCCTCGTTGGAGAAGCAAGGTATTTGTGGAGACACGCCATTATGTGTAGAGAACTCGATAGAGTGAATGGAAAAATCAGAAAGAGACAACGAAGAGTTTCATTGACCATCAGATCAGTTAGAAAGGAAGGATTGTGCACATGCAAGTATACTGATGTTTGTGACTCTCAACAAAATAATGAAATTGCTCACAATCTTCCATATTCTCAACAATTGGGAACTACCAATCTAGAAATTGAATACGTTCAAAAGACCTACAATCAAATTGCCTCTCATTGGGATAAAACAAGACATACACCATGGCCTAGAGTTCACGAATATATTAAGAGTCTATCTGACTATACATTAATTGGAGACATTGGATGTGGAAAGTAAGTAGTTTATTTCTAAAATGTTGTTGGATATAATAATAATTCAAATAATAGTGGAAAGTATATTAACCTGAATCCAAAATGTATTTGGGTAGCAACTGATAGAAGTGAAAAATTATGTGAAATTTGTGTTGAGAAGGGATATGATGTCTCAGTTTCAGATGCTCTCAATCTTCCTTACAAGTCCAACCTTTTCGATGTCACTCTCAATATTGCCGTTCTCCATCACATTAGCTCTGTTGCCAGAAGAATCAGATTACTAAAGGAATTGGTTAGAGTTACGAGACCAGGAGGTGAAATTTTAATCTATGCCTGGAGTTATGAGCAAGAAAATTCATCCAAGAGAAAGTTCCAAAGTCAAGATGTGTTTGTACCTTGGAAACTCCAAGCTAAATACTTGAATGGTGAGGATGATCAACCATCTCCTGCACTTATTGAAGAAAATGAAGTTACCATCAAGAGATATTGTCACGTTTACAGAAAAGGAGAATTGGATGAGTTGGTGACAACTAAGGTTAAGGGAGTGGATATTTTGGATTCTTACTTTGATGTTGGAAATTGGTGTTTATTGTTACGTAAGCACAGCAACTAAGTAAAGTTTGATTTTCTCTTCAATGATAGTAAGGTAGCTGCCAGGAATTTCTTTTTCACACCAATAGAACTGACATAGATTGGTTCTTTGAAGGAATCAACTTTCATGCCACTATTTGATTTCAATTGAGAATTATTGGCCAAATCATCGATATACAAACTTCCTCCATCTCCAACAAACATAAGGAAAGTATCCTCTACTTGAGGTTTATCTAAGGTTGTCATTGTCATTGATAAATCATCCAAAATAACATTGGATTCTGTAATTTGCAATTGTCTATTAATAAAATAAAAGCAATTCAATTTGCTGCCACATTTCATAACAGTACAGCTAGATTGCTCAAATTTTGGTTTGAAAACCTTTCCATAGGTAGCCACAAGTGCAAAATAGTTATTCTCATCCGTATTGGAAATGTTAGATTTTTCAGAGATGGTAAATTTGAAACTGCAATTAATTGATCCAGCACGAACATTAGGAATATTGTAAACCTGACCTTTCACTGGAATGAAAGGTAAAATTGTTGTAATATTTGAATTGTCAGAGTTGGTTCTTGTTATCACTCGTTCTCCTCTCGATATCTTATTAAATGAGGAAGAAGGATTAGAAACGACTGGTTTCGAATTTCCTTTGATCGTTGGATTATAGGTTCCCACTGATTGACCATTCTTATGAATACCACTTCCAGATGTATAAAATCCAAATCCACTCGATGCTCCTAAAATGGTTGTGTTATAAGTTTTGGATACAGATTGTTGAAATTGTAAACTATTCCAATAAGGTGGGAAATTAACCCACCAACTTGAAAATACCACTCCATCAACTTTTTCATCAAAAATCAAATTCTTGAATGGAGATTCGAATACAATATCAAAACAAATAATTAATCCAAATTTCATTCCAAAATCTGTTGTGAAATAAACTGGTTTACCATCTCCTCTATCTATTCCATCTTCAAAATACTATTTTCATATTTCAATCCACTATTTACTTATCAAATAACTTACCAAATGAGTTTTGTGATATTTGGTAACAAACTATTACAGTAATTAATATGAAAATTCCAAATATTATTATACTTACATTTCCATTCCTATCAAACACAACATTTGTATTATAAAGATACCTCCTATCTATTAATATGTGCATTAGAAAATTCCACCAAATCACAAACATACCACTTGGACATTGAGAATCAACACTTGGATCACAATACTGCACATCTCCCATATTAATCACCAAATAAGTGTGATACTTCTTGGCAATGCAACTTGCCCTCTTCAAAACCAAATACTCATTCGGATCACTACAAAGATCATTCACTGACTCATTCGGCACTTGTTCAAAAAACATGCTCAATCGAGTTCTATTAACCAAACCAGGTCCAAACAATCCATATTCTATTTTCCTCAATAACTATTTCCAAAAAACCATTAGAAACCTACCTGGAAAGACAACAATATCCAATGGCGACTGCAATCCCGAAACAATCTTTTCATATTCATCCAAATTTGCATTCAAAATCTTGTTCGCTTCCTGTTGATTCAAATTTGGATAAAACACATGCATAGCTACAGGTGCATAATCCACCACAGCTGCTCTATATTCCTTCTCTTCATTCTTTCCTATTGATGATGATATTATTATACGAGATGACAAAATTGTAGAAGGGATTGGCAAGGCTTGTTTTCCATCATTATTATTCTTAATATTATTGTTATTATTATTTACAATGTGTCCATTCACTACGACACCTATCCATGAAATCAAACTCAACACCACCACCATCAGCATCACTCCGAGTAAGTTCGAGTGAGAATCATCAATCAATTTTCTTGCCATTGAAAGTTTGTTTTTTTTTTAAGTTTTTTGGATTTTTGGTTTTTCTGTGTTTTTAAAAGAACGAAGGAGAATTTTGAGGTTCGGACCTTAATGATTAAAGTGCTTGTGTGTGTTGAGAATGATAATTGAAGGTTCTGGGAGGAGAGGAGTTGAAATAGCCGTTCAGAGATGTTAGATTCTTCAAGAATAAAGGTTCAATTTGACTGATTCAATTATTCGAAAGTAAATCAAAATCAAAACTATCCAATTCGAATAGTGATTATATTCGAAACTCAATCCTAGTACTAGTTTTAAACTGTTCAACTTGGAATGATATGCTCTTTACTAGTTTGTTTGGAGATAATAAAAAGATGCTTCTCCATTCACTTGTCCTTTTCATTGAGTTTTATTCATCTTCCATTGAGAGGAATTGTTAAAACTCATGAAATAGCCCAATATAGCAGATATGAAATAGGTAATGGTAGCAAACAAGGCATGTCCTGGAGCAAATACTTCACCATCCTCGACAAGATCTGCCATTTTGGAAGTATCCTGTCCATAGAAAATGGCTCTGGTCATGAAAATTCCCATTCCAATATATAAACTCAATGCAATCCAAAAACTCTTGAAAATTCTTTCATTTCCATATTTAGTGGCAATGATAAATATTGCACCAATCCAATGGAATGCAATTTCCAATAAGCAATTCTCAAATCTTGACCAATTTTCCCAAGTGGCAAATCCAATCTTTTGGGAGGTGAATGGCGGAAGGATGGCCACATCATTTCTTCTCACAATCACATCCAACAACCAATGAGAGGCAATGGCCATGAAGAATACTCCATATATTGATAGAAAGGAACGATTCTTTGGTCTATTGATTGCACAATAAAGCAATGACATGCACAATGTCCAAATTACTGAACCAGTCAAACTGTATGAAATGTCATTATGAGGTTCGAATGGGAAAATCTTATTTTCTCTCATGGCTTTCACATTATATCTACCATATTCCAAACAAAATACATTCTCACATCTTGCATTCGATTCAATTTTCATTTCACATGCCAAATGACAAGTCCAAGAAAATGAATAAAACATGACATCTATGACTTGAGTAGCAACCATCAACCATGCCAAGGATATATCTCGGAAAAAGTAATGAAGCACTCCTGCAGGGCCGTAATGTCCTTGAAACATTTTTTTTAATCAACTTTTTCACATACCCAACCAGTAGGTCGGACAAATAAACGCTAACAAAGATTCATCTTTGGAAATGAACATGTGATTCAACGAAAATGCATCTAAACACATGTTTACACTTTGAAAATGAGGATTTCAGATGTTTGGTTAGCTTACCGAGACTTGCTTTCTCTATTATTAATAAAGTTTGCTGAGTTTGGTTATTAAGCAAGTAACTTGTTTGGGATTTTGTGTAAAAAGTATTGTAAAGGGAAAGTAGCAACAAACGTCCCAAATGATGAATCAAATTTACAATACTTTTGCTGCTAGCTATTTATCCGTGATCATTTTGAAAGGTCGACTCTTTTGCCATTTCTTCCACTTTAGTTACTTAAAAAAATGTCGAAACACAATTTGCTACTGTTATTACTATTAATACTGCTATTTATCCATGTCTATCACAGTGACTTGGTTACATGTCAAAGCAGTATCGATGTCAAGTATAAAATAACAACTTTAGTGAGTGGAATTTCAGCTGATGGTAGAATTGACCAAGGATTAAATGGCGATATTTACTTTACTGAAAAAGTTGATAATTACATATCCAAGGCCAATATCAAAACAGGAATAGTTACACGACTCATTGGCACAGGTATTGGTGGATTCAATGGAGATGGATTATTAGCCAATTTGACACAAGTCAACTCGCCAAAAGGAGTTTCAATTTCTCAAATAAGTGGTGACATTTATTTTGCAGATTCGTCTAATAATTTGATCAGAGTAATGAATGCTGCAACGAATATTGTATCCACCATTGCTGGAACTGGTTCTTTTGGTTTCAGTGAAGGAAATGCCACATCCAGCAAGTTAAATAAGCCAACTGAACCAGTTTATTGGAATGGTCAATTGTTGTTTGCTGATTCGTTGAATTATAGAATTAGAAAGGTGGATCTTTCGAATGGAATGATTTCTACCTTGACAGGAACTGGAATTTCTGAATTTAATGGTGATGGATTGGCATTGATTGTTTCAATTACTGAAATTCAGGCATTGACAGCAACTTTGAATGGAGATTTATATTTTGCAGATTCGGATAGTTTTAGAATTAGAAAATATATTCAATCGACAAAATCTGTAATTACATTGGTTGGCTCCACCAATAATTATAGAGATGGATTGGTCAACCAATCACTTTTGAGTTATCCAGAAGGTGTTTCAGTAGCTTCAAATGGAGATGTCATATTTAGTGATAATTCTAATCATGTTATTCGAAAGATTTCCATTTCTAAGGGTATGGTATCAACCATTGCAGGTACTGGAAGTGCAGGAGCTGCAATTGACAATGTGGATGCTACCAATTCTCCAATGCAGTTTCCTTCAGGTGTTTTGGTCAACTCACAAGGAATTATTTATGTGAATGATAATGATAATAATCGAATTAGAGTATTGACACCGTATTGCAGTGATTCGAATTATGAATTGATTGATGGAGTTGTTTGTAGAATGAAAAATTGTTTTGGAATTGCAATTAATGAGTCAACTGTGTGTTCTGGACATGGAAAATGTAATTCGGATAATAATTGCACGTGTTCTTTTGGATATTCTGGTAATGATTGCTCAATATTGGATGCGTGCTCACTTTTTACTAGTAATTATGCATGCTCATCAAGTTTTAACACGAGTGAGACTAAATTGCTTACAGTTTCGAATATTACACAACTAGATTCGTCGATTATTCAATTTTCATCCACTAGTTCAATTTCAATTTCACTTCCTTCCTCAATTTCACAATATTTACAAGCCACAGATACAAACTTATCCAATGAAACCATTTCAGTACTGAGTTTACTTTCTGCTAACAATGCCAAAGATTCCAACTTGGTTTCTCCAATAGTTTCGTTAACTTTATACAAATCCAGCACAAAATCTGAAATCCAAATTCAAAATCTCAAAGATCCAATTTCAATCCAATTCCAAATCAACACAACTGTACCATCCATCTCATCATTGAATATCACATGCTCGTATTTCAATGAAATTCAAAAACTTTGGATTTCAGATTCGACCATCAAAACAATAATTTCCAAAATTGATACAATTAACACTCTCTCAGATGGAAATGTAACAATTTCTGTTTCATTGAATTGTGAAACGAGTCACTTGACTTCATTTGGAATAATCGATCAGAATTATAAGAAAGCAAATAAGGAATCTCAAACCAAAGATGATTCAGTCATGTTACAAGATAATACTACTGTATTAATTGCTGCAATTGTTGGAAGTGTTGGTGGATGTTGTGTTTTGGTAACTATTCTCGTGATCATTATTTCAGTTATCATTCTATTAAGAAGAAGACATAAACATTAAATCTTAAATTCATTACAAAACGAAATTCTGGTTGACTTGGAAAATTATTTACTTGGAATGAATTTCAATATCATTCCAAGCATATATCCTGCACTGTAAACAGCTCCCTTAATTATTGAAAAAACAATATGAAAAGCCGTTGGGGAAAAGTACCACAAGGCACAGGAAGCAATTACAAAAGCAGCTATTCCTAATTTGAATGAAAGTGGAATTGATTTTGGTGGAGAGGAAGAAGAATCGTCTGTTTCGTCTTGTTGTGGAATGTTGGAAGGAAAATTCGATTCTATTTTGTCATTGACATACTTGTTGATATCTTGCTCGATTTTATCTGCTTGTTCATTCAATTCTTTGGAAAGTTTATCTGAAATTTGAGTCGTATCTATATTGGAAAGGTTAGAGATTCGGAACGTTTGGAAGGGATTCCTGTAATTTATCAAAGAGTGATTTTTCAGAAGGGGAAGACTCGGAATTGGCATTCTTTTCATCTAATTGTTGATTTTCATCTTTTTGCAAAGAAATCAAATTTATGTGAAAAGTTTGTTTTTGAAAGTGTTGAATTTTAAAAGAAAATAATTGTCGATGATTCGAGTGGAACATGCTGCAGGGAGGTCTAGCTCTGTGACCAATACAATGAATTGATTTTATCATTTTTTTAAAATTGATTAGTTTCTCTGAATGCAACCAATCATTTTGGAACTCCAATAACTGGAACAATGAAATGGTCTGTACAATTGTAATTAGGTGTCACCTGTTTCTTCAAGATCACTTTTCTGAATATCAGTTGAGAGCTGTGGCCACTAATGAATGAAATAATAATCTTTTTAATAATTTAATAAATTCCCTAGTTATTAACCTAGAAAAGTGACTTGATGGCGTCCCAAGCTCCAGAGAAAACGTCAGAAACCTTTTCAGCAACCTTAAGGTAGGTTTCACTTTGTTGCATCTTGAAAGCAAAGATTGAAAGTCCATACAGAGCACTCAAATGAATCAATGATCCAAAGAATAATTTTGTGGCATTGTCATAATCAACATTCTTCTTGAAAACAATGGATGGTTTGACAAGATAATACCAATTGATTGGAGTAGAAACAACAGCAAACCACCATGGAACAACTCCAAATGCAGGGAGAGCCCAACAAATTGGGAATAAGGCAAGTGAGTGAATTAATGATTGAGTTGCAGCAGCTTCTGGATTAGAAATTGAAAGCATCTTATAACCAGCTTTACCATAATCTCCTCTACATTTATATGAAATTGCCATAAAGTGAGAAATTTGCCACAAATACATGGATCCGAACATGAACAATCCTGTCACCAAGAGTTTTGTATTATAATCGGAAGTAGAAGGAAGTAAACCATCAAGAGGAGAAGGTTTTGGAGAAAGATGTTGTGTTAGAGAAAGTGGTAACATGGCTGCAGTGACACCCATAAGTGGAGGTAAACTACCATTCAATGTTCCTACCCAAGTATTAATCCAATGGAGTGGTTTTGTTGGTGTATAAACACAAACATAGAGTAATAAATTAGCAAGACCAAGTAAAGCAGTCTCCTTGTTTGTATACTTGTTTAAAATATAGGTACCAGCAGCACCAGTAATAACGGCTTGAGTAATAGCATGAGTTACACTAATTTTGTTTCTTGGGAGTGGTCTATTGAATGTTCTACTCATCAATTTATCCCTCTCAATTTCAATAATTTCATTAAAACTATTAGCAGAAGCAGACTGTAAGAATGTTCCGACACATAATCCGATCACACTTGTTGATGATGAAGATGACGCATTAATGAGTTGGAGTATCTCATCTCGTTCCGCCGAAATTAAATGGATTTTGTTTGCAGCATAATAACCACCAGCTGCTGTGAAAACAACAAGAGCACTCAATCTAGTCTTCCACAATTCATAGTAACATCTCATATAGTGTCTGAAGGCTCCGACCTTCTTTTCCTCTATGATTGGTTTTTCAATTGGATTTTCAATAGCTGGTTCTACAATAGCAGCCTCACTTTTCTTCATTTTAATTTCGTGGAGAGATTCTTCAACTGGACAAACATCCTTTGTAGCCAATGAAAAATTAGCCTCGGAGGCTGGTGTTTCAGGCGATAAAGATTTGTTATCTTGTTGTGTTGCCATTTTTTTATGCAATTTTTTTGACCTTTTTAAATTCTTTCAAGCAAATTTAGTAATTTTGGTTGCTGACTGAATTTTCATTCGTTACTACTGGATTCTTCTGAAATGGCGTCATTAATAATGATTGTTTCGAATTATGCTTCAGTCAATTAAAATAATCAACATTTAGAGGCTTTATTCTTTGGATTGATCGGCTAGATCAGGAAGTTTGTGTGTTTCTACTTGATTGGAGAGTGGCGAAATTATTTCAAATGAAAAATCAACAGGGAATGAATGTGGATTGAAACAGGTACAACCTTCGACTTTTGTATTGAATGGTTGGCATCTATCGGCTAGAATGAGTGAATGTGGAGATGGGAATAGACTCAATGAGTGATCTTGTTCCCAGAATACAGGTTGTAAATGCATGGCGAAGGGACTCAAATGAGATTGTGCAAGAACTGTTTCACACATCTATTTTTTTCAATATTAATAAAAAGAAAGAATTGTAAACTTACTGATTGATAAATTTGAGTTTCCTCCTTGTGTTCTATCACAGTGTGTCTTCTCATTTGTTGTTGTAAATCTTGTCTGAATACAACAAGCTCTTGAGTGTAGAACCGTATTCTGCATGGATTTGTGGCAAAGAAGCTGTTTGGAATTCTTGATTTAAAGGTTCTGCTGATACTATCTAAAATTGGAGATCTTGGAAGTACGCCATTTGGAGAGAATGTTGGATCATTTGGACCTGGTACAAATACAAACGTTGGAGCATTTTCATTTTCTTTGGAATTGTAAATGAAATTAGGGAATCGTTCTTCAATCATCTTGGCAAGCTTTTCAAAATTCTTTTGATATAAAACACGATCAGAGGTTGTTGAACTAGAGGAGGAAGAGGAATAGAATTGGAATGGTCTAGATATGAAATTACCAATAAATAAAAACATTGCTGGCATCAATTCGTATGAGTCCTCAGAAGTTCTATTGTGTTGATTCCACTTGATATATTCAAATAAGAGAGCTAGCTTTTCAAATACTAAAGGCTTATCAAGGCAAACATCTGAAACAACCACAATGAAGGCATTCTTGTTGATATCTTCCTTATTTTTGAGCTCTTTTAACTTTTCTGGTGAAGATGAACCAAACATGTCCAACATGCTGCTTCTTCCCACAGATAAGAATCTTTCACTATCATCTCTATCTTCACAAGTTGGTAAAACAATAGCAGATGCTTTGAATACCTTTGTCACACTATCATAAACACCTGAAGCAATAACAAAAGATCCTTCCAAAATCGTTCCTCTATTATTAGTTGTCTATTTCAGCGTTCAATGATTCAAATAAAATTGATGAGAAACTTACTGACTCAGAAATATCAACCTGTGTGACACCATTCAAATCTTCAATTTGATAAATGTCTGCAGACTTTCTTGTAATTAATCCCATAATATATTTTGATCCTCTACTTCCTAAAAGTGAATCAATACTAGTTAAAGAGATTGCATTAGGGTCTGTTGGATTGAATTGTTTTCCTCTCATTACTTTTTGATAAATCATTTTATATCTGTCACGGAATACTTCAACCTTTTGTTGAACCTCTGAGAAGAAGGTAGTATCTCTTTGTTCAGGTTCAAAAACCTTTCTTGACATGTTATAGGAATAGAATGGTTTATCCTCAGCATTAATTATTTGAATGGCATCTCTGTGTCCAAGAACTGCTGTATTATCATCCACTAAATCATCTGATGTATCCATTCTCTTGGATTGGAACTCTTTTAATTTCTCTTCTATTAATTCGCCCGATAAATTTTTATCTATTCATCACACAATTGTAGCATCACATATTATTATTCAATAATCGGGATCATTCCACACAATCACTCACCTTTAACATTCTTATCCTGCAAAAATTTAAAAAATTCTGGTAAAAATTCATTGATTTCATCCTTGCTCATTAATTTATTTACACAATAATCAGGAAGTGCCGAATTTGACAAGGTAAATTGGTACTTTTTAGCTGCCGTCACGCAGAGCTTTGATGCGATGGCTTTATTTGCACTCATTTTTTTTTAAATTAATTAATTTGAATCACTTTTGGCGGGAAGAATTTTTGGAGGGAAATTCAGATCGAAAGAAAATATGAGAAACAAGTTGATTTCCTTCACAAACAACATTAAGATTTTACAATTCAAATAATTTTTATTACAAAAATTCTTTTAAAGTTAAACTCAAAACCACTGTTTATCCAAAAATTTAAATGGCAACTCTCCTTTCCTTCTTCATGTGAATCAACAACAGAATATATTGACTTGAGAAAATCCAAGAGATTATAATGAATATGCACTCCTCACCATCAACAACCACCAACAGCTACACTTCACATGAACAGTAAGAGTCTAGGCCACATTTTCGTTGTGGGTTTTCCGCAAAATTATGCGCTCCTCATCCTAGAGGGCAAACACTTCTACTTTTGAAACAAAACTAACACATTGTTATCAATCACAAGCTCCTTTGTGCTCACAAATCACCATCACCATCATTATAATATCGAAAAAAAATGTTTCTTCGTCGTATGATTAATGCCATCTCACAATCATCAGAGTCTGGCAAATCTGATAATTCGGCCTATGCTCTCAATATTGACCATATGGAAATACCTATAGAGGAGTGGAGTCATAAAGTGGTCACATGTTTTTTGTATAAGGAACAATTTTTCGAATTAATTCCCAAAGTTACGAAACTGAAATATGAAGGTGTTGATTTTCTGACAAAAAACAAGGAACAATTGACTGCCGAGTTGAAAGTACATGAAGACGAAATTACTGAGTTGATGGCTAGAATCGAAAGTGTAAAAGTGAAACAAAAGTATTATTCGAAGGCTAATAGATTGACACTTTCAGAGACAGATACAGCAGATATTAATTCTCAACCAGCAGTTGGAGACCCATCATCGCCAAACAATACTTCAAACGGAATTGCCATCAAAAACAAACCAATCGATTCAACAAGAAATATGTCAGGCTCGCCGAGTGCACAAACTTTATCTGCATCACCAATGAATGGAAGTAGAGTTCCTCCACCTGGCCTCACTGAATTGGATAGACAGAGGAGAGGCACTGGGTTGGAGAGGGGCAAACTTCCAAGCTCTCCAACAGGAGCAACCTCTCCTTCGAGCTCATCAATTTCACCACCAGCATCATCATCAGGAGAAGCACATTTAAATATTAGTAATATTCAACTTTTGAAAATTGTGGAATCATTTAAGAGACAACTCAAGGAAAATGATCTTCTCGCAGAAAGATCATACCGACTCAATAAGTATAAGAATACATTTACTGGAAGCGATGCAACCACATTATTGCATAAATTGATGAGAGATGTGGCAAAATCTGCAACGAGATTCGATGCCATTGATTTGGGAAATGCAATGATAAGAGATGGATTCATAAAACATGTTGCCGAAGATGAAGACTTTAAAGATGAGCCAGGTCAATTGTACTTTATTTCCGACGATCCTAGAGCAAGAGACAGTTTGAACTTGAATAATAAGAAGGGAAGTTCTGCATTCTTTGCCGAAGAGGACAGATCCATCACCAAAGATATAATGACACCTGCAGCTACTGATTTAATTTATAGAGGTGATTGTGCCTCCAAGATGATTGTACTGATTAAGAATACAGACACTTTGCTCGAGTCTTTAATTTTCCAAGCAGGAATGCTCAATGATAAGGAGAAGAAGACATTGGAAGCCGTTACTAAAAAGCTCAAAAACTTGAACTATCCTGTCCCAGAGGTTCAAATTAGTTTGGTAGCTCAAGATTTGAGTTTGTCAGAGAGATACTTGTACAGTTATTTGAATCCAAACAGAATTCCAAGAGCTAAGAAGACTCTTTTGCAAGAAAAATCATGTGGAAAACAATTTATGGATATTGGATTGGCCTTGACATGTACAGAAGGATTGGCTGGAGAATTTTACACTTTCGCATTAATTGTAGGAACATTTATTGTGGAATTTTCGGATAGATGTCATTTGGCATTGGTAAGAGAAAAGGATTCGAGCTTTGTCAACTTTTTCCATATCACAACTATCAATGATAAGGAAAATATCGAATTGTGCTTAAAAACAGTTAGTAAGTGCTGTGTAAAGTGGAATGAAAAACCAGTTGCAAAGAATATCAACTCTAAAACTTTTGTAACTGAACTTTTCAGATGGATTGACATTCCTGAAAGTGTGATTGAAACTGTTGCCTCAGATATGGACTTTATATCAAACTATCCAATCAACTCAAAATCACTCTTCTTACAAAAGGGACAACTGGAAGAAATTTACAAAGTATCCGAGACTGTAGAAATTACTTCATCACTTCAAACACTTCTCAGTCAAATTACCAATCAAACCATTACATTCTACAAACATTCTGATTTGGCTGAATTCTACTTGATTGCATCCCACCTTTTGAATCCTGTTCAAAAACTTCTCATTTCCTCCTTTGCCAAGACATTTATGAGACAATTCAATGAGGGTATTAATTTACCAAACTCTGAACCAATGTCCTACAAGGCAGCAAAGAAAATAACCAAAGAGAGATTATGTAAAATAGATGATGTTTTTACATGCCCATTTAAAGGTCATGGAATTTGCACAAAGAATGTAAAATATCCAAAAGCTGCAAATAGTGAAAACGAAACTCCAGTCCAATCTGAAAGCTCTCCTTCCGATTCTCTGACCTACCAATACTTCCCTTGTAACATTTCATTACCTACCAGACAATAGTCAACCCATTTTGCCACCTTAATTTCCAATTTTGATTAAAAATAATTCTCTGTTCAATTGGAATGTTGCTATTATTCACACAAAATACAATACAATATTGAGCGAATTCAATTATCCAGCTATTGAGAATATTCCAGTATCATCAGCCAAGTATCAACGACCTATAGAACTACTTAATACCCAGCTGTTTTTCTGATATTATCCAGATGTCGATACTTCCAAACAAGAACCAGAGAATATTCTAACATCCACACTCAGCACTACACCCCAACAATGTTTGGCATTAATTCCTTGTTTATCTTGCGCTTGATGGTTTACAGATTGACTTGTTTGGTCTCGAGCGTTTAAAAGTGGAGCTTCTGAAAAAAACGAATCAAAAAAAAAATAACTTTAATTCTCTCCCTATTTAATAATAATAATAACAAAATGAAGATTGCTGTTTTCAGTGCCAAGCCATACGATGAAGAATACATGACCAAGACTAATGAAGTTTTGGGTCAAGGAAAGCACGAAATTAAATATATCAAGTCTCCTCTTGATGAAGCTCACGTTCCATTGGCTCAAGGCTGTGATGCTGTCTGTGTCTTTGTTAATGATCCTGTTACTGAAGTTGTTGTTGATGCTCTTGCATCATATGGAATCAAGTTGATTTTGTGTAGATGTGCGTAAGTATCTTTTCCGAATCTATTGGATTAATAGTTCAATTTTGTATTCAAAATATCTTTCTTCCATATTTGATATTATTAATGTTTTATACAAAACTATCTAATACAAAAAATCTAATACAACAACAACAACAACAACAATAACAACGAAACAGTGGATACAATAATGTTAATCTTGCTGCTTGTAAGAAACACGGAATTACAGTTGCTCGTGTTCCAAAATATTCACCATATGCCACTGCTGAACATTCTGTTGCCTTGATGATGACTCTCAATAGAAAGACTCATCGTGCTTATAATCGTGTTAGAGAAGGTGATTTCAGTATTAATGGATTGATGGGATTCGATATGAATGGTAAGAAAGTTGGTGTTATCGGAACTGGTAAAATTGGATATTTGGTCTGTAAGATCTTAAAGTGTGGATTTGGTTGTGATGTTGTTGCCTATGATGTTTACCAATCTGCTGAAGTTAAAAGCATCGGAGTTGAATATGTTGATTTGGATACACTTTTCAGAACATGTGACATTATTTCTCTCCACTGTCCACTTTTCAATAATACCAAGTATATTATCAATGATGAAGCTTTGGAAAAGATGAAGAAGGGTGTTATGATTATCAATGCTTCTAGAGGTGCTTTGGTTGATACTAAGGCAGTTATTAAGCATTTGAAGAATGGTAAAGTTGGATCTTTGGGTGTTGATGTTTATGAAAACGAAGCCAATACTTTCTATGAAAATCACTCATCTGATCTCTACTTGAGCGACGAATTATTGCTCCGTCTCATGTCTTTCAAGAATGTCCTTGTTACATCTCACCAAGCTTTCTTCACACAAGAAGCCATGCAAAATATTGCTGACTCTGTTTTCCACAGTGCCACCCAATACCAAACTGAAGGTAAGGTCACTGGTGAAGAATTTGTCCCATGCGAATAAGTGCTACACACTCTAAGAAAACTGTAAATAAAAACAAATAATTATTTAATTGGTGGGCTTGCCTTAGTATCAACCTTTCTCATAAATGTCTTCTTTGGAAAGGCAATTCCAGATATTTGCAATAATTATGAGTTCAGATTGACTATTCTTTAATCTAACTGAAATTTGAAACTGATATCGCTCAACAATCTGTTTGCTGTTTTTTCCAACAAGCTATCCTTCCTTATTTCCTTCATAATTTTGAACTGATAGTTAATATAGACAACCGAATCGTTATTAATTTTCTTCTTTTGAGGAGCAGTACGTTGTTCTGTAACCAACACAGTGCAAAACACATTAATAAGGGAAGGAATAGAGTGTGCAAATGGTTTGAAAGAGGACAGACTGATTTGAGAAAAGTCACATATCTTGGTCATTGTAGCTGAATTTTCCCTCCTTCTCGTATTATGTTGTTACAATATATCTTCTATTCCTCTTTATGTTGAGTGATAAATCCATCCTCATCCACCACTTGATTTTCAGGTTCAAATGAAGGTTTTTCAAGTGATGGAAGTAATTTCATCGAGTAGGGATGAATCTCTTGAACCGATAAATCTTCCAAATCTATCAGTATCCATTTAGTTTGTTGAGAAAATTCTTGAATATTATCGAATTTCAATCTAGACTCAATAGATGGTGTACACAACTTGTACAGAAAGCATGTATCATTCAATCGACAATGTCCAATAATTTTCATCTTATCACTGAAATGTTTGTAGAAATTTTTAAAGTCACTTCTTGCTAACTTTCCATTCGTTTTTCCATCATCCATTACCTCGAAAGTTAATTTCCTGATGAGATGATGATTTTTCTTTGATTTCCTATCTTCATAACTGATAATCAAATAATTATTCTCTTCACTGCTGCTACTCTGATTCAATCTTGATAAAATATTCGAATGAATAAGAAAACAGTGTGCGAATGGCATTGGAGAAATATTCACCACTTCCTTAATAAGTTTTGAAGAATCATTTGGTGCTTGTTTCAAAAAGGTTGGTTCAATTTGTAAAGTGTCTCGATGATGCTCCTCAAACATTAGAAACATGTCATGTTTGATGAAAGGCGTAGGAATAAGGTAATTCAAATGAGTAAAATGATCATTATTTGAAAATATAGGCAAGATGGGAGTCACTTCAAGCTTTGATCTTTCAATATCTTTCTGATCCAGCTCAATTGTAAACCTTTGAGCATAATATCCACAATAATAATCAAAAACCTTTAAAGTACCATTCCTTGTACTAGGATGTCCATTAATCAATGCTTGTTTAAACACATAATCATATCTATCATATTCCAATACTGTTTGTTTCCCACAAAAATCAAAAAAGTATTTTCTTGTTAAATTTCCATCATTTTCATTATGCAACAACAAGGAATTTAATCTCAACATTTTCACCTTCATATTCACTGTAACTCCTTCATTATATTTTCCCTCTCGTTCCGATCTCTTCACCAAACACACTGCATGGGAAATGTTCGGATCATGTTTTGAAGGAAGATTTAAATGATTGGTTTCATCATTTTGATTTTCCAAAAAGTAATAACGAGAATGTAAATTATTGGTTAATGGGGGTGAGGAACAAACAAAAGCAATGGGAATGGTGGCATATTCTTCCTCCCTAAAATCTAAATGCGCCATTTTTTTTTAAAAGATTTTGAAATTTCAATTTTAAGAGTTTACAATAAATAGGTGAAGTATTCAAAGTCAATTTAATTAATATCTGAAAAGTACTTGTTTAGTTCAGATTGGTTCTCCAGTAGTGAATTAGTTCTGAAAAAGATTCACACACAAAAAGGTTCTTATTGACTTGGTCTTTCCCATTGAATGTTATTTTCATGCATGTGTTTTAACAATGCAAGGAGAAAAGAAATTACATTTTTCAATTCAGAAACAAATTGAGAAACAACTTGATTGTGATGAACAAGTGAAGAAAGTACTGATTGAATCACTCATTACAATGATTCAAAGAGATTCAACAAAGAGACTGAATTCACTTACAAATTAATTATGGAAAATTTAATCAAATTTTTGAAAGGTGAAATTGCTGATTGTTCTCAAGGAATTTCCTCTTACATGCCCAAATTCGATCGCCTTACAGAAAACAAAGGAAATATCTCTGCACTTACCACTCACAAATACGAATTGACCAAGAAAAACAAGTTACTAATGGAAGAAATTGAACAGTTACGATCCCAAGAAGGTACTTTGGATGTTTCTGTATTGGTTAATGATCTTGAGACTAGACAAGCATCTCTTAATGAAGAAATAGAACAAGTCAACCTTTCAAAACAAATGATTCTGGAGGAACAGTTAGAAATTAACGGGCAGAGCAATGCATTGACCATGTTAAACCTTGCTCAACAAGAAGAAATTGAAGAATTGAAGAAGGAATTAGCAAAACTAATTTTTCAATGTTTGAGTATTGACATTCTTGTAGTTTACCTTCTCTAGTTTTCATAAAAGCGCCATTATTTCCTATTAATATTCTCCAAAATGTTAAAATTTTCTTATTGCTAATTTACTGAGCTGGAGTGGTTTGAGTCTGTTGCTGATTTCTGGCAAGTTGATAAGCTGCTCTATGAGCTTGAATCTTTTTTCTAATCAAAAATTCATTATAAACAAAGCATACAACTAGAATGATAAGAACAAGATAGAATACTGGCTTATCAAACATGTCATCCCAAATAGTGTCTTCATCTCTAGAATTCTTTGAGTGATAATCAGAATTGAAATAGCTTCCATAGGTAGATCCCTTTCTATCAGAGTCGAGAGAAGTTACATCATAAACAGAAATGGAGCCATCATCCAACATTACTGCCAAGTTATTATCTGAAATAAAGGTAAGTGATTGAATTGGAGCAGAGTAGTACTTTAAATGACTTCCTTCTCTTTCTATTCTCAAGTTTAACATGGACTTGAGAGCGAGTCCTTTTCCTTCAATCTTGAACACAAATCCTACAATTTGATGAACAACCACAATGTAAGAACCATCATGATTAATGGCTATAAAATCAGGATGGTTATATCTTTCCAATCGTTTCTTAAGAGACTCGAAAACTGCCAAAGTTAATTGATCTTGAGAATAGTATCTCTCCTGTAATGATCTGACATCGTACAAGCCAAATCCTGTACCAACAAAACTGTAATAGGTTGTCTTGTCAACACTGAGGTTCTCTCCAGAAGGTCTGTAAATGTACATGCAACCACCGTGAGCTGGGAAAACAGTTGTCCTGCCATCTCCACTTTGATAGGAAATCTCCTTTCCTCTATAGTAAACATCATATAAACGATGAGCACTTCTTGAAAGAATTCCTGTAAGAGCTCCTGGAAGATTATTGTCAATTCTGCTCTTTTCCCACGTGCCATTAATAAGCTTGTATGTGTTGGATTCTACTAATGGACCATGTTTGAAATCATTATCATACATGGAGTGGAATTGTTGATTTCTTACATCTATAACATCAGCATTCTCCTTTAAACTCAAAACTGAGAATTGATTGTCTGGAAGCTTAACCTCATGAAGAGCTAAAACATTGTGAAGATCTTTCATTCTTGGAATTCTTGGATTTGTCTTGTCCATTTTGAGAAGAGGTGGTCCATTCTGTAATAATGTTCCATTTGCACAAATGATTCGATATTCATAAAAATCATTAACGAACGAAGCCATTACACAATCCTCATCCAATGAAGTATCAGAAATACTAGTAACTTCCGGTCCATATTCATACAAATTAAAAATTCTATTCCTTTCCTTCTGTGGACATATTTTCCTTGCCTCCACATAGGTTTTCACTCTATCACTTTCATGAATATCAACACGTTCTGTCACCATAAATATGCAATCTCTATTTCTATAGTGTGCAGAACCCTTCTTTGTAAAATAAACTTTAGAATTTTCAATTAGTTGATCATCAGCAAGTTCCCATCTCAGAATATTAGCTTCCTCCAATTTCATCAACATTTCCGTATCAACTCTCGATAATTCATTCTTCAAATTAAAAAGCTGTAATCTAATAATAGATCCCACAAATTCAAATGTTGAATTCAAAGCTGTATCCTCATGAATAACCAACTTGGAAATATCAGCAGCTGCTTTTCCAATATTATTAATATTATTATTATTATTAATATTACTATTTAATTCCTTCTCTTGATGAGATGATGGTGATAACAATAAATAGGTTGAAAAGTAATTACTCTGTCTAGAATCCATCGCTGAAGGTGAAACCTTATATTTGTATAATTGACGAGTATTGGGAATGGAAAATACTTTTCGTGGCAAATTTAATATTCTCGAATCGAATTGATTCTCAGAGTAGGCTGATAAATCTCTCCTATAATGATCACTGCCAGCACTGTTGTATGATGATGATGATGAATCATTGGGTCCTCCCGAATAGAAATCCAAAATTTGATTAAAGAATTGAAAAAAGATAAATAATCCAATGAAAAAGATGGTTACCCTCGGGCTTCCTCCAATGAATATAACGGGCATTTTGTTTTTTTCTATTATTATTATTAAAATTATTAAAATTATGTAATATTTGTATTGATGATGTTATTGTTGTTGGACGGAGGAGAAAAAATCAAGTCCGATAGACACGTTTTTTTTGTAAAGTTTTTGCATTAGTTATTGCGCTTGGAAGAGTTTCTAATATCAAAATATTGAAAAGATCTTTTATTCGACATGAATATTGAAAATAGTATGAAATGGAATTTCTTATTAAGCTTCAATTTCCAAGCATGTGAAAGATTAGTTTGAAAAATTACCATTTGTTCAACTTGCATTACATTAATAACTATAAAAAGGTCATTCTCGTATATCTCCAAACTTTTGTAATAATATTAAATCAATGAAACAAAACAGCTGTTAATATTGTTTTGATTTTTTAAATTACAAAAAAATGGTCAAACGTAAATTATTGCTCATTTCCAATTCGACAAATTTCGGAGGAGAATATTTGGAACATTGTGCTAGTCAGTGCAGAGATTTCTTATCGGGATGTAAAACTGTTTGTTTTGTTCCGTATGCCTTGACTGATACTGAAGGCTATTTTAATAAGGTGGAAAATGGTATGAATTTAATATGAATTTTAGGAATTTAATTATTATTAATATTTGGAAAATATTTGGAAAATATTCGGAATGGAATATTAATTGTTATTATTATTATTTTAAATATTTGATGTAGCCTTTAAAAAGTATAATATTTGTGAACAAGTTACAAATGTTGCTCAAAAGGGTGGAAATCCAAAGGAAATTATTCAATCGGCTGATGCTGTTTTTGTTGGAGGTGGAAATACATTTAGATTGTTGAAGAAACTTTATGATAATGATTTAATTTCATTGATTAGAAAGAGAGTTTTTGAGGAAAATATGAGATACATGTCTGCTTCAGCTGGCACAAATGTTTCCTGCCCAACTATAAGAACTACAAATGATATGCCAATCCTCTTCCCTCCATCTTTCAATGCTCTTCAACTTGTTCCATTCCAAATTAATCCTCACTTTATTGACAAGCACACTTTGGAATCATTAAAACATAATGGAGAAACTCGTGAACAAAGAATTCAAGAGTTCCACGAAGAATTGGAAAATCAACATGTTCCAGTAATTGGCCTCAGAGAAGGAGCCATGTTATTGGTCGAAGATGATACCATGACTTTGTGTGGAGCTAACGGGGCCAAAATATTTGCAAATTCACAAGAAATTGAAAAGGTAACAGGAGATGATTTATCATCCTATTTGAAATCCAATTAAAAGAATTTCAAATACTAGTAATTTCAATAATTTCAATTGAGTTTACAATTTGATCTTAACATTCAATGCCAGAACTAAAATAGAAGTCGTACCTATTAAACGCTTTATCTCTCTGCTTTTAAAGATCACAAGAAAAAATGCACGCACTCAGTCTAATAACAATTCTTGATCATTTGATTTGTTATTCAGATGATGAATCAATATATAAATTATCACAATGTTCAAAAGATTGTCATGAATCAATTCATCAAATTAAAAGACGTCAATTATTTAAATTAATCAAGGATGGAAATATTCTTCATAATCAACACTTGAGATCAATTGAAAATATTGAATCAGTACATAATGAAGAAACGTTAAAATTGTTAGAAATGATTAAAAGGAAAGAAGACGAATTGAAAATTATTTTGCCTTCCTATTTGAAGGAATTTATTTTAATTTGTGGAGATTTAGATTGTAGATTTACTCCACATTTAAATGGATATTATTCCTCACATCCTTGTTACAGTTTTATTCCCTTCCAAGAATGGGAATTTTTAAAAACTCATTTTCTGAAAATTCCATCAAGAACAGAAATTGAAAAGAAATTTAAAGCTCACCAAAGAGATTCTTTAGTTATTGTTGGATATGATCCAATTACTCATTGTTGTTTATTATTAGAATCTAATAGTGGTTTATTGTACGAATTTGGAAGGAACGAATTAACTAAATTTGGAAGTTTATTTGAATGGTATACAAAATTAAATAGTAACAAAACATTTAAACATTCTATAAATAATAATCATCATTTGAATCAATTACAACATCCTGTTACAACAGTGGAATCAGCAATTAAATTATTAAAATTCAAATCAGGAGATTACTCACAAATTTATAAATATTTACCAATTGATTTTAAAAAGAATGAACAACTAATTATGGAAGTAATGAAATCTGGATATGTAGAAAAATATATTCCTTTCAAATATAAAGATAATGCAGATTTCATGTTACAATACATTAAACAAAATTTAGATGCTTTCCAAATTTGTTCAGCCAGATTAAGATATGATATTGACTTTGTAAAGAGAGTTTTTGAAATTAATCCAAAAATTATTTATCAAAATAATTCAAGAGAATGGAATTTCAAAGTTAAACCTTTTATTGATGTATAAATAAACAACATTTTAAAAAAGTTGAAAATTCAAGTTTAATTACAAAAGTTTATTTGCAAATCAATTGAAGAATCTTTTCCCTTAGATCTCTAACTTCCTCCTCGGAATATCTCTGATAGAGACCATCCACATTCGGTGGACTACTCTCCCTACAATAGAATTCTCCTGGATAACTCTCTGGCACAACATCTGGATATTGTTGCAGGAAGAGAACTGTTGGCTCCTTTTCACTCACTTGGATGGTATGAATTTCATTCGGTGAAAGATCATAACTCTCGCCCACCTCACAATGATCAATATGATTCAAATGAAGCAAGACCTTATTCAATCTCTCAAATTGATGTGTATGATGAAAATAAGCATACTTCCAATAGAGATCTGAATGATCTTCCTGAGCTTGTCTCTCCTCAAATACCAAATTCTTTAAACTTCCATTCAATACAGTTGTTTTAAAGTGATACCTGTGATTGTGTGGATTGGCAACATATCCCTTTCCATGCTCAACAGGATCCAACAAGTAGACCTTCGTAGTAATATTACAACTTCTCTCCAAACATAAATAATTGACTCCCCTCACATGATAATCTTTAAATGAGTGTTCACACAACTTTTTCAATGGTAATTGCCTCAGCGACCTCTCCACATACAAACCATCCATCTGAAATACTCGATTTATCAATGTTGACATTTTTTTGTTATTGCTTTCATCAATCTCTAATTTGAATTCAAGCATCAAGGAACTTTGAAATTCGAACACGTCTTCTGATTGAAAATCAAAGATGATCAATAAATTCTTGCACATATTAATGTTTTCCTCATCATCGTGGTCTCTTCGGTTTTTGTTCCGTAACCACCAGCCAGCAGCCACTTAGAAAGCCTTCATCATCACTTCTGCCAACTATTCAATGGATTGTTTTTTTGCGGCAAAGTGCAAAATGCAAAGACGTGTTCTTAACGTTGATGAAAAAGTAGGTGCAAAAAAAATTCTCTCTTCTACACCTACCTCATAGTTTTTCAAACTTTTTTGACAAGTTCTTGTTGTTGTTTTGTGGTTTTCCTCTAAATTCCTACTACTATTACTACTCCTTTTTTAAATTATTATCAACTATAAACCTTCCGCTCTTCATCAATATATTGACGCGAAAGGACCTACAAACTCTATCTATTTTTTAATTCTTTCAAATACAACAATTTTGTTACGTGTGCTCGTAAACTCGATACAAATTCATAATCACTAATTAGAGCCGAGTTTAGATCATTATTTACCTATAATTTCTCTCAGACTCTACTGTAGATGCCTTAACTTATTTAATATGACAATCAATTATAATTCAAACCACCATCACAAAACAACAACACCATCATCACATCTTTCTTCATCTTAAAACACCTTTTGAACAAATTTACAATAACAATAATAATTTCAATATGGCACCAAAACATAAACCAAAGAATAATAACAAACCTAAAAACACACCGAGTAATAACACCAAGAGGCAGGATCACTCTGATCCTTCTCAGACAGGTGTTAACAAAACCAGTAATAATAACGCAATGTCAGGTATGTAATATTATACTTTTCACTGTTGATTAACCATTCTGTTTAGAACCTAATGTACAGGGAAGATCTTTTAATTCTAATAATCAAGCCAATAGTAATAATGGTAATAACAATATTAGGAGAAATACAAGCACTTCTTCTATCACAAGTACTGACAGCAATTCGAGTAATGATGGATCTAATTCTCCACTTCCTAGAAGGAACAATACAAATTCTTTGAAGAAGAATAATCTATCAAACAACAACAACATATCACCAACTTCTCCTAGTACTCATCAAATTAAGAGAAAACAACACGTTCCACCTCCTTTGAATACTAATTTAACACCAAAACCTAGTGAGAGGATTGAACTTGTATGGAACTGTTTAAAATCACCACTTAAACCACCAGTAAGAGGGTTTCACTCTTGTACACTAGTGGGCGATAAACTTTATATTATTGGAGGTGATAATAGAGTGGAACACTTTAAGGATGTTTGCATTTATGATTTGAGTAAGTTTGTTCTTTTTGAAAAACAAATTGATTAACAAATTTTGATAGAAACCAATTATTGGATTAAACTATCAGAAAATTCAAATCTTCCAATGCCTAGAACAGGCCACTCAGCAGTACTGTATCAAGATAAATTGTATTTATTTGGTGGAAAAAACGAAAACTATTACACCTCTGATCTATTTATTTACGATCTGAGGGAAAAACTATGGGACAAAGACGTACAACCCCACAATAAGAAAGTAAGTCTGACACCAAGAGCAGCACATAGCTGCTGTTGTGTAGACGATAAAATGTATATATTCGGAGGTATCACATCATATCAAGCTAATGACGGCAGAAAAGCAAGTGAATATATTGATGTATTATCTATGTATGATATTAGTCAAAGAAGGTGGAAAAAACCAAAAAATAAGGGTGCAGCACCTTCTGCACGTGCCGGTCATTCTTGTTGTGTTATCAACAGAGACATTTACATTTTTGGAGGAAGACAAGGAACAATTCTTTTCAATGATTTGTACAAGTATAATGTAGATTCTGAAAAATGGTCTAAAATACAAACTAAAGGTGAGGCTCCTCAACCAAGTGCTGGACATACAATGAGTGCTTACATGGATAAGATTGTAATTCTAGGAGGTTCTGATTGGAAGAAATATCCAACAGAAATTTATGTATTCCACATTCCAAGTAAGGTTTGGGTAAAATGCGCCTCACTCGGAATTACCACTGGTAGATTTTGGCATACAGCCACTGTCTATGAGGACAATCTTTATGTTTACGGAGGTGGTACAGTTGAACTCATTGACGATATTTATTCAATCAACTTGAGATCATTGAATGCCATTTCTGAAGCTACTGCACTGACACCTCAAAGTTCAGCGTCTCCTGTTCCACTACCAGAAATGCCACTTCAAACATTCGCATCAGCGCTCAAATTTAAAACTATTTATAAGGCTGAGATGAGAGTGTTTGCAAAAGTTCCAAGAGATGTCACCTACTTGGAATTAAAAGAAACCATCAGCAAATCATATGGTTTCCCAGTTGTACTCAAGTATGTAGAGCTGGATGACGAAAAAGACGAAATAACCATTGGATCAGACCGAGAATTAAGAGATTTTATCGAATGCTTTGAAGAAATGGGTAAGGGTCTGAGATTAGAGCTTAGCGAGGAAAGAGTTGAATCTGATAGTGATTCAGAAATTGATCAAGAAGAGGAAATTCAAGCAACCACTAACGGCACAGGCATAATGTGGAGAAAAGGAGGCCTTTTGGGAAAGGGTGCTTATGGAGAAGTTTACAAAGGGCTTAATGTCAATACAGGTCAGTGGATGGCCGTAAAAATTATTGATCTCTCTGCAACTTCGGAAAAGGAGAAGAGTTTAGTGGAAAAGCAAATACTTAACGAAGTCAATCTCATGAGCGATTTACGTCATGATAATATTGTTCGGTATCTGGGAGCCGAATTCAACAGGAAAAGGACCAGACTATTCATTTATATTGAATTGGTTGACGGTGGAAGTCTTTCTGAAATCCTCAAAAATGTTGGTAAGCTAGATGAAAGTGTAGTAAGACAATATACCAGACAAATATTGTTTGGCTTAAAATACTTACACGATAAGAATATTATCCACAGAGACATCAAGGGTGGTAATATTTTAATAGAAACAAAGAGTGGTACTATCAAATTGGCTGATTTTGGTCACAGTAAGAAAATTACAGAAAATGTACAAGCTTCTCTTCGTATTTGTGGTACTCCAATGTGGATGGCTCCAGAAATCATCAAAGAATCCAAGTATAGCAAAGCTTCAGACATTTGGAGTGTTGCTTGTACAGTAATCGAAATGCTAACAGCTGATGTTCCATTCCCAGATCTTGTTTCACTTGAAAATACTGGTGTCATGTATAGAATTGCCACAGGTGCTGTTCCAAAAATACCAGAAAATTTGAGTGAAGAAGGTAAGGTTTTCCTTGCCAAGTGTTTCAATCAAAGTCCAGGTTCCAGACCAACTGTTGATGATTTATTGAAGGAACCTTTCCTCACAACATTGAGGTACGTTGGTGTCTCTTATCCAAATGATGAAACATCCTCAGAGGAGGAAGAAGAAGAGGACGATGAATCTTTCCCATCCCTTGATGATTCTGATTATGACGAAGATACTAATTCTTTCGATAAGGGGAAACGTCCATTGTCAACAGGAAGCGAAGAGTCTGATGGAATGGAAAATCCAAATCCAAACAATAAGGGAAAAGGTCCACTCGTTGAAGAGGAAGAAGATGAGGATGAAGATTTTACCGATGAGGACGAAGACGAAGATGAAGAAGATTTTTCTGATGACGAAAGTGAATCTTCTTCCTACAGTGAAGATAAATCTTCTCAAAGTATCACTCAACAATTGAGAAACATTCAAGCCAACAATCCAATTTTATCTATGGGATTAAGAGGAAATTTACCAACTCAAGCACAAGTGGCCCAAGCAGCTCAATTAAGGAGAGCACCTCCACCCCTTGTTTCAACCCCTTCGACTGGCACTTTAAGAGGTGTTTTGAGAAACGACATTAATCAAATGAATCCATACATTGCACAAACAGTAACACAAGTAGCTTCTACTCCAAGTTCTACTCTGAATATTGGTTCCTCAGCTTCACACAGCAAAAGTGTTACTAAAAGTGCTTGTGATAACGACGTAATGTCCTTCTTACAAACCAAACAACACAACAATCAATAAAATGTGCCATCAAATGTCATCGCTCTCTTTTAAAAAAAAATGTTACAACTCATTCTCATTACCACCAACACTGGTGTTCCTAAATTCAAAAAATCACTAATAACTGATCTTGACCGAGATATTTTCCTCAGACTTTCCAATCTAATAGTAACACTCTATGTAAAATCTAAACGAGAAGTTGATCATAAATTATCATATTTTGAATTAAATAATCGAGGAGTGACAATAGAAGAAAATACACAAACAAAATTATTATGTATTCTAATGCACGATATTTCCGATGTATGTTATTTCTCTAAATTTACTAATTAAAATTATATTTGAAAATTTCCATTTTTATTGGAAACTCCTTGTATCACCAATATTGACATGAAAAATTAACAACATCATTCTCATCTTTATTGTCATCTTTATATGCAGGGCCATGAATTTGCCAAGTTAGTAGCTGAGGAATTACTCGATCGTTTCATTTCCACATTCAAAACACCATCTCTCGTTTCTAAAAAAACTCTCTATTCGAATTCATTCAAAAACAATACCATCACAACACCATCAGGATTGCCTGGTGGTGGTAGTGGTTCTTCTGGAAATCAAGTGGCCGATAAGAAATCCTCACCACAACCACAAAATCCACCCAATTTATTTGGTGGTGTGAATTCCATTGATTTGAATGATTTGGAAACAAGTGTTGATACCTCACATCGATTTGATCAAATGATGAATGTTGAACAATTGTCGGTCGATGATTTGGAACAGGATGAGTTTGATTTTAATAATGTGAATGTGGATGAAAAGATTTTTGAGGCCAAGTTGGCTGAAATTTACTTGGAATTGGTTTATCCAATTATTGAACATTGTAAGTGAGAGTTGAGTTTTAATTTACAAAATATTTGAAAATGTTGAAATAGTGGATAGCGTGAGAGGAATTTTAAATTCATGGGTTATTGAGAGTGGCGATGAGGGAATTTTAACCACAACTAAACCTCAATTGGAAGCAGATTTAAAGTTTCTTGTGAATAATTGCGACAGATTACTGAATGGTGAAATGCAAAATTTATCAATTAAGGGAAATGGAAAAAATCTTCATATTGTAATTGTTGAACACAAGTGTCATTTAGTTGTCTTGTTGGAATCTAATGTACAACCTGAAATTACAAGTTTTGCCATTGAGAAGGCAGTCTTTTTATTGAGGAAAGTTTATGCACTCAGGAAGAATATTAAAATTCAATAAATTATTTCTTTCTTCTCTCAAAGAGATATGATTTCAGTAATGTTTGTTTCTCTTGCTTTTCTTCTTGTGACATGGTTTTCAAGGAAAGTTGTGCGTATATGCCAATGTAAGCAATCTCTGGTGATGGATGAGATGAGAGTTGGAATAGCAACTTTTTCACATCTTCAGGTACTGTTACTGTTCCGTCCTTTTCCAATGCAACTCTCTCTAAATAATTAAACACACTCTCTGGAAATTCGATTGTTTGTTTTAAAGATGTCAATTTCTTGTTAAGATCAAACCATTTCTTTGCAATTGTTGTTAATCTTTTTGTAGACGTATGGTCTCTCTTGTCCGAATGTACTTTATCCAAGTTGTAAAGCAGTTCATAGATTGAAATATCCCTTAATGCTAAATCAAAATTAATACTGATTCTATTATCTGAATTGCTGCATCGAACACTGCTTGAAAGGGATTTGGGGTGTTTAATGGAATCAATATACTTGACAGTGTAAAATGATGTGTAAATGGTATCGATCTTTTTCCCGCGTTCCTCACCCTCAAAACAAGAAGGAAATCTGAGCTTGGCCAAAGAGATAGCATAAACCCCTGTAAGTATACAATTCTTAAATAAATCACTACCATGTAATGAATATTGTATCTTTTCTTGATTGATTTCAGTTAATCTTAATGAGTGTAAGATTTCAATTAAATATCCAGAGTATGTTTCAATGTTCTTCTTTGTACTGAGTCGAGTCAAAGTGGTGGGTTCAGTTAATCCAGGTCTTGTTTTCTCGTAATAGAAATATAAATCAGAAATAATAAATCTCGATAATTTCAATAGGATAAGGCTCACTGAATCATATGAACTAAAAGGAATAATCCGGCTGTTAGAATTCAAGATTGACCTGACTGTTTCAATAATTTCTAATGTTTCGAATTCTTTAGAAATATAATAATCTGCGTAATCAACTGCATCTTGATTTTCTACTTTCCATGTAAGCTTTTTACAACCATACAAATAGTTATCAACGGGTTGACAATTTGAAAATTTCCTGATATAATCCAATTCGGTGAGTATTTCAGATTCCAGAGATGTGCTATCAGTTTGTGTTTCTATATATCCTCTAAATTGTCTTTCTTGTTTTTGATTATTGGTACCAATATTCAAACCAAGTTTCTCAAGTATGTGTAATTCTCTTGAATATTTAAACTTGTTGAATATTGAGAGAAGGTCAAAATACATGTCAATATTTAGTTTTCTATAAATCAATAAATGGTCTGCAAATTTTCTGTGGTTACTATTGAATAAAATTGATAGTCTAATAGTCCACGAATGGATGTTTGATAGTTCTTCTTCATCAAGACCTTCTTCTTGTTCATCTATTTGTATCAAAGAATCCCACAATTCATAAATATAATGAATGGAATTTTCATTGTGAGGATTATTGAAATACTTTTCAGTTTGGAAATAGAAGAGCTGAGTGAGATGATTGAATTTCTTCCATTTTGAAAGTAATTTAACTATTTCATCAAAATGAATAGTCTTATCATTGTAAACACATTCAACCAAAAGATTTGAAAATTCTTTCTCTTGTTTTTCGTCCATATTATTTGTGTGAGCGTATGTTATTATATAAATATCAGAGGTTTCATCAATTTGAGCATTATTAATAAGGTCAAATGCCTTTTCATACTCTGATTTTCTAATGTAATAGGATGCCAAATATTTCTTCCCATCATTGGAACCTAATTCGTTGGCTCTTGTCAAATGACTTTCGCACAAGTTTTCATTATTGGTTTCACTCGATTTGTTATTCACACAATTCTTAAAAAAGTAAATTCCTAATTTTGTGTTAGCTTTTGTGAAGATATCCATCTCCAAAATAGATAATGTTTTGGAGGTTTTGGGAATGTCTTGTATTATTTGGAAAATACCAAAACCAAGAATGGAATCACTTAAATACGAAATCGAATCTAATTGATTGTCTTCTCTTTCCATTAATTGCGTGATTAACAGCCGTAAACATTTGGCTGACAAATCACACATGAAAGGATGATAAATGTCATGTAGGTCCATAACCAAAGATGAGTAACACTCATTCTTTGGACCACAAGAAAAAGGTTGCAACTTTACAATGGTCTCAATAAGTGTCTTGTAAAAATTGAAGGAGTGATCATTTTCATTGTGTGATTTCTTCTCAATGTAAGTTGTTACAATGTCACGGCATAATTGGATCACATTAATGGATTTTCTTGCACAAGAGTTTTCTTTGCATTCCAAAAAAACAGAAGCAAGAGTTTGTAATAACTTGAGCACATACTTGTCATTGGTCATGTTGGGCGCATTAAAGAATAAATCTCTTGCATTCATGGTCAATAAACTTGCTTCTTTCACTTGACATTCACAACAACTAAAATCTTTTACAAATTGTAAAAAATTATCAAACTCTTCATCAGCAAGGCTTGTTTTGACTTTTTTGTTTGGATGGAGAAATTCTTGATCCTCCTTTTCTTCATCATCTTGATGCTTTCTTTTCAACAAGTTGTTACTTTCCAAATTATCCATTCTTTCTGCAATCACATCCTGTTTCTGTCTAATTTCTGTTAATACATTCATAATATTCTGAAACATTTCGCTATGTGTATACATATTTGATGAGGTTGAAAGCATATCAATGAGGCTATCTGAACTTTCTGAATCAAATAATAAGCTGTGTTCTTGGCTATCGTCTTCTAATGGTGGAATAATAGTGTCCTTCCATAGAGGCGTTGGATTGTCCACTGGTTTTCCCCATTCAAATTGAGTGAGAATTCCATTCATATCATTGGATTTATGTATGAAAATTACAAAACTGTTGCCATTGACACAGTTATCTGCTTTTTCAGTGATTGTTTCATAGGGACAAAAAGGTTCTTTGCTTAATTCACCATCTTCTTTTCTTATAATTTTGTATTCATAACTTCCAGAAGAGGACTCCAATAGATGTTTAAAGAAAAATTCTTCATCGTCCACATGAGAATAATCATAATAATCAAAAACTCCTTGATTCAATACCTCACCGAGAATATAAATTCTGTCATTTTGCAATTCCATACCATTTTTACAAAAAACAGTATGGAAACAACGAACAGAAGAGTCCTCAGCTTGATCTGCCAATTTAAATTCAACTTCTCTTTTGTACCATCTATAACTAAAATATCTCAATTTTCCTGGCTCAATTTCTACTAGGTTTATGTCCCTCTTAGGACCATTGATTCTCTCTTTTGAGCTTGCACCACCAGAAGTTCTTCTTGTAGTCTTGTTCTTATTATTCTTGTGACAGGGTAACATTGATTTGTCAATATTTAGTTGGATAGAGCCTTCAAGATTAATTTCCTTTCTTGATTTGTTATCATCCTCAACAAAATATTGAGATTCTGATTTAACATGGAGTTCATCTTCACTCTTTCTCGAATAACTGGAGATTATTAGATTCAAAGTCTTATTTTTGGATGGTATTTCGCTAATGTTAAATTCAATTCCCTCCTTCTTCTTTTTACTATTCTTTTCAATAAAATTGTAGACAGTAATACATTCATGATCCTGATTGATGCCTTCATATGCAATTTCCAAATAATCATGTTTAACATTTGAAATGACAAGTTTCGGTTCACTGTGTTTTGCAATTTCCTCAACTTTTATCTGATATGAATTACTAGCCGAATCAGCAGGCAAAATATAGGCCCACTCTGATCTTATATCAAACAATCTACAGGAAATACTTTCATAATTTTGAGTAAATCCCTCTTCTGTTGGCTCCCCGAGTACAATGTCTTTGGGTGTTTCTTTTCTTGCCATTTTTTTCTCTGATGAGAATTAATTATCGGATTTCACGTTGTTTGTAATATTTGACGCATCCATCATTATCGAATCGAGAAATCACAAAAATATGTTTTTAATTTTGTATGAGCCAAGAAAATTTGTTTCATAAAACTATTAATCTTGTTGTTGTCGGTGTTCAACAACAGCATTAGGTTCCGATATTATTGAAAAGTAAATATTATTTGAGTCAAAAGAGTTGGTCACCCAACTTCGCGCTATTTTTTTTAATTGAAACAGGTAGCAGAATTTTAATTGTGGCGGGAAGTTGAATTCCACAAGTTTTCTAAAAGAAAGTAATTCAGAAAGGTACACATTCAGAATTGATTCAAATGATTGAATCCCAACAAGATGATGAATAGATTAACGACTAAATTACATGCAAATACATTTCTTTTTCTTTAACATCATTACATCTTGTGAAATTACTTTTTTCAATAGTTCAACATCCTTCCAAGTTCCATATCTATATCTTTTAACACAATCTTCAAATAATTCATTCACGTTCTTCTCTACATTTGTATTTTTAACAAAACATGTTTCGAAAATTCCAACATTATTCAATTTGAATTCCTTAATCATTTCTTGAATTTTTTCTCTCCAAAACTCAATTTGAGATTTAGAATCATCTCTATCAACCTTATTAATTGCAAATAGAATTGGAATATCAATTCGTTTTTCTTTCACTTCCAATAAAACAATAAGCTGTCGTCGTGTCTCAATGAATGAGTTTAGATCATTTTCTGACACTACAATGACAAATGTTTCAACCTTTTCAATGTAGATTGGTCTCAATACCTCATATTCAGAATTTCCTTTCATCTCCAAAATATCAATATACACCATCTCATCGTCTACACAAATTATCTTGTGCATGCTGTCTTCAATTACTTGGTCATGCCATCCCGATTGTAATTCCATTTCCAATTCTTTAGCGAAATATTGATTGACCAGTGTGGATTTACCACACCCTGATGGTCCAAGCATTAATACTTCAACCTTTCCCATTCTATTTGTTTCTCCATTAGAATGATTCATTTTCCTTTTACACATTCTTGTTAATATCACTTTTCTTTTTAAAGTTTTTGATACAATTAATTGTCTTTCCAATTCTTCCTCATGAAATAATTCCAAATTCACAACATCTCTTTTCAATACATTTGACCAAAATAAATTAAAAACACTTTCCATGGCTTCAGATAATTCACGATTGAGAGATTGAAATTTTGCAATACATTCTATTTGCTCCTTTTTTGAATAGAGTCCTTGTTTCCTATATTCAAAATCAATTGCAAATTTTAAAATGTGATGAAGAACATCATAGGAAAGTAATCCAGGTAATGTCATTTTTTTTATGAATTTATTTCTAATTTTACAACAAAGTTCGTTACAATGTGAACTTGGACAAATAATCTGTTTTGAATGAAGAGAATTATATTAGGTTATTAATTAATAATTCCATTCATATTTGTTTAAAATATCTTGACATTGGAAAAAGAAAATGCTTCAGTGAAATTGTGTGCCTTTCTTGCAGCGAGTGCAATACCATCATATGGCAATGAAGACTTGATTTGAATGGATGTTATGGTGTTAGGTTTTGTTGGTTGAGCTTCTAGAAAATCCAGTTTAGGCATCAATAAGAATTCCTCTTTAGGTTCAGTATATATCTTTGTTAACAATTGTCCAACAGAGGATCCAAGCTTATCACCATTAATTGGGTTAGCACTTCTCACTACTCCTTTTGGTTGGATAACACCATATACATAAATATGAATATCTTCATTTCCAGTAATTTCCTGAACCTGAACTGAGCATTCAATCTTTGAAAATTCAATTGGATGCTTGAAATATATAATAATAGGCTCCAAATTCTCTATACTGTATTGGAAATTATTAGAAATTGATTGTTGTGCGAATCTTGTAACTTGGTATCCGAATCCGGTTGTGTTAACACTTGATTGATTAAGATTAGGATATTTCTTATTAGTTCTTTTCAATGATACCAATTCTCTTTGTCTATTTGTAAGTTGGTCCCAATTAGAGACATACTTTTCAGACAACTTGTTTAAATCTCTATCTGTGTACCATAGTCTCTCCTTCAGCTCTGTAATTTCCTTCATCATAATTTCAAACATGGTGTTTAACTTATCACTATTGTCTTTCTCTTCTTTAACAAGATTAAATACCATATATTGATCATCAGAACCAGATTCACCAACCTTTATGGTGATCGATTCTCCAACTGCTGTGGAACATGTGATTTTATTCATCATCAAACATGTCTTGTAATATTTGAAATGAATCAATGTTGAATTTTCCTCTCTAAATAAATATTGATGATAATTGAAGGTACATGACATGGTAATCGCTTGTTCACTCTCCAAGAAGGAAAGAAGCAATTCAATTCTTTTACCAAATCTATCATCACACTCAAAATTAAAGCTTTGTTGATTTACCATTGTTTTTTTGGTTTGTTTGTTGACCTTTCCAATTGTTTCTTCAATAGCTATTTATGTTGAAATGATGTTGGTGAGCCAAAAATAATATTTCTTTCGAAATACCTTCCAAGATGAAGCATAACGTCTTAATACCAACGTTTCGAAGAGCATAATTTACAACTTTTCATATAAGGTTATTGAGCTTTATAGGATTACGTCTATTCGAGTGCAAATAATTATCGAAGAATTTTTCCAAAGTTTGAATTTTCCTCTCTTCCACCTGACATCTTTATTCCGTAATTAAAAGGAGTTTCAGGAGTTTTCAAACCAAAAAAAAAATGGCAAATTCAAAGACCCACTCACCAGCCACCCTTGTGGTCTTGGTGATGAGTTGTTTCATGTTAATGACAATCGGAATGGTCCACTCTCTCAAACTCACTTCCTCTCTCGCCGATGATTTATTATCATCATCAAATTATATCGGGATGGAAAATAATCAAGAACATACCTCATTGAAGGTGATGAAGGCTCATTATGAGATGAAAGGCTGGAAGAGAATTCATCATCAAGATGATTTGATGAGATTATCTGGTAGTGAAAAGAAATCTATTGAAGAAAAGATTGAAAATCAAATGATTCATGTTACTTTTGCATTGAAGAATCAAAATGTTGAATTGTTGAGAAAGAAGGCAATTGCTGTCAGTACTCCAGGACATCCAGATCATGAAAATTATTTGACTATGGAACAAGTTGCTCAATATACAAAGCCATCTGCTGAAGATAGACAAAATGTCTTGCATTATATTAGTACTATTCCAGGAAGCATTGTTTTGAAGGTTTCAAAGCATGAAAACTTTATTGAATGTTTAATGCCAGTTTCCTCCATTAACAAGTATTTCAAGGCTGATATGAAGCCATATATGCATCAAGAAAGTAAGACTGTCTTGTTGAGATCTTTGGAACAAGGTTATTCATTGCCAAAGGAAATTGCTGATTCAGTTACTTTGATTTCTGGCATTGTTCGTCTTCCAAGCATGGAAAATAGAGTCAAGATGACCAAGACAGCATCTGCTCAAGATGATGGATTGATTACTCCACAAGTTATTTGGAAGAGATATAACATTACTGTTCCAACATTTGTTAGTTCAAACAGTTCTCAGTCTGTTGCTTCATTCTTGCAACAATATTATAGTGAAAGTGATTTGGCCTTGTTCCAATCTACTTATAACTTGGTTAGACAATCACCAATTGTTTATGGACCAAATGATGAATCCAATCCTGGTGTTGAAGCTTCTTTGGATATTCAATATCTTATGGGTGTTGGTTACAAGATTAGAACTACCTTTGTCTCAACTCCTGGTGTCAGTAATGTTACTGGACAAGAAAGATTCTTGTACTGGGTTACTCAACAACAACAAATGGGTGATGCTTCTCCTTGGGTAAGTTCTTTTTAATTCACAATTTTTCATCTTAATACCTCATTTACAGGTTCATAGTGTTAGTTATGGAGACGATGAATCTACTGTTACCAGAGCATTGGCTGATCAATTAGATATTGAATTTATGAAATTTGCTGCCACTGGACGTACAGTTATGGTATGTTGACAATTTCTTATTTACCGATAATATTAACCAATCAATTCATAACAGATAGCATCAGGTGATAACGGAGCTCAATGTAATAATCAAGGAACCAAATTCTCTCCAACGTAAGTTTTTTACAAATTTTCCATGGTTTTACAATTTAAATAGTTGGCCAAATACATCTCCTTGGGTTACCTCTGTTGGTGCTACAAGACCATCAAGTGATTATTGGGAAAAGTCAGTTGACTGGAGTGGTAAGTTAACAATTTAATGACATGCTCATTCTTATAATATTCTTCATACTATCCCTTTTTAATTTAACAAATTAGGTGGTGGTTTTTCTTCTCTGTAAGTAATATATTGATTTAAATAATATAATATAACATATTTTAAAATAGTTACTCTCGTCCACAATATCAAAATGATGCTGTCGCCAAGTACTTGAAGACTAATAACATTCCTCCAGCCTCATTCTTCAATCCATCCGGTAGAGCTTATCCTGATGTCAGTGCTCTCGGTAAGTAGCTCAATATATTTCCATCTCATTTCTTACATGTTATTTTTTAGGTGTTGAGTAAGTATATTCCAAAACAATTTATTTCTCATTTTCAAAATAGTTATCAAGTTTTCGTTGGTGGTTCCATTCAAAATGTTGCAGGTACTTCAGCAGCTTGTCCTTGTTTCGCTGGTGTTGTCAGTTTGCTTAATGATGCTCGTTTCAAAGCTGGTAAGAAACCACTCGGATTCCTTAATATCTTCCTCTACACTCAAATTCCACAAAATCCAAAGGCCTTCTTTGATATCACTCAAGGTTATAATAGTGCTAGTCCTTGTCCTTATGGTTTCCCAGCTACTAGTGGATATGATGCCATTTCAGGTTGGGGTGTTCCTAATTTCCCAGTTTTGAGAGATCTTGCCTTGAAGAAATAATTTGACAGATCTATGAATGTTTAAGTTTCCAATAAACTATTGGAAAATGTTTTACTGTAAAATTTAGCATTTAAAGATTAAATCTCTCTTTAATCCAAGTACTCTCTAAAAAAGGAACCAGAATTATGAAAGAAACTGAAAGTGATGGGAAGAAACTAAAGACGAAACCAAACTAAAAAAAATGTTCTCCTCCAACAAGGCTCTCGAAGGTGAAATCAGTGATTCACCCCGTAGACATTCTCTCAATATTACGAGTTCTCTGACGGTCAACCCTCCAAAGGCAGCACAATCACTCAATTCAGAGCAAATGAAAGAGATGAAAAAAGAGAAACGAATTCCTTCGATTCTTCCGAGTAAATTGATGAAATTCAAGACGAAATCATCCGATACATCATGTAGGTTCACTATTTACCTCCCTTTCGAATAGTTCGAAAAATTTCGAATATATTTTATTTCGAATAACAGTTGATAAACAAGAATTGAAACAATTATTGGAACAATTTACCGCAATCGATGCCAATCAAAAAAAGAATGGACAAATCAGTTTACATGAATTTCTCGTTTGTCTCGGAAGATTAAACGGAAATGAAGATTGCATACTTGACAATTGTCAGGCAGATGTCGTTCTAGGAAAGATTTTATTCAGAGCTTTCGATAAAGATAACAGTGGTTCAATTGATTATCGTGAATTCTTAGCAACAATGGCAATTCTTTCAAAAGGAACAATTGAACAAAAATTGGAATTTGCATTTTCAATGATTGATTTGGATAATGATAAGAAATTGAGTAGAGAGGAATTGCAGAAAGTTATCGTAGCTCTCTATAAGGTTTTACAATCTTTGGGGTTGAATAGTATGCCAGATCCAATTGTTTATGCCAACAAATTGTTTGATGATATGGATGAGGATAAATGTGGATATTTGACTTTGGAGGCGTATAAGAAGGGGGCTACGAGGAATTCTAATGTTTTTCTTGGAATGGGATTGTTGGAAAATTCGGATAATGAAACTATAGGTAGGTTTGAGATTCAAATTTTTGAAATCAATGTGAAATAGAATTTGATGAAAATGGAATCAAGTTACTGAATGAAACTGATTTGAAAAATAGAAGTAGCAATGATCCTTCCAAGGCACCTGGTAAAATTATTGGATTTGGAAGTAAAAAGTGGAATTTATGTTTAAATATGATGATTGGCATTCGTCTCTCCTCTGATTGCATTGGTTCAATTGATCAGAGAGATGTTAGAATGGAAGATTTCAGTGTGAGACTCATGTTTAATTTACCAAAAGATTCCAATAGAAATATGACTAATCCAGAGCTATCTGAAATTGATGAGGAGGAAGATGTTGGAGCTACATTTATTGATTATGCACCTTTCGTATTCAAACACATTAGAAAAATGACTGGAATCAGTGAGGATAGTTACATGATGAGTTTGGGACCTGAACAATTATTGGGAGGTCTCTTATTGGGAAGTTTGTCAACTCTTTCGTGTTCCATATCAGATGGTAAATCAGGTTCATTCTTCTTTTATAGTAGTGATCGTAAATTTATGGTCAAGACAATTTCAAAGTCTGAAGTGGCATGTTTGAAAAGAATCTTACCATTCTATTACAATCACATGATTTCGAATCCAGATTCTTTAATTGTCAGAATTTTGGGTTTCCATGAAATGGTAATTGACAATGAAAAGTTTAACTTTATTGTAATGGGAAGTATTTTCCCACAATCAAGATCGATTGACGAACTCTATGATTTGAAAGGATCAACTCATGGAAGAAAGAATCCAAATGGATTTTGTAAGAAGGATCTCGACTTGATTGAGAAGGAAAGAAAATTCAAAATTGGAAATGAAAACAAACTATTGTACATGAAAATCATTGAGAAGGATGTTGAATTTCTCTCAAAATGTAATTTATTGGACTATTCACTATTGGTTGGAGTTTGCAATGCTTCGAGAAATATCAAACAAGATCAAGAAGTTGGAATTAATGTAAACTTGGTCGAAAGTTCTCCAAGAAAGAATAGTGGAAGTCTTGCTGGTTCCAGATTTTCCAGAAGAAACAAGTGTGTCTGTGGAATTCCAAGTATTGATATTGCAAGAGAATTGCAAGACGATGGAGAAGTGTACTATATTGGAATAATCGATATCTTGACAGAATATAATAGAAAGAAGGAAGCTGAACACACTTTGAAGAGTATCACAAACAAATCGGATACTATTAGTGCCATTCCTGCAAAGCCGTATTCTGAAAGATTTTTCAAATTCATGCATCAATGTTTCGAATAATAAATGATATGAAAATTTTGTACAAAATTTGGTGATTTTAATCTTGATTAATTCTAGTTCTGTGTGGTATTGTAATTCTGTAACCTTTTTGTAACTCCCCTATTTCTTTACCTGTTCCTCCAGTTACCATTGCATCATCGTCAAAGAAGAAAAAGCTAGTCTTGGAAAGTGCCTTGTACTTTTGGTTTTCAGGTTCCTTAATCGATTTGGCATCAAATACCATATCATAAATGTGTAAAAAGTCATAATCCTCCCTTCCTGTATCACTAACCCAAAAGTTTTCAATCTCTGTCGATCTTTCCAAGCTGTACTTTTTAGCAAATCCTCCAATAATTGATAAATGTGAAATAGTAATACCAAAAATATCTAATTGAGCTCTAGATTTAAATTCAATAGCTTCGTTATTTACAATAAACTCAACCTCTTCCTTGGAAACTTGAAGTGAGGTAGCAACTTCTTCAATCCAGTTTGGATTATTCACAAACACATCAGCTGTTTCCTTAATAATTGACTTGACTGCCTTGGAATAAAAGTATTTCAGTCTATATTGGCCTCGCTTCAACTCTTCAAAATATCCATACTTATTAGAAATGACACTATCTAAATTCAATCTCGACAATACAGCCGAAACAAAATGTTGACTATTACAATTGGATTCGTCATAGTAATGTTTGCCGTTATATTTACAGCAAACTCTAGCAATATTAATAAGAGCCATTGAGACTTTCTTAGTTCCTTCAATCTTGGAGATGGGAACCAATTTTAATTTTCTTCTATTTGTATGTGTTCTGATATTACTGACAACATGCCTAGATGAAGACCAAAAGAGGACGGCAGTACCCACTTGAAGAGCTAGAGGTAAAATGCCTTCTCTTTCCTCTCCCATGGTATTGAAATCTTCCAAAAAGATGAGTCCAATATTTAAACTGCTCATAGCAGCGGATTCTTTTGTAAGCTCATTCATTGATAGGAATACATCCAATACGAATCTGTCTGGAAGAATCAAGTTTTGTATTTCTGCATTCGTCAAGTGTTCATTTCCTGTAAAATTACGTTTAGTTTGTTTAAACAGGGTAACATTCTCACGTTCCTCACTCGTAAGCACATCATCATCCCAGACACTTTCCAGAACTTCTATCGATTTCTCCAAGTTGATTCCATGAATGGCATATGATTGTTGAGTTGGTGATAAATCCTTTCCAGCATTACGCAAGTTAGAAAATGACGATGATGGATAGAGTAAATGATGGTTTTGACTGGTCATGTTAGGTAGAGAATTTACAGCAACAATTGGTTGTGCACTTGTTTCAATATTTGGTGGCAAATCCAAGTTTCGTTGAATTACATCAGGTGATGAGATGGATGCTTTTGTACTACTCGCAGTAATGGAACTATTGATGAAATTTTGTGTGGTTGATGTAGATCCTCCCTTCTTACATTTCTCAATGTATTTTAATAAATCATCCATGGTTGGCTCGTCGAAATGTTCCAAACCTTCCTGACGAGCCTCCATTCTATTCGAAACCATCTCAGACCTACTCACTGCAGATTCCGAATAACAAGGAAAAGGCTGACCCATTTTCTCTTTCAAAGCCTAGTTGACTCAATATGTACACTATAGAAGCAACACGAGCCTCTACTTTAATATTATTATTATATAAATTGATTTACTACTAGTAAGTAATTTTGGTAATCTCCTCTCAGAACAAAAACAGGCTAATTTTTCTCTCCTCCTTCGTTTCTGCTCTTTTCTCGCTTGTTGCTTGTTGTATTTTTGTTGTTTTTTTTTTGGTTTTTTCTCCCCCAAAAACAACCGCAGACTTGCCGTTATCAGCACCTAATATCAATTATCAAAGCCTGAAAATAAAAATAACAGCAACGAGAGACAAGATTATCGATATTGTTATTATTAGCATTGCATCATCACCATGAGCAGAAGAATTTCTGCAACATCATATTATTCATACAACTGAATGATGGCATTTCGTATCTTTAACCAACAGGTCACTCCAAAATGTTCATCAAAATGCACAATTAGCAAGTGAAAGGTGAAAGATGTTTCGAATAAGGAGTGAGTGATGAAGAATGCATAGTAATTGGTAATAGAGAACATACATTGTGGTGAGAGATGGGTATTTTTCAAAGTTTGAGTGTCTAAATATGAAATGTTGTAAACTATTGTTAGATGAGTGAAGAAAAGAATGATTCGTAAACGAAGGGATTGTAGATTAAACAAGATGGAGAAGGATTAATATTGGGATAGAGTTTGAATAAATGATGACTGTTCTCATTAACTGGTAAAAGAAGGAGAAGAAAGTTTATTAGAATGTAGAAGGAGGGTCACAGGATTTCGAATATTATTGGAATAGTGTATTCGAACTGTTCGCCATTTATCTAGATGCGAAAACTGTTCATTGGAATGGAGAAATGCTAGAATGTTTCCAAGTGATTCTTTCCAATATTGATTATTTCGTTTCGAATGGAAAGGTTTCTCTTTAATGACTAATAGTACACTAACATATTCTCTACAGCACATTTATTTGCCTGATTGAACAAGTTTGTTAAGCATTTCCAAATAAATGTTTGTTAAAACTGTTGTACTGGATAACGATTAAAATTCAAAAAAAGAAAATGTCTAATTTGGAAGCATTTACAGTTTCACAACCTCAACAAGTGAATGAAGATCATAGTGCATTAGTAAGGACACTGATTGATGAAAGTAATCAATTGCCAGTTAAAACACTTGTAGAAATTTACGAACATAACATTATTGGATCAATAACCACTTCCACACAACCAATCATGAATCATAAAATTGTAAATAAGGAAGAGGAGGAGGCAGAGATTTTCATCCGACAAGTGTACTATTAATAAAGTGATACTTATTATGATGATGCTTTTATTCCTACATTTAAGGGAACATGATGAGTGGCATTGAGTATTCCTTTTCATTTCTGAGAATGGATAAACATTGAGTGAGGAATTTTGTGAGTTTGAGTTCAGGAGCAGGTTCTGGTGATGATCCAGTGCTTGAAGTATTGCTGGTGAGAGGTTGCATTGGAAGAGAGGTTGTTTCACTCCAATAACATTCATACATTACCATGAGGAATTCCACAAATTTTCTATAGCAACCATCTGGAACAAAGGTCATCATGCTTGATGGGAGAGATTGAGTGATTTGAAGATGAAGTGAAGTGGCATCTAATAGGTCAGTCCAAGGGAAGAGGAATACAGGATACTGATCATCTTCTATGGATGATTCGACTGATTTGATAACTCGTGGAATGTCAGAGAGCACTTTGGATAATTTCAAAAACTCAATATGTTCGTACTTTTTCTTGTATGATTTGCTTGATGGTTTCTTTCCGTATTTTACAATTGGAATGTGGAATGGCATGTTGATTTTAACATCATCATTTTCTCTAGTTTCACATGTTGGTACTAGATGGAGCTTTTCACACATGACATTACTCCAAATCCAGTACTTTCTCTCATCCTCTGCTGATTGAATAAATTTAGGATCGTCACTAGAGTAAAAGCAAAAGAATTTTGGTCTTGTCTTGTTTTTTGGAACGAAACCAGATTCCACTCGCTTCTTACTTCTCGTTAATATATCCCTAATTGACATGCATCTTACTGCATTCTCCTCAAATATTAATTCCCAAGGAATTGCTTGCAGAGAGGTTGGAGCAATGAGAGTGATAGGTGTCGAAGGAGTTGGAATCATTTCTGGTTTTGGCATTGGAACACTCTTCTTTTTTGTAAAAGTACTCGTTTTTTGATTCATACTGGAGCAATAGTTAAACTTGTCAAATCCATTCCTTTTCATATATTCAGCATTTTCCAAAAATTGGACAGGATCAGGTTTGTACGAAAGAATGTCGTTGATTGAGGAGAAGTGGTCTTTCAACATGGCAATGTTGGACTTGTTCATGATCTTTTCCTTCTTATCTCTCATACTCTCTGTGATTATTGCCTTGATAAATTCAGACATGCTAACATCTTCTGTTTTTTCCATGCTATGAATGGTCTTGTAAAAGATATTGGTAGATACGGAACCAAGGAGTCTACTGAAGGAAGCATTAGGATCAAAAGTATCATTTACCTTTGCTACATCATGCTCAGTATTCAGGAAAAGTTTACCTCCAAATGATACAAACTTTTTCTGCAACAAGTTAGGAATGTAAAAACTAATGACATTATCAAAATGTGAGAGGAGAACAATTCTTTCAAAGCATTTGGTTTTCTTCAATTTCTTAAAAGCACGTTTAAGAGGAGTGAGACATGGGGCTAGGGAAGCTTGCTTTTGTACATTGGCATTGTGGGTATTAGCGTCTATTACTTGCAAATTCATAGTATTCTTCAATGTTCCTGAAATAAGCACACCTTTAGACTCATTGAATGTTGACAGCAGTGACTCTACTACAGATTTATCACCTGGAAGTAATGTCAAATTGGATGAATCTAATAACTCTATGGAATTAATAGTCTTTGTACTGTCATTTGAAAGTTTGGAGCTCTTGTTGTAGAATGATCTCTTTTTGTGAGTTGAGAGTTTGCTTTCTCTAACAGCATTCATCAAGTTATACAATCTTCTCATGGATTGTTGATTCTTAAATCTCAATTGACCATCAATTTCTCCTGGATATTTTCTTCTATCAAACTTCATACTCAACAAGCAATAGAATAATCTTTCACAAACTCTGTGCTTGAGATGTGTTCTGTGAGAGTCTTCTTTTGGTTCGATTTTATAGGTGGCATCCAGTGAGGACTTTAGAGTTGGTGATCTCAACATGGATGAAAAGGAAAATCCCTTGAGGGGCAATGTTAATGTTGATGGAGTGTTCACTTTGTTAAGACCTTCATACGGCTTGTTTTTATCCAATAATTCTGGATCAATGAAACAGGAAATTCTAGTGACCTTGGCATCATTTTGTTCAATGGAGAGACAGGTAGGTTCTTGAGTTCTCTTCAATGACATTTCATATTCCATTGATAATATGTAGAATGTATCAAAAACTCCAATATTGGTATTAATGAAGGTAGTTTCAAAGAGTAGCAATAATCTAACACAACGTTTCAAGAGTAGTAGAATTTTTTCTAGCATTGCAGGGGTAGCTCCACTCGAAACAACAACCTGAGAACTATTGTCAACAAAGAGAGTAAAGAAAATGTCTCGCATTTCACACCAATACTTTTTAGAACTGTGTGTTCTTCCTTGGAGATATCTGCATTCGGCTGCAGTTAAATTCACATCCATACACATAAATACATCAGATGCAGTTACAGCAACATCAAGTGTTGGTTCAATATAATCATTAAATACTTCTTCAAGGTCAATGTATGTCATTTTTGAATCATTGGAACATAGATCAAGATAATCTTCTGGCTTTTTAGACATGACAGTAACTGGAGTAAACATATAGTCAACCAAGACTTGGGCGATCAAAATGTCCATCTTGGCTAAGCTAATCTCATTCGAACAGGCTTCATAATATTTCTTTGCTTTTTGGAAGCAATCTACAGAGTCAGAAATAATTATAGCCAAAGAATCATAAACAGGTCTCTTGGAATAGAGATATTTTTCCTTTGGTGCATCTCTGAGAACTTCTGATTTTTGAATCAGTGTCAAAATTGAAAGCCTATCTTTCTCTGATGGTATCAATTCATTTGGGAAAGATATTGGATGACTCCATTTGGCAACACTCATCAATATTTTTCCTTTCAGTTTGAAGAGTTGAGCCAGTGTTGAAAATGTTCTATTGCACCTATAGAGAGCAATGTTGATTGTCTCAATGGAGTTTCCAAACATTGACCTCTTCATATAGTACTTGGTTATAATTTCTAGTAACCTCATTTCTTGTTGTTGCTGAAGTTGCATAAAGTTATTCTCCATAATCATTTCCAATTCTTTTAAAACCCTTTCACATTCCTTGAACCATTTCTTTTTTAAATAGGCCTCAGCCAGAGTAATGTAGAGATCTGGATTTTTGATAGAGAGTGAAGATTGAATGAGGCCAAGGCAAATATTGACACATCTTTCTAAATTTCCACCATTTAAGAGTAATTTAGCATAATCAATTTCAAGTTCCATCTTGAAATCAAATGATGATGAGAGGGATTTGATCGTTTCCAGAGCATCTCTTTTAACTCTCTCAGCATTTCTGAATTCACCTTTTTCCATAAATAAGGCAGATAATTTTGAGGAAATATTTGCAATTACTGCCACACGTTTGTCACGGCAAGCTTTTTCATTCAGGATGGTATAATATCTGATGGATCTACTCCAATCATCACTCTTAACGGCAAGGGCTGCCAACTCATCAATAAACTTGTAGTCATGATCTGAGGAGAGAAGTCTATAGTTTTGAGTGTACATCTCGTAAATAATTGATGCATACTGTGGCTTTCTGTTTGAATAGAGGGCGTCTCCAAATTTTCTCATTGCTTTAAGTGCTTCTGCACTTACAATTGTTGGAATTCCCACACAAAGAGGAGGACATTTTTGGAATAGATAAACACTTTCAAAAAGTGCACACTCTCCAAGTCTGGTCATGTCAGAATCACCCTGTTTGGCCCAAAAAGATCCCAACGAATAAGCTACATAGGCTTTGTTCTTTGAGATACCCATTCTACTGTAAAATTTGCTGAACATGACAGCAATTCTCTCGTGAGAACTTAATAGTGGATGTCTGAATTGAGGTATCCATGTCTCAGAGCCAGCATGTTTTCTCAATGTAGAATCATACAATTCTAATAATGTTACAATTAGTGCTCCACAGTCACACAAGCTTGGGAAGCTAAAATAGGGGGAATTGAATGTGGTACCCATGGTTGAGGAGCCAACAAAAATAGGTGCATCCCTAATCTTTTGATCAACTACAGAGTAGAAGAGTGCATTATTTTCCATTCCTTCCTCTGGTATGTCAAAGACTTCATTGAAAATCATGGCCAAAGTGGTAAAAACTTCGCTAATACTGTCAAAATCAGGGAACATGCCAGTTTCTAATTGGAATATGTGGTACTTGATTTGAATTTCACATTGGAGAACAATAATGCTTGCTCTCTGAGTTGGATAAGCATTGAACAGCAGGGAAATCATTTCAGTATATTGAGCACTCTGTTTTGGATCTTCCAAATTGAATAATCTTGTAGAATTTGCACTTTTCAATAAATCTACACAAATGTGAAAGAGGTATGCTCTCTCATTTAGAGCGAGTTTGTTAACAACTTCAGGTGTCATATTTTCGAAAAATTTAACCAGAATACTCTGAGTAGTAATTTGCTCCTTTGCAATATGAATCAGTCTGTAACAAATTTCATAGAAATTCTCAATAAACTCCATTGAAAAGTCATAGCTTTGCACTCTCTTCTCCAACCTCGAGAGGAGAAAATTTGTTAAATCATCTCTAGAGCAAGAGTCAATCACATTCTGATCTTTGACTTTTTTAGGTATTAGAGATTGAAACCACAGCAACAATTCACGTTTTCCTTCATGGAATGATTTTCCACCAATCAATCCTTTAGTTAAAACAACTTCTGGTAGCATTAGCTCTTCCTTGTAAGTCCTCGATTTAAAGAGTCTATACTTGTTAGGGAAGAATTCTTCTTCGAAAAGATCATTTTCTTCATCTTTAGATTCCCTGTCGTCTGTTTTATCTCCAAATAAAATCCCAGCCAATGAAGATTTTGGAGCAGAATTAAAATCAATTTCATCTCCCCAATCACTCTCACTATCACTTTCATCACTATCCTCTTGCCACTTGGATTTCTTTGGAAGATCGGTATTGGTTTTTTCTTTTTGCTCGATTTCTTTCAGAACCTTGTCCATCTTTCCATAAATTTCAAGTTCCAATTCACTAAAGTTTTCACTACATGCATCTTCAGGCATGTCAATTTCCTCCATAGATGAAAAAATCAATGTACTTCCCTTTCCAAGTCTGTTGACCAAATGTAAAACTCGTTTTGCCAATTCCATTTCAGAAAGAGCTCGCAAACAAATACCCATATAATATACAATCAAGAGAAAAACTTCGAGATTTAACACAGAGACAAAACCTGTCGAAGTGTACGACGTCAAATCACGAAGAGCAGGCACAAGAAATGATGCCAATACCTTGTACAAGTATTTCTTTTCACTAATTGTCATTTCGAGACTATTAAAAGTAGGTTTGATAATCTCACTCATATCTTGTGAATTGATCATTTCCTCTGCCAAACACAGTAAAATTTCTGAATGTAAAATCCGTGTGGACAGTACAATAAATGATGGTGAATTTGAGCAAATAAAATCAGATGGAGCAACAGATTGCAGAAGAGCATCAGTTTTCTCCTGTGCACTTTCCAGATATTCATTTGCATCGTCAACTTTTTTCTTTTGTTTGAGGATAATGGATTTGAGGAATAGACATTTCGAGTGTAGCAGTTCAATTTTTGGTACAAATTTACCATATTGATTATTGGTGGCCAACTCCTCAACCCTAGACAGTTGGGCAAAAGATTCGGCAAACTGTTTGTGTTCTCTGTGAATTTGAGCAATTTCCAATCGTTTTGTCATTTCATTAGCAAGAAGTGTTTCATACTCTTCTGTTGTTGCACATGTTGGATCCCTATCATCGTCCTTATAGTATTTTCCAATTAAATTATCCAATTGTTCGTTCAAAACTCTGACATCTCGGAAGAGTGACCACTTTTGATCTAAAACAATTGTATTGGCATCACCGTAACCATTATGTAAATCCAAAATCCTCTCTGTTTCAGCTCCCTCCTCAATAACACTATTCAAATCATGATCCGACTCTGTTTTAGAATTACTCTTATTGGTGATAATGTAGGTGATATTCTGTTGGGGATTTAAACTCACAAATGATACATTGGGTGAGAAGTTTGAATTCAATCCGGCATAGGTTGTTGTAGTAATTGTTGAGGCATCAGAGAGAAATCTATTGTGATACTTGTGTTGATGTTCCTTCAGGGACCGATGTTTGGTTTGTGTTGCTGTTGTATTGTTATTATTATTATTGGATGATGAGGTAATATTGATTTTAGAGTCATCACTAACGGATAATGAAATTGATTTAGTTACACTCAACATTTGCTTCTTCCGATCTTCCTCTGATTGTATCCAAAATTGAGGAAGTTTAGATTGGTTCTTGAAGAATGTTGCTTGGATGGGAAGGATGGGTCGTAAATCGTTACATTTTTCAGCTAATGATATTAAAGATGATGATGAACACAAATGTTTCTCCTTTTCTACTGCTTACCTGCTATTACGAAAGATTCGATAAATTGAATTTCTAGAGCCAGTTGCTCGTTGAGTTGGTCGAATGATGTGACCGTACTGGCTGATTGTGTTCTTTGCATGTTTTTTTTAATGATGATGGCTGACGGAATGATCTGTTGAGTTTTGTTTCAGTGATAATGAATGAATATTAAAATGGTTGCTCGTACGTTTCATTAGGTTTTTTATTCTTCTTGGTTTATCTTTGCAATATTTGAACATGTTGAAGTTTGACATTTAAGGATATCTCTCACTACTAAGGTTCCTTCTCGAAAATTTCTAGTACTCAGGACGTGAAGATATTCTAATCGTTAAATCTGAGAAATGATTAAAGATAGCTCTGGAAAAGCCCTTTCTTTTACCAGGTAATATAAACATGGAACGAATGGTTCCTTTGCTATACATCATACTCGTTGTGTCATCGTAAATAGTTCTGTACAAGAGGTGAGAGAGGTGGGAAACATACTTCTTGATAACAGACTCTGGTTCATTTTGTCTGTGAGCAAAATCCAACCTCATATCACAAATTAGTAAGGCATTTTCAATATTAATCGGAACATCCACTCCAATAAAACCTTCAATTAATGGAACATATTGACATGATCTGGCAAAGAGGAAATAATCACACTTCCTTTCCAATAGTTGAGGAACACCAGTATTCCAAGCTCTACATATTTGAATGTAGGGACTGACAACTTTATCCTCTCCTTGTGCCAAAGTATGATATTCCAATTTGTAGTAAATTTCTGTTAGTATATCTTCTATCAGTTTCGCCTTGTCTGTTAATCTTTTATGTTCTCGATACTTTTCTGTAATAATACTATATGCTTCATCACTTGTTATTTTTTCAATCATTTTCTTTACAACGTCTCTCTTAGCTTCATAGGCATAATATATTGAAAGAATATCGTAATAAGGTTGGGAGTGTGTGATAACACTTGTTAAATCATCAAGAGCAAGATCCAATCTTCCAAAATGCCTATAGATAGCTTCTCTTTGTAGGTATGTATTTGCGTCACTGAAAACAACTCCTGACATAGATTTGTACTTTCTTGTCATTATTATTGATATTGTAAAAAATTTGAGTGCCTTTCTCAAGAGTTTTTCCTTTTCTTCCTCACTAGTATTTTCATCGTTAGCAATGTGGTAACATGATTGTCCAATCATTGATGGAATTTTAACCTTGTAATAAGGATTGAGTATAATTTTTCCCCTTTCAATTTTTCTCTTTTTTCCACTTGATTGTTTAGATGATCTGAATTCTGGAGGAAGTTCAGATTTATAATCACATTCTCTATTAGATGTCATTTTCCAAATAGCCATCAATTCCTCCAAGGCTTTAGGAAATTGGGAATTATAATAATGATGGTAACCAATAGAATAATGTGGTTCAACTTCTGAATAGTAAAAGTATAATCTCTGATCATCACTACCAATATTTAACTTTTCCAACCTTTGTTGTACCTGTTTGTCAAAGTAATCCTTCTGGGTTTTTGCTGAATTTAATAAAGTTTCTGCAGGTGCAAAATTAGCATTTACAATATGTTTCCAAGCTTGGAATAAAGTAATTATCCAATTCGGATATTCCAAAATATCAGGACTCTTATGTGATGCTTTTTGAATTGATAAAATCATTAAACTCTTATCCAAATCACTCTGTGCTAATTTTCTCAATTCCTTGTGGAAGTAACTAACTTGATACCACTTTGAAAAGATGAATTCCGATATCGGAAGTAGAAATAAATTAAATCTGAATCTATTCGTCCAATTTTACATACCCAAGGTATCCATTTTGCTCTCTGAAATTGTGGTTGATAATTTGTACTATTTTCATTGATACATTGATTTAAAATTCCTAAACTCTTATTAATAAAATTGTCTCTTCTTAAAAACTGTTGCTCGCACAACAAGGATTCCATCTGAATATTACCAGTTGAGAAGGTATTTTCCGTTAGGAAGGGACACTTCTCCAGTAATTTGTCTAGCGTATCAACTTCATCACTTTTTGTTGTTTCACCACCGAAGAACACTTGTCTTAAAAACATTTTTTTATGTTGTGTTGGTATTCAAGAAGGAAGAGTTAATTTGGACAATTAATTGAGATTAATAATATCAAAAAATGAATCACTCACCATTCTATCAACATCATGTTCATCATCCATACCCTCCGAGTCACCAACAACAAGTACACCAACAACAACAGCAGGATCATCATTATCTTCCTCCATCAATGAGCCATCATCATATGACTCCACCACCAACATCAAATATGTATCATCAACACCACTCCTATCCTTCCAGTCATTTATATGCTGTAAATTCAAATTATCAAAATTCAGGCTTTGGTTATCAACCCCATTTACATTCCTACTCTTCTGCTGTGCCATCACCATATCCACCACCTGTTAGTGAGCCACATTATTATGATATCCATCCTCCTCATAGTACTAGTGGGTCATCTGGTTATATGCCACCTTCTCAGGCTTCATCAAGAATGGAAGACAAGCCTTATGATTACTATCCTCCACCTCCACCAAGGTATTCAACAGGAAAAGAATATGGAAGAGTAAATAACAACAAGCCTAATAATCCAAATACCAATACCAATCACAATAACAACAAGAGGTTACATGCTAACAACCAGCACACTGAACAACACAACAAGCCTTCGGAAAAAATTGGGACAACAAACACAACAAATAATTCAATAACTAGAAAACCCCAATTTGAAAATAAGAGAAAAATTACAGTGGATATGCAGCCCAACAAGAAACAAAAACAAGCTGTTCCAACATCAAAAATTTCAACAGAAAAAACTAACGAAAAAATTGTAAATAATAGTAATAGTAATAATAAGAATGAGGATAAATCGAGTGATGAAAAATTGGATATTTATAGAGTATTACGAGTTTGTGCAGAGAATAGTTCTGCTGATTTGACAGAAAATGAAATTTTCAAATATTTTCCTAATGCTTTAAAGGTAAGAATGGAAAATCAAAGAGATTTTCTTGTTGAATTTTCTTCATTGGTCGACATGATACCATATATTGAGTCGGAGACTTTGCAGGAAGAAGAGACTGTAAATATTTCCATACCAAAAAGTTTGATACCACCAGAGTATGCAAACAATACCCAAAAGTTAGTTCTTGAATTTATAGATTTCCTCAAACAAAAGCAACCTCAATCATCATCTAATGGTTCTGCTTTTGACCCTTCTAATTGGAATAAGCTGATATCCTCAATCAAAATACCTCAAAATGTTTCTCCTTACGAGTTGTTGGAATTTAGAGAACGAAGAGTTAAGAAAGTTCTTGGTAAGAAGGAGTTTGGAATTCTCATTCATGATAAGCCTAAAATAACAGATAAGATAGGCTTTCCACTTTTTTCAAATCCTAATATGACAGATAATAGGGGCAATGAAAGGTTCTTCTTTTTTGCATTTTGCAAAACTGGTACAACATTCTTGGGCAAGGAAGAAATTTCCAAATGTTTTCCAAATGCCAAGGCCATACATTTTGATCCTGGTGATCATAGAATAATTGTCGAGTTGAATAATCAAAATGACTTTAATGCCTACAAGAAGATTAGCCATTCTGGAAAACTACTTGTTCGAAATCATTCCTTCCTACTGAGAAAGGCCAATCCTAAAGACATTCCCCCAGATATTCTCAACCCACCACTCCAACAAAGTACAGATATTCCAACAGTTACTCAACCAAGTTCTGAAGAATCAAAGAATGCCTCAACTCCAGACAAGAATCTACTCTTACAGCAATTACGTCAACAAATGGATCATCCATCAGAAACGCCCAAGCAAGATCCAAAAGAATTGAGAAATGCCTTACTTGCCCAAATGAAAACACAACCATCAAGCGTTGAATCTTTGGAGAGTTTTATCAGCCTTTCTGATCCAGAAAGTGAATCATCAAGTGAAGAGGATGAAATGATTGAGGAAACAGAGGAAGACGTGAGGTCTTACTCGTCTTCTGAATCAAATAATGAGGAAGCTCCATCATCTCCCCAACATCCAACAACACCCAACAAGACTCAATTACTATCAGCACTTAGAGAACAAATGCAACAATCAGCTGAAAAGAAGAAAGAACCAACTCCAAGCACAACCTCAGTCTCTGCATCAAGCTCCAATATTCTTGGTATAAAGAGAAAGACTTTTGCCAGTCACTATGCTCTATTTCACCCTAAATTTAACAAATAAAAAAAGATCTAGTATCCACACATGTTTTGTAATCTGTTCAATTCCAAAACTGAAAAAAACAATGCAACAAGATCACATCACATCAACTCCACTCTAAATGACGACTATCTGTTCGAGTTGGATGATGACGATTCCACTCAGGACAATGGTGAATCAGCCACTTTAAATTCAATGCAACATTATAAACAATTCGACATTCATCCTCTCCTCTTACATAATATCATTCATCAAATTTTGGAATATTCCGATAATCCAACCAACATCCTACTTGTTAATAGAAGTTGGTACATTTATTTCCATCATGTTTATGTTTTGCAAAAAACAGCAAATCAGTCATTAATCTTGGATCGGATTGCAAAATCAATATACAACAAGGATGTACAAAAGTTTACAAATTATCTTCATACCATGGTACAGTGCCACGATTATTTAATGAAGGGAATTGTTCATTTGCAAATTCAATCAGAACCAACACCACCATTGGAAAATAATAATACAATTTTAGAAGAAGATCAAGTAATTATGTGTTTATCCAATTCATCAGTTATTACTTGGAAAATTGGTAAATTTAAAATAGGAAAAGAGTTTAAAATTTCCTCACAGAAAAAGAAACAATCAGAAGGACAAAAATCAAAATCGAATACTTCTGTTTCATTCTCAGAGTTAGGTGAACAAGCAGAAGCTTCACTTTTCACTAGTATACCATCCTTGTCTAATTATAATAATGTCATTGTAAGTAAGGTGAAAGCTGGTGAGAAGAGATTCATTGTTGTTGGAGGATCTGATTGTACCATTAGAGTTTTGGATTATGAAACAGGTGAAGTTAAGGCAAGTTTCTCAAAAGCCAATCGTCAACCTATTCTGGCCTTGAATTTGTTTGGTGATAAGATTTTGAGTGCAAGTGATGGAGTCTATGTAATTCAATATCAAGATGTGAAGGAAGAACAAGAAAACGACAATGATGAGGAGGAAAATGCTCTCGAAAATGAATTTGAAGAGGAAAAGAAAAAAACAAAACCAAAAGTGAAACTCAGTAAGGAAGAGGAAAGAAAAAGGGAAAAGGAATTGAAAAAGCAATATCAGAAAAAGAAAAAGCCAAAAGATAAGAGCAGCAAATCTGCCTCAGTGACGAAACCAACTCTAACTCTTGTGAAAAATTTCAGGCACAACAATGCTGGTCTGGTAACATCTGTCAATATTCACAAGGGTGGAAAATCATCCCTTTTGCTGATTACATCCCATAGTGAAAATAGTGTACGTTTGTGGGATTATGAAAATGAGAATGTGCTATTGGTTATTAGAGGAGACTACTGCTCTCCAGTATTTTCCTCATTTCTCTCATTTAAGGGATATGGAAAATCGAAAACATTTGATATTTGCTCAATCAATGACAATTTTGAGAATGTTTATGTGTGGAATCCAAAAACTCATGATCCTTATCCAACTATTCAATTCCAGAGTAATACTGTCTCAACAGTTGAGGATATTCTATTCAGAAAAAGATCTTCCCACTCTAATTCATCAAATATTTTAATTCCAGACAGAGATTCAAAGAGTAATCACTTCTTTTTAATGTCCATCTTCCAATTTAATTATTCCATACCATTCCAAATTGAAAATAATAACATATCTAGTTTGGGAAGAAGAAGTTCTGAAATTGGACTTTATGAACAATATGTTACTTTAGAACCTATTCACAAAAAGGAAATTCCACCATTAGCTGAATTGAAGAAAAACATAATGAATAGCCCAAGCAGCTATCTATTAGATGAAGTTTCATTGTAAGTTTTTTTGCATTTACATTTTCTTAAATATGGTGATGAACTAGTTTATTGGAGAAGATTGGTTGGACCTCTTCGAAGGAAATTATTTCAGACCTTAAGGATAAAATTGATAAAGCCCAAGAAGAACCTCATGTAGTCTGCAAAATATTCGAACTCATCTTGTGGTATGCATGTAGAGTTGGAAATTCTCATTTGACATTGGTGTTCTCTGAGATAATACACTCAGTACTGTCACAAATGAAACCTGGCAAAGGAAAAGATCAATCCTTTGAAATACTCCATACCTATGACGAAATCATTGACCGAGAGGATACCAAAACAAAGTATTTGCAACAGAAAAAGCTATCCTACACTTATCTAATGTGCACTCTTATGCGTCTTAACATGCATTACTTTTGGGATACTTTCAACAAAACATCTAAAAATTTTATTTCCAACTTGTCAGAGCAAGATCCAACTGCTCTCACTCGTTTGTTCCTTTACCTAAAGTTTTCTTCTGAAGGAATAATGGTAATTACCGATATATTAACAATGGTTGATAAGATGAAAGAATTCCTCCACAATTTAAGGGGAAATGTTTCCATTTATCACTCTTACATGGTAGATGATTTAATCTCCGTTTTGGATCGTCAACAGAAAACTAAAGCGATAGTCCCTTCTATTGATAGAGATTTCTTCAAAACTCTCCATCATATGGTTGTAACATTTCGTTCCAACTTTACCAAGAAGTTCATTATGGATAATATTTACAACTCGAAGGAGCAAAACATCTTGGTGGAGAAGGATGTAGTTCCTTATTTATTTGGAGTTGGAAAGAAGAATATCATGAAAATTCAACAACAAAGTGGTGCAACAATTTACATTTCAGGAAGGGATAAAGACAAACATTTCGAACCAAGAAAGAAAGAAGATTCAATCCACAATAATAAGAATGATAAGAAGAAAGGTGACCATAAGAATAACAATAAGAGTGAGAAACCAAAATATCCAAAAGAAAAGAAAAAGGTACAATATGATTTCTCTAAATTCTCCAATGTAAATATTAAGGGTGATATCAAACAGGTTGATTTGGCCATTGCTCTTATAGATATGGTTATTAACAACTTTTTTGATAAGAACAAGTTGAATAGAAGAAATCCACCAATTACCAAACTTGTTATCGACCATGATACTATAGATGTAGCGAATCAGTACTTTCAATTTGTACCATATTCTCGTCTTCCTCTGAGCATCAAATTTATTAATGTGAAAAGATCCTCACTGAGAATTATTCCATCGAGTATTGTTGAATCCTTCAGCAATGTAACCAATGTTCCAAAAGTTCATAATTCTTCCAAGTTGGACAATGTAACTTTTGGTTGTTTGAACACATTCGAAAGAAGTATTTATTTTACCAATGAGAAGGAGGTATCATTCTTTACTAAAAAGTCATACTCGAAAGAGTTGATGGATTGCCTTTTGAAACCAGTGAAGCAGGTGAATGAATTTAAGGAGGAAAGCGGACTTACCTTGAGATTAAGTCTTGGAAAACTCTTTTTCTATCAGCTTCCAAACTATATCGAAAGTAACAGCAACTTTATTCAATTCTCAGATTTGGTTAATATTTTAAATAGGGAAATTGAATCCACCTCTCAAGAGGTTAGAGACATAATTTCTGGAGAAACCAGTAATTATCCATCTATCAAGAATGATTTCAAATTCTCATTTGATGATAATCTCAGTAAGCAACACCAAGCAACAATAACCTCAAAATTATCACCAACCGTATCTCAATTGCACAAAGTACTATCTATAGAGATGATCGACAAACAATCCAATCAATTCATCCAATTGAATATGGCATTGTTGGATAGTGGTGTAAAACTCAAGTCAGTGAGAATAGTCAACTCTCCAATCATGAATATGTTCCATTTGAATTTGAAGGAAAACAATGGTACCAAACAAGAATGTGACTATCTATTGAGCGCTTCAAGAAGTTCACAATTAACAGACATTGAACAATATCCAAACCTTTTCAATTTTGTTTCCTTATTAGAATTCCAATCATCAAAATGGAACCTCTCTCAAATTATTGAATTTACCAAGGATCAATTCAGTTCAAATGAAGGAGATCTCTACAATTCATTCTATATTTCCAACATGGCTGTGAAACACAAATTTATTTACAAAATTAATTTCACACCAATGGAAGATGGAATTTCTTCATTTGAAATCTCTCCAATCAACAACAACAACAATACTGAACCACTCCTCGTCAATCTCACATTCCTTCAATACCACTGCTCTCAACACTCAACTGTAACAAGATATCAATGGAAATTGAATATAAAGAGACAGATTCCAGCAGAGAGAGATGTTTCAGACATGGATATTATTTCACTTTTAGATTTTGTAAACATACTCACTGAGTAAATAATTAAATTGAGATTTCAATTTTAATTTAATTGAAAAATGTTCAAAGATCTTGAACACCAAATTTGAACCGCCAAAATTCAATTTTTTTTTGTTTTTAAAAAAATGGCTCCAAACACAAAGAAGGTCAAACTCTCCAAGGAAGAAGAAAATCAATCTGCTGCTTTTGAAAAGATTGCTCTCCTCCAAGAAGAAGTTTCAAAGCTCGATGAAGAATTAGAAGCTGAAACTGCTGTTCTCCAAGCTAAATATGATAAGATGAAGAAGCCATTCTTCGATCAAAGAAAGGAACACATTTCTAAACTCACCGAATTCTGGGCTAACGTTGTATGTAGAATTATTGTTATTGGATTCTAACCATATTCACATTTATTATTGGTACTATTCCGCAATGTTATTATTATTTTAATCATCATGCATAATTGATTATCACAGTTCGCTGCTCATCCACTCCTCTCCAACTTTATTGGTGATAAGGATATGGAAGTCTTGAAGTACATTTCTGATGTTGAAGTTGAATCTGATGCCACCAAGGACAGCAAGGTTTTCAAGGTTATCATCAAGTTCAAGGCTAACCCATTCTTCAATAATACTGAATTGTGGAAGAACATTTCCTCCAAGAAGACTGGTGCTGATGTTTCTATGGACGTCACCCAATCTGGTATTGACTGGAAGGCCGGAAAGAACTTTTTGGCCAAGCCAGCTGCTGAAGAAGGAAAGAAGAGAAAGAAGTCAGCTGTTGAAGAAGATTTGGAAGACAGTGAAGGTTTCATTGGCATGTTTGCCCAAGAAACTGAAAATGATGAAGATTTCCTCTCCATCATTGTTGATGAAATTTATGATAATCCATTGAGCGTCATGTTGGGCGAAGGTGGAGAAGACTCCTTCATTGAAGATGATGAACTCTAAATTATATGATGATTATATTTTCACACTAGATTCCTAAAAAAACAATTTAAATCTAAGAATTTTAAATTATTTGAATAATTGTGAAATAAATTAATTTCATAATTATTTTTCACAATCAGCACAACATTTGAAAATCATTTTATTCTTCTTCATCACAAAAATTGTGTTCTAATTGGACAAGATTCTTTAAATAAGGGCTATTTGATATTATGGAAGAAGATGAGGCAGAATAGGTATTCAATATTGGTCTTATTCTAAAGTTCTTGTTTCCATTATTGTTTAATAGATATAGAACTTGCAATTTTTTCATATTTGGACTATTTGAAAGTATTTTGATTCCTTCGTCTGTAATCAAATTACCAGACAAATTCAAGTGAGTTAAGTTCAACATGTTAGAACAAATACAAGACAGCCCTTCATCTCCAATACTATTTCCATCCAAATTAAGATTTGTCAATTGAGTTAAATATTGACTCGTGGCTAAATAGGATGCACCTTCTTTTTCAACTCTGTTTCTTTTCAAGTTTAAACAAGTAAGGTTTGAAAGAAAAGGAGAGCTTGCAAGGTATTTAACTCCTTCAGCTCTTAAATTATTTCCATCCAAATTGAGCTCAGTCAAGTTTGACATGTGTGGAGTATTGGCAAGATGACGTGCAAAGTTGGCATCAACTTTGCATCTTGGTAAATAAAGTTCCTTCAGATTTGAAAACTTTTCACTCTCAATAATCCTAATTGCTCCAATATTGAGAATTCTTGAGTCAGCAAACTTCAAACTAGTCAACCCAGAAACATTTCCACTTTTTGCAATGAAAAAAGCAGATTTTGGCCTGGCATTATACACTTGTAATTTCTTCAACTTTGAATTCTTTGAGCAATTAATAGTCTTGTTGACAATTCCACTATCTGTTCCTTGCATACTCAACTCCATTACATTATTAAAGAATTTGCTCTTATAAAATTTGTGGTATTGAACCTGTGAGCGATAGGAACTTTTGAGTTCAATTTTACATTCTAGTTGCTTGATCATTAACAGCCATTCTTTGCACACTAATGCTAGCCGGGTGGCACAATTGAAAGGGCAAATAAATTGCATGATGACACTAATGCAATCTGTTTGATCTTTCAATCCTTCCAAACAATTCTTTTCATAATAAATTTCAGGTTCCTCTTCATATTCTTCGTAGTCTCCCTGAAATTCTTCCTGTTCTTCACATACGGGAAGCAGAAGCTCATCAGTAATTGCAGACATTTTTTCATTTCAAGATTGAACATCTCCATAAAATTGCATTTAAAAAATTGTGAAATTATTAATTATTCTAAATACAAAGTTACAAAATATTTAATGATTAACAATCCTTTTCAATGAATAATCTTCTCACATTGGGAAATATCTTTTCAATTTTGTAATCCAATTTGTTTTCTCTCAAATCCAAACTGTATAAAGAATTTAAATTACTTAAATAATTTGCACCATTTTTGGTAATTTGATTATTTCTTAATTGTAAATATTTTAAATGAGAAAATTTAGAAATAATTTTTGCACCTTGATCCTCAATATTGTTACCATTCAAGTTTAAATCAGTCAGTTTCCTTAAATTTCCTAAATTAGTAATTCCAGAATCGCTCAATCCATTATATGACAAATTTAGAAAGGTTAAATTGGCTAATTTCCCAATATTTACTAATCCAGCATCTCGAATTACATTTCCACTCAAATTCAAACTTGTGAAACTTGAAATATTCGAAAGGAACTCAGCACCTTTCGAATTAATATTCGAATTCCACAATTTAAGATGATTCAAACTAGTCAATTTTGAAATATTTTCAATATCTTCTTCCTTATTGTATTTAACATTGAGAATTAATGAATTTAAACTTTTCATTTCGGATAAATGAGCAGAAGTTCCATAACTATCTGGACTACAGTTCAATTCTTTCAGATTCGTCAATTTTTTCAAATAGGCAACCGATTCCGCCTCCAATCTTAACTCTCCCAATATCAAAGATTCCAATAATTTCATTTCAGAAATATAAACAATCGACTGCTTTCCAATATCTGTACAGAAAATATTCAACCTTCTCATTGATGGAATTAATGAAATTTCCTTCACATGTGCATCAGTCACTAGTTCGTTATAACTCAAATCTAAAGCAGTTAAATTCTTTAGTTTTGAGAATATTTTGGTATTTGTTATTCGAACCTGGTGATGATTAAACGAAAGGTCAGTAACGGATTCTAGTGTTGGGAAGTAGTCAATCATTCTGGAATGAAACTTTCCTTCGATTTTTAAACAACTTTTCAAGACTCTGCTTTTGCAACATGCCAAGAAACTGTCAACATTTTTAGTGTTGACATTGACAGTGAAAGGTGTTTGTGAAATTAGCTGATTCCAATATTTGCAGACTAATCGGAGTTTGGAAATTAAATTCTTGTAGGAAAGGCAAATGAAAATGTGATGAGTAATAATTTCACCTGGAATGGAGTGAAATTCACAAGTTTCGTTTGGATTCTCCAACTTTATTTTCTCTTCCGAGAAGGAAATGAGTGAAATAAGTTGTTGCCACATTTTTTATGTTGATCCATTAGAAATTCAATGATAACTCCAACACTTTACAATAATTCTATTTTAATCAAAAGTTTAATTCAATCCAATAATATTATTTTACACAGTTACTTCAACTAAATCATATTCAGAACCACTCCAACTTCTGCCACATAATCCACTAATAAAGTCCCAACAAGAGGATAGATATTCTCTTCTTGTCTTGGATTGAGCATCTTTCTGTTTGCCTTCTCTCCATTTGGCTGTAATGACAACAGCAACACCGATGAGAATTAAGGCAGCTCCTGGAACAACTAATGGAGTGACACGTTCTCCCAAGATGAAAAAGGCCATCAAACTTGTAACAATTGGATTCAGAGTTGAGTAAACTCCAATAATGGTTGGAGTTGTTAAACTTGAAGCTTTAGAGTTCAAAACAAAGAAGAGAGTTCCATGAACCAATCCACCATATAAAATTCCCGCATATGCCATCACGTCCATTCTCAACACAATTTGAATTGGTGAATAACCATAATCAGCAGTCAAGAAGTAAACTGAAGGAAGCAGAGGAACTAAACTACCAATTGTCCAAGTCCATAAAGCAAGTGTCAATACAGGAATCTTTTCCTTTTCAAATGTCTTTTTGAAATTAATCAAGTACAAGGCATAGAAAAACATATTCACACATAAAAAGAGCATACCAATAGTGAACGAAAAGGTGTTAATGAAATTGTCGATGGCACTTGCTGTACTGCTATCTGCATCATCAATTACATCCTTCTTTTTAGGATTGAACAATGTGGAAACTACCAACATGGCCACAGCCCCTCCGACAGCTAAGAAAACTCCAAAAAATTTCAATATTGATCTACCCTCTCTCTTCAAAATAACAGACATGATACAAGTAATGATAGCCACCAATGGCTGCATAATACCTGCAATAGTTGAATTTGTCCATCTCAATCCCATAAAGAAGAGAATTTGATTCAGATTAATAAACAATCCCAATACGAAAATCTGCTTTGCTTGTCTCCAATTTGGAGTCTTTCTTAAAATATATCTGTAAATACGTTTCAAAATTCCAATACCTCCAAATTTTGACAATTTCCTCTCCAGAACTTTCTCTGAACGAAACGAAAATGCTGAATCCTTAATAACTGTCACTGGAAACAAACCAATGACAATTAACAAAGATCTAAATAATGCAAATGTAGTCGGATGCATAATTGCTATAGAATGTGGAATCAACACAACATATCCACCAAATGTAATCAATGTAGTAAATAACAGAATATGAGCCAATAATTGAGATTGACCAAACCAATTAAACACCTTCTTAGTTTTGCTCCAACAATTAGTATTCACATGTTCTTCTTCCATTGATGAATAGGTTGGATCATCATCAATTGTATGTTTTCCATGATGATCAAAATCATCAGCCACATTATTATAATATACAGAGTTTGTTTTTTCAAAATTTGAATGTATCAGTGATGCACTCTCGGTATTCAAAGATCCCTTCTCTACCACCACCATCTTTTTCTATACACAATATCCTCCTATTGGTTTAGCTTGTTTTTGATATCAACTATCGCAGCAATGATGTTTGATCAAAACTCTAAGTTGTTTTTGCGCGGGGCTTTTTTTTTCTTTATGAAAATTGAAATCATCACAACAGGATTGTGTGTGGCAATTCAGAGAGATAGCAAATGTTGTGAATGCTTGATTGGAATTTATTGGAATTTCTCGGAGTTACATTTGCAAAAAATTTCCACAGCATCCCCGCAATTACTGTAAAGGAAAGCGATTAATGCATCCACTTGGGCAAACTCCTGGCCAGGAGGAAGGACATTGTTTCTTCTTACTAAATATTGTTTAATATTACAGAATGAGTTCCATAATGTACTGCTGTAATGGTTATTAATACAAGTTAGAAATCGTTTCAGAACTTTTGTGAGGAGCTTTGTGTTAGATTGTTTTGTTTTCTGTTTCTTCTTGTGGTTCAGTGGTGAGAGCTTGTTTGGAGTGCACTTCATAAACAATGAGCCAATTTCTGTATTGTTGAGTGGTTTGTAAACGACCATACGTATCCCACATATTATAGAGCATGTCACTGGTCAATTGGTGCCAAAGTGCTTCAACTTGTTTGTCAATTTCTGAGCCAGATACTGAGAATTTTTCTGCCTTCTTTTCTCTGATTTGGTCTAATAATTCATAGAAACGTGCCTTACTTTTGTGATGAATATTGACTTCATTGGGTGAATACATTCGAATAAAGTTGGATTCAATATGTTCCAATTGTTCCATTGTTGCAAATCCTGCCTTTTTAATTTCCAAAAGTTTGTCAAACAGATTACAGTTTTCCAATGAAGTTTCATAATAACTGTACTCTTTGAATAGTGTAGAGAAAGAAGGATTATTTGTGAGGAGGTGTTCGAATAAATTTTGTTCTCTTTCAACACTGGAACGATTTGTTCTTTTGAATCGTCTTGCCTTAATTTTGTTGACTATTTCAATTGTCATGGCAATGCCTCCACTCACAGCTAACAACCAAACAGCAATTATAAATCTGACAATGTTACTTCCTAGTTGTGTTTGATTGGCTGGTGTCAATATAACCAATATAATGGCTAATATCACTTGAACAAACAGGGCCATCATATCCAATCGAATGTGAGCTGGATCAGCAAAGAAAAAGTATTTTTGAAGTCCCTGTTCCTTGATCTCTTTCCAATTTAGAATTGCATCTATTGCACTATACAGTAAGGCAAGTACAATGGCTAATGCTGCCAACACTACAAAGTAAATATTGTTGAAAACCACCAAGTTATTAAAATCAACTGCAGCTGCAATGATGGAAGGTGCAACAAAGATAAATTGTAAAAATAGAGGAAGAATTAAAACAATTCCCCATCCAACCTTTTCAGAAGCTAACCATCTTGCAAATCTTGGATTCTTTGAGTTTTTGATAATTCTATATAAATTCTTAATATATAAGAATCTCACAACCATCAATAGATATGCAGATCCAGCATAACCTGTAAATAGTAAAGTGAGTGGTAGCAGTACAGAACGACAATAATTTCTGACCATTGTTGAAAAGAGAAGTTCTACAAAGACCACCACAATTGGAGAAATGTAGATGGTTGCCAATCTGGTTCTCACTGATGGAGTTTTGTAAAGTGAAAATCCAAACAGAATTACAAAATAGAAAAATACTGGGACAATGATAATAAAGAGAAGGTAATCACCAATATCAATATTCTCAGCAGCGCAGGTTGTGGTGGTGCAACAGTGACATGTGGAATTGTAGAGCAAGTTTGATACTTGTGTTTGATTGAATTGATCTAGGGAATTGTTTAAAGTAAGGTAACTCTCAATGAAAGACCAATCCCTCTGTAATTTGATGGATTGTACACTTTCCAATAAATCAATCTCAGTATGTGTGAAATTCACAACACCATGCAAAGTGTCCAACACATAAGTGTCATGATATCTACTCAATGAGCAATCTGTTACATTTGTGAAATTTCTCATATTGATTTGACTCGAAAATAAAGAACCACTTCCATCAATCGAATTGACCAAAACCTGTGATGGAAATAATGGAATGGGTACAAAATCAGTTGGATTGTAATAAGTACCATCACTCGATGGTGTCGTTCCCATTCCATAAAATAGACCCTTCCTCGTCACAAATTGATTCACTCTCACGTAGAATGCAAAATCAAAACTATTCAACAATAAGGCATCTCCCAATTCCAAACTAGATCCATAAATACAATCAGGATAGAATGAAGAACGTGATTCCACAACAAAATTCTGATCAATCCATGTCTTGTTGTAATTTGTTGTCAGTGAGCTCCATATTTTCTGACATGGATACAGTTGTGGACAAAGAATTTTAAATTTCCTTGTCTTTCCAAATGGCTGTCCATTGGTTGAATAAAACTTTGTAAAATCTTGAGAATTATTCGACACTCTCCCTATCAAATCATCCAAACTAAATGGATTTGTATTTTCTATTATCCCATTCGGATAAACAAATTTCCTCCATACAAATATAGAATAATAATTGAAGGCACCAACAATTATCGAATTATTCTTCAAGTCTTGCATGTTGACCATGCTAACCTTATCTTGTATTTGCTGTTGTTGATATCCTAGAACATAATTGGGTAGAGCGGAAAAGGTCAGTATTAGCAGTAAAATGTAAAATAGTTTGGTTTCTAATAAACTAATAGGAATGTTAGAATAAATACTCCCATAAGGTAAGAACCCAGTTCTTGTTGTGTGACCTATTATAACAGTCTGCACGTGTTGTGTGGTGTAACTTTGTGCCATTTTTTTATGTCTGAATAAATATAATACGAAAAGTGACAATATTTAGATGTTAATGGTAGAGTGACGGCCAAAGATATATCAAAGTCTCCTTTAGGTAATTTTAATATCTCACCTGAATAAGGCAATAATATGGTAAAGAACTTGGTTTGCAATTATCCTTTGAATCGATTATAATGAAATTTGTTCATCAGTATTTGAAATTATTGTTTCCACAAGCCAATTCCTCTATTTCTTGCACTTGTTTCATATTGCTTGTATTCACTTTGATATTTAACATTGGGATGATAGAAAACAGCTCTAGCATAACCTCCTTCCAATAGCATTTTCTGAAAATTATTTCCTCCAACCCAAACATGTGCCAATAATCTTCCATAACCATCTCTCAATTCATTTTCAAACTCTAGAATGATACTTGCATTTTCTAGTACCTGCTTTGTGTAATCTGAAGCAGCCTGTCCATAGTATTCCTTCTTCTTTTTAGGATGAACTGTTTCGGGTGTATCCACTCCAATCAATCGAATTCTTTCCTTCTCTCCATCACGCATTTTACAAATAATTGTATCACCATCGACAACTCGCAATACACGAATATTCTTCATTTGGGAATTTCTGGTCGGTTCCTGAACGAGTGGTAAATTTAAATTTGAATTTTGAAAGGAATTCTTCCAAATAATCGTTCCGATCAAGAGGATTGCAAAAATCAGCACTTTGAGTTCCATTTTTTTTAATGCATTTTCTGTTGTTCATGAACTAGCAAATCGAACAGTTTATTTTGTTTCAAAATAGGAATGTTCCATAATTTCTTTAGCTTGTGGTCTTTTGGATGGGTTTTTCTCCAACATTAAAATGATGATTTCCTGTAGTGTGTCTGAATACTTGCCACATTCAGAGAGCTTGTTTTTAAGCCATTGCTTTACATCATTGGTAGACTCTGATTGCATGTATAAATTACTAATGGATGTAACTAGGTCACCTGTGCATAATTGATAAATTGCAACTCCTAGAGAATACACATCAGTGTTAAAGCTATACTTTGCTCCAAGACCTAATTCTGGAGACATGTAAAGAGGAGTTCCAGCATAAGAATTATTGACAGAACCAAACATTTGTTTCGCAAGACCAAAATCTGCCAATACTATCGATACAGAATTATCTGATAATTCATTAATAAAGATATTGTTAGGTTTTACATCTCTGTGAATCATTTTAAGGTTGGTGTGAACAAAGCTCAAGGCATCACAGCCTTGATAAAGTATTTGTTTCACAATATCCTCACTAATAGTACCTGCTGCTTTAGGAATGAGTTTTGTCAAGTCTCCATTTTCATAATAGTCCATGTCAATAAGTAATATTTGATCCTTGTCAATAAATAAATCATTCACTTTTAAAATGTTTGGGTGATTGATATTCATCAATTGAGTTCCTTCTTTCATAATCGAGTTCAATTCCTCAATATCAGAATATTTGACAACTTTTAGCGCCTTCAGTTTATCGCCCATCTTGGTATCGTTGCATTTAAAAACTGACCCAAATCCGCCTTGTCCAATCTTCTCCAAATTCTTATATCTTGAGGCAGGATCGAAATTAGATGCAGATGATATTATAGAAGTGACAGTAAGTCCATTAGAGTTTGTTGAACCTCCAATTATGGATTTGAAACGAACACTTTCGTCCGATGGAAAGTCTGAACTATATGATGATGGCGCAATGCTAGAATTCATTTTGTTATACTGTGAATCATTGAGTTCAATCATGCTCTCTCCCTGATTAGGGAAATCATTGACAGTGTTTGGGACTGGTTTCTGCTTTTTCATTCCTCTAAAAACTATAATGAAAACAATTATGACCACAATAATCAATATAACAATAACTAAAAGAGAAAGTCCGACTGCTAAACCAATTATTAAACCTAGTTGATTATTGCCTACTATTGTTGAAGAACCAACTCTTGTTGCAATGTTAACATTGCAACTAGAACCTGTCCATCCAGCATTACAGTTGCAATAGTTATAATCAGTGCATTTTCCATTTGAGGAACAAGAGTTGGTGTTATTGGAATAAATTCCATAACACATGGTTACTTCACAATATTTTCCATAGAAATTACTACCACAACTACAAGTATCATGAGATGAACAACTTCCTCTCGAAGAACAAACAGAAGAATCAGTGCTTTGAGTACCATTACAAAGAGATACCTTACATTCAGTTCCTTGATAGAATGGTTCACACTGACAAGTGTCTGCTGCTACACAGGTACCATGGCCCCCACAAACAGAAGCATCAGTGGATAACTTTCCAAAACATTTTCTGGTATCACAATTGACTCCATAAAATCCATTATTGCATGAACACGAATTGTAATCGATACATGTACCATTGGAGGAACAAACTGAAGTGTCATTCGAAAACTTTCCATAACACATGGTTACTTCACAATATTTTCCATAGAAATTACTACCACAAATACAAGTATCATGTGCGTTGCATACTCCCCTTAAAGATGAGCATACCAATGTAGAATTACTTAATGTACCGTTACAAGTTGTAATTTTACAGTCAGCTCCAAGGTAAAGGCTGTCACATCTGCAAGTGTCACTAGAAATACATGCTCCATGGCCGCTACAAACATTACTTGTATCGTTTGATAATTTACCAAAACAACTCAATAAATTACACTGAGATCCATAGAATCCTGAGTTGCACTGACAAGTGTCTGGTGCAATGCATGTACCATTTCTTGAACAAGCATTTGGCTGCTCTGAGCTAAAACCAAAACATGTTGGGATGCATGCATTATAATATTGGTTCAAAATGTAGGGAGAGTCACAATATGGGGTCAATTGTCTTACAGTATTTTTCTGATTATCAACAAAAACAATTTCAGAAGTAGAGGTAATGAATGCTCCACTAGGGCTTAGAGTGGCTTTAGTGGCATCGGGACCATCATCATTGAATCCAACCAGGTTTGATCCACCATTTCCTGCCATTGTAGATATAATTCCATTTGCTGCTAATCGCATTCTGTTTTGTCCTCTGTCAGAAATGACAATAAAATTCGAAATACTTGATCCAAATACAGAAATAGGTGAGAGACCTGCATATAAAATATTACCATTATCATTCAGACTTGCACCCAACCCAGAGTAAACATTCAGAATATTGGTGCTTGAATCCACATACATGACGCTCAATTTCGAGTTATAGTATGCCAAAAAGTAAAATCCAGTCGGTGAAACATATATTCCTCCATCTACACTAATTGTGACAGAATTAGCTTGCGATGATCCAGGAATAAATGTTGATTCTGAACTGATAGTTCCAGCAACATTTGTTATTATTCCATTGGAATTGATCTTCCTTATCAGAAAATTATCCACAATGAAAACCTCATTAGCAGAAGTGACAAAAATACCAGTTGGGAAGCTGAATACATTTGGGTGAGCAAAAAGAGTTTTGAAACTTACTAAAGTCTTGCACTGAGAGCATTGACACCATCATCACCTAAATATCCACTGGAAGGTGGCTGTGATCCAGTACCTGCAATAGTAACAATGGTACCATTAGTGAATATTTTTCTAATTCTTCTATTAACACTGTCTGATATGTATACTTCATTCTTGAATTCAAATACAGAACTAGGATAGTTCAGTTGAGCTGTGGAAGCATCCATATAATCGCTATTGTATCCAGCAACTCCGGTACCAGCTATCGTAATTATAGTTCCATTAGCAAACACCTAACAATCATTTAAATCAAATATGAGAATTAGAATCAATACAAACCTTGCGAATTCTGTGATTACCAGTATCGGCAATCAAGTATTGTCCATTGCTAGTTTTAACAACATTGGCAAGTTGGTTGGTCATAAATTTGAATGTTGCCTTAGTTGCTTGAGAACCATCTTGTTGTAATGTTAAATATTAATATTAAATAATGGAATTAATCATACATACCTCCACTAAATGTAGAACCTCCTATTCCAGCAACTGTTGTAATAATTCCAGTACTAGTAGAAATCCTTCTCAATCTCATATTATCTGAAATGAATACTTCACCAGGAGAAGTTGAAAAAACTCTAATTGGGCTAACATTTACCAAATTTGCTTGAACATTATCCTTATAATTAGTATAAGAGGATGTTCCTGTTCCAGCAATAGTAACAATGGTACCATTAGTTAATACCTTTCTCAATCTATTACTGCCCAACTCTGCAATCCATATCTCACCGTTACTGTCAACAGAAACACCATAAGGATAACTTGTCAAGTTAGTTAAAAAAACATACATCTAAAAAAACCTACTCAAGTTTAGCTGCAGTAGCCAGCATTCCATCACCATTATATCCCTCCTCACCAGTACCTGCGACAGTAATAATTGTTCCATTCGTTAAAACCTTTCGAATTCTGAAATTTCCTGCATCAGCTATATAAATTTCATTGTTGCTCGTGACAAAGATTCCCTGAGGGTTAGTGAGACGAGCATAGGTGGCAGGTATTCCATCCCCATTGTACCCAAAACCCAAACCAGTTCCACTTGTTCCAATTTGTGTGCCATTTCCAGCTACTGTTGTAATAACTCCCGTTGAAACATTAACCATCCTAATGTAATGATTCTGATATTCTGAAATATAAACGTTTCCATTTGAAGAAACAAATACGTCAACAGGAGAGTTGAGATAGGCATTTGTAGCAAGCATTCCATCTCCATTATATCCAGCATTTCCGTTTCCTTATGAAGGATTAGTCCTATATCTTTACAACAACAACCACTTACCTGCTATTGTCACAATATTGCCATTAGTTTGAATCTTTCTAACTCTAGAATTTTGACTATCAGCAATATAAATTTCAGAATTAAAAACAAATACACCAGTGGGTGTATTGAGCTGAGCTGTAGTTGCTTGAATATTATCGCCATTGTACCCAGAAACTCCAGTACCTAAATTTTCCAGCACATCATCATACCAAGATGTGAAACACATTTGTTTCCATAACAATATGTGTGCATGTGTAAAATAAATTTTGTCATGAGAAAAACATACCAGCAATGGTGAGAACGGTTCCATTAGCTGCAAATACTCTCACTATTCTATGATTGCTATTATCAGAAATAAATAAATCACCCGAACTGAGATCTTTAAAACAACTATTGACATCAATATTGGCCATTTTGGCATCTATTCCACTGGATAATGAATTGTAGCCAGCAATGGTCGTGATGTTATACTTGACAGAGATTGCGCCAATAACTAAACCGCTGCCATGGTAGGTCAAAATGAGTAGGCACAGAATCCAAACAACCTTTGCATCTGCCAACATTTTTTTCTTGTTTGATTTGACATGGTCCAAAAGTGGCTAATATGTGAATGGTGCTGAACAGCAAAGATGAACTAGAATTTGATTTGTGATGCCAATGGAACTATCAGATCAAGTAAAGGTACTTCCTCATATCTTCCTGTAATCCAAAGCCAAAAACATAAAATTATGGATCACAGCCATCATCAAATTGACAATCACTAGAATTTATCTTTTTGCACAGTTCATTGTCTGGTAAATTAAATCCAATTTGAAGTTATTAATGTTGAAGAGAATTCTTCCAAGCCAAACATTCCGATTCATCATTGAAGGGTAAAATAAAAAAGAAGCTTCATTCCATTTTTTTAAATAATTTTCCCGCCCAAAATAAATTTAATCCATCAAAATCTAAATATTGTAACAACTCATATTTAATAATATTAAAAAAAATGAGTCTATCAATTTTACCACAAGATTTAATTTACGAAGTGATGAAATTTCTTCGTGTCGATCAACGTATTCGCATCTCGAGAGTTTGCCAAGAGTTTTATCATATCATAGCGTCTCTTTTTCCCGCACTAGAATTAAATTTGAGTGGCGGGAAAATATTACCAGTAAATTTACCAAGTTTTCTTTCGTGTCCATTTCTTGAGCAGGTTACAGTGTTGGATCTTTCAGAGAATCTTTTATCAGAGGAGAATATTATTGCAGTTGCCAACTGTGAAAGATTTAAAAAATTAGAAGAGTTGATTTTGAAAAAGAATGAGTTTAGTTTAAAATGTGCCGAAGCTTTTACTAAATCATCATTTATTAGACAATTGAAATATATTGATCTTAGAAATGCATTCTTTGTATGGAAAGATGTAGATCATGTTGAAATTGGAAAGAAATTTATTACAAGTCAACCACAAGATTTGCAAAATTTTTGGTATCTAGTTTTGGGTAATTGTGGAACAGAAATAGTACCTGAATGGTTATTGGTTGGATGTAAAGAGGGAAATAGTAAATTGCATTGGGAAACTCAATTGGAGTTTGGTGAATATTTATACCATTCTGAACAAAACACATCACTAGCAATTCAATACTTTGAGGAGTTGGGCAATAATCCACTAGCTCATAATAGAGCTATTGCCATGTACGTTTTGGGTAAAATTTATTCAACACTAGGTGAAAAGTATCATTCGAAAGCATTCCAGTTATTCTTAAAAGCGGCAAATCTTGATGATCAACTATCCTATTTGTCTGTTGCCAACTTTTATTCATTTGGAATTGGTATTGGATCAGATCCAGATGAAGCATTGAAGTGGTATTTGAAATATGCAGAGAATAGTAATGATGATGATGGAGTTGTTGCACATCAAATTGGTGGTATTTATTTTGAGTACAAAAAAGATATCCCACAAGCTCTGAAATGGTGGAACAAATCTGCGGAAAAGGACAATACAGAAGCACAATATTCACTCGGTACAATATATATGAATGGGGATGGTGTTGAAAAGGATGTTAAGAAAGGTATGGCACTACTTGAGGATTCAGCAAGATTGGGCAATTCTGATGCTCAGAATACAGTCGGTGCAATTTACTTAGAAGGTGAAGATTCAATTGAAATAGATCTCAATAAGGCCAAAGACTTTTTAATTGCGGCAGCTGAGGCAGAAGACACAGATGCTCTCTACAATTTAGGGATATTAGCAGAAAATGAAAAACGATTCGAAGAGGCAATGCAATGGTATAAAAAGGCCTTAGATATGGGAAATACAGCTGCTGCTTATCCACTCGGAAGGTTTTATTTCCAAGGACTGGTAGCTCCAAAAGATGAAAAGAAAGCCATTCATTATGTTGAAATCGCCGCCAATAATAATTCTTCAATAGCCCAAGAATATTTGGGTGATATTTACCACACCAAAGAGAGTGAAATTTATAATCCTGTAAAGGCAATTGAATGGTACACAAAAGCTGCCTCGAATGACTCTACCAATGCCATGTATAATTGTGGATGTATTAATGAGGAGCTTAATAATTTTGAAATGGCTTTATATTGGTATACAAAGGCGATAGAAAAGGGTAGTTCATCAGCAATGAATAATTTAGCAATGATATACTATGAAAAGAAGAATTATGAGAATGCTAAGAAATGGATAGAAAAATCAGTGGAGTTTAACAATTCATATGCAATATGCACGATGGGTGAGTGGTATATAGAAGGTTTATGCTATGAAAAGAGTTATGAAAAGGCTGTTCAACTCTTTACTAGATCAACTCAATTTACAGATGAAAGTGGTGACCAATCGATTTGTCCTCCTGCTTTCCTGCATCTCTATAAATTATATGCTAATGGTTTGGGATGTGAGAAGGATTTGGAAAAGGCACAACAATTGCTCGAAACTGCTGCCAAATTAGAAATACAAGAAGCTATTGAAATACTCGAAGATCAACAATCCAAAAAGAGAAAATCAACCACTGAATATGATGGCTCATCAAAGAAAATGAAATAACTCTGGTTTTCTCTTAAATTGTCTTATCTAATTTTTCGAACATCAATTGGTTGTTGATTATCTTTCTTGTTATCTGTGTCTTGTTGCATGATACGATTGGTTATTCTTACTTGTTGAGCATTTCTTGTAGAGAATTTTATAATAATTAGTTACAAAATATTCACACAACATTTATTCAAATATAACGAATTATTTACCAATATCTATATGGATAGTATCCTCCATAATACGGCATTGAATAGGCAGAACCATAATTATTACCATAACTGTATGGTCCATTATAATAAGAACCATAACTACTATATGGATTATAGGAAATTGCACTTATTTGATTAGAATAAGCTTGAGTATTTTGTGCATATTGATTGTAATTTCCACCTGCCACTCCATAATTTGAACCTAATCTCATTACAATTACATGATATTTTCCAAACATTAATTGAAAATCTTAAAAAGCACTTACCGGCACCTCCATTGTATCCATAGGCACCTCCATATGCATTATTGTATTGTCCCAATGCAAAAGATAATAAGCCAAGGAAGAAGAAGAGCAGCGCTACCAAACAAGTTCTTTTCATTTTTGTTTCAAATTTGTTATTGGATTATGAAAGAAGCAGAGAAGGTAAATTTATAAGAAATTGGAAAGAATTGAAAAAGTCAATTCTTCAAATATAAATGTTATTTTGAACCTATTAAGGAAAAAATTCTTAAATGTTTATTGAACATTTCAGTGTAAGCAATAGACGAAATGAAGCCATCCACAATTCTCAATTCCTCATTCAATCCCAATGCAAAACTCAATCACGCACAAATTGACTAGTTTTTCTGAGGAACAGTCTCCATCCATCTATTTCACTACAGCATCAAGATGGAAGATTTCATACCTAATGTGGAACATTGGCACCATACCCGAATTATTTTAGCGATTATTTTCAGCAATTAAAACATAAAATACTGAGTTTATTCGAGTTGCATTTTGTAAATCTTCAATCAGTGATGAATATTCAGTTGATTCTGGTTCTTGTTTGGAAAGTAAAATACATTGTAATTGTTCAAATAATAAATCAAGAAAAAATGTCATTCCTTGTTTATGAAGCTCCATCACACGATCCTCACCCAACACAATCACAAACCAACAACAGTACAAGTTCCGATCTAGCAGTGGTGAAGAATTTATTTCTTGCTGGTGGAATTTCCGGATGTGGAAATTGGCATTTGGATATGATTGAATCACTCAAGAAGAAGTGTTTGAAGAATGATCATGTTCGGGAGAAGTGTTGTGTTAAATTGTACAATCCAAGAAGAGAGAATTTTGATGTGAGTGATAAGAGCCAATCAGATGTTCAAATTAGATGGGAACATTCCTATTTACATACTGTGGAAGCTGTATCATTTTGGTTTTGTAGTGAAACTCTTTGCCCAATTACTGTAAGTTTTGTGAATAATATTGAGTTTAAAAAACTAAAACATCTTGTGAAATAGTTATATGAGCTAGGTAAAATTTCCATGATGCCAAGTGTTAAATTATTTGTTGGAGTTCATCCAGATTATTTGAGAAGAATGGATGTTGAAACTCAAACCCTTCTTGTAAGACCAGAGGTTACTATTGTCTATTCAGTTGAAGACTTAGCTCAACAAGTATTTGATGAATATTTTGCAGTACAAGATTAAAAATCTGATCTTAATAAAAAGTGAAAATATATTAATTTAGAGAGTCAAGTAGAGTGGATTTTCAAGAAGAGTCTTGAATTCTTGCAACCATTGAGCACCAACAGCACCATCAACAACACGATGGTCACAGCTCAAAGTAACCTTCATAGTTGTCACAACCTTGAATTTATCTTCAGCAGAGGTTGGCTTTTCATTGACAACAACCTTCTTTGAGGACTTACCAACAGCCAAAATACAGGCTTGTGGTGGATTGATAATTGCAGAGAATTCATCAATACCGAACATACCAAGGTTAGAAATAGTGAAAGTACCACCTTGGAATTCGTGTGGCTTCAATTTGTTTTCTCTTGCCTTACCAGCGAGAGCCTTAACTTCATTAGAAATTGAGGAGAGACCCTTAGTTTCAGCAGAGAAGACAATTGGAGTAATCAAACCAGAATCAGTTTGGACAGCAACTGAGAGGTCAACATTGTTATATTGACGAATGAAAGTATCTTGCCATGAGCTGTTGATTTCTGGAACCTTCTTCATGGAGAGAGCAGCAGCCTTAACGAGGAAGTCATTGACAGACAACTTGAATCCTCTCTTTTCACCAGCCTTGTTCAATTCTTCTCTGGCCTTCATCAAATTATCAACTTCAATTTCAACAGTCAAATAATAGTGAGGAATAGTTCTCTTTGATTCCAAGAGACGGTCAGCAATAATCTTACGAACGTTAGAAACTGGAATATCAACAAATGAACCAGATGAAACAGCTGGAGCAGCAACAGTTTGTTGTTGAGTAGTGGTGGTGGTAGTAGCTCTTGGTTGTTCTTGAACAGCTGGCTTACGAGTAAGGAATTCTTCAACATCAGCCTTGACGATTCTGTTAGAATGACCACTTCCAGAACCAATTTGAGCCAAATCAACATTGTTATCTTGAGCTACCTTCTTAGCCAAAGGTGAAGCAAAGACACGTCCACCAGTTGAGGTAGTAGTAGTGGATGGAGCTGATTGAGTTGTAGTAGTGGTGGAAGTTTGTTGAGATGGAGTGGATGATGGAGTAGTGGAAGCAGCAGGGGTGGCAGCACCTGGAGTGTATGAAGCACCAGCAGCCAAATCCTCCTTATTTTCAACGAGAATAGCAATGATATCACCGAGATTAGTTTCAATACCAGCAGGGATGACAATCTTGGCCAAATAACCTTCTTCTTGGAATTCAAAATCAACAGTTGCCTTATCAGTTTCAACTGTACAAATAATGTCACCTGGAGAAACCTTGTCACCAACTTGCTTGGTCCAAGCACCAATACGACCCTTAGTCATGGTTGGGGAAAGCGTTGGCATGGTAATTTCGTGAAGACCCTTTGGCTTGGCAGATGGAGTAGCTTGTGGTTGAGCAGTTGTTGGTTGAGGTGTTGGAGTTGTTGATTGAGTAGTAGTAGTGGTTGGTTCTGGTGCAGAAGTAGCTCCTCCTTGCAAATCAGCCAAAGTTAAACCTTGAACAGAGGAAATCTTTGAAGCATCATCAACGAGAATTGCAATTGGACTACCAAGAGCAATAGTTTTACTTCCTTCTGGAGTCAAAATCTTAGCCAAGAAACCTTCTTCTTGGAATTCGAATTCTAATGTGGATTTATCAGTTTCAACTTCAACAATGAGATCACCTGGCTTGAGTTCATCACCTTCCTTCTTTAACCATTTACCAATATTACCAGTATTCATGGTTGGACTGAGAGCAGGCATGGAAATGAGAGAAGCTAATAATTTTGATAAATACATATTCAAAATATCATGATATTATTACCAAATGGTGAGGAGTTGTACAAGTAGAGTAGAAGGAATAATACAAGTAATAATAAATTATCATGTTAATAATATTAATAATACCAATCAATTTGAAAACATTCCGAAATAATATTATCACGGTTGAAAATTTCAAATGATGATTCAAAGTACCAAAAATGTCATTCATAAATTGTTTATATTATCCGATATTAATGATAGTAATAATAATAACAATAACACAAATACAATAATATTATACATTCATAAAAACACAAATAATTTTCAATAATCCTTTCAATAAATCAACTCCACAACATTATCAACTTACCTCCCTTTGGAAGAGTAGCATATCCTCTCATCATGGTGGTAGCTTGTTGATTGATCATCAAACCCTTCCATGAAGTTTGTTTTGTAGTAAAAGTAGAAGTATTAACAAACTTTACACTAGAAATATTTCTCCTGGTTGCTGCTGCTGTTGATGAGGCAATCAACATTGCCTTCTTACTGTTACGAGAAAGGACAACCTTCTTGGTGAGTGATGAAATTGCAGAACGGGCCAACATTTTTTTTAAACTCTTAAGCCTATTCTTGGTCTCAACCTTTTCATTCAACGGAGTGCTGCATCAAATGAAAGTGTGAGTTTTCAAAAATGCAAACGCTCACATTCATAGAAATTTATCTTGTTTTGTTCATCACCATTATTATGGAGAGTTGAATGGTTGTTAAAGAAGAGGATGAAGGAGAAGAGGATGATAGAATATACTCTATAAGAAATTGATGTGAATAGTGTTTCATGGAGGTAAGAAGGAAATGCATTTGAGAATCTTTTGGACTAAAGATTACAATATGTGTGGTTTCCGATAAAATATTTAATGGGATTGTTTTTTGTCTTGTTCAATTTGAGCGTCACATTTTCTCTTCAATTCTTTCATTCCTTCTTCTACTCTGGCAGCAAGTTGAATGTAGACTTGGTCTTCTGAAATTTCCTTGTTTCGTCCCTTCTCAATGATATCGTCCACTCTAATTTCATCTCCAAACATGATGGTAATATGTTTGCCTACACGTGGAACAATGCCATCATAAGGTAAAACATCTGGTAATCCTTTGTGATAGATTGGATAAATGTATGGAGTTGGATCACAATCATAGATCAGTTTTCCTATTCCTCTTCTACATTGGTGAATTTCACCGTCCACATAAATTTTACCTTCAGGGAAAATATTAAGCCAACCTCCAGTTGAAAGTTTGTGTACAATTAATTTCATTGCAGATTGTTCCAGACCTCCAGCTCTCTTGATAGGTAGTACTTTAACAGTCTTGAAGAATTCTCCCAATAAAAAGTGTCCAAAACACATATCAGATGCACATACAGCATATCTAATAATATCAGATTTAAAGAACCAACTCATTGGAGCCAAACCTGACATTAAGATTGGTTCATCAAGCATACTATTGTGATTGACAACTGTCAATAATCCACGAATCTTCTTTTCTGCTTTTGGTTCCGATAATGATGTAGTAGTGACTGGAGTTTCCTTCATTTCCTTTTGAACTGATTCATAATGTTCCTCAATGGTAGTTCTAAACTTTTCCTTTCCATAGAATTTACAACTATTGGCAACATTTAAGAAAAACTTGGAAAATGTTCCCAAATAAACAATCAATCCCATACTTGCCAATCTTCTCAAAAAACTAAAATTATGATATTCATAGTGGAATTTTTCTTCATAATTGAAATATGGAAGTTTTGACAAATCTCTCAATACTGACCCAATTGAAGACAGTTTAAATCTGAAAATTGCCTTATCATTCAATTTAGTTCCTGCCAATTTCTTATTCTCTTCAAAATATGGATTAAACAACAAAGATGATGACCTATTTACACCACTATTATTATTATTCAATTTGCTCCCAGAAGAGGAGAAAAAGTAACCCGATGGTGGTTTCAATTCAAAATACCTCGAACACTCGTCCAAGAAGGATGGATAACTATAACTACTCTTTTCAGCCTGTTGATAATACAACACAACAGGTTCCTTATTCAAAGATGACACCTTCGATGACGATGTATAGTATGTATTCTCTGGATGTGGTTTTATCGTAACAGCAATATCATACTCACTGCTGACAGATGTGGCTACTCTCTTTCTTCCCATTTCTTTCTTGTGTTTATTCCGATGTGGTGATTGTTATAAAATTGTTTTTTTTGATTAAAGTTGTGAAATTCGATAATTTTCCGTTACTTTTCAATTTTTGTGATTAAAATTTGGATTTGATTAAGAATTATTGGGTACAATATTTCTAATAAGGATTAATAATTTAATTTAATGCTTTAGAACAATTGGAAACTCAATCAATAAATATCATCATTTCTGAAGCAATTTCATACGGAGAACAAACCTCACTTGTTTCAAATCATCTCTCAATTGATAGAAAATAATTTAGACAATATTGTTTTGCTATTATCAGAATACATGCCTTCTGATATTATTTGAATCAGTGTATTTCGAAATGAAGAATGAACTCAATATTTCAGTATTGTTTCCTTATTTTAACTAATTTAGAGCAAATGTGCAAACTATTTAACACTGCAGTCTTCTATCAAGAATTCAACGTGAGTGGGTCAAACATGTAAAATTTTCAACTAATTCTAACTCTATAATTCTTCCCTGTAACATTCAATAAAGTTATTCCATCATTTACTCGAAATATTAATAAAATATTTCACAAACGATTCGAATTACCTTCCAAAAGGTTGAAAATCCACAAAAAAATGGCCAGAACAAAACATTCAACCCAAATCACTCGCCATCGTAAGAGAACGAAACATTCAACCCAAATCACTCGCTCACGATAAAATACAACACCACCGATGGGAGAGAAATAAAAAATTGAAAATGGAAATATTAAGCAAGCTTGATGGTTAGGAGAGTTTTTGTGATTTATTAATAAGTACTTCAATAGGAAAGGACAAGAATGAGAGGAAGGGAAGTGATGATCCACATCATTTGGATAAAAATCAACAAGAATTGATGAAATATTTACAATTTAAAATTAATGATAGAAAATATGATGTGTTATTTCCAAAGATTAAATATTTGGAAGTTCAAGAGACGAATGAGATGGATGTATTTAATATGATTGAAAATGAAGATGTGAACTATTATTTACTTGTTGATAGAGAATGTATTGAAGAGTATTCGAAACTTGCTGAATGTATTCTTGAAGAATTTGTTAGAGATTATCCTTATTTTGAAAGTCCAAGGATTGTTAATGCAGACAGAAGTGATGATGGTATATATTTTCGTGGAATGACAATTGAATTTCGAATGTGTGGAAAGAAATGTATTTACAAAACAATTGAGGACAGAATGGAATTGATATTTCTTCTCATTAACAAGTACGAATATGTTTATTTTGGTTATTTCGATAGACAACCAATAATTGGAATGCCAGATTTTAGATTCACCTCTCAATCACAAGTCAATAATGGAATTCTTGTAAATTCTCTTGATTGGGAGGAAAAAATCTCGAATTATTTATTCGAAAATCCTGAAGAAGAAGTAGCTATTCCTCCCTTAAAGGAAATATTAGGAAAAGGAGGAAAATTTTTGGAAAATGCCTTGAAAAACTCATTCGAATAACATATTTATTTTTATCGTAATGTGTTGGAAGTTTCAAACTTTCACTTTTTGTTAAACATTTGGTTGGAGGTAAAGTCACTGATTATGGAAAGACAAAGGTTTGAGTGTTGTCAATGTTGAGAGATTTGTGGATTTTTGGATTGCCCTTCTTTAAGGAATAGAAAATAGGGAGTGATTCAGTTTTCAGAGTCAGTTGACCTCTTTCATTTTGGTAAATTGGAATACAGAGTTCACAATTTGATGCTCTCGCATGGAAAATCATTTGACATTCTGAATCGTCATTATTATCCAAAGAATAGACCACTCTTCCATAATTTAAACACTTGTAAACTGGCACTGGATGAGAGTGCATCACATTTTCAATATCCAATCGATACATTTGTTGATTGTAGTTGTATCTTGGTAGTGGTGCAGTATTAGTCCAAGTATTTGCAAAGGTTCCCTCAAAATAAATCACCTTCCCACCCATTTCATCGTATTCAACATGATGTGAGGGATTATAGAAATCATGCTTTGTAAACTTGTGTGAAACTATTTTTGTGGCATATTTGAATGGTCCTAGTGGTGTTTCTCCTTCACTGTAATAAATCTCACCGAGAATGGATGGTGAGCTATTGTCTCCAAATTGTTCCAAAATCATAATGTACTTGTTTCTGAATTGATTGAAATTAACAGTTCCTGCATGAGCGATTATTTCCTTACCAGTTTCATGATCAATTAGATCAATGAATTTTGCTTGTTCCTTTTTAATTTTTCCCATCAAAACTAAATTCATCATTTGTTCGGCTGAAATAGGAGAAGTAGTCGATTTCCAATCATATATGAGTTGACCTGATGTTTCATTAAAATCCAATTGAACATTTGAAAGATTGTACGAGTTAGTATTTGCTTTCAGTGGTGTGTAGGACTGATACGAGCTCAAATCTTGATAATTTCTTGTCCTTACGAGTGGAAATGGTTGACCAAAATAAATCCAACCATCCAATGATTTCACTCCTTTTCTATGAGCTACCACATGAGAACCATCAATTGGAAATGAAAAAAACTTTTCAAATGCAATTTCAGAAATCAAATCAAATTTCTCCTTATCATCATTCCATTTCAATAAACCTCTCTTTGTGATTTCCAATTCTTGATTCGGTTTCATGAATGTGGCAAACATTTCGTCCTGTCTTTCGTCCACATAGAGTGCATGTATCCAGGTTGGTAAATTCAAAGATTGCATTGGAGCCACTCCTTTAACAAATCCATTTGTATTTCTAAAGTAGGTAATATTTGGAATGATTGATAATCCAAACTTTTGTAACTGTTCTACAGGTGTGAAACCTCCACTTGCTTGAAAATTTCCCAAATAATACGAAATTGAATTGGTATCTCCATAAAACCAATAATATTTTCCCTTATAGATTGCATTCATAACACTGTCTTGACCAGTAACTTTTGAATTTAACAGAAATCGTTCCTTGATTGTTTCTCTGTTGACATTTGGCACATCAACATGAGCCACAAACGATTCTCGGAATATTCCTTCACCAGTCGATCTGTACAATCTCTCTGCAAGCTGCTCTCTCTTCATCAATAACTTTACAGATTCATCATCCGTATAGAGCAATGAAATTCCTTGAAATTCATCAGATTTTACCAATTGATAACCATCACATTGTACTTTCAACCAAATAATTTGATTTTCGTAACCTGGCTCGAGAATTAGCACTATACCATTCGAATCACTCACATAGCTCACTTCATTGGTGCTTGTTGCCATGACCATGGGTATTCCCCTTCTGGTTTCTGCATCTAGAAATTGCAGAGTTAAAGCATGGACGATACCGAACCATAATGATGAAAATAAAATCATCATGATGATTACGATCGTGAGAGAAATTGGGCGAGTTTGATTTTGTGTTGAGAACATTTTTTTCTGTGGGATGTGTGAAATGTGAAAAGTAATGTAGTTCATTTGTGAAAATATCTTTATGTTCTCTAAATGTAACTATTGCCAGTTGTGTGAAGTTCTTCATTCGAAATCTTTCCAATTTTTATACCTGATTGAGTTTGTTGTAAACAGTAAAAGATAGGTAAGCCACATAGAGCATATCTCTTTTCAATGACTCGAGGAATGAGAGCTTGATCGGTTGGTGGTGCAAGTCGTGCTTTCTGAATTGAACTGTTACCCAATCGATTGCATTGAACAATTATTCTATCTAACATGGAATAAATGTTAGGTATCGAGACGAAACCAGCATTGGTAATTTCAGTAACCATGGAAAATGGTAAGAAGACTCGTTCAACTCTATGTCCAAAGTAGACACTTCCAACACTATTTGCATCTATTTTGGCAGGGTTATTGTTAAAATCTAGAGTGAAAATAATTTCCTCAATGTCATCTTTGAGACTCCATGAAGATATTGGATCTTCTCTTTCGAAATACGAAAGTCCAATATTATTTCCAATCTTTTGGATAAAGCTCTCGAATGCATAGTATCCTCTGCAAATAAATAATCTCTTAGTTGTGACAACATAGGTCAATAATAATTTACAATATAGCAACTTGTAGGTGAAAGCATAAATAATCAAAAATAAATAAAGAATTATGAAAAGGTAATATAACAGTAAGTATGCTGAAATGATCAGATACGAGCTCGAGTCATAATCTTCAATCTTGTGGGAAATATAGTCAATTGGTACATAACAAGCAATGCTTGTAACTACAACTCCAAATATAAACATGATAATGACATTCTTTTTAAATGATGAGGCAGGAGTTTCAATATGAATGATGGATTCTGAACTGTCAAGAGTAATTCCTTTTGGAATATTTGCAGCAGAAGAAGAATTCAAAAGTGTTCTTCTTTCTCTTCTTTCGTTATTATTTACATATTCCTCAATTGAGTTTTCATCATCCTCCTCATTAATGTCCGAAACTGATGCACTCAATAAATTTCCCTCCTCAAAATCTTCATTCAGTAAATCAGGTGAATAATAAATTTGTTGATTCTGTGGACGTAACATGTGAATGAATGAATTTGAGAAATTACTCTCCAATCTCGGGGTAGAAACAGAATTATTCGAACTACTATTATCACCTTCATTGTTTCCTTCTCCTCCCTCTGCTGGTTGAACAACTTCCTTGATGAGTGCATTGAAATTTTTGGCAAACAAATTCAACTTGCTTTGCATTTGTTTGTTTACCCATGATGAGAAGACCTTCAATCTTCCCAATGGTTGATTGGATGCATGAATAAAACTCTTCGATTTACTCAATTTACCAATAGTTGTAGATGCACTACTTGTTGTTGGTAATAATTCTTCTTCTTCAATAGTACTAGTAGTATCATTGTGATGATTACTCTCAAAGATTGTTCCTGCTGTTGATGTTGATGAAGAATGGCTCAATCTCTTACTACTCACAACAGCAGTATTTCCTTGAAGATCACTGCTGTTGGTTTCCAATTCACCATCATCCTCCGATTCTGCATGTATTATCGGATCGTTCGTGATGGGAGGTGTTTGTTGTTGATTGTTGTCGGATAATACAGTGGATGATGGAGTATTGCCCTCTATCTGCAATGTGGCCATTTTTTAACGTTCTTGTTACTTATTAATAGTGGCTGGCAAACCATCAAGAGAAGTAATTTATCAAACAAGTAAGTTGGCTATTTAATTTTCTCATTATTGCCTCAATTCCTTTAATAATCACTTCTTTGTGATTGTTTAAAACCGATTCCGAGAATTTAAAATTAATTCCATGATGAAGTTTGCTGATTCAATCAAAATTTAAAACTTTAAAAAAATGTTTTCAAGACTTTTTAATACCATCTTCCCAAGGTCGAGAGTTACCGGAAGACGTCCATTCCTTGCTGCTTCACTCCTTTTTGGTGCCTACATGGCTGCTACATTACCAGTTAATCGTACTGGTGGAGAAGCTACTGGTGCTGATATTGCACAATCTACACTTGTTTCCGATCAACTTGCTGATGATTCTACTAACGAACAATTCTCTAAGAATAATTAATAATTAGAATTAATTTTGCCATCATTTTACTATCAATTATCAATCAATATATTGTGCAAATTAATTTTCGGAATTTATGAAGAATTAATAGCAACAATTTACTTTTTGGAAATAACTCTATCCTTCTTCCCTATCCTTCTCCCTACCTCCCAATCATCAATGACAATAAAAAACAAATAATTTATAAATTTAATATTCTCTATTGAGGAAAGCATCAAGAGATAATTGTCTTGGATCATTGTTTGGACCCTTGACAGGTTTTACAGATTTCACATAAATAACTTCATCATCATCATCATCTGACATGTCATCAGCAGCAGTTGTGGAATCAGTCTTAGTCTTTTTTGAAGACTTGCTACTGTCACTTTCTTCAGATTTACGTTTCTTTGGAGATTTGGCATCTTCACTAGTGGAGCTCTTCTTTTTAGGAGAAACCATAGTTTCTGATGTTTTTCTTTTAGGGTTAGCAGGAGCTTCTGGATAAACACAATCTAATCCCTTCTTTGTGCATGTAAGACATGATGGAATATGTCTGCTACACTTCTTGTGAGATTTTTTGCAACAGAGGCAAGAAAAATATGACAATTGTTCTTCAGAATTCTCAGTTTCTGATGATGAACTAGATGCTGTAGATTTCTTATCTTTCTTAGATTTGCTACGTTTTTCAGAAGCTTTTTCTTTTTTACCTGCAGATTTCTTATCTTTCTTAGATTTGCTACGTTTTTCTACTTTTTCTACTTTTTCAACCTCACAAACAGATGTATCAAGTCCTCCAACCTCAAAATCCATCTCGTTTGGTATTGAGGAAGGAGTGGTAGAAGTTGGCGTAATTAAGGAGATGGTTTCAATAGCCTTATCAGCTGAATTGCTATCGGGATTTTTGGTAACATCCAAAGTAAGTTGTCCTTTTTCATGTTTTTCATTCTTTTTGGTTTTCTTTTCAGCTTTCTTTTCATTCTTAGTGTCAGATTTTTGCTCGGATTTCTTTTCAGTCTTGTCTTCAATCTTATCCTCCACCTTCTTTTCAGACTTATTTTCAGTCTTGTCATCTACATTCTTATTATCTTCATCATTCTTCTTATTTTTTCTATTTTTCTTCGTTTTTTTGTTTTCTGTTGTTGGCTTTTCACTCATTTCAACATCTTTTGTCTGTTCGAAAGGCTTTTCTTGTGGGCTTTTCACTGATTCTTGAGAGCTTATTTGAGAATTATCCTTTGAATTTTCCTTGTTCTTCTCTTTTTTCGACTTTTTGTCCTGTGTCGCCTTATTGTTTTGAGATGATTCCTTTTGCTCCTTTTGTACCTCTGTTGTTTTTGGTTGCTCTTTAGTTTGTTTTTCTGTGATTTTTGGTTGCTCTGGCTTCTCTTGAGAGCTACTTTGTAATGTTCCATTTGTTGGTTGAGTAACATGTTGATTTTCTATAGCCTTTTTTGATTTTTCATCCTTCTTTTGAAGATATCTTGGTTTATCCTTAGGCTGTTCCTTTGGTTGGATTTTTGGCTTTTCTTGTGAGCTTGCCACTGATTCTTGAGAGCTATTTGGCAAAATTGCGATTGGACTTTCTTGTTGTTTCTGTGAGGTTCCATTTGGTTGGGCTAGAGGTTTCTCTTGTGTAACTTGTTGGATAGTTGGTTTAATTGACTCGATTATATTAGATTTGGCTATTATTGGGGATTCCTTAGACAGCACGATAGCAGCTGGTTCAGGTTGTGAAATAGTTTCAGGCTTATTCTCGACGGAAGCAACAACTGGATTAAATTTTGCTTTGAAACTATTTTCTTTTTTGTCTTTCATTCTACCCTTCAGTCGGGAAACTAATTTGTTGAAGGTTTTGACTTGGCTTGGTGGTGTAGATGATGTTGTAATAATACTAGCATATGCATTTGTAGAGTTCGTAGCATTTGTATTTGAACAAGTTGTAGTGTTTGATGATTCATTAGAAGCTTGTTTAGGTGTTTGTTTTTTTGGTTTCTTCTTCACTTCCTCGGAATCTGATTCACTCTCATCGCAATACATTGACTCCCAATCTTCTTCTTCATCTTCCGAATCATGATTTATACTAAAATCCTCATCCTCTTCCTCTCTATATTCTGTTGGCCTTGAAATAATGTCATCTTCATCACTTGATTCATCCACAAAAAAATCATCATTTAATACATCGTCATCCTCCTCGTCCTCCATTAAATTTAAAATGCTCGGATCCAATAAATCATCACCATCATCCTCCTCGTAAACTACTACTGTCTTGGTCTTCCTTGGGGATTCAGCCTTTCCTTTGTCTTTACTGATTGTTTTACCGGAGAGTGTTTTCTGGACGGTCTTTGGCATTTTTTTTCAAGTGAAAAACCTCCAAATTTTGTTGGATTTTATTTAAGAAATTGCAAAGAACAAGAAACTTTGTGCTCTGTTACAATGAAAATAAATGTTTTGTGATGATGAAACAAATGATCCGAATGATGATGAAAATGTATTATTTAGTATTCTTCAAAGATTAAATATTTTGTTTATTATATTAAAGAATATTAATAATTATATTAAAAAAAATGTTGTACTCGTGTTGCATCTTTAACCGTTCGGGAGATTATATTTTTTATCGTGAGTGGAATACATCCGATAAATATAAAAAGCAAAGTGAATCAAAGCTCAAGTCACAAATGAAATTGATGTATGGTTTCTTGTTTTCCATGAAGAGATTTGCTGAAGGAATTTCACCAAAACCGTACGTTTTTTATTAGTAGTAGATTTTGTGGATGATCATTGAATATAATTATAATAATATTATTGTTATTGATAATTGGATGAATAATGTTTTGATACGGATCATGATTATTTAATTATTTAAATTTAAATAATAATATTTATTGTGGATGTTGATGATGGATTGGATCGGATGATAATTTCTATCAAATTAGAAATTCACAATTCCAAAGTTTTAAAACAAATAATTACAAGTTACATTTCTTTGAATCTCCCACTGGTCTCAAATTCATCTTAATGACAGATCCTAATGTTGGAAATATTGAAAATATCTTGCAGGAAATTTATTCAAAACTCTATGTGGAATTAGTTGTTTTCAACCCAGTTGAAAAGACACAAGATTTAATCACCAATACTCTTTTTGTGAAACATTTGGACAAGTATTTGAGCCAACTTCCATGGTTCTCCAATTAAAATTGTACTATAACATGATGAATTATGCACTCAACACAACACAGCCCCCTTCTTTTTTGACAATGTACAGACCAAACAAATCTCTATAAATTATATCACATCATACATTTCATCACTATTCTCAACAACTAGTCCATTAACTTACTCTCATTATTTCAATGACCAACTCTTCACGTGTTACATGTTACAAAATGTGCTGAGATGTCCAGATGAACTTCCATCTCCAAAATGGAATGCAATTCAACGATGCAGAGATCACTTCTCAACTCTCAAAGATTCAGCACAACAAAAAAATGAGCTTCTTTTCATCATTCTTCGGAGGGAATAGTTCTACCAACCAATCTTCGGATCCATTACAAGTTAAACTTAATGAATTAAATAGTAAGGTAGGTTTTAGTATGATAGTACAAATGAGGTGGAGATTTTTGTTCTGTATAATTGTATAATATTATACAATATTATTCTTTGCAATTGTTATCCTTTATTAATAATAATAATAATTGATATCGTCATCGTCATCATTGCTAATGTGTGTGGATGGAATTTTATAACGTTTATTTTAGGCTGATAAAGTAGTACCACAAATTGATAATAGAAGAACCATTCAGGAATATTTTCAGTTTGGAGCTAATCTGATTAGACAGGCTGGGCAATATAAAAAGAGTGAGGACTATGAAAATGCTTATATTTATTTGAAGGCCTTTGAAATTTTGATTTCTAATCGTATTCCTTATCATCCACAAATTGAAATGAGTAGAGCGGAATATAATTATAATTTAGAGGTATAGTATCAAACCGGGGTAATAATATTAATATATTTATTGAACTTTGTATAGAAATTGAAACAATTCCAACCAGAAATTGAAAAAATCAAACAACAATTGAAAGTCCAATGCACACCTCAACAAAAAACTCCATCATTCAATCCTTATTCGAATGAAACCAACTCCTATCCTCAACAACAACAACAATATCCACCTCAACAACAACCTCAATATTCGCAACAATACATTCAACCACAACAACAACAACAGTACAATAATCAATCAGGTAATAGAAAATCACTCCCTCCTCTTCCACCTAACATGATGACAACAAATAATACTCAAATTGTTTCAACTCAAAAGAGAAATCTACCACCTCCACCTTCATCTTCTTCAGGATTGACAAAACAAGAAGCTGTTGTTTATAACTCTGTTGGAAATGTTGTTTACAATGATAAATTCCAATCTGCTATGGGAAATCAAGTTGCCAACATGGCTCAAAATGAAAAGATCCAAACTGCTGTTGCTACAGGTGTTGCCACAGCATCAACAAACAGAAATATTCAGAGAAGTGTAGGTGATGCTATTGCATCATCGAGTGACAGCTATATGGTTCAAAGTTTGGCAAGAAATGAATCAGTTCAACAAACAGTAGGTGTAGTGGTTGCTAACACTGTAGGAAACAAGGAAGTTCAACAAAAGGTTGGCTCCTACATTGCTAAAGCAGCCACCAATAAGGAAGTACAACAAAAGGTTGCTAAAGGGTTCATGACTCTAGTCAAGGGCACAATCAAGGGAGGTCAAATTGTTGGAAAGGCAGCTATTGACGGAGGTAAAGTTGTAACTAAAATGGCCATTGAAGAAGGAAAGAAACAATATAACAATCAATAATAGATCATTGATTTTCATCACCTTTTCCATGCTACCCTACTAGATGTAATTTCAAAATAGATAAATCATGATGTACATTAAAAGAAAATGTTTATTTTCAATTCGGAGGGAAAATATTTACACAGCTTACTTGTTTTCATTGATAACATCCAAGAGGGCATTTGGGTTAGCACCGACAACAGACTTAATCTTTTGACCACCCTTGAAGAAGAGGAAAGTTGGCATAGCTTCAACAGAGTAAACTGAAGCAGATTCATCATTGATATCAACATCAACCTTCAAGAACAAGACAGTGGTGTGAGTCTTGGACCATTCTTCAATGGTTGGAGCAATTCTCTTGCAAGGACCGCACCAAGTAGCAAAGAAATCGACAACGACGAGTCCTTCGTGTCCTTCAATCAATGATTTCAATTCAGAGTGAGAATCAACTTGTTTGACCATTTTGTGTGTATGTAATATTTTTTTGTATTATTATTATTAATTGATTTCCGTTATGCAGGCTTAAGGATCTTTTAAGTCCTGACAGAGAGGCGGAAACAAGAACATGAAAATTTTAAAAATATGCTCAAGTACAATCAACGAATTAAACCGCACGATCGCAAGGATGTGCCGAAATACTTCCAACCGACCAACTAGTAAGCGTGAACGAACAAGTTCTTTTGGTTCATCAACACAATTGATTGAGGCACTAATTGGTTTTTCATTGTGTTGTAAAATTTACATTTATGAACCTTACGAAAAGAGGATTAGTACTTATTGCGTTATACTAGTCTGATTGAGGAGGTTTTAGAAGCAAATCACATTGTTTATGCTCAATAATTTTTTCAATGTTTGGTGGGCAATTCTAGAATTGCAGGAAAAAACAAGTTTCAACCATTTAGTTATAAAATTATAGAGCTAATTTCAAAAAGAAACTCAACTTCGATTTATAAGGTTGTCTAATAATAATAATAATCGTAAATAGTAGGAATAAACAATTATTGTCAATCATAATCTTCATACCATCGATAATAGGTCGATGCATCTCTTCTTCTTCTTGTACCTGGTTGAAACTCTGATAAATTCAAATATCCTTCATTTTCTCTAACTCGTTGAGAGGACGAAGAAGATTGTGATGAGGATTGAGATGAATCAAGAGAATCTTGACCCATTCTTTTTGCCTTACATACAGGGCAGGGAAAATCACTTTTGAATCCTTTCCATGTTTTTAAACAATCCGAATGAACATTAATTCCACAATTGCAACAATAATCAGCATCAGCTTGATCTCTCCTCGTTGTAAATTTGTCACAACAAATTGGACAAGTTGTGTGACTATTTAGTGGATGTCTTATTGATTCTCCTTTCAAATGTTTGTACTGAGATATCGCTTCAGTACTCGCAATATTTACAGAGGGAACTGTTGGGGGAGCTCGTTGAAAGATGCATTGCAGCTCACCCCTTAGTAATGCGTTTTGATAGACTAGATATGAGGTTGCATCAACCCTGAGCACTTTTAACATGATAAAGAGCTAGAGGATTATATTTGTGTTGGTAGTTGACCATTAAAACTTACAATGTGTTTGCACAAGTTACCACCTTCAAAATCTGGACAAGAACACGATGGTTCCTCACAAATTGAAACTGAATAAACATTTCCAGTCGAGCCCAAAACTACAAAATGTTCTTCAAATTCACTCTTAATCGTTCTCTCCACAAGAAATAATCTAAGAAAATTGAATATAGAGAAATAACATTGACAATTCTCAAACAATTTGAAAAACATACTTTTGTAAAAGTGCTCTTTCAATTCGTTGTTCAATTCTTGCTGGACATTTTGAAATAAATCTTCTCTTTCTCTTTTCTTCTGATTTTGGTGGACTGGTTGGCAGCTCAATTGGTCTTGATGTAATCTTTGGTGTAGATGCTCTTGGTGGCGACAGATCCTGAGACGAACTTGCAATACGAGATTCTGCTTTTGCTCTAGGAGGTGTCACTATTCCCAAATTATCAAAAATAGATGAATTCAGTATATCATCATCACTATCCTCCACTATTTCCACAATTTCTCTTTTAACTGATGAAGAGTTTTCCAATTTTTCCTTCTTAGTTGGTGAAATATATTCCGACTTGCATTTTTCCTTCTTTGTTGGAGTATATTTCCTCTTCTTTTCCATTACTTCCTCAATATCAACACTTCCATCACTGGCATCCTCATTCTCATTCTCATCATCATCATCACTGCCAGGTGCTGTTGTTGATTTAATGATGATGATTGGCTTATCTACTGTCACCATCTTCCGAAGAGAAGATTCAATATTAGCAGCAATTGCACTATTACTAGTAGTGGTAGTAGTGGTAATATTACTAGTGGTTGTGCTAACTATTTTCCTGTGGTCATTATTTTCCAATTCTTCTTGATAATATTCCTTAATCTTCTCAATAAGTTGTTCCTTTTTCAATGATGAACATTTTTTGTAAATTCCCAATTCCTTCATGTGTTCCTTCAGTTGATCCACTTTTAATCCCCACAAATCCAATTCGGAATGAAAATGGTGAGTTGACATGATGAATTTTTTTTTAATTTTTTAATTTCAATAAATTTCAGTAATATTTAAATATTAATCTGATAGAGAGTTGACATTTCAAGGAGCGAGTAAGATTTTTTGGTCTTATTACATTACCAACAATGAGATTCATTGAGAAACACAAAAGTTTGATTCCAAATAGATAGATATCAAGTCATCAACAGAAATAAACACAATAATACAGTGTACGAGTTTGACATTATAATAAATGTACTCCATTCTCCTCCCCTTACTGCTCAATAATAACAACTGACTCTATAATTGCTCAAAAAACAATTTTCACAAGTGAAATAATCATCTCCCTCACTCCATACAAAAATGGCACGCTCACATCTTGCTTTTGTGATCTGCAGTGTTGTTATCTTACTAATCTCCACATGTGTGAATGGTGGTGCTTCTGGTTTGTGGTAACAACGTAAGAATAATCAATATAGAACTAATTCTATTGGGTTCAATGGAAAACACCAGCCGTTTAGAAAAGTTCAGAGTAAGAGATGGTTTCAAATTCAATTCAAGTATTGAAATTACTCAAGGTCAACCCAGAAATTTGGTTTCTATGGATAGAGAAAATATGGTTGCCATTACTAACACTAAGAATGACGATGAGGCAAGCTATCTTTCAGTTGTCATTTTCAAGAGTGGTTTATTCGAAACTACTGAAATAATTCCGCCTAGATATCCACCAAACCTAGCAGGTTGTGATTTCCCATTGCTATCAGGCAGTACCACAAACTTCAAGATTGATACTTATGAAGTCGAAGTTTCCTGCACTGACAACATGGACAGAGTTTACAATGTTTTTACAACAAGTTATGTCGTTAATTACAATCAGGCACTTGCTGGCACTCAAGTCAAAGCAATACCAAAAGATTTTAGATTGGGTTTGACAAAGCTTTCAAAATCTCATGCCTTAATTGCCAAGAATATTCAAAATGGATAGGATATCATGTCTGAAATGGGCGAAACTATTACAACCATTCAATCTTCAATGGCAGCAAAGAGTTGTGAAATTATCACCTCTTCCAATAATATATTTTATGCATTTTGTTGGGATGGAATGGATGTTGTGAAAATTGAATCAAAGCAATTACCTATTGTTTAACAAAATAAAGTTTAATCTTAAAGTTTAGTTTACAATAATATTCGAAAAAAAATGAAAAGAAAACTTGAAAAGAAACAAGTGCTTGTGGGAAAGAAGATCAAAATGAAGAGCATTGAATTATTCCCTGATGATATTTGTTATGAAATATTAAAATATTTAAATTTTCAACAAGTGCTACTGAACGCATGTAAAATTTCAAAGCAATTTTACAGAATTTCCACCACAAGATATGAATTTACAATCAAATCGGAAGAAACTGCTGATGATTGGTTCAAATACAAAAGTATTTGGACTAAATTTGTTAAATATTGTGAAAAACACCATTGCCCCTATTTGAAGAATGTTAGAACATTGATAATTATTGACGTGTTGTTGGTTTTAGATGATGATGAATGGGAAATTGTTTGTGCAATGAAGGAATTGAGAGAATTGAGATTGGAAATTTTTATTAAAACTTTGGAAAACAAGCAAATTCAAATGTTGGCTAAACATTTAACAAAACTGGAAAAGATTATATTAGGTGGTAATGTTAGTGATGAAAATGTTCAACAATTTCAATTATTTCCAAATTTAACAAGTTTGAAAATACCACAGGGTCATATTACTAATTTGAAAAATATAGCCAAATTAGAAAAATTGACTGAATTGGATATTGGAGAATGTTGTGATATTGTGTTGGACGATGGTCTCAGTCCTCTGGCTTTAATGAAAAATCTGACAAGTTTGTCTCTTTCAAAAATTGTATTCGCACCTGAAGAGTACAAGCCCATCACACAATTACCTCGCCTTGTCTCTTTGGATGTGTCCTCTTCAGATAATACTGTTGAATCAATCAAGATATTGACAAGCTCACTAAAGCAGTTAACAATATTTAACATTAGCAACAATTTTCTGATTGGGGATGAAGCTGCTCGATTAATTGGAGAATCACTGAAACAATTAACATTTTTAAACATCAGCAATACCAATTTACAACCACAAGGAGTTAAATATATTTGTGAATTGACAGAGTTGAGACATCTTGAAATGGGAGAAAATCAGATTTTCGATCAGGAGGTGGTTTTCATTTGCAAATCAAAATTTTCATCCAAATTGACAAACTTGGATTTGAAAAATACTAGAATTTCAAAAGAATGTCTCAAATCACTATCTACACTCGACAATCTTCAATATCTTAATTTGATGTTTACAGAAATAGACAAATCCAACATTACATTTCCATTCAAGAAATTGAGATTCCTCACACTTAAGGAAAATAACCTAGATGGAGATGAATTGGAAGAATTGACCAATTTCAATCAACAATAATCCACACACATTTCAACAATTCAACAATTCATGGATGAACTTGATTAATTTTCATTACAAAAAAAATGGCGCAACATGAACTTGTTTCCTTACCCGATGAAATAATCATGGAAATTTTAACGATGGCCTCCGATAGCATTGGTAGTGTGATGAAGTTCGGAATGACCTGCACATCACTCTATGAAATAATAACTCAGAGAGGAACGCTGCTATGGACGAACGTTTTGGAGAGAATGAAGAGAGAAGATGGTACTCGTTTCAAGAAAAATGTCTTGTCCATTTTGGATATTGATCAACGGCACATGCCAGATAAATGTCAGCGATTGATGAAAATTGTAAGGCATCAGTATCGTTTTCAAGTAAAGAAAAGAATTGTTTCAAAAGTGCGAAATGAAAGAATTGTGCAAGAAAAGAAGAAGTTCATTGAGAATGTGAAAGTGGAGGATGAAATAATCAAGAAAATAATCAATCCATTCAAGGGGTCTATATACCATTTCTACTCACCTGAAAATTTCATTTGTGCAAGATATGGAGGATCTTTTGAACGATTTTTGTATTTTCTAATGTCTGACAAGTTGGCCCATTTTACAATGAAAGAGACTGTGGATCATTTATTCAAAAAGACAAATGCACATCAAAAACTGACTTTGAAGAATAGATTTGGAGGAAAGAGTTCAGAATTTTATAGTTGGGTTATGCTAGCATATAATCGTGAATATTATGTGAACCAACTTATTTCTCTATTGGAATTTGTAACCAATGTACAGGACGCTGTTTTTTTGATAACATTTATCTATTTTGAATGCCCGATTTATCATGAAAAGGTGAATTATCAATTTATCAAATCGTGGACTGGACTAACAGTAGATCAGGAAAAGGACGGGAACTTTCTTAAACATTTGAAAAATATTCTCAAAGAAAATCAATCTATTCTCAATCAAAATTCAAACATTATTTCACAAGCTCTCACTGAGGTTAAGCTCCAACTTTATGGACCAAAATTAAAGCATTAAAGAAATTATTTAATTACTCAATTGTACATGGAAGATTATTAATCTCGAAAACTCTCTTCATAATATCAAAGTGATATTGGATATTTGGATGTATATCATGAAAATACAAACCCTTATCAATGATCATATGGATAAGGTTTTTGTCTTGTTTTAACCTTTCGCTGGCATATCTTATTGATCTTGGATTGTTCAACACTGCCTTGTATACAATTTCTCTATCATCCCTTAATTCTGGATTCAAATACTCAAGCCATTCTCCCTGCTTACTCACCAATTCTAGTGCCAATAATCTTGGAATTCCATGTAAAGATTTTGCAGGAAAGTAAGTAGCGTCATCGATTGAAATTATCCTCAAAAGCTGGCCACATTTTAACATTTCATCTGAAACAAATACAATACTATATGGATCTATCTTAACAAGTTCTTTCATGAATTCCATATCGTTCCATAAATTTGGATCTATCATTTGTTGGAGTTTGTCATTGAGGATTAGTAATGGTTTTTTCTTTTTGAATAGTTCCTTAATAAGTTCTCTGTCCGATCTGTACTTTGCAGGTATTTCTTTGAAATGAATCAAGTATTGAAGAGCTGATTCTCTAGTGTCAACCTTTTCCAGATTTCTCTTTATAAATCCTTTGTAATTTTCAATGAATTCTTTAATTTCTTCTGCAGGATTGACTACTTGTTTACAGATGCTGTCAGCGAGAGATCCATTTCCAAACAAATCTTTCACAATTCTTTTAAAGTACTTATTGGTAAATTGCTTATTTTCCAACAAATCCTTATCCGACATTGATAATGGAGCTTTGAGTCCCAATGAGAGAATCACATCTGGATCCCTGCTACAATAGCAACTATAAGAAAAACCGGGCTCAATTTTGAGAGCCTTAATCATGAATTCCTTATCCTTTAACAGTTCCTTTCCAACAAATTGCAAAATATATTGTGGATGATTACCCATGCCTGTTTCTATTAATCCATAATCTTGACCAGATTTAATGGCAGCCATGGCAATCTTTGGATCATTCTTGAGATTATCAGTTGCATGTGCAATAGAATATGGATTTGAATTGACAGCTTGCATGACAATTTCTGGATCTGATTTAAAAGTATCGCTTGCAAATTTCAAAGCAGCACCATTTAACTTTACAGCCTTTGAGACAATTGACTTGTCATTCTTGAATTTCTCTTCAACAAATTGCAAAGCGAGTGGATTACTTTTGACAGCCATTAATACTACTGCCTTTTTGTTTCTCAATTTTTCACTAGCAAATTTGATACATTCTCCTTGTTTTCTAATGGCCTTTAACATGAGTTCTTTATCATCTTTAATCAAAGGTATCACCTTTGACCAGTCATGATCATGAATATGTGAATTCAAGTCTAATAATTTGTTAATGACATCTCTGTCATGTAGCAATTCTTCTGGAAGATGATCGAGAACCAATCTGTTCAATTTCATAATCACCTCCTTATCCTTCCTAAATTCCTCTGGCAAATGATCAATTTGAATAAATTCCGATTTTGAATCGAGTAATTTCATAATAAAATCTCTATCCTTAGTGGTGGATAACCTTTCTCTGAAATCCAACAATCCAATCCTATACAATTCCCTCAGGCATTCAATCTTGTTATTGGTGAATAAATAATTTTCGAGAGTTTTTTCCCTTTTATTACTTGTTGTGTTGAGAAATTGTGATGATGAGAAATTTCTAGTCATTGTAAATATTGACGATGATGATTTGAGAGTTTGAATGAATCCCGAAGATGGTGATGAACCCTGTAAGGAGAACAATCTAACCTTGTTAACAAGTTGTTTCATTTTTTTGTGTAATAAATTGATTGGTCAACTACAATGATAACAATAAGATAATCAAATTGATTATATCAGAATAATTTATTTAGCATGTGTATTGTTTCATCAAGTTACGATCTTATCTAACATTAAACCTTATAAGAGTAGGTAGGGTTATTCCTTTTCAATTTTGACTAATATATTTTGAATCAAAGACTCTAGAACAATAATATTAGAAGATCTAATCATCTTCGTCTTCATCTAATTTTTCACCAGCTGCAATCTTTCTGTCCTCCTCAAATCTCTGTTCAAAATAATCGGAAGGTGTATCACCCTTGTTTCCTCTATAAAACTCAGCTTTGAGAGCCATTCTTTGGAAAAAGTTATGATTATTCTCAGTGTACTTTAACTTTTCTTCCAATAGACAATGTTGATAATCTCTCCTCTCGGGAATGACACATCTATTATAACTCTTTATCTTGACGCATTCCTTAAATATTTCTTGTTTTGGTTGGCAAGCTTCACTAATCTTTCTTTCCAATTCTTCATTATCATCCCAATAGAACTTTTCAATAAAATTCATTTTGGATTTAATGTGTTTCTCCGATGTTGTTGTTGATGATGATGGATTATTGTTCTGACTTGAGGACATTTTTTCAAATTAAAATTAATAATTTGAAAAACTCTTATGATATTATTATTATTAATATTAATTGTTGTTGATAATATAAAGATTATAATTTTCTTCTCATGGCAACTGAAGCAATCAAATGAATAATTGGTAAAATACATAAACCACGATGAATTTGATACATTCTCGATGAGTAGAAAGTATCATCGAAGGGTTTGAACATATCACTCGGAAGAGGCTTATTATTCAGAGTGGCTTCATCATACATCCAAATATAATGTACCATCTTGGCTTTAAAAGAGGCCGATTGATGAGAGTTTGAACCATTACCAGCAACTCGTTGTCCATGCTCATTCAAGGCAATATTCACAGCATTACTAATTGGAAATTTGTTATCAAAATCGAAGGAAACAGTGGCTTGTCCTTGTGATCCCTTGTTTTCTCTTTCGACAGAGTTTTGTTTAAAGACGACTGGAAAAGTTGAGGGAAAACGTTTTGCATTCGGACCTTGTTGTTTTAATTGATCGAGGAAATTCTCAGTCAATACATCCATTCTCTGTGGATGTTGATAGAGAAAGTAATAAGAAACGAGTGGTAAACTACACGAAAGAAGAAATGAAGCTGATTTCAATTTGGACATTTTTTTACAATTTTAAGAATAATATTATTAAATACTTATCTATTAATATTTAACTTAATTAAACGAGTTGAATCTTGCTTAAAGTAATTCAGAGAGAAAACTTCCAGCTTTTGAAAGACTTCCAGAATTTTAAAGATTTGCTTGGCGCTAATTTTAATCGTTTTTAAATCAAAAAAAAATGAGCAACAACGATATTCAGCCATACCAACCAGTCTCTTACCCATACGTCAATGCACAAACCTTGAGAAATTATATCGGCAAGGAAGTAACCTTGATTGGTAGAGTTGTTTCACTTGTTAGCGATTCCGATGTTTTTGATGTTTTAACTCACGAAGGTACAGTCACAATTTACCACAATAGTCCAGTCTCTTTTGATGAGAACGCATTTGTTATGATTAGAGGACAAGGTGAAGATTTGAATGGTTCTCCTTCTTTGCGATCAACATTTGCTCAACAATTACACACAACCACTGATTTGGATATGGAAGTTTTTAACAATTTTATTCTCTTGGCCGAAGGAAAATTCAGAGATTTATTCTATGATTAGAGACTCTAGAACACTATTATTTAATTATATTGTAAATACACCAAACCATTTCAATGGACTAGGAGATACATTCAACATCAATTTGATATGCGAAAGTCTACCACAGAGATGTTGTTTTTGTAATAATAAATTATTAAATAATTAATTAGAATACCAATGATGTCTTTACTGCACATTTGAATATTCTCTTCATTCCGAGAGAGATTACACCATTTACATAATTGCGTTTCAATAATTCAATCGTAAATTTTAAGCAAGTTGAACAGCACAACAGAACTATCCGTTTTTTATTCAAACAAAAAAATCCTTAATTCCTTCAACAACCTTCTTCTCAAGTTGCTACTATTGCTGGAGAACGTATACGTTTGAATATTAGCATCAATTTTAAACAAAATGTCTAGTGGAGCCTATCATGTAAAGGTAAAAATTGGAAACTACAATGAGGAACAATGGGATCAACAATTTGCAAAGAAGGAGGCTCCTCCGAGATTATTAGGACTTCAACACAATACCTACCAAACAACCTATTCGACAGAACATTCAATTCATAATTCCCTCGATAGAAGGAAGGTTGAAAATCTTACTCGAAGTGTCAATGTAAATTCTCTCAAATTAAGGGAAAGTTCAAAAGTTACAGATGATAATCAACAAGTATTTTCAAAGGCCTTCCCAGGGCATCAACCAGAATTGGACCACAACAATAAGCAAGTACTAAACCAGGAGAGGAGTAATGAAGAGGCCTACTATCGTAGCACTTCTGCTGCCACCTATTCAAATCCTAGAAATTCTCCAATACCTAAAGAAACCCTCACTTATTTACCTCCAAACCAATTGAATGAATATAGAAAAACATGGACCTCGAAACAAGCAAGAGATATGCACTCAGAGTATCAGAGAGAGCATGGATCAGTAGCTGACAAAAGAACAGCCGAATATAATAAACGTTAAATGTAAAATAATAAATTGTAAAATATTTATTACAATTTATTGATCTGGTTGTACATAATGCAAACTTGCAATAATGACACTTACGTTGTCACCACTATTTCTATTGAAAATAGAATGATTTACCAAGTTTTTGGCAATGATATTGAAATCTTTAACTCGATGATGATAGTATTGTTTGTAAATATAATCAGCAACATCACTGTTGTTCATTACATCAAACAAACCATCACTAGCTATGACGATTAAGGTTGGTAAACTTGGAGTAACACTTGAAAACATTACATCCTTTCCATCTTTGTCATCCTTACGTTTTTCAACTACCTTTTTAGGTTTTTCCAAGTGAATCTTGTGCTTTACAACCTCAGGGAGAGCAACAACTGCTTGCTTTCTTAAATTAGTATTTTGAATTGGTTGAGTGAGACCAACATTGATTGCACCATTGGTACTTGTTGGATCTGGATTATTCTTTGCATAATAATCTCCAAATGTTCTAGAAACAGCCAATCCACAAACACGATTATTTTCAACACGAGATCCAAACATTTCAATTCTTCTCTTTTCTTGTTCATAGGTTGGTTTATGATCACTGGAGAGAGGAATAATCTTTGACAAGTGAATCATAAAAGCACGACTATCACCAACGTTTGCGCAAGTTACATAGTATGTATTGGCTTCCTCCTCACTAGCAGTGATAAACACAGTGCAGCCTGTTGAACCAGCACATGCCATAATACCACTAGTTGTTCTTGGAGAAGGAACACCCTTTTTAACAGAGAGATTGGTTCTATATTGGTCTATAACCTTTTCACGATATTGTTCATCAACCTTAATGAATGCATACTCAAGAAGATCTCTTCTGGAGAATATTGGCTCATGGATATTAAATACCAATGATTGATAATTTTCCAAGTGATAGATAAAGTTTTGATACAAATAGTCAGCACATTCAGCACCACCATGTCCATCAAATACACAAAGTACTGCAGCTTTTTGATTGTGGAAATTTTCAAATGACTTATTTACAAAATAAACACGATCTTCCATATAGTTTCTCTTTCCTCTTTCTTGAGCACAGCTGATAGCAAGTGGGAGTTGCTTCTTTTCAAAATCGAATATGGATTGTGATGGAGATTCTGTTGGATTTGCTGTGGTATTGTTATTGTTACCTGGAGTACTTCCTGGAGGAGGCATTGTATTTGGGGAAATGCCATGAGTCTTTTTCTTTGGTGTTACTTGAAGTGGGTCACGCCAAATAAAAGGAATTACACTTGTAGAGGCATTTGATTCAGAATCTGATTGGGATTGTTGGACAGAGGTGACATGGTGATTAAGGAATTTAAAGATGGATTGTTCAGCTTGTCTATAATAGTCCATTTGGGATGGATGTTTGAGAAGATTGAGATCTTTGCAAAGGTCATTACATTGATGTTTGGAGAAGAATCTCTTCACTTCTGTATACTCGGAAAAGTTGTTGCTGTCGTTAGATTTTTTAGATTGAGGAGAACTTGGCTCGGTCAACTCGGTTGGTGATTTGATAGATTTCTTAGCTGAGGCACCTCCACCATTATCAAATATTCTACAATCGAATTTTCCGAAAAGATAACTGCCATAACAGAACATTTCGTTTGCTTCAAAAACAAATGTTCCTTTAGATTCTAAAAAGATAAAATGGAAAAGAGATTCAGCAACAAAATTACTGGTATGTCTTGGAGGTAGGCAAGCCATCTTTTCACCATGTTTTTCATCAGTAGGATCGAGATATGGATATTCTACAAAAGGATAGGCAATTAAGGTTACTTCTTCAACATCAGGGGATGGTGTTACAATACTTGGATTAGATACAGCACCAGTCTTTGGATCATAATGTAATCTATATACATTGTAGAAAAGAGAAAAATTCTTTTGTACCTTAGAGTTATAAAGTTGTAAGTAATAGTTCAAATGTGTCAAAACATTGACTGGATCGTATTTTTGATGACGAGTGTTGATTCTTGTACCATGGAAAGTAAGTCCATTCATTGAAAGATCTTTGATAAAAACTGAATTAGGGAAGGAAGATGTCTTGGACGGTGTACCTGGTTGTTTTGTTTTAGAATCAGTACTCTTTTCAGTATTCTTACTCTTATCTCTATAATAGAGAACAATATCATGATAAAGTAATGAGTTTGCATTTGAAGGATTGGTCATTCCTGAGCTACTGTTATTGGAAATGTAAGTCATTACTTCTGAAACATTGTACTTGTAAATGTAATGTGGGTCATTACTAGTATTTTTCCAAAATGTATTATTCTTATTGGCTTCTGCTAATGAGGATGCAATTCCGCTATCTCTACTCTTACTTCTAGATAATCCAGATGGGATGGAAGTGGAACTGGCCAATGTATTAATATTACTTCCACTGTTAGAGTGTGAAAGTGTTGGATTACTTGTGGAATGTGAAAGTGGTGTTCCATTTTGAATTTGTAAAGCACTTGGTAAATATCCAATTTGTTGAAGTGGACTTCCTTCATAGCAAGGAAAACATACAGCTTTGGATTTGTATTCTAAAAATCCTGAAGAGCTTGATGTTGAAGAAATGTTGTGAAGACTCATGGATGGTGAAATTGAAGGGATACTACTATCACTCTCAGAACCTCCATTTGATTCGCTTGTAATGGTTGACAAATTACTATTTTCACTGGTGGATCGACTGATACGTTGCTCATCTTTAGCTTTTTTCTCTTGGTGAGCCATACATAAATGGTTTGTTAAAACACTAGGAACATTTGAAAAGTTTGTAAAGGTAAATGCCAAATGTTTAGATTGATTATGTTGTTGAGAATTGCTTGGAGGTACTAGAGGGCTTGCATCAATTGTAGAAATATTTGGAGTGGAGGTACTATTCGGAAGTGTCCCACTCGAAGAGGTTGGAATCAAAGGAGTTGAAGTACTTTTCACAATTGCAAATTGTGTAATATTATTTCCAGAAGTTGATGGAGGAAGGCTACTATTAACTTGATTTGATCCCGAATTTGTATTTGGGAAGGGTGATTGTGAGGAAGATGTAGTTGTTGGAGAAGCAGAAGAAATTGTCAATGATACTGGTTGATCCATCTTTAAACTACCTCTATTATTTGGAGTGGAAATAGTTCCCATAGAGGTTGTTGCAGTACCTCCAAAGCTTTTAGTTCTCGAGTGAAATATTGGCATTTTGTGCATAATCGTCTTGACCAAACCTTCAGATGATTGATTGGAACCTATTCCTTGACCTAATTGTATTGGAGGAGCTGTTGAGTTTGAAGAAGAAGAAGAAGGCGAAACAGATCCTTGGTTATTTCCCTTGTTCAAAATGATTGATGCCGTGCCTGACTTTAAAGAAGAAGTAATATTATTCATGTTTGGTGGAGGTGGCATTTTGAATTCTGAATTGTTATTTGATGATGTATTATTATTATTATTGTTACTCATGATGATACTATAAAATTATTATTCTTTGTTGATGATGTATTTTCTTTGAAGTGTAATAGAAGCTTATGTGCTCTTTGGGATAATGAATATTTGTAAAAATAGCAAATATCTTATTTCCGTACTTGTTAATTACAGAATATGATGATTACTCTAAAAACTCGGTAAATTGGTCTTCGATGATTAAATCATTCAATGTAAAAAGACCTGTAGGAAAGGTCCAGAAATGTACAAGTGTTTGGTGTTGGTGATTTTTTAAAAAAGAAAACTCCAACGGTAGAGTTTGCTGTATTTTTTATTCGAGTTGGATCTTTTATGGTAGACGCACCTTATTTATTTTATTGAGAAAGCTGCATAATCTGTCTGTTGAGAGTATTGATTGATCTTTCAGAGTATTGATTATTGAGTGACGTATTGCATGAAAATCAGCAATGTAGATTGAACCTCTCATATCATCCTAAGAATACTCCCTAGTTAATGATTGAATAGGTTTGGAAATCGCAAAAGAACTGTATAATACTATTATTACCCAAACATTATCTATTATGGTCGAATGATACTTAGGGAGAGTCAATGGTTTACTTTAAAATATCTATTAGCAAGATATTTTCTCTGAACTGTCACTTGAAAGATATTCTGTTCATTCCTTGCCTTATTCTCAAAAAAATGAAACCAAAGGATGAAATTAAGGCTGTTTTTGTTGGTAAGTTAATTTCCTGATCATGCTCTTGTGGCTAAAGGGAGGTTGATATTAGGTGATACTGTGAGTGGTAAAACATCACTCTTAATTGCATTGATGGGAGGAGTCATTTCCGATAGCTATGTTACACCATTATTGGATCCTTTCGATTCTGTGGTTAACAATTTCACCCTTAGAGGCATGGGGGAAGGAAATGGATTACCAAAAGAAAACCTGCATGTTAAATATATTGATACGAGAGGATCAGTAGATTATGATCCAATTAGATATCTCATCTATCCAGAGACCAATCTATTTGTTATTTGCTGCAGTCTTGCCAATGATGAGCCACTAAAAAGTGTTATAACTAGGTGGCTTCCTGTTATTAAAGACAAGTACAAAATGATTCCATTTGCCTCATTCTTGGTTGTTGGTACAAAGTCTGAAACCACATCCATTCCTAAAGGTTCTTTTATTACATCAGCAAACTCAATGTTCAAGAATGTTCCAGGATATGCAGGTGCAGTAGAAGTTTCAGCCATGGACCAAACGGGAATTAAAGAACTCCAACAAAAAATTATTGTTGTTGGAGCTGAAAATTTGAGAAAAAAGAATAAGGACTCGGAGGGATGTTGTACAATTCAATAAATATTCTTTTCATGATCTATTTTCTCAAATTGTGATTCATTTTTGTTTCATCACTCCTCTATCCTATTCATTATGTTTCTGATTCTTTCAAAGTGATGCTGCTTTCTAAGCTTTAGAATATCAATAGTTTCACCCTTTTCATTCTTGTTATTGTCCTTAATTTCCATATTGAGTAGTTCCCTTTCATTTTTCAAATAATCTTCAATGGCAGCAATGACCTCTTCATAGCTTAACATTTTTTCATTATGTAATTTTCTCTTTCCAAAGGCGTGAAACGTAAGGAACTGAGCAAATTTTTTGGTGTCAATCTCTGAAAGCATAAAAGATGTGGCAATTAATGATGACCTGTCATTTGATTTGGTATGGATTGTAAATGGTCTATATTGATTTTCGATAGGATTATCCAATATATCTTCGCCTGTTCCATTCAATATTTCCATTGAATCTCCATTGGTAGGTAAGGAAGGCTCGACGGTACCTGTTGGTGGTGCTACTTGGAGAATACTGGAGGTTGTTTCTTCCTTTTTAGAGGATTTGACTTGTTCAAGCATACATTTGACTATCCTTTCAACTTGTTGTTCCTGATCCAAACGATTTCCAATAGATTGCCCATGCTTGTAGACATATTGTAATTGCTGTTCTACAGTTTCAATAAATATTCCATCTGGTTCATTTCGAGTTTGGAGAGGCATTTCAGTAAATTCGCTAGAAGATCCATGCCAATGAACGATAGGAGTTTCCAGAGATCTGATGTTGATTCCAGAATATTGATTGGAAAAGAACCTTCTTCGATGATCTTTGGAAGGCTCTGCCCTATCATATTGACTTGTCACAGTTCCATACTTGGAGGAATACTTGTTAATGGCTGTTTCTCTCTCTTTAAAATAGTAATACTCATTATTTCCAATAATGGGTGTCTTCAAATAAGAGTTTCCTTTTCCACTGTAGCTTCTTGTTAAAATGCATTGATTTTGTTGGGAGGCATCAACCTCAATAGCATCCAATGGAATGTCATCATTTACCTCCTCGTAATTGATCTGTGGTCTCCTTCTTCTTGTTTTTGTGGAGGAGGCTTCATCTGTTGAGGAGGAGGATGAAGAGCGTGTAGATTTCCTCTTCTTGCTTGATTTACCTGTTCCTCTTTCGCTGTTATAATTGCTAATGATTTCAGATCGTTTGAGTTTTTTCAGTTTAACCTTCTTTGTATCTGCATCTTTGTGTATTGGAATTGTTGGTTGGTTTGAGAGTCTCACTAATCTGAATTTATAGACATAGGCACCGTTCTTTCCATTGGGGAGAATTTGGCGTTCTTTCCAATAGTTGGTAACCCAATACAGTCCATCATATCTATATCCGCTTATTGGTGCATACTTTTCCTGCAATTGAAATCCTCTAACAACTCTTACTGGAGTTTTAGAGGTCATATTGATTGTTAAACTTTTGTTCACACTGTTAAGTGTTTGATCAGATGTTTCTGACCCACCCTGTCCTGTATAAATCATAATGTCTCCCATATCCTCATCACCATATCCACCCATAGAGGATGCAACAATTGATTCGGCAGCCTCTCCATTGTTACCATTTCCGAAAATACCACACTGTGGTGGACGATGGGTCTTTGACTTGGAACATTGAATACGTTTTTCATATGTAGTGAAAACAGGTTCGACATGTCCATAAAGTTTTCCTGAATCATCTGGACTTTCATTGATATGAGTCCATTTAGTAGCATCTCCAATTGATTTCTTGTCTAGATCTGTAATATAATTTGCTCTCTTGTTTTTTTCGTCTTCATCAAGATCTGAATAGTTTACATCTTCTTCCTCCTCTTCTTCATCATCTTCCTGTTCTTCCATTGGAGTTGTGACTTGTGACTCTTCACTTGGTTCGAAAGAGAAGGTTACAGTTTTTGCAATTGGGCTAAAATGTGAATCACTTGTTTGATGAGAATTGGTTGACGAAATTGGAGAGAGGGGAGGAACTACCACTTCAACAGTTTGAGTACTAGGTTTTGAATCTCGAATAATTAATGGCCTTTCTAATGTAAGTGGTTTTTGAGGTGTCGTAGATTGCTTATTCTTCCTTCTGACAGATCTTGTCCTTTTAGGTGGCTCATTAAAAGCCTCCTCAAGTGTTAAAAATTCATCCAGATCGTTCTCATCAGTTGGAATAAACCCTGTTGACGGATTCTGCTGAGCAGTCATGTTGAAAAGTGTTAAATTCGAAATTCCACTATTCTGAGGGGGAAGATCCTCTTCCGACAAATCACTCAAAGTAGTGGGAGATTCAAAAGAGTTATTCATTGATTTTCCAATATCCATAAAATGTGACGATGAGTCTTCATCATCGGGAAAGGGTGATTGATCACCTACGTCAATATAAATCGGCTGATTTTCCAATTTTTCAAATAATGTTCTTTGTATCCGCATTTCTATTAATTTAATTTATGTTTTAATTATCTAATGATGGGTTTTACATGAAAATCTTCGCTACTATGTTGTGTTTCTGCCTTTTCAGAAAAGGAAGAAACGTTCTGTTGGATTCTTTTTATTTTTTTTTAATTAAAAATTTTGAGCAATTGTTGATGGCACTATTAATCTTCTTTCCTAGCTTTAAAAGAACATTGTAATTTAACTGCAATTGTATTAATATTATTAAAATTTCCATCACAATATTAATTCTATTTATAAAAAAATGCCATTGTTTGAATTCCACGATTTGCGTCAATTGCAAAAGGATGATGATGTAAGAACAGAATCCTCTCGAGAGCAAGCCAGTACTGAAGGAACCTTGAACAAATTCTATAATCCATACATTCAGAAACAAGCATTATTCTTTGATTCATTGGTTTTATTTATTGAAGAACATACAAAATTTGCTAAAAAAGGTCTCCGAACCCTTCCATCATATTTTGATTCATTGGATGCTAGTAGACCATGGTTTTGCTTTTGGTGTTGCAATGCATTGAGCATGCTCCCTAACTTGGGAAGTGATAATGTATTGTATCCTTCTCAATTGGATCTAATCAAGAGAGATGATCCAACACTTGTATCGGATTTTAGTAATTTTCTTGGAAATTTCTGTCAAGACAAGGAAAAGGGTGGAATTGCAGGAGGTCCAGGACAATTATCACACGTTGCACCTACATTTTCTGGTACTATTGCATTGTGTGCTTTGAAAGCAAACCAAGGATTGGATTTAATTGACAAGCAAAAAATGTATTCTTTTTTATATAGTTTGAAAGATCCTGTCTCTAAAGGATTTAGAATGCATGTGGATGGTGAAGTTGATACAAGAGGATGTTTTTGTGCATTAATTGTTGCTACTGTTTTGAATATTATGGATGATAAATTGACAGAAGGTGTAGCAGAATATATTGTCAATTGTCAAACTTATGAAGGAGGTATTGGAGCTTATCCAGGAGTTGAAGCACACGGTGGATACACTTATTGTGGATTGGCAGCTATGATGTTCATGAAGAAAGCTCACCTTCTCGATTTAGATTCATTAACACACTGGCTTGCCAGAAGACAAATGTCATATGAAGGAGGATTCCAAGGAAGAACAAACAAGCTGGTAGATGCTTGTTATTCGTTTTGGGTTGGTGCCTCTTTCCCTCTCTTAGAAGCTGCTTTAGTTTCCCTTAAGGATCCAAAAGACAGAACTGAATTAGATCAACAAATTCTCGATTATCTTCAATGGCAACCTCCAACTTTGGACTCGGAAACCAGAATCAAATATACACCAAAGACATTCAGTTTGAAGGACACTTTGAAAAAAATCAAAACCCACCACAATTCTGAGGAGTATTGCCAAATTGAGGAAATGGAGGCAACAGAACCATATTTGGATTTGCAAGATTCAGAATGGATGTTCAATCAAACAGCCTTACAGGAATATCTTCTCTTGTGTTGCCAACAAGAGTCAGGAGGTCTTCGTGACAAACCAGTCAAACAACCAGACTTTTATCACACTTGTTACGCCTTGTTTGGTTTATCAATTTCTCAACACAATCCAAGTGGTTCTCTGGCTGTTTTGGGCGATTGCAAAAATCTTCTCAGACAAATCAATCCTCTCTTCCAAATGTGTACAGATAGTGTTTCAAATGTTTTGAATTATTATGGAGGTAGAACGAGTGTGTAAACTCAATATGAAAGCAAATCTTATTCCCGCCAAAATTAAATAACAGCAATAAAATAAATTTAAAAAAAATAGAGCAGTTGTTGTACCAACTATTTTTCTAACATCACAACGATTATTTCTTCATGATGAATAGTAGCTTTAGCACAACCAGCAACCCTGCAATGGAAGAGGTTGAAAAAATGTTTCAGGAAGTAATCGAAATTCACGATCGGGTTGCTCAAAAAACAAACCAATTCGAACAAAACTTTAAAGGTTTCATTAATAGTCAAATTAACGACAATAATAAGAAAAGACACGATTTTGAACAAAATTGTCAAAATTTTCAATCAGAATTTCAATCACTCACTACCCGTGTAGAGAGAGGAATTAATGAAAGACAACATGTGGAAGAAATTAGAAAAAGATACTGTGAGGATGAAGGTGAGCTGGATCAAAGAATAACCGATATGAAAGTCAGAGCCGACGAACAACCTAAAATTATTGAAGAATCCAAGCAAAAATTGCTACAACTCAAATCAGAACATGAAGAAAAATCCAACATGCTCAATAGAGTTGAATCGGATTTTGTTGACCATGCCACAAAGAAATTTATTGAAAAAGAAAAGTATAGAACTCTTCTTGGAATGACATTCGAAGCAAGACAAGATGGTGACATTGCTTACCTTTTAATTTCCTTCTCCATTCAAAATATGCAAGCTTTAGGGTTGACCAGTTGTCAAATTGCTTTGAGAATTGATGGAGGACTATATTCTGTAGCAGGATGTCAACCAGCAATTCAATATGATGATTTAATTGCTTCACTCAATGACAATAAGAACTTTGGATCGTTCATTATCTTGGTCAGAAATCGTTTCAAGAACCTTATCAACCAACACAAACCAAGAAAATAGTAGTACCAATTATTTAGTGAAATATCGATAGAAATTTAATGCTCTACAGCTTCATCGTAATATGTTTGAAAATGATTTTCAAAATCAGAATAATAAATTGACAGCAGAAGCACCTTACTTGAGAAATAATTCTTTTTCAACTTTTACCGCTATGAATATATGCAAGCATAAAAATGTTGTTGTAATCTCGCAAAAAAATATCCCCATCAAAAATGAGAGTTTGGCCTAGTGTATGTTTATTTAGTGTTAGAGGACAAGTTTTCTAATTATTATTTGCGTGTGATGATGTATTCCTTGTTGTGCGATTACTATTACAACAACAACAAATAATGATACAATTATTGTGGATGATAATTTGTGTGGATAATAATTTTTATTGTTGGGAATTAAAATAGTTCTTGTTGACCGCAATGTTCGTTGCTGGTGTTGTTCACGGAAAGGACAAGCAAGCTTCCTTGTACAGACTTGCTAAGGGTAATCAACAAAAGGAAGAAGAATTGGTTGAAAAATACGTTAAGGAAATGATTGAAGAAGATGAAAAGAAGGCTGCCACTGGTATGTATCATGATGATAATATTAAATTTATTTACTAATTTTAATAGAAAGAGGTGAAGATGCTTCCTTGTACAATGTCCCACCAGGATTGCGTCAAATGGCCAAGACCATCAAGCAACAAAGAGCTAAGAATGTTCAACCAGCTGCTGCTCAACAATAATTTAATTTTAAAATTGTGGGAAGATGTACATAAATTCCGTTTTTCATATCTTTGGACTGTTTCAATAAATCGTTATGACAACCCAATAAGAGGGTTTTATAATTCAAAAATACAATTTAATAATAGTATTTTAATGTAATGATTGTTTCGAATGGATTAGTTATATTATTGTAAGTAATATGTTGTTGCTACCATAAAGGATGAAGAGAAATGGATTAATGGGATTCTCATGGAATAAATCAAAAAAAATGTTAGGAAACAATACTAAGAGCATGTTGAAGATATCTAACAAGATGAGAGGAATGAATCATTCCCTTCGCAACACTTCTTGTTTATTTAATCAACAATTTAAAAGACAATTTTTGGTAAGTACATTTACATCATTGCTGGTCTGACTAGGAGCCGATCATCAATCGGAATGATGATAGACCTCATCAATTAATGGTCAACAATGCAGAAATGCAAGCACATCAGATATTGCATCAACATCATTGAAAAAGAAGAAGGACAGCAAGTTTTATTCATTTTGTCAAACACAATTTCCAAACAAGTTTAAGGTTGGAGAGTGTAATATTGTGGAGGAATTATTTTCTGCAGAAAGTCAAAAGTTGTGTTTCAGTGAAATTTCAAAGAGAAGTGTCGTTACAGTGGAGGGAGAACATTCTGATTCATTCATTCATTCACTCGTAACAAGTGATGTTTCTAAAAAACTCATTGTTCGAGATGAAACAAAGAAAAATCTTCCAACACATAGCTCTCAACCTTCCTTGTTCCTTTCTCCAAAGGGAAGAGTTCTCTTTGATGCAATTTTGAGTGTGGAATTTGAAAGTGATGGATCTTTGAAAAATAATCGTAAAATTTATATTGAACATGAGGCATCTCAAACTGAACATTTGTATAATTATTTAAAGAGTCACGTATTGAGAAAAAAGGTTAAAATTGAGAAATTTTCAAATAATTTCCAATCTACTACTACTACAACTTCAGAAGGCCCAATTGTTAAAGTTTTTGCCTTGTTTGGAAATAAGATTTTGAAATCTAGAAAACCTGACTTGCAATACAAGTGGAAAGATTCTGTGGTTTGTGTCAAGGATCCAAGAATTCCAACTCTCGGTTACAGAATTTATGGATTCTTTTCAAATCAAGAACAATACGAACAATTTAAACATGATGTGAGTGCAGAACTCTCTAAAAAACTCTTGGTTGACACTGAAAGTGCTGAATATTATGAAAGAATTCGTTTATTATCTGGAATTGCTGAAAACTCTGTAGATATTCCATCAGATAGTGCATTCCCAATGGAATCAGGATTTGAACAAATTGGTGGTATTCATTTTGGTAAGGGATGTTATGTTGGACAAGAGCTCACAAATAGAACCTTTCACAGAGGAGAAATCAGAAAGAGAATAGTTATCATTAAGGGAGATAAATTACCAGAAGCTGGTTCTGATCTCCAATTTACTGGATCAAATACTGAAGAGCTCAGAAGTGATAAGGCTGGTAGAATGTGCTCTCGTGATGAACAAGTTGGCTTGGCCACTGTTAAATTTGAACCTCTCTTGGAGAAGGACTCCACTTTGGAATTGTCATTTACCAATAGTCAAGATGGAAGTACAAATACTCTCAAAATTGTACCTCCATATTGGTTAGCCCTCTAACTTATCGATTTTGCGTGCAATACTCGAGAAAATGATTACATTCATCCAATAAATTAACCTTGCTTCTCCTTCTATTCTGATCATTATTTGGGAAGGTATATCTCGATAGTGCAAATTGTTGAAACTTCCACTCAAATTCCTCTTCCAATTCTTTATACGGTCTGTTGATATGTCTAAAATAGTACATTTTTCAAAAATTACAAATAAATATTGAGGCGATAAGGATAATGAAAATTAAAATATCAATAACATACTCGAAATAATAATCATAAAATTCATCACACTCTGATGGAAATTTGTACAATGTCAAGTGATATTGCAATACATATTGTTGATACATGATTTTTGTTATCTCCTCATCGGAAGGTGTTTTGGTATTGTCCTCCAAATTATCTGACTCCTCCACCAGCTCCTCTCTGATCATTTCATTGTTTTGAGGTGTAAGCTGACTGCAACTTGAATCAAAACTTGAGGAAAATCTAGAATGAGGACTAGCATTAATTGTGGTAGGAGAACGAGGTTTTACACTCTTGATATACCCATTCTCTACTTCAAAATCATCACTATAAAAATGTCTTTCTATTTCATATTGTGAGGAATTCCATTCCATATTGTTGAAACTAGTATCAGTAACAATTTTAAAGGTGGGAGACTTGAAATTATCACTGCCAATTATTTCTCCAAATAAACCTCCAACCATTCCTCTCGAGTGAGAACTTGATCCACTAGAAAAACAGTTGAATGAATATGTATCATCATACTCAGTTCTTGCAATTCCTAAATCCGAGAGAGAATCTGCAACTGTGTTTTCTTCCTTGTTGATGTTAGTAGAAAATTCCGAACCCATTATCCTTTCTGGTATTAATAAATTGGAGCTGCAACAATGTTTTACTCCGCGTTTTAATGGCAATCAAAGGATTTGATTAACTGATGACTTCTTGCTTTTTTTTTAAATGGAAAAAAGTATGAAGTTGGCCAAACACTGATTTGAGAGCAATCCAGATAACTCTTTTTAAATGAAATGTAATTTCAAATAACATTGTAATTTCTCTCTCAACACTGTCTAGGATGTTAGACACAAATGTCAGTTATGGAGCGAGCATAATAATTGAAAATATTTTACAAAACATTAATATTTATACATAAAGTTTTTAATTTTTTGAATGCCCTGATGGAGGTGGGATGGCCCGGGTTTTTAGGAACAGTTTGTTTGGAAACAATGAAAAATCCAATTATATAAATTATTGTGAGATGAATGACTTGTTAATAACCTTAACCTTATCGACTGGAACTAATCTGTAAACTGGATTTGGTAATAAAGCTTCAACAATCTTCTTTTCATCAATGAGTTCCTTAACACTGACGTTAATTCTATCAGCAGAGAAAGAGTTAATTGGCAAACCTTCAATAACACCGTATTGACCAGCACCGAAACATTGCACTGGCATAGAACTCCAAATACCTCTTGGAATACCATATTGACCTTTGCTTGGAATGGCCATAGAAACCCATTCACTGTTACCCAAAACCCAATCACGCATGTGTTTAACAGCAGCATCAGCGGCAGAAGCAGCAGATGACTTTCCTCTAGCACCAATAATAGCAGCACCTCTTTGTTGAACCTTTGGAATGAAATCTTCGGTTATCCACTTTTCGTCATTGATCAAGTTCATGGCCCATTGTCCGTTGACAGTGGTGAATGAAAGATCTGGGTATTGAGTAGCAGAGTGGTTACCCCAAATAGCAAATCGTGAAATATCGGAAACGGTACATCCAAGCTTATTAGAAATTTGTGCCAAGGCTCTATCATGGTCAAGTCTAGTCAAGGCAGTAATATTTTCTTGTGGAATATCAGGAGCATTGAGAGATGTGATCATGGCATTAGTGTTGGCTGGGTTAGCAACAATCAAGACCAAAACATCACCATTAGCATTAGAGTTCAAAGCTTCACCTTGCTTCTTGAAGATGGCAGCATTATCCTTCATAACATCAGCTCTTTCCATACCTGGACCTCTTGGCTTACCTCCGAGCAAAACAGCATAGTCTGTACCTCTGAAAGCTTCAGATTCACTATCGGTAATGAAAATTTCTTCAAGGAGTGGGAAAGCACCATCTTCCAATTCCATTTTAACACCTTCCAAAGCCTTCATGGATTGTGGGACGTCCAACAATCTCAATCTGACTGGTTGATTTTCACCCAACATTTCACCAGTGGCAACTCTGAACAACAAGCTATAGGCAATTTGACCAGCAGCACCTGAAACGGTAACTGTAACTGGAGGAGCAAGTTGATCGACATCCTTGGTCATGACTCTTGGGCCTTCTCTGGCACTCTTGTTGATCCACTTACCAACAGTCTTGATATCCTTTACATCAACACCAGCAAAGTCAGCCTTGGTTTGCTTACCGAGCAACATACGTTCAAGAGGTGTCTTGGTGAGGGACATTTCTTGGTCCATTTGAGCACCACGTTGCTTCAAAGTGCTATAATTACGACCTAAAATGTTGTTTTTCATCAAATAAAATTATATGTGTTCAATATATTCAACATCAAATAATTATCATCATTAATTTTTATAATTTTTAAAAGTCGGTTCGTTAAAAACATCAATTATTCAATTATTGGTAAAAATTAGAAAGTGTAAATCAAATTAATAATAATAAATAGATATCGTACGTGTTGTCTTGGACAATTGTTGAGTAAGTCTCTTCATTTGTTTCGATATTTTTTTTAGGAATTTACAATATTTATTTTTTGCTGCTGAGTTGACTCTCCCAGCAAAAAATGCCTTGTCGCACTTCTTTGCTCAGTTATTAAAATCTTCCTCTGATATGTTGTGAATTGGATTAGAGATGATGATTTAATTACCAAGTTATTTGAAGTAGTAATAGTGAAAGAATATTTGAGTCTCTAATGACAATTCTTTCATGGAAGGGGATGGAAATTTTTTTTGTTCCGATTCAAAATTTCCTTCATTTTAATCTTCTCTTATGGATTGATTAATTATCAAAAGTTAAAGTATCACTACAATCACAAGAAGAAGAACTATTTGATGATAAAAGCTTCTGGTGACCCTGATGACATGTAAACGGACTGAACTTTGATTTCATTGTTCCTGTTGATTATCAAAAATCAAAAAAATGGATTTAGTCTGGTTTGCATTCCTTCTCTTCGTTGTGATTATTATTGTTTTCCATGGAGGAGAATGGTTGACACAATATTTATACAATAGAGAATTATGTTCAATTGAGTGTAGGTTTTGTGAGGAAGTTTTGATTATTTAATATGATGATGACTTTATATTCCGATTATTGGAAAAAGCTCTTGCTATTCAACAACATTACGTGATTGCTATGGGATGTGCTGTTTTGGAGTTCTTTATTGAGGCCTTCTTCTTTCCATCCTTGAAGGAACATCCAATTATCTGTTATTTGGGATTGATTCTTGTTATTATCGGAGAGGTCATCAGAAAGGTTGGCATGGTTACAGCCAAGAAGGCCTTCACTCACTACATTCAAGAGAATAGAAGACCTGGTCACAATTTGATCAAGCACGGAATTTATGCTTACATTCGTCATCCAGGTTATTTGGGTTGGTTTATTTGGGCTCCAGCAACTCAATTGGTTCTCATGAATCCTATTTGTACTGTCTTGTTCTTGTATGTGGCTTGGTACTTCTTTTATGATAGAATTCCATATGAAGAGGAAACACTTATTGATTTGTTTGGAAAGGAATATGAAGATTATAGAAGAGCAGTTCCATCCTATATTCCATTCATTGATGGCATCGTTTTAAAGAAGCATTAATATTTTAAAAACCAATTAAAAAAGATTTAATTTATTCTAATAATTTAAATAATTGGATGAAAAATTAAAAAATAGATTTATAATTTATAATGTTCCATAATTGGAACAGCAATATAGTTAATTAAGGTATTGAGTAAAGACCATGGTAATCTTCTATAAAATGGTAAGTGTTTGATATAAATTGAGGAATACTCAACTGCAGGTGAGCAACCTCTATTCATTTTGAATATTGAGGCACCAGATGATTGATTGAAAAACACATTGAAATGAATGGCATCTTGTAATAGAATGCTTGATAACATTCTGTAAAGGGGAGCTGAGACAGATGTATTATATCCCAATACTGGACATGTCATTACTCTTGTATTGTTGAATGTTTTGATGAAATATCCAATCACTCCATCAATTTCATCTCTCTCATTATTCAGAATGCATTTGTAGTTGATAATATTATTTTTCAAGGTTTCATAAACAAACAATTTTGAGAATTGAATGTTACACTCTGAGTATTTTCCAATATATAACATGTTATAGACATTTACCATTTGTTCAATATATTTGTGATTCATATCATTAATTTTCTCTCTCAATTCATTATTTCCAATAATAGTATATGAGTTTTTATACTTGTTGAGAAGTTTCTTATCATCCTTAACATCCCTCTTTTTTAATGTGCTTTGAATAGTGTCTTTATCGAGTGTATTGAGTGTGTAAATCATTCTGGAAGGGATTGGACAATATCCTATTTTAGATAGAGTATTCAAAATTGGGGAGTAAATTTTATCATTCAAAGATCTCATCATGACTGAATGCTGTGGAAATTTGGATGTTAAAAATTTGGTCAACTCTGAATATAATTCATTATCTTCAATTTGGTTTAAAGATTCTAATGTATAATTGGTATTCATTAATTTTAATTGACTATCTATATTGCCTGAATTGTATAATATGCTTTGAGTTCCATTATTTAGGAAATCATCCTGGTTCATAGTGGATCCAGAATTTTCCAATAAATTGTTTTTAATATTATACAAGTTATTGTATAAATTGGTCGAAAGCATTAAATTACCAATAATTAGAGTCTTGTCTAATTTTGTCCAAATGAAAAAGTAGCTAAATAAATCAATAATTAAATTCGTAAATTGTACAATCCACTTGTTAATATTATTAATTTCCAATTCTACTCTTCCATATGAAATATAGTGATGATAGGGCGATAATGTAAATATATTATAATTTCCATTGTGTTTAACATTTCCTGTATTGATAGTAATCGGAACATAACCAATGGTAACATTCTTACTGTCCACTTGTTTTGAAATTCGAATAAATTGCATTTGTGATGATTCAACATCAATATTAGAAATTAATTGATTCAATGGATATTTAGAGTACAATTCAAAGAAATCTAAAATCCTATCAGCAGCACCCTTCATCACTACGAGTTGAGCAATTTGATTCAACGGAATTAACAATATCAAAGTGGAACATTTTTTTTGGACCATTCCATCCGGAAATTATGTGAAAATCAATCAAGATACTATCTACGGCAGCTTTTGAAGTGAAATAAGCAATAAATTTTACTATTCTTAAATATTTTTAAATATATAAGAATAAAATCTGAATAATAATTTTTAAAAATGAATGATTTTATTAAGGTGGAACAACAGTTGGAAGCTCAGAGTAACAATAGTCAAACTCTGCCGTTGGAATTATCAAATGAGGAGGAAAAAGTGAAAGAAAATAACGAGGAACAGACAACGAATACGGAGGACAATCAAGACCTTATCAAAAATCACTCTGATAATTCATATTCCTCTTCTGATGAAGAAAATGTTAAATTATTTAGAAGTGAGGATTTGGAATCATATGTACCATCAAGGCCATCCACTTTATTGGCTTTTCAAAAAAAGGAGGAAACATCAGAGGAGGAGGAAGATGATCATCACATTCTCTCACCAGTAGTGAGAAAACATATTAAGGATAATCACATCACACCAATCGGTCTTACTAAGAATAAGAAACTATTCATGGAATTGTTTCATCAAACCATGCCAAAGTCAATAACCACAACAGAAGACCCTGAAGAAAAACAATCACTTGCTGCAACCATGTTGCAAAAAGTTGTACGTGGTTGGGTTGTGAGAAAGAGGTATGCAAAGAGGAGAATTGATAATGCAAGACTGTCGGCAGAGTTTACTGATGAGCAAGGTCTTATTCAGGGATTCAAGTTGAAAAAGAAGAAACTCACTGAAAGTGAAGTTAAGGAACAATGTAAAAAGATCGAACACGCAATAGGAGCTACCATATTTAGAATGAAAGAGAAAGAAAGAGTAATGAATGAAAGTGCTAAAATCGTTCAGAAAGCTTGGAGAAATTACTATCGAGTAAAGAAGGAACAAATTAGACAACAGCCAATACTTCCAAATGAATGTGCCCAACTTATTAACAGAATATCAAATTCAAAATACCTTAAAAACAGAGAATCATTTGATGATATAATTGAAAGTGTTTCCATTAACCAAATTTATGGAATTCCAAGTTATGAAATGATGGATAGACCTGCAAGATCTTACACTTTCAAAATTACAATATTTTAATTATTTGAAAACCTAAGTTTGTATTAATAGGATAATCCACATTTTTGAAAAAGTTAATTAGCTATTCAACATTTCAAATTATCCAATCTCTCTTGTAACTTTATTTTGTAATTTAAACACTTTAAAAAATGAATGAACGTTGGCTTCTATTCTTCCTATGTGGTTTAATACTGTTTTTTTCCTTGTTTTGCTTTTACCCAAACCTAGTGGAAAGATTAAGAGAATTATCCTCTCTAGATAGTATATCGGAAATTATTGATCAAGTAGTGTGGAAATCAAAACATCGGAATTTTCACTTCTTCATGGAAATGTGTATGTTCGTAGTGTGTGTCATTCTGGTGCCACACTTGTACATTGGAAGGAGTCAAAATGATGCTAGGGAAGGAAAATTAATTGGATACGGATTATTTCCTCTGCTGAGTTATTGTATCGGAATGTATTTTGATTTAGGTGCTGGGTTTACTGATGGTTTTGTGGTTGTGAGATCGATAGCCCAGCAGGAGAAACAAGTACAAGCACTTTTTACAGATTCCCGACAACATATTCTAACATTTTCAAAACCATTTTCAATATTTCATACCAGCTTGATTACAAATATACTTGCACTATTGATGGAGGATCGAATGCAATTCTTGAAACTCTATATTTATGGCTCGTATGCAGCCATATTGAGTATTTATTGGCCAATCTCCTCAAAAATAGCATCTGGCACACTCAAAGTTGGTTATATTAAGAAAGCTCTATTGTCAATGAATTTGAATGTTGATTGGATAACTAGTACGGAATTTATTTCTCTAATGAGTGTGATTATTATTGGATTTTTGGTATTTGAATTAACATTTTCAATTTGTAGGAAATTTTCCCCTTCATCCTTTACATTTGGAGAAAGTGTTATTATGAGTAACATTACGAGTGTTTGTTTTTTGAGATTAGTAGACTTGTCGAGGAATGCACATCTATTGGTGGCTGACGATGTATCAATGGTTGAAGCATTGATAGAACTCATGATTCTATCTACAGTTTTCTTTGGAATATCATGCTATTTTATATTTGTTAAATTGACTGGAAGGAGGTACAATACCATTCTCAATTATATGGCCTATGCTATTTTCTATTACTCTATTGTACTTATTTATGTATTGCCAAAGGTATTACTTCCTAATGAGGCAGTGTCAATTGAGAATATTAAGAATCCAATTATTTGGATTGTTGAATTTATATTTATCAAAGATGCCATGCACTTGAAAATATTAGTTTATTGGCTAATGTGTATGTCATTCATGTTTATTGTAATGAGCTTTTCAAAGGAGAAAACAATAGAAGTTTCAAAAACAAAAAAGAAGGATTTGATATACCTTTTTGGAGGAAGAATAAGTGTCCCAAAAATCATTTATAGAAAATTCTTTCATATTATGGCTGTCATTATGTTTGTACCTGTTACTATTCAAAGACCTCTATTCATGTGCCTGAGTTATGCTGTGGCAATTTGTTTATTCTTACTAATTGAGAGTTTCAGAGTTCAATTCATCACAGAGCATGAAGTCAACTCGCTAGCAAGAGCTCTCCATTTTTATATTAAGCAATTTACAGATTCAAGAGATTCTGGCACTTTTATATTGACACATATTTATCTTTTAATTGGATGCATGATACCTACCTGTGTGGAAATTTTCAGTCATGAAAAGACAATTAATTATCATAGAATTTTATCAGGAGTCATGATTTTAGGAATTGGAGATACCATGGCATCAGTTGTTGGTTTCAATTTTGGAAAAACCAAGTGGAATTATCCTATTGATACCAAAAAATCAGTTGAGGGTACGTTTGCCTCATTCCTCAGTGTTTGTTTCATTTCCTATCTTGTCGTGCCAATTCATTTCACTTCCAACTTGGAATTGTGTAGTTATATATTTTGTACACTTGCTGCCAGTATGTTGGAGGCTTACACTGTACAAATTGATAATTTGATACTTCCAGTATTCTTCTACACCCTATTGTGTGCCTTCTCAACCATTCAAAGTCATTTGTTTACTATTCTGTAATTCTCAACACAATTAAACATTTATTTGTGAGTGCAATTTCAAATAAACTTTTTTAAAAAAAAATGGAAAAATCATATTCAAAGGCAACACCTGCTTCCATGATGCCTTCCGTTAAACCATTCAACCACAACTCATCAAGTAATCCGTTCGTTGTGGAAAATAAAAAGAGAGAAGAAAAATTAAAACCTATTGTTTTGTATAGGTGTGGATCATGCGGAATGGAAAGTTACAATTTCAGAGCCTGTGCTTCATGTCAAAGTAAATTAATGTACAAGAAGAGAACCCCTAAATTTATCCATCACGAAACTAATTAACTTATTATTATTCGGAATGTATTTTACTGCAATGTGATGGTAAAATAACCAGCTAGGAGAGTCGCAAATTATTGATACGAAATTTACCAATTGGTTTCTGCAATAATTACTTTGTGATGAACAAATAAATAGTAATTTATTTTAATGGAGATGAAGTAAAGCTATTCTGATAACTTGTAACTGAGGAACGAGAGACTGTATCTGTAATTTCCATTTGTTAAAGGAATTTCTTGAACTTGTCTACAATAATCAATGTGATTCAATTAACAAAATTGAAATAGTAATTTACATCACCTAATTGATGATGTGAGTTTGAGATTGTGAAGTGAACGAATGTTGATATGTTATTCAAAAGTATCTGAATCTTAAACATTATCTTGTGAAGTAAAGTTTGGCTTTGTGTCATCTGCCATATGATATTTGAAAAGATAATATTGACTAGTAACAGAAACAAGTAATAGCCCACAACAAACTTCAAATTGAGAAATAGAATTAACATAATACAATGATAATACAACCAGAAAATTGGTAGGAATTCTAATATAGTTCATAACAGTAGATCTGACATCTTCTGGTATGTACATGCTCTTCATGGTAGAGATGGCAGGCCAGAATACTCCAACACATGCTTCAAACACTAAAAAGCTCAATAAAATTGGTGTGAATGAAGAGAAAAAAATTGGAATGATGAATGAAACTATTGCAGTAATAAATACAATCAAGAGAATGAATTCCACACTTGAGAAACGGCTAGCATTTGTAAAACTCTTCTGAGAGCTAGCATTGGAATAAAAGATTTTGAAAATTGAACTTCCAATCATGACAGAAATCATAAAGGCGGCAAATACATAACCAATGTCCAATTGTTTAACACCATCCCAGTATGCTTGTTGCAAAGTTGGAGTCCACATTAAAACAAAAATATACATTGCAGCTTCAAAGAAACTTTGTGAAATTGCAACACACAAAACTTTCTTATCAGTCCTAATAACTTCATATCCTCTAATGAAATTCTTTTTCCAATCACCAGTGGTGTCACCATAATTTTCATTCCAATTATAGTAAATTATTGCACCTCCAATAACGAGGAAGATAATGGCACCTAATATTTATCAGTAAAAACAGTAAAATTAGATTATTGTAAATTATTAATAATTTTACAATCAAAAACTTACAATCAAATGGAGCTACAGGACTTCCTATAATATCATATAAAAAGTTTGAAACAAATCCTGACAAGATTGCAATAATTCCATTTGCAAAAGTCTGCTGATAAAAAGTATCTCCAATCCAAGAAGGATCGAATTTGGCATTGTTATGCTCGTAAATCATCCAAGATTCGAATACAGAACTCAAAATACTAGTAGCTATTCCACTGAAAAATCGTCCAATCATTAATACCACCAAGTTGGAGCTGTGTTTTGTCAAGCAAGCCAAAGCATATAAAACTACAAATGTCAAACAAATTTTCTTTCTCCCTCTAAAATGAAAATATTCATAAAATCACATGAGAATGAAAAAACTCACAACTTGTCAGAAAGAGATCCAATAATCGTTCCAAAAATCATACTACTAAAGAATCCAAATATAAACAACCTAGATATTGTCTCAATTTCATATCCGTACGATTCATAGAGAACATATACATAGGCTCCTATTTTCATCACACACAATAATTTTGACAATTATTCAAAAAGTCGTCATCTTACCTTGAAGCCAATCACTAAAAGTCATACACAAATACACAACCAAATAATTATTTTGAAATTTTGCAAATGTATTCAATGTGCTCTGAGTGAGATTTGTTGTTGTTGACGATAAAGTAGTAGTAGTAACATTCCGATTATAATAGCCAACACAATTCAGTAGTAAACAAATGACCAATAAAATACCATTGATGAGGAGAAGCATTTTTTGAAAGTGAGGAAAATAAGAAATTGTGGCGGGAAATATGAAACTCTTTGGAATAATTATTAAATGTGATTAAAAATCAAACAATTGCTTATTATGAAAAGGTGGAAAATTGAATTAGTTGGGAAATTATTGAAAAAAATGATAAGTGGACAAGCTGTTGAAACTTTTTCTGATTCAATCGGAGTGAATTTTCTTCCCAGAGAAATTGTCTTTGAAATTTTACAGTATTGCAATTGTATTGATATGATTCTTGCGTGCAGTAAAGTTTGTTGTGAGTGGAGAGAAGTGTCATTTGTATTGATTTCGGATCAGTGTAAAGATTTGATCAAGAAATTCAAGATTAAATTATTGAATGATTCTGATAGAAGTAATTTAGTCAGATATTTAATAAGAAGGGAGGTATTGAATCTTGCTCGCAAGACTATTTCAAAATTCAACCAAAATTCAATTGGAAATTATTTTGAAAATAGAGAGACGGAAATTACACAATTGAAAGGTTACTTTTCACAATTTACAGATTTGCCAAACAAGCTGGAAAATTCAACTATCAAACCAGAAAAACAAGAGAAGGTAGAATCTGATAGTAGTAATCAATTATTTGGGGCCTTCTCTCGATTTGTTTCAAGTTTCTTTTCAGATTCCAGAATTGATTCATCTACAAATGAGATACCTTTTAAAAGGAGAATTGTAAAAGTTTTAATGAAAGGAGCTCTCCTATCTGGAAAGACATCATTTATTAAGTGTTCAATAATGAAAAGACCTGTCGATGGAACTATTCGAAATTCAATTCTGCCAGATTTTGGCATGGTAGAGAGGCAGCTGGACAATGATTTGAGAATTACAACTCAATTATGGGATGAACATCGATACAACAAACCAACAGAATTTTCCAACGTGTTTGCTGTCATATTAACCATCGATCCATATAATGTTATAACCCTTAATGAATTGAAAACTTTTATTGAGCCAATCAAAGAGAAACTGAATTCGACCATTGAAGTAATACTAGTACAGACCAAGAAGGATTTACAAAATGAACGAAATGAAAGAGTAAGATATCTTTCAGAAGAACCATTCGAACAATTTTCCTTTAGAAATTTCAGAGGTGGTTTATCACACAATATTTCCAACACTAACATTGAAGAACCATCTCTGATTCTTTGGTATTGTACCCTATTGAATTATCTCATGATGCCATAACTTTTTCTCATTTCATTAATTAATTTATTCTCAATTAACTACGTATTTATATTATCAAAACAGAATCTTTGCTTTGAAAAAATGTAATAATTTTTGGCGGGAAACAAGTCATTTAAAATTAGCCTTAAAAAAATGCCTGAGGAATCCATCTACAAGAACAACTCATCTGGCATTGCTTCGATATTCTCAGCACATGCGGGTGGTAGTAATAATGTACAATCCATTCAACCAACGAGGGTTGCTTCGAGAGTAGGCTCTGCAAAAGCACCAACATCATCAGCGAATAGAACTCATACAACAACAACATCGTCATCAGCAAGACAACCAGTAAAATCAAATAGAATCGGATCGACCTATGATAAGACCTTTCATAACAAGGTAGATAAGTTGGTGTCGGATCCAATTAGACAAGTAACAGGGAGGAAGAATATTCTTGCTAAGGAAGGTGTAATGCCTACAAAACCAACTGATATTGAGAATAATGCTGTGCGAGGAACGGTGGCAAAAAAACTAGGAGTACAACCTAGTAGGAATAATAATCAAGCAAAACTTACAAGACCTGTTAATGGTGCTTTTGGAAAGGATCAGTGGGAAATTGAATGGGATGATAAGGATGAGAAATCTGAAAACATTATACCAAAACAATCAAAACCTTCAAACAATTTATCTGGTGACATTAATAGTATAAATTGGATCGAGAGACTTGGAAGAGGTAAATGTTCTTCCATTTGTGATGTGAATGGAAGACCAGTTACTAGTATTGAATCGAGCTCTTCTCATTGGTATATTTTAACTTATGAGGAAAAATCATTCTTAGACATTGAAACCGAGGATTTTAACATTACCACTTCAATCAAAATTCAAAAAGGAAATGAAAACAGTTTATTTACTATCGTCCTTGACTATGGAATCAACAAGAGGTGCAAGGATGAGTACATTGCCATTGTAATGAACGTAGCCCAGAAATATTGGAAGATTGAACGAGTGGAAAATAAGAAAGTGGTACCAGTGCAACAGGCAATAGATAAGAGCTTGGCTCCTCTCAAATATATGGATATTTCTATATCTTTATCTGAGAGAAAGCTCACACTCAAAAACGATAATACTGAAATATTTACTGATGTTATTCTTCCAATATCTTCGGAAGGCTCTAAGGAGAGACGAGTTGGTCTTGGAGTCATGTCAGCCAAAGTTTCAATTTATGATTGGACAGTATTTGATCCAAAGACTCAAGAAAAGGAGGAAGATCTTCCGATTGCAGAGAGACCCCTACCTGATTACATTGACAAACACTTGGCTGAAATGATAAAGAGAGATATTATAGAATTCAATCCAAATGTGACTTGGGAAAGTATTGCAGAATTGCACGATGCAAAGAGGCTTTTGAAGGAGGCAGTTGTACTTCCTCTCCTTATGCCTGACATTTTTGCTGGTTTACGATCTCCTTGGAAGGGAGTTCTGCTGTTTGGTCCACCTGGAACTGGTAAGACGATGGTTGCAAGGGCTGTGGCAACAGAAGGAAAGACCACTTTTTTCAATTGTAGTGCTTCCACTCTGGTTTCGAAATACCACGGAGAGTCTGAAAGATTGGTCAAGACACTTTTCCAAATGGCCAGATTGTTTAGTCCGAGTACAATTTTCTTTGATGAAATTGATGCCTTAATGATGACAAGAGGAAGCTCTTCAGAGCATGAAGCATCCAGAAGACTTAAAAGCGAGATTTTGACCCAAATTGATGGTATCAATAGTCAAAGCAGTAGGGTCATGGTATTGGCAACGACGAACAAACCTTGGGATTTGGATGAGGCTATGAGAAGAAGACTAGAAAAGAGAATTTACATCCCTCTACCATATGAAAAAACAAGAGTATCCCTCTTTAATATTTTTTTAAAAGATCAAGAGATGGAAAGTGATGTTTCCACTGAGAGTCTTGCTGTCTTAACAGATGGATACAGTGGTGCAGACATTCATTTATTGTGTAGAGAGGCTGCTCTCAGACCACTGAGGAAGGAGCTTGATCATAGGTCAACTGAGGAAATTATGAAGTTGAAAGAACGAGGAGAGTTGAAACTCAGTCTCTGTATGGAAGATTTCTCAGAGTCAGTCAAAACAATGAAACCAAGCGTTTCTCAAAACGAAATTGAAAAGTATCAACAGTGGATGAAGGAATTCCAAAGTGTATAGAATGAATAAATTATTAAAATGTTTTCAATTCGAGATCAAAATATCCAGCTTCATCATTTTGATTTCTAACATCTTCATCATTGATACTGACAATGATTATAGAATGGCCATCGCAAAATACGCCTCTCACAGAACTATGTGGGAATGTGGCTTTTCCTGGAACTAATTTTTTGATCCATTTTGAAACTTCACCTATTTTAGAAGTGGTTTGAGCTTGTTCTTTGGTTTCGGTTGGTTCAGGTTTTTCTTCAATGATATCCTGATGTTCTATAATTTCAAAACTGTCTGCCCCATCAATGGTTTCTCTTAAATTGTCGGCTGGAATGGTTTCATTTTCTGAAATGTTGTAATTAGAAGTGGTATTTAAAGTTTCCTTCTCCTTAGCTTCCAATTTGTTACCATTCTTCTTATTTACAACACTGGCTACACTTGCTATTGCTGGAGCAGAAGCTATTGTAGCTGTTGATAATCCACCTCCAACAACCAATGCTGCTCCACCTCCAATCAATCCCACACCTGTCAAAACTCCAGAAGCAATTCCAACACCAACAGCAACACTACCACAAACAGTTCCAATAATTGGTAGTGCTTTATCCCATGTTGTCAGTTGCTTGTGTTTGGATGTATGCAATTTTCCAACTTCAACAGTGAAATGAACTCGTCCAACACCCTCGAATATCCCCATTCTATTTGGTGGTATAAGTAATTGATAGAGAGGACCTACTTGAGACAATATTACATTGATGGGATGTTGTGTCCTATTGTCAATTAAAAGTGATCCTCCAAGAGCACCATTCATATAGAGCTTTCTAATAATGAGTGGTGTATGTATTATATTTGTTGAGAAATGAGGATATGTTTTTAATAATCGAGTCCAATAGATAAAATCCTGATTATTCATGTTGATAATTTCTTCCTCTTCCTCCGTTAAATTATTTACATCGAGCACCGAATCAGATACTTGAAATATTTGATGGTGTTCAAAATCATCATCGTTAGCAGTTGACACTGGCAAGCTTTCAACAGTCACAATTTCAATATCATCATCATCATCCGAATCATCAATATCATTCATATTTACAATATAATTAGATCGTGGATCAAATATTTTGTGATTCTTTCCATCCAAATAGTGTTTCCTCACATGTTCTCTACATAGAGCCAACTCACAATCTCCACAATAATAATTCGTTGGTATAATAGCATTCTGTTCATGAAGACAAACATCACACGTTGGAAAGGCAAACCTTGCTGGAGCAATTGTTGTGGGCGATAGAGATTCTGTCATTGGACGAAAGGCTATTGTTGTCTGTTCTCCATCACCATCACCAATTAATTCATGATTCGGATCGTTGGGTAAATGATTATCATCCGTATTGTCACCTCCCATCAATGTATTGGTTGCATTCTTGATGCTCCCGAAAAAACTTCCAACAAATGAATTGTTCAAGGTTGAAAAGACCATTTTTTTGATTTTTTTTTAAAAATAGAGCTAATAATGTTGGCGCCAAAATTTTGTTCCAACAAGCATTCGAATTCATTTTTTAAAAAAACCGTTTAATATTATTTAAAAAAATGAGTGAATTGAAGGGAGTGCTTTCTTTTGCTTTTGATCGAATATTTGGATTGGGAGCAGAACCTTCCGAATCAAACTCTATCGGAGGTGATGGTGATGAATTAATGGAAGGAAGGGATGGTGTACAAAATGGAATTTTAAAGGCAACATCACCCATTCATAAAATTCTCACCATTGATGCTGGTTCTTCTAAATTCAAGACTTGTTTTTTCGATTTGGAGAAGAAGGATGCATTTAGATGTGATGAAGCTAGTTCGGATAGGAAGGCCATGTATACTACGGTGGCTTTGATATTTAGCTTACTGGATTCGTCTGTGAAGAGGATACAAGTTGTTAATCAGGCCTATCCTCTTTCGCATCATGTTTCGTTGAATAGAGGAGAGGCATATGTATTCTTTTATAATTGGAAAAATTTAGTCTTTCCAATATCTGATATGATAAATGAACGAAAGTCACCCTCTCCTTCTAAAAAGGATTTGACCTATTGTGATGAAAAGACACTATTAATTGGATCAGAGAATATAGAAATTTCTGCAGAGGGAGTTTATGTACGAGTTAACAAGGCACATGTGGAAAAAGCAAGATTATTTACTGGAAATTTGCCATTTGTTCTCGAGACTGGGGATAAGATTCTCTTCTCTAAGGAGGACATTGTTAGGGAACTGTTTCAATATTGTATATATTCACATGCACAATTACCTAATGGTGTGTCAGTTAGCGATTGCTATATATTTGCTTCGATACCTTCTAAGGTTTTATTTAGAGAAAGAGAAATGCTTCGTGATATTATTAAGAATGTATCCAAGACTGAAAATGTACATTTAGTGAAAGAAGCTGTAGCTCTTTGTTATTATTTCTACTATTCCTATAATAGAAATGAACAGTTTGAGATAAAGAAGGAAAATGCACCTAAAGCAGTCGCAATTGATATTGGACATTACAGCTCTGATATTGCTGTTATGGAACTTGTTGATGAGAATAGTATTCGCATGAATAGTGCTTATTGTCTTTATCATGGTGGGCATAAGTTAACCATAGATTTGCTTAACATAATGAAGACCCAAGAGCAAGTTGGTACATTGAAGAATAATGAGGAGGAATTCTGGAAGGAAGTCTCAAAAACCAATGAATGTAAAGAAACCATATTCAATTTAGATACAAAGTGGAACAAGGAGGGAAACTATGAATCTGGTCAGGATGGATGTATTATTGACAATATTTTCCTACCAATTGACTCTATCAAATTAATGATGGAAATGAATTTTTCAGATGTCATAGAGACAGCCAAGAAATTAGTGGTGGAGAACTCCAGTCAATATTTAATTTTAGGAGGACCTGTTTCAAAAACAAAGCTATTCAGAAATTATATTAGAGGAGTTTTAGGATCAATGTGTGAAATTGTATTCACCAAGAACTTGTTTGATATTTGTATTGGAACTTTTCTGTATGCTTGCAATAGAATTTCTCAACCTTTGAATTTTATTTCCTCTCAATCAACCACCTCAGATACTAGTGTACTTTCATCACCCTCATCTGTCAAGTTCACTAACCTTTCTCCAATTGACCATGTATTTCTTTTCACTGCTAAAGCAATTGTTTGTACAAAAGTTCCAGAGTATATCAACAAGAGATTTAGAGGAATAAGTCGTGAAATGTACAATCAAATGATTGAAGATAGTAGGTATTTGTTTTTATTTAATAGATTATAATGAATCATTAAAGTATATGGATTGGAAAAGACTAAACGATTGAACATGTACAATCTCGAAGACAAGAATGTTCTTGATATTGATACAAGACAAGAAAGACCAACACGCCCAATAGTTTCTTACTTTTCACTTGAGGGAGATCAGGAGTATATCGACATTGAGATTTACAATGCCACTCTTGAAGAGAGCTCAATTCTCAAATACAAACGGGATATGGCTGTTAAAGGATTTTATTTCGATCCAAAATATCAACGTAATTACAGGAGAATTTACACAGAGAGAGGAGCAGAAATATTCGGTTTACAAGAAATGAATTTTGTGAGGAGAGTTAAAATTGTTGGATTTCCAAAATTCAATCAAAAGAAGAGAAAAATCAAGAAACTAATGGAAACTTGGGGTCATAGTAAGGATGAAATTGATTTTTGTTTGGCAAGTTGCCGATTCGATTATCAAATTGATAGTGATGACAACCTGATAATACAAGTTTCAAATTTGATTGAAGCGATCAATTTTAATCCAATTGAAATTCACACCAGTTCAATGATCCCTTGTAACATTTCAGATGCACTCTCAGAGGAAGTTCAGGATAAATTCGAACAAATAGAAGAATTAGTTGTCAATATTGATTTAAAGGATGATGTTATTGAATATTTGGAAAAATCCAAGTCAGTCTCTGCTTTGAGATTTTCTGGAAGAGCAAATGGGAAAACACTCAGAACCAGAGGTTTGGATATTCTTGCCCTGTTGAATGATATGAGTTCTACGACAAGTGAAGCTCCAGGAGAACCCCAACTCGACGAAGCAGAATCAGATCATCAAGACAATAAGAGAGGTCGAGATGAATTTGAAGATGAAGATGTTTACAATACATCTCCACCAAGGAAGTGTAGTCCTCCACAAAAGCCCTCTCCACCACTCATTACAAAATCAGTAACATTTCGAACACAAGAGCAAATAGAAGAGTATTTTGACTGATTGAACGTCTAAATTTGGAAAATTACCATTGCATATAATCTCAAAATGTTAAATTCCAAATCTGTCCGAGGGAACATATAACCATGCTAACCTTGTCAGAATATGGAAAATAAGCAAAAACAAAAAGAAAGACATGAAACGAATCAATAACAAGGTTATCTTTCTAATAGCTACTGTAATTGTAGCTTTGCTTGCATTAGGAGTTTCCGTCTCCTTGCAACAACAAGTATCTGCTCAAGCAGGTGCCCAAGCTAGTAGTAGTGGTGCTTCTGTTAATGCTGGAGGCCAAGCCAGTGCTGGAAATCAGAATAACACTCAAGGTGGTGGACAAGGGCAAGGACAAGGACAGCAACAAGGTGGCACACAAGGACAGAACAATACATCTACTCAAGAGTTGAACAAGTTTTTGAATCGTATTGATACTGATTTGAGAATGATTGGAAGCTTTATTGATAGATGTGCAGGTTTGCAGCAACAAGGCCCAGGTGGTCAACAAGGTGGTCAACCAGGTGGTCCTGGACAAGGACAATTTGGTCAACCAGGCGGACAAGGTGGAATGCCACAACAACCTCAACCAATTCAAGACCAAGGACCTCCAACTCAACAACAACAACCTGAATCTATGTGGTATTCAATGTTGGGAATGATTGGCTTACAACAATCTCCTCAACCACAACTTTCTGCCCAACAACAATTCCCACAACCTTCTCCTCAACCACAGCAATCACCAGCTCAAGCTCAGCAATCACCACAACCTCAACAATCACCGGTTCAAGCCCAACCATCTCCACAACCACAGCAATCACCAGCCCAACCTCAACAATCACCACAACCTCAACAATCACCAGTTCAAGCCCAACCTTCTCCACAACCTTCTACAGTTGGAGCTGGTGCTGGTAGTCAAGAAACTAGACAACAAATTGCTTGTGGAATTGTTACCAAGGCTGCCACTAACTTGTTGAATAATACCATGAGTTTAGTTTCCACTGTTAGTAACAATACCCAAATCAGCTCATCACTCAAGCAAGCTGTTGCTCAATTGCTTATTAAGGCAAATTTATTGTCTTCCAATGCCAAGAATTCAAGTTGGACCAATTTCCTTACCTCATTTGATCAATATGCTGTTAGTTTCTCAGCCTTGCAACAATCTCTCTCCAGACGTCAACAACAAGGCGGCCAACAAGGAGGACAAGGACAACAAGGCGGCCAACAAGGTGGCCAACAACAAGGTGGTCAAGGACAGCAAGGTGGTCAATTCGGTCCTCCACAACAAGGTGGTCAACAAGGACAATTTGTGCCACCTCAACAACAAGGTGGTCAACAAGGTCAATTCGGTCAGGGACAACAACAAGGCGGTCAACAAGGCCAATTCCCTCCACAACAAGGTCAAGATCAACAACAATATTCCTATCCACAACAAGGTGGTCAACAAGGTCAACAATATCCACAACAGCCTTATCAAGGACAATATGGTCAAGGACAACAAGGAGGTCAACAACAATATCCACAACAGCCTTATCAAGGGCAACAACAATATGGTCAAGCAGGCCAATATGGTCAACAAGATCAATATGGTCAAGGTCAACAAGGTGGACAACAATATGGTCAACAGTATCCTTACCAAGGACAACAAGGAGGTCAACAACAATATGGCCAAGGTGGACAACAATATGGTCAACAAGATCAATACGGTCAAGGACAAAGTCAATACGGTCAACAATATCCACAACAGCCTTATCAAGGTCAACAAGGACAAAGTCAATACGGTCAAGGACAACAAGGAGGTCAACAACAATATCAACCACAGTATCCAACACCTTTCTACCAAAATCCATACCAATACAGAAATCCATACTTTTACCAAAGCCCAAGTTATCAATACTATCAACCACCACAACAACAACAACAATATGAAGGCTATTATCCAGAATATTATTACTAAACTAATTGTGAGAAACTAACTGTACATATTATATACATCTCGTGAGATTAATAAAACTATTTATATATTTACAAATGTCTAAGCTCGTTTGCTTTGATTCTATCATTAGGCTGACACCTTAACATTAGGAGAATCATATCAATTGTGTAATTGTCGCATTTATGTCGCTTTGAACGTTTCAAATTCTTCTCTAGCAATTCATGAACACTTTCTTCCAAAGCAATCTGCACAGAACCATCCCTTACCAACATGGATGCAATTTGAGTTTTCTAATATAATGTCAAACGAAATGATTAAAAAAAAACACTTACAAAATCACCAGTCAATACTTGATAAAGAGTACAACCTAATGACCAAATATCTGTTGCTTGTGACAATTCTCCCTTTCCACACAATAACTCAGGAGCAAGGAAAAGTTCAGTTCCTCTCAATCCAGCTTTCGTATTCAATTGAGAATTGGTTTGTTTTGATTGTTGAATAGAGGACGAATTTGGTGAATGCTTGGTAGATTCTCCAAAATCACCAATAATTACATGAACCCAATCATTCGCCAAATTGATTTCATCTAGGAATATATTAGTTGGCTTCAAATCATTATGAGTAATAAACTTGACTTCATGCAAATGGAAGAGAGCATCAGCCAACTGTTGAATTAGAGTTAACATGAGCTTTTTCGAGAAGACAAATTCAGGATGTTTCTCCACAAATGACTTTAAATCGCCATGTTTGTAATACTGCATTACAAAACAAACTGATTGCAGTAGTGGACTTGGGAAAACATCAAGAACTTGAATAATATGTGGATGTTTGCATTCAATCATTCTCATACCTTCCTCTCTAACAGCAGCAACTCTCTGCTCATCAATGTAATGCTCAATCCTAATTGACTTGATGGCTACTTGTGTATTGCTCTTCTCATCGAGAGCCAAGTAGACATTAGCAAAAGAACCTCTACCAATTAACTTTTCAACCACGTAACGATCTTTAAGTCTGTGATCTGCCTGAAGAGTATAATCTTCATCCTCATAACAATCATTATCTGTTCCATCTTCACAAATGGAATCCCTTCGAATGACATTATTCTCAAGTGCTTGAGACTTGTAACTCTCTATTATACTACTGGCAACATATTCTACTTCACTGGCTCTTCTTAGATGATCATTCTGATCGGTCATATATGGCATTGCATCCACATTTTTCAGATCTTCTCTCTTCTCTGGTATGACCACTGTTGGTCGATTTGCAGTCTTGAAACTTGTCTTGATAACTGAAGTATTTTCCTGGAGTGGTGAGGTCATTTGGAGAGATCTCTGTAAAAAGCTTGATTTGAGTGAGGTAATTTTATCCTCAATGTGTGGACTCTTCTTATCGAAATTAGAGTGCATATTGAATGTACTTGTACTGGATTGAGCAAGTTGTTGTGGTGGCTTTGGATTTTCAATGTCTTCCTCAATGGAAATCAGAGTTGGATTGTTGCTCAATGTTTGTTGTTGTTCGCTGTGATCCATCATGACAACTGGTGCATAGGTATTGGAAGGCTCCTTATCCTTCTTTTGCTTCTTTCTAAAACATGACATGACGATCAACAATATGGCTATGATAAGAATGGAAGCCAGAATGAAAAGTCCAACACCAATCATTCCTGCAATGAGTGCTGATTGATCGACAGTACTTGCCTTGGAGTTTCTCAAAATTTGAACAGAGTATGTGCATGATTCACTCAGACAACCACTCATCAAGACGACCACATAAATTGTTGCCTGTGGATAGTTAGCATTCTCAATTGGGAGAGTAAAGTTAGATTCCTTCTGAGTAAAGATCAATCTTTTCTGATAATCATAATTGCCGTTTGGTGTTGCCTTCTTGTTAATACCCACAAACACATCGACATATTCGGTTTTATCAGAGGGAGGTCTTGCAATTTGTAAGGTAAATGTATCAGTGGCAAAATTAATACTCGAATCGGAGAAACAATTTGGACAAAAGTAATAATCAGAAAGGAGAGCAGGTGTGGTATAATTATTTCCAACTCCCAAACTCAAATACTTGTACAATTGTAAAATGTTGAATTTTGTAAACTCCAAGCTAGAAGCAAGAGGATTGTGAATGACGAGAGAATAATCAGTATCATGCTTTGAGAAAGCATAATCTGATTTTGAATAATCTGTTGTACCTGTATCGATAAGGGAAATGATAGAAGTATCTCTTGTTCTATTGAATGTTGTCAAATTATTCGAAGGCATGTAGCCAATCAAGTATCCTGCAAGGTTGGTTTGAAATTCAAACTTCCAATTACCGTAACCAAAGGGAAATGAAAAATAATTATTCGAAGAGAGGCCATAAATTGTGTTTTGTTGTTGAAAACTTGGGTTGACCAAAAGTAATAGACAACCAAGCAAAACAAGAGCCAACAGTGAAGAATTGACGATTTGGTGGCGATGAGGATTGATTCTCTTGATCATTGAAACAATTTTTTGAAATAAAGTATTTCCAATTTCATCAACTACCCATATTTCATATTAATTAATTGTTTGGTATGAAAGAGAACACAACCAAAGTCCATATATAGAAATTTTCAAAATCTTTCCATTTTCCCTAAAGGAATGATTTATAAATTTCAAAATTATTGTAAATTGAGACCAATAGATATACTCACCATTTTAGATTTATTAGTCCTCCTTGGTATCATCCACATCTACTTTCATTGTTACTAATGTAATAATTAAATTAGTTATGGAACCAAATATTAAACCAACTGTGGTGCATATTGGGAAATATTGCCAGTCCTTTTCCCAATCGAGAGGAATGACAAATCCACTAATCCAAATACAAATTAAATGCACCAAAAGGAAGGTTCTTAATGGGCTAACTGGTTTCAAATTGAATGAAATTGATCTGACTCGAGCAGTTTTTTCCAATACAACCAAATTAATATATTCCTTAATATTATTCCACTGCAATAAAGTTGCCATTGGTTGAACAAATATAACCAAACTCGAGAGAATGCACCACACAATGCAACACTTGATTTCATCAATTGAGAATATGTGACATTTGGAAAATAATGAAAAGACATAATGATCCTCCGAGTTCAAAATACTTGCTGGAATATTCTTTGCACAAATCCAATTATTGTTCAATTGCTGATTATTCATTGGTGTTTGTTCAACATCACTCCTTGCCGATTGGAAATTATTCGACGAAGGTATTCTCATGAATGGTGTAAATCCAAAGAGAGTGACTCCCACGTAGATTAAACAAGCTCCTCCAAACAACACTCCAAAATATCGGACCATCATTTGCACAAGCAACCCTGAAGGAGACAATTGCTCATCACCATCATTCCTTTTGTTAGATTCTCTTCCTTTAAATATATTACTACTAAATGTAAAGAGAAGATAGATGGGAATTAATATGAAAATTAATAGGAGCATGATTTCAAAGTAGAAGGCTCGCACAAGGAAGGATTCAACAATTTCTTCTCCCATCATCATTAAAACTCCATAAATTATAAAAACAAGACACGTAATGATTTGACCAATTAAAAATCGATAATTGGCATTTCCTATAAAACTCTTCAAGGCTGATGATGATTCTGTATTTGTTGTGCTACTAGATTGTGTATTGTTTACCAAATTTCTTTTTCTTTCCGATAGAGTTTGATTGAGTTGATGTGGATGCATTTTCTTTGAAAATTTAAACAACAAAATTCCTGCAAGATGGATAATAACATTTGCTGTTGTTAAAATAATATTTTCATTATTATTTTGTCTCATATTATAATACTCCTGTAAGTATTGTCTGATTACTATTTCCAAGCACAAGTTGAAATTACCCAAGTTGGCGCCATTTTTTATTCCGCCAAACAACTCTTTTCAAATTTAAAAAAAATGTTTTCTGGTAATGATGATGAATCGGTGTTAGATTCTTTCGATGGAAGACTTTCAGGTAATCGATGATGATGAGGATGGTGAAAGACAAAGTGCACACCAACCTCAACCTCACAGAAGTTCTATTGGGGGTGGGCAGATAGCGACACTTTCTTCTTCATCAAATTCTATTGTGGATCCCGCAGCCATCAAGACATCATTTTCTCTCTTTTTACAGAACAATGTATTTCCTTCACAACAAATAACGGAAAGTATTGATTTGACAAATACATTTAGATTGGACGCAGCTCTCTTGAAACAACATGATGTTAAATTGTACAATATTTTGGTACAATTTCCAGAGACTGTCATTTCTATTTTCGACGTTGTTATGGCCGAAGAGTGGCATAAACTCAAAGGAGATGAAGCTCAAATTTCTATTACTGTTAATTTGGATACACTTAAACCAATGAGAGCTTTGAATCCTTGCGATATCGATAGACTTGTTGGAATTCAAGGAATGGTGACTAGATTGAGTGAAATTATTCCAGATATGAGAGGAGCTTATTTCAAGTGTTCTGGTTGCAGTGCCTCAAAATATGTCCCTCTTCAACAGGGAAGAGTTAAAGAACCACCAAAATGTACAAGTGACACTTGTTCTGGTTCCACTTGGATTTTAATACACAACAGATGTCAATACTATGATAAACAAGTTATCAAATTGCAAGAAACTCCAGAAAGCATTCCTGAAGGTGAAACTCCACATACTGTCAATTTGTGTGTTTTTGATAGTCTTACCGATAGTGTTAAACCTGGTGACAGAGTTAAAGTAACTGCAATTTATAGAGCCATCCCAATCAGAATCAGTTCCAAACAAAGAAAAGTTAAGAATATTTTCAAAACATATCTAGACGTGTTGGGTTTCGAAAAGATTGGTATCAGTGTTATGAATGCAGAACTAACTACTGCGGCAGCCAAAAGTTCATCCTCTCTGGATGATGCCAACGAAGATGAACAACTCTCCAAATTAATGAATATTACTCCATTAGAAGAAGCAGAAATCAAGCTTCTCTCTGAAAATCCTAATATTTATCAAATGTTACAAGACTCTATTGCACCTGGTGTGTTTGAAATGACCAGTGTTAAAAAGGGAATACTTTGTCAATTATTTGGAGGTACCAATAAGAAAATACCGAATGGTCAACTGAGAGGAGAAATTCACATTTTACTTTGTGGTGATCCTGGTGTGAGTAAGTCGCAACTTTTGATACAGGTACACAAAATTGCACCAAGAGGAATTTATACATCAGGTAAAGGAAGTTCAGCTGTTGGTTTGACAGCCTATGTCACTAAAGATCCTGATTCAGGTGATATGGTTTTAGAATCAGGGGCCCTTGTATTGTCTGATCTTGGTATTTGTTGTATTGACGAATTTGACAAAATGTCTGATCAAACTAGATCTGTTCTCCACGAAGTCATGGAACAATGTACAGTATCAGTAGCCAAAGCTGGTATTATTTGTACCCTTAATGCTAGAACCTCAATTTTGGCAGCTGCCAACCCTAAAGAATCTAGATACAACTCCAATCTTTCAATTGTTGAAAATATCCAACTTCCACCTACCCTTTTATCCCGTTTTGATTTAATCTTCCTTCTTCATGATACTCCAGATAGAGATAGTGACGAAAAGCTAGCCAAACACATTATTTCGCTTCACTTTGATGTTCCAGAACACGACACCTCAACACTGATACCAAAGGAATTATTAGCAAAATATATTGCCTATGCCAGAAATCGTATACATCCTGTCATTACAGATGATGTGAAACACTATTTAGTTGAAGGTTATTTGGGTCTAAGAAAGTTTGGATCACATAAGAAGAATATCACAGCAACAACCCGTCAGCTCGAATCTCTTATTCGTTTATCTGAAAGTCTTGCCCGTATGAAACTGAAACAAAAAGTAGAAAGAGATGACGTAGAAGAGGCAATGAGGCTTGTGAGAGAGTCCATTTTCAAAGCTGCCTTTGATCCAAAGACAGGAACAATTGATATAGATCTGTTGCAAACTGGTCGTTCTGCTGCAGACAGAGAATTAAACGATGATGACACTATGGGACTCGACAGAGAAGATGATATGTAAATAAAATATTAAATTATTTTTTAAAACTCTAATCTCCAACATCAATCCATTTAGATTACCTTACCAGACCATTCAAAGAAACAGAATCAGAGCTAGAATCACCCAGACCAAGATAAAAATAATGTGTTTGAGATTTTTAAGATTTGGACTATTAATAAAATAATCAACAACGTCATCAACAAAGATATGAAATAGTTTCCAAATTGTTGTTTATGAAGAAGTTAATACTTGGAGAAATTACAAATATTAATTTTACAAGATGTTCTCAAGCTATTTTGTTTTCTAAAAAGTTGATACTTAATTTTCCACATGAGCCCCAATTGAGTTAAATATTTTCTGAATCCTTGTTCTTCCAGCCACCCTCCACCAATCTGAACCACAAATGAATACACAACCCCACATTTTTCAGGGATTATTGAATCCTCCTCACAACGTTTTCTATACAAATCCACCAGTAAATGATACAGAGCACACCTCATGACTGAAATCAGGCCTCCAACAAATACATCCACTGAATAATGTTCCTTTGCAAATAGAATACACATACATCCAATCACAACCAAACAAATCAGAAGGACATTCATCAATTTGATAAAGGCTGATGATGATCTAGATGATGATAGGGATGAAATTATTGAAATACTCCTTCTGTAATACCACACAAACCAAACAGCAACAATGAGTGTGGTGGCATGTCCAGAAAAGACGTAATCTCCACATGTTTCACTAAACTCGAAAAGGTTAATAGATTTCCACAACTTTTCTTGAGTCAGCTCTTGAAGATTCGAACATTGTTGAGAGAGTACCCTTGTTGGGATACTGAAGGTTGTAAAACTAATACAGAGAGTTCTGAGATTGATTAAAGTTGCCCTGATGAATAGAAATCGAGGAAGTATGTAAACCCTTTCCCTTCCATGCGCCAAACTAATGACCAAAAGAATGAAGACCAGAACGCCTGTCATGATTTCTGTTACTTTGAAGGCACTGGGGTTTGTATGCTTAAATGCGTTGAGTAGAACATCAGAGGAAGGGGGAGCATGTACATCAACTCTTGGAACAACAAATACCATTGTAACTATCTTTCCAATATTCTCTCCCATACTATCTTTCTTACATGTACTATAGCTTGAAGAAACTGCTGGTGAAATGAGTGATAAGTCAGCTGACATTTTTTAAGGCATAACTATCTCATTCAGATGACTTTTCATCCATTAAATCTTTCATATCCTTAATGGTAACGTTCCAAATTGTGTAGGGGAATTTAAAGAGCGCTCTGAATCCTATTCAGCATAGTTAAAGCAGATCAATGAAGGATTTGATGCTTGCCGATATCAACATTATAATTTGCAACTTTTTGAACTCTTTTGTTTCAATCAAATTCCGTCCTACCTTTAGATTTATTAATTCAATCAACTTGAAAGAAATCAAGATCACAGTAAAAAAATGTTCAAACGACTTTTAACTCAACCATTAAAAGTAAGTTTAGTAGTAGAGAAGTTTGGGTCGCTCATTTTCAACAGAAGACTTCACAACGATTCTTTTCAACATCATTCCGAAACAATCAACAAAATAATGGATCGAGAGCTCCAAGAAATTTCTTCAATATTGATTTGAGAACCTTGATGATTTCTTTGGCTGTGATTAGTATGGGTGTTGGAGCATATTATAATCACAAGACGAAGGAAAGACAATTAGAATACAAGGAAAAGAGACGAGAGGAAAGGAAGGAAGCCATTCATGAAACAAAAGAAGTTGTGGGTGAGAAAATTAACAAGGCAAAGAATTGGATAAACTCTAAGAGAAATAAGTCAGTAAATGTGGAAACCAACAATGAAGAGGATAAGAAATAAAAAACTTATCGAGGTAAAATGATCCGATGAGACGGAATCGAACCGCCGACCACAGGATGACAGTTTTTCTTGCTACAGTCCCATGCTCTACCAGCTGAGCTATCATCGGTTACACTATTTTTATTAAATGGGCTTAATATATTACTCAACCTTAATGACACTGAAACATAAAAATAACTGAACTCTTGAAAATATAAGAAGCAATGAGAGGAATTATAAGTGCTTTGCTCTTAGAACAGATTCATAAAATGATAGAGAAAGCAGTATATCTAACATTTGGCTGATCTTAATAAGTTTCTTGCTTATTGGTAGAACTCTCTAATATCCATAACCATTTACCTTTTACGGATCTCTTCACAGTGATGAGAATGGCCATCAACTCATTAAAAGTTCAAGCCACATAAAAATGTCGTGCACAGTTTTAGCTCAGCCTTACTATCAATCTTCCTCATCAAACACAACAGTACACAACAATAATTACCGACAAGTGGATGAAGAGTCTGGTTATTTTCCCTCTGGAAGGAATCAAGACTTTGAAAGGTTCAAACGCTACTTTGGCTCCTCGATACTCTTCCTCATCATTTCTGTTGTATTGACGATGGTGGTGTTTTTCTTGTATATGGCTGATTGTGTTTTTCAAGGTTTGGATGGAGAGGGTAATTGTGAAGGAGGAAGTATGATTGCACTGATAATTTCCTCACTATTGGTGATTAGTGGTGCTTTGATTTCAATTGGGTTGTGTTTAAGATATAGGAGAGAGGCTATAGAGTTTTGGAATGATTTGAAGAGTGCTTCGGTATTGAGGGGAACACTGATATCCAATGCTTATCATCAGCATAAGATTGGTGAAAATGTGAATAGTAATAATTCGTCGATGGTACAAGATCAATCAGAGGCTCATTTGGAAACTTCACTTACCTTACCAATTTCTCCAATTAAATTGAGACAATCACAAATGTATGATGATAGACCAATAAGGAGCTTTGAGTTTCCTCCTGAATTGGCACTTCCACCCCGAAAATCAAAACAAGATGATGATGATGATGATGATGAAATAGATGAGAGTTCAAATTTACTTTAAAATTTAACAAAACAGAAATTGAATACTTATTATTTAATGATGACAGGTGTAATTATCTATTAATCTAAACACAATTGAATTACTATGTTAAATAAATAAATTAATAAAAAATGTCAAAAGATCAACAACAGGAAGGATCAGCTCAACCACCATCGGATTTTTTCAAATATCTTCTCGGAAAATGGAAACGTAATTTAGAGTGGAGAGAATTTGGAGGAATTTGTATGTAATTGTCAAACATTGACGACAATGTTAAATAATTATTATTTATTGAAATGTTAAATATCTAACAATTTAAATAATATATTGGAATTAATCAAATTGGAATATAAATTAGATCAACACCTATCGACGAGTAATACATTTGTTCAATATGAAGAAAATTCAAAATATGAAAGTAGTTATGTATCGGATTTGTCAGCAGCAAATGCTGGAAATAGATATGCAAGATTTTCATTCGGAAATTCATTACACGATTTGAAATTTGCCTATGAAATGATTTTTAGCAATACTAGTACAACACCTTCATCTTCACCTCTATTTTCCAAGTCTAGTTTGAGTTCTCAACAACCAGAATGTCAAACATTCCAGTGGAAATATCTAGGAGTTGTGTGTAAGGGTGAATATTATTCATCACCTGGTGTGGCAACTTTTAACGTTGTTCTGCCAACAGCTTTTGTGACAACCACTTATAAAATTGTCGATCAAAATACCATGTCAGTAGTCATTGTAGAAGTTGACGAAAAACAGCAACCAACCATTCAGTATGGTAACATGTACAGATTAACTCAATAAATTATTTATGAAATTTAAATGTATTTATTTGTAAGAGTGAAACTAGTAGGTTACTTAGGGTTTGAATGCATGTTCTGGAAATCATTCGTTACCAGAAAGCTCGCATCAACACTCGATTTAATTGTTATAATTGTTGTTGTTGTTGGATAAATTTACACAAAGAGAGAAGCTTATTGTTGTTCACGACCTCTCTTCTTTTGTTCAAAGACTTGCTTAATGCTTTCTGAAATCTTCAAGTGTTCTGGCTTGGAGAATTTGACAAGCAAGTAATTCTTATCAGCAGTCTTTCTACCACTTTCAAAGGTTGGTGTACTGCAGAAACATTTCATAAAGTAGTAAACTTGTTTAGCACATGGTAAAATATCATCTTCAGTCTTTCCAGAGTAATAGACCAAGTTGGAATTCCACTTGTCACCACCACATTTTCTGAGTGATCTGGCAACATAAATGGCAGCACAAGCAATGGTACTTGGTGTATAATTCAACATGGCTGTATCGTAGAGGGACATTTCAGCAACAAAGGTTGCAATTTGGACTTGAACATTATCAAAGTTACCACTACACTTCAAGTATCTCTTCAAAAAGACATAGACACTAGCAATAGTCAAGTTAAAGTCGAGAGTCTTCAAGATGAGTCTTTCCATAATGAGGATATCTTCCTTGGTATAGGCCTTACGAGTCATCTTGATAAGATGAGAAGTATTGAGTGGTTTGATTTCTTCATACTTTGAAGCAATGAACAATGAGGTAATGGCAACCAAGTGAATCTTATCCAAAGCCATATCTGGATGGGAGCTCAAGAATCTATCAAAAATGTTAACACAGAGATACATAGTTTCAGGTGAGAATTCATAATAACCATGAATGGTCATCAACCAATTGATAGTCAACAATCTGGTTTGATCATTAAAGTTTGGATGTCTGGACATGTAGGTTGGATCCGGCAAATACTTGGACTCAATTGACTTGTAGTGAGCAAAAATATCCTTAACATATTCAGTACAGGCAAGTGAATTGTTAGTATCATTGGCATCAATCTTTGGACTCATCATCATGGATTCAGAGTTAGTCTTCCTCACTGGAGAGGTATATAAAGTTTCCTTTTGTGTCTTTTGATTAGTTTGCAAGACGACTGAATTATTAGTTGTAGTTGTGGTGGTTGATGGAGCAGTTGATCTAGCACTCAATGGTTGCTTTTGAGTCATAAGACCAGTTGTAGTATTTTGAATGCTACTAGTCTTGATATTAGAAATATCACCCAAAGCACGTCTATTAGCAGCTGTATTCATGGTTGAGGTTGGTGCTTGGAATTGCTTGGCAGAAAAGGCAGTCGATGTGGTTGTTGTCTGTTGACCATAGGAAACCAAATTTCTCTTATGACCATCGATGGCCATATTATTCAAGGAGGTTGAGAGTTGATTCTCTGTATCAATCATCATGGAATTTTGATTGTACATATCGGATTGGAAAGTATTGGAGCCGAACATTTTAGGTTAGGAACAATGTATTCTTCTTGTTGATTATGTAATTTGTTGGCAACAATATTATCTACGGAAGATTGTTGTCGAGATAATTTTTTAAAGATGATTTTTTGAAAATTTGGCTGTTATTTTGCTTTTAATTAATTTTTAAAAAATTTGTGTAACGGCTATGATTTCTCTTTTCGTTACAGATTGTTTACAAAACGTAACTGTTTTTGGATCCTATTTAGGCGAGTGCTTGGTGATTGAAGAAGATGATGAGAACCTTGTTGAAGTTGCACTAACGTCGTTATTCAAAGATGAAGATTTTATTAAATTGTCTTTTTTCACATTTTCAATTATTCTTGAAACCAGACGCTACGTGTCTTATCTTTGCACAGAGTAGTGCTTGAAATTTTACATGTTTGATTTGATCTTTCTAATAGACTCGACTTGTAGAAACCTCACTTAAACAAAAATCGAAGAGGGAGAGACTGGATGTGGTACTTGATTCTTGTGACTCATTGTTTGGACATAGTGTTGGAAATCCTTCTCTTGTCTGGCTTCTCTCACCTTTTCATCAAAGGTGGTCTTGGTTTCAATTTGGGATGTAAAGGAAAGCTGCTGCAAGAGTTGTTCAATAATGTGGGATTGTTGGGAGGTATCCTCCATTGTTTCACAAGGTTCCATTTCAAAATATTGACACTGACTCTTAAAGTTTCTGCTCAATAGTGAGAATAATTGATTGTAAGCTGCTTGAAATTCCTCCTCAAATATTGCCTTGCTTTGGAATGAATCTATTGGTGGTGTCACTTTAAAATTGATTGCAACAATGAGAATTGGTATCGAATGGAGGAATGCTAAAAATTTCAATTTGATTTCATAAAAATTCCAAATATTGTTTGATGAAACCTACAATTTTGTTTGACAATATTCAACAATGCCTCCAAACTGTAATGCAATGAAATATAATCCTTTCTATTAATGACATAGATCAATCCCTTGACTCCAATTAAATTCCTTCCCTTAAGTAGATTTTCCTTATCCATTTCTACAAAATCCAATTTTTTACCTTCCTTTAATTTAAATTGTTTGAAATCAGAAAAGTTCGGAATGGTCAAATAATCCAAAATCTTTTCAATAAGAAATGTTTTTCCACTCATCTTTAATCCCGAAACCACTCTGATGATGTCATCAACATATTCCAATAAGATGTGTTGCCATTATTCCATTTTCATTATTAACCGATTCATTTCCAATTTAAAAAACCTACATTTTCTCAACAATCATCCTACTCTTACTCTCTTGTTTAGGCAGTGTTGAAGAGGAAGATTTGTTTGGTGAATCCTTCTTCTTTGATGAATTTCCTCCCATTTTTTTAATTGTAGAGAGGTTGGCTTCAACTGAGGTGTATAATTGTGGAGGGAAAGTTTGCGCATCAAGATGCAGTTATAATGCTCAATAAATAATACGAAATTCAGTTAATTAAAATTAATTGTATGATAATATGTCCAATCTCTAGAATATGAATTTTATGAATTAATGGTGGGTGTCTATACGCTCAAATGATGATAATTTGCAAGAATACAAAAAGCCTCCGATATTAAGGCTTGCTCATTACAAAAATTTCTTCCCTCCAAGAATTTTTCTCTCTACAAACACACGAGCCTGTGTAAAGTTCTGCCTATCCTTAAAAAACCATACGAAATAAAAATAATCCACTGATTCGTATTGCAGCAGTAGTCAAGCTAAAATATTCGCCTTCTCTCGCTGCTCGCAATTTAAGGCTAATTTCATCATCAAGAAAATTAATTCTACCTAATATATTCACAACCACTAACAAGACCAACAACTATAAGGATGGATACTACCGCATCAGACTCTGAAATAGCACATTCAATTATTAATCTTTCATCATCATCAGCATTAATTGGTTCTTCTAGCAGTCAAATAAGCGATCAACAAGCACTTCAAGACTTTTCCCTCTTCGTCCAGAGAACTGACCAGGAAACTGCATCAACTCTTCCTATCAATGATCATGAGAGTCCTGTTGAGGGTGAAAAACCTGCCCTTAGAAAGGGAAGACCAAGTAGAAAGAAGGGTAGACTCTACAAACAAACAGAAAACTTGGAAGACTTTCCAGAACCAATGCCAATTCCAACAGTAGGTTCATCACGAAGAGGTAAAAAGGTTAAGAGTCAATCTCCATCCTCTCCACCTTCCTATCAGCCTGTATTTTCACAAGCTGTTGTTTCACCTCCACCTTTCTTGCAACCTCCATCAAGCAGCAATCCACAATCAAGCCAATATCCACAACCTTATTCACCATATATACTTTCATCTCCACCATCATCATCAAAGAAAAGATCTAAATCCAATGCTTCTGACGATGAATATGAAGAAGGAAGAATTACCTTTTCCCATACATTACCTCCACTTACTATTCCTCAAGTGAGAGTTCCTCCAGGAACACAACCTGTTTATATTGTTGTTCCAGTCCCAATGTATCATCCTCATCCAACAAACTATTCTCAACAGCAACAACAACAACAGCAACAGCAATATCAAGAACAAGATAATAGTAGTGATAGTGATTACCAAGCATCAATTATTGAAGATGAAATTGAAGAAAGAACCCCTACCAAGAGAAATTATGAAAAGAAGAGAAAGATTGATGAAGAGGAAAAGATAGAAGAAATGAAGAGAAAGAGAATTGAAATTGATGATAATAACGATTCTCTCTTTGATAGACTTGTTCCTGGTGAAGGTATTCTCTATAGAAGAAGAAGAAAGTTGAATACCAAGCATAAGGCTGATGAGGCTAATGGTTGTAGTGATAGAATGTACTCTCTCTTCCCAAAGATTTCAACATGTTGTGGAAAGACAAAGAGTTTAGCCTACAATGGATCTCAAGCAGGTAAAGGATACCATTACATTCTCAAATACAAACCAACTCAAGTAGAATCAGATAGATTCAATCAAATTATTAAGGATGGTGCTGATTTGTCACTCTTTGTTGAATCAAGTGATAGTACCAAGTCTCCATTTGCATGTTACTCAACTCTTGGAAAGAGAACTGATAATAGTCCACCAGTTATTGCTTTCCGTGGTGCATCTCAATACTTGGAATGTTGCTTTAGAGTTGAAAAGGAAGGTGAAAAGAGACATGGAATTTCTGATTCTTCCAGCTATACTTTGGCTATCAAGTCTGGTGATGAAAAGATTGTCTCCTCTCAACCATTCAAATTAATCTCCAAGGAAAAGCCAGAGGAACCATGTGGCAAAGCTCCAACTTGCATTAGAAATAGGCCAAAAATTGAAGAAACCAAGCTCAAAGTTGAAGAAACCAAGCCAAAAGCAGCTGATGAGCAATCAGCTCTTCAACCAAAACCTGAAGAGAAGCAACAATAATGTACAAATAAATCAAACATGTAAAACAATAGTTGTGCTGATTTGTCACTCTTTGTGAAATGATGGCATTTAGCACCACTGAATATCTCACATTTTGTTGATACTGTTGTAGATGAAGTATTCCTTCGAGATATCATCATTAATATTACCCATGTTGATTATTTTCATGATTCCTTTATGGAAACCGATAGAGTTTCGTTTTTCAACACAAGGTTTCTGTCCTGTCATTCATCATCCAATCAAACAAGAGAGTCAACAACAAACCACTGTTGAACCTTCATCATTCACACTATCATCCATAATGGTACCCTGAAAGTCATTCTAATTAGAGAAAATTACATTCACTAGCTTTTCGTATCGCTATTGGATTTTTCTGTTGAAAACGTTTTTTTTTTGAATTGAAAAATCAAACAAAAATGAGTGGTTTGCCCTCAACTTTAGAATCTCCCTCCAAAATTTCTTCAACAGAAGCTACTCCCTTCATCATGCAACAACAACAGGAACCAACAACAACATTTTCAGTTACTACAACAACAACAACACCAGTGGACACTAATAGTGACGAGTATATAGATAACACTAATCCTAACCATACAATAATAGATCATCATTCTCTTTCGTCGGAATCAATGACAGAAAAAACACTTGTAAATAATTCTTTATTCTCCTCACCAGCATTGGTTACTAACGATGCAATTGATCATCATGATGAAAATAATAGTGATGGAATGACCAAATTAACTTCTCCACAAACTCCTCAACAACAATCACAACAACAACCAATATCATCATCGTCGGCGATGGAAACAGGTTCAGACAGTTCTTCTCCATGCTCCTCTCCAACAAGTCCAACCATGATGATCACCGATACGAGCCCACCAACAAGTCCTACCGATAATCTTCTTCAAAGTAATATTAAGAGAAAGAAATCAGTAACATTTCATCCGAAAATTGTTACCTCTTCGAGACTTCTCTCTCCAGCAACACCACACATCCAAGATGAAGAAACTGATGATGCAGTAACAACTCCAGAAAATGATCCATCCAATCATGGCACTAATTCATCAATCTTTTTCAAACATCCATTCTGGTTAGTGAATGCATTTCAAAAATCTTGGAGAGCCAAATTACAGGACATGGATGAAGAGGATGAAAATTCTCCCAATTCTCTCACATTGGAGAAGGTTATGAGTCGTTCCATTGATATTGAAAGCCCTATTTGGTACTTTATTCCAAAGAAATTAATTACCAAATACTCCTCATCACCATTGAATGAAAAACTTGTTGCCGATTCACAAACTACCATCATTGATTCGTATGATATTGAGGAGAGTGTACTGGATCCTAAATATGAAGTCTACTTTAATTATTGGGCTCAATTGAGGGATACACTATTCTTAAAGCTGAGGAAGGAAAATAGGAAAAAGTCTGAAAAGAATTCTTCAAATATTCAATTGTGGCATGGATATCATAATGCTGCCATTCTTTCATTCTTTATTGAGACACAGAGAGAAAGTTTATGTGATTTGCAGAAGGCTATTCACTTTCGTATTTTTGACCTCTTATTTGAATCAATAGCTCAAAATACAGCTGAAAAGGAGGATAATGTTACAGTTATTTCAGATCAAGAATTAACATTGATGAAAACAGTTTGTTTTCTCTATATAGAAACCGACCATTTATTCCATGCTTCGAGTGTGCTCTACCATATTATTAGAAATTACTGTTTCACTCCAGAGATTTATCAGAAACTTGTTCAGAAATGGAATAAGGCTTCTGGTACCTCTTCTTCACCTAGTAGTAGTACTGCTAATGGCAATAACGAAAACAAGGCCGAGGCTTTCCCTGCTGTCAATATGGACTGGAAGGTCATTTATTTGGTCCTTCGACTAATTTCAAAATATATCGAACACAAACAAAATAACTCACAAAGAGAAAATTTCACTTCCCTTTCTCAATATGAAGAATATTGTAAGGTTGGAAAAGGATTTTCTCAACTTTCCATAGATGATTTGACTTTCTTCAGAAGTGCAATCATTGAAATAATATGTAAATTCAAGCCAAATCATGATCTCTATAGTTTATGGAAAGGAAAATGGGAAATTCCAGAAAGTGCTGCTGCTATGAACCCATTAAAGTTTCCAAAACTCGAATCTGAGCAAGAAATCTTGGAAAATTGCTTTTACATTTTACATTTGGTTATTTCCAAAGAACGAGAAAGAATGGTCTCTGAAAAGGAATCTCCAGCCACAAATCTGGAAAAGGATTCCATTAAGGATTTCATTCGTGGAAAACCATCAGAAAACAAATCATCACTAACTCTAATGGGGCGATTACGAAATTGGTTACACAACCTCAAATCATCATTGAGGAGAACTAATTGGCGTCGTTTGATCATGTACATTGCTGGAATTGTTGGAATTGGTATTATAACCAAGATGATTTACCAATTCTTCTCTCCTAGAAGTACTTTCATTGATGAGAGGAATGATTTTAGTTTGAGTAGGAATGAATTACATCTTCCTTACTTGACCAATACAACCAGCCAAACTTTCTTACCATCTCCATCACTGCATCAAAGAACTGATTTTGCAGATACTAACAACTTTGGCTTACCTAAAACCCTCGGAGGTCAAGTCACCAAATCGACAACATCATCAATTATTCCACCACCTATTTCAACACTTGGAACTAATAGCAAGCAACATCCTGAAAATCTCAATCTCTCCAAAGATAATATTCAAACCATTTTAAAGCCAAGTACATTCAAAGAAGATTTTTACAAAAAGATTGAGTCACCAAATAAGCAACCAACTGATATTATTGTTGAAAGAGATTTCAATTATATTACCTCATTGAGAAATGAAATGGATCACGTATTTGATGTTACAGAAAGGATGAAAAAGCCAACTCAACCAAACAAAGTGGAACAACCAAGTAGTACAAACAAGAAACCAATTGTTACCTTCCAGGTAGGCGAGCAACATGATAGAATAGACGATGATGATCTTTCTCTATCTCATAATAAGAAGCAATCTTCAACAAAACTTTCGCACGACGAGGATCCATCAAACTACACACCAAAGAGTATTGGAGATGAGCTTCCTCCATTCACTGGAGGTACAAATTCTAATTTGGCTTCCTTTATTGGAACAGAACAACCAGTTCTTACTAACAAGGCAGCAGCCACTGCCAATAACAGACTCAACAACCTTAACAGAACTGTCAATGCAACTGCCAACAGAGTGCCAAGACAAACACCAAGAAAGACAACAAATACACCAAATACCACTGGACCAAAGGTGTTCGGCAAAAGAAAGCAAAACTTGTGAGAATAAATATTTTTTAATTTGCCTTGTAGAGAATTTCATAATGACCTGGTCTGAAGAGGAGGTGAATAATTGGTTCTTCACTTGAACCATCTTCAGGAATGGTATAACCAAATATTGATACATCAGATCTTGTTTGAGCATCCAAAACTTCAATTCTAACCTTAACTCCAAATGCTGCTGCGAGGGCAGTAATATGAATGTTGTCACTGTCCTTTCCCATAATTTCAATTTCTCTCGAACAGAAATCTTTTGCAGTAGCATATTGATCCAAAAAGAATGGTAAAAAGTCATCAGAGTTCAATTGAATATAACAAGAAAGCAAAAATCTGAAAAAGCAAATGAGAGCATCTGATTCCATCATGGTATCAGGTGTCTTGTCACTGAAATAGTTCTCAATAAGAGTATTCACATCAGCAATAGATCCATCCCTTACTAGCTCAAATACTCTCTTGGTTGATTCATAGAAATCTTCAAGACAATACTCTGGATATTTCAAATCATTAATCAATGCATGATAATACTTGTCAATACGTGAAATTATACTTTTTGTCAATTCAGGATTTTTCTGATCAATCAAATATTCCAGCAATTCAAACACAAATCCTCTCAAGAAACAATTGCCATCACCTCTAATTCCTCTAATCTTTTTATATTCCTTCATAAATGAAGATTTTTTAATCTTTTCCTGAACACTTTGATCATGCATGTTGTATGACAATGTTTCAACAGTTAAATTTGAAGCTTCCGGATCAACGATCGGATACTTTTTAATTTCACTCTCGATATTCTTTTGTTGATTTTCGAATTGTTCATAAGAATAACCAGCAGCTGCAGCAGAGGAACTACACCATTATTATTTTGAGAATTACCAGTGGCGGCAGCAGGTGGTAGATGTTGACTCATTTTTTCTTCTATTATTAGAAGAGGTGAAACTTTACAATAATGAAATGTTCCACAAAATCCAATTCAATTCATTCAGCAACAATGATCAGTGGAGAAGAAAATTTATTGGTTATGTGGTGTTTGTTTCTCCAAATGGTCAAGAATGGCTTTGGCTGATGGTCTTGATTGATAATCTTTGGCCAACATGGAAATTGTTAAATCAATCAAGTCTTGAGAGTATTTTCCAGCGTTTGTTAATTTTTCTTTTAGGAATTCTTTAACAGTTTCTGTTTCTTTCATCATGTAGAGTTGACTGATTGAGGTATCTGTATCTTTACTCATAATTTGGTATATAGTCACACCTAAACTGTATATATCAGTTGTTGAATTGTATTTTCCACCGACTGACATTTCAGGAGACATGAAAAGAGGTGTACCACAGTAAGAAACATTTACAGATCCTTGATTTTGACGAGCTAAACCAAAGTCAGCAACAATGATGTGGACATCATTTTCATCGATTGATTTGATAAAAATGTTATTTGGTTTGATATCTCTGTGAATTAATGACATGCTTGAGTGAATGTAATCCAAAGCTTGACATGATTGATCCAAAATCTTTCTAACTATTATTTCTGAACAGTATCCCTCACACTTGATAAGATTGGTTAAATCTCCCTTTTCATAATAATCCATATCAATACACAATAATTGATCATTGTCAACAAAGAATTCATTGACTTTGAGAATGTAAGGGTGATTGATATTCATCAATTGAGCCCCTTCTTTCATAATTGAATTCAAATCTTCAAAGGATGTGAATTTCATAACTTTGAGCGCCTTTTCATGGTTGTTTCTACTGTCTGTTGCTCTAAAAACTGATCCAAATCCGCCTTGACCAATCTTTGACATGTTTTTATATCTTTGTGAAATTGGATCAGACGAGGTGGATGTATTTGAACCTGCAGAATTGTTGTGGAGTGGAGCAAATGACATACTGTTGTTTGATGGGAAATCCAAGGAAGCTGATGTTTGCAATTCAATATAAAAACTATTGTTAGGGAAGTTGGCAGTGTTTTGAGAACTTTGTAACTGTTCTTTTTGGTGTAATCTTTGTGATTCTTGATCTAATTGTTCCTTCTTTCTCTTTGCCTTGATTCTCAATAAGACAACTATTATTACAATCACAACAATAATAATTATCAATAGGAGAATGCCTAGAGAGAGGCCAACACCTAGTCCTATACCAAGAGATTGATCGTCTGTTGTGATTCTCTTTGATACTGTTGGTACTGTCGGTGTTGATGAAGATGTAGCTTGGCTATCAATTACACCAAAAGAAGTAAGGTGAGTCGTATAACAGTTAATATTGAAATATAAAGTATTAGACTCATTCTTGGTTAAAACAAAGTTAGTAGTTAATCCATCATAGGCCCACTTATTATTGGTTGTATCATAATATGTACAGGTAATGTTACTAGTAGAATTGGCCTTATACACCAAGTTATTGAAATTGATTACAATCTTATTGTTAAGCTTGTTAACTTTAACTAAAGCACCACTCAATTGAACAGAAATATCAATCAGAGGACTAATCAGGTCAGAAGATACGTATGAAGAGTAGCTAATATCATAAGAAAGAGTATTGTCGAAACCAAGAGCAGATAATTGACTTGAAAAATCAGATGGGAATACTACATTGGTTCCAATCATGGAAACAGCCTTTCCATCCAATTGGTTTAGCAACAATCCTGTTTGCATGTTTGTTTCTCCTTGAGGCAAATCTGTGTGAATAATAGAGTTGCCAGTAGTATTAGAACTTTGAGAAATTAACAACTTATTCAAGTTGGCCATATTATTGACGAATGGAGCAGGGGAAGAAACGGTGCTCATAATATTGAACAAATCTACAATCTCATTGTAATGTTCATTGTCAATAATGAAAGGAAGAACTGAAGGGGAGTAAATATTTGAGGATGCACTAATACTCGAAAAGATGTAAGTCATCCAAGATGAAAGACTTGAACTTTGAGTGGAAACAGTGCTTGGTGATAGCGTATTCAATAATACATAGATTGTTCTCAAGGGTGGAACGACCAAGGCAATAATCTTCTCATCGACGTTATAACCTGTGTTCTTCATTTGATACAGAACTGAACTCATATCAACCAATAATACTACTATTTGATTGGAGGTTGTTGAATCAAGTAAAGAAGGCAATAGGGCTATTGGAGTGTCTTGAATAAATAAGGACAACAAGGATGAGATATAATTTGCTGTATAAATAGAAATTTGCTTTTGAGATTTCAACAGTTGATATTGAGTATTGAGATAGTTATATCTGGAAGTGAATGAATTATCAGCAGCAAGACCAGAGGGCAATTTTACAACAATGTTGTACTTAGCAATTGCTAAAGAACCACTTGTTGTTACAAGCTTGACAATTACATTTAAATTTCCACCATTAACAAATGGAAGTGGTGTTACAGTTACTGATTTTGGAGTGTTTGAAAGAATTCCAACTCTTGAAGTACCATTATTAACTTGCATAATGAAACCAGATATCTTCTCCTTATTATTCACACACGAAATGACAAATGAAGTTTCATAGGCAACATTTGAATTCAAAGGATCATATAATTGGCAACTGAATCTTGGCATCAAATCAACAGTTGTGATCACATTTGCAGATGATTGACCTTGCCCATTTGTTACCTTCAATTGAATCTTGTAGTTCTCTCCCTGAATCAATCTAGAACTATCTATCAACAAGTTACTTTGAATGTTGGTTGAAAATGCAGTATTCCTTGCCGATTGTTGTATAACAGCTGAAACACTATTCTCACCATTGAAAAGTTTGATTGTTCCTTGAATCAATTCCCATTTCAATTCAGAAATAGTTGATGCAGAGGTTATAGTGGCCTGAATTAACAAACTCTTTCCGTAAGGATAAACGTCTGGAATGGTATTTAGTTTAATGGCGGGAACATTCTGAGGTACATTTACAACACTGATTGTTCCGCTCAGAGTCTGACTAGCTATACCAGAAACCGAAGCAGTTAAACTGATAGTGTAATCTCCTACAGGTAAATTACCAGCACCAATTGTCAATGTGTTTGTTGTTCCACTGCAAATGCTTGCAGAAATTTGCTGCTTGGTCTGCTTATCAAAACATGACCAGGAGTATTGAAGTGGAGTAGTAGAAGGTAAATTATTTAAATATGGATCAAAAACAAAAGTTCCAATTACAATACTGCTTGAAATTGAATAAGTTCTCTCAATATTTGTAAGAAGCAAACCGAGTTGATCAAATACAGAGTAAGAAACAGGTACTTTTAAGGAGTATTGAGATGCTTCCACAATGCTAGTGGTGAGGGATCCAGTATATTGGGAGGCAAAATTATTGGTAAATCTGAATATCTGCTTGCCATAGAGTTGTGTTGACGTGTATGCTAAACTTCCTTCAAATACATTTTGTAAAGTTGTGCCTTGTGTTGGTACATTAAATTCAATGACACATGTTTGACCAGCACATGTATAACCTCCTGATTGTAAACCAGATACTAGCTCAAAGTTTTGATGAGTTGATACTGTATCAATGGAATATTTCTGAGAGGTAGTATAGGTGTTATATGAATTAGAACTGGTTAATGAGACGTTGAGTACCTTTGAATTTCCTTCCATGGAGGAAATAGAATTTAGGTAATTGGTTGGAATGATGACAACAGGATTGTTTGTGTTATTTAGAAATAGAGACTGAATTTGTGAAGGACAATTATTGCAATTCCAAACTTGTGAAATGGACTTGAAACCATAGAATAGATTACTAGTACTTGATCTTACTATGAGTGGCTGATTGAGTGTTAGTGGTGACAGGACACTATTAAGGGAACTTCCAGATGCTGTCGATAGAATAGAAATTGCACCCATTGCATTCACTTGTAACACCACATTACTTGGTATTAGATTCAATGTTGTTCCGTGCGTTATAGAATGATTGAAACCAAGATAAATTCTCAAGCCTTGAGAAGTGAAATCACAACTAACCATGGAAGAATCTCCAAAGGATAAAATATCATTTTGTGAGAAGAAATCTTGACAATATTTGGTACTAGATGGTATGTATGCCAGTATTGGAGGATGGTATGGCCAGAATTGTGAGATCACAAGATGTTTCAATTATTCCAGTAATGAATCTGCTGTTTGTTCAGGAAGGGGAAAGTGTTCGAATTATAATTTATGTTCCTGCAATACAGGATATACTGGTCCAAATTGCGATATTGCTATTTGTTATGGAAAATTGCAAAATGACACCACCGTTTGTTCCTCTTTTGGTGATTGTATTTCCTATAACAACTGCCAATGCAAACTTGGATATAGAGGAAACCAATGTCAATTTCTGCAAATGGCAGATATCAGGTGAGATACATAACCCATTTGAGCTACAAATATTACTGTTGTTTGAGGCTACATCATTACAGATAGTATATTGGCAATTACTTCCAACATATCCTAAATTACATGAACATAAATTTGGACCTACACAAGTTCCATTACCACAACCGAGCCCGAATAATGCATTTCCCACTGTGTTTTTAACACCTGCACACAAATATGATTGACACTCTGAGTCAAAATATCCTGCATTACAAGTACAATTATTAGAACTTAAACAGGCTCCTTTTCCAGAGCAAACGTTGGAAGATGCTGATGATTTTCCAAAGCATGCTGTAATTTGACATTCAGTTCCAGTATACCCATTCGAGCATGAGCATGTGTTGGGGAGAGAGCAGTTTCCCCTACCTGAACACACATTTGAATCATTAGAATATTTACCATAGCAGATGGCAAGTTGACAATTAAGCCCAGAAAATCCATTGAAACAGGTACAATTATTTGGAGAGTTACACAATCCATGGCCACTGCAAGTGGTAAGCTCATTAGAAACTCCAAAACAGGAGGCAATACATTGAGTGAAATTCCCATTAAGCCCATAACCACTCGGACAGTAAGGAGCCAATCTTCTTATTCTGTTGTTCCCTTTATCGCTGATTAGTATTTCTCCACTATTGGCAATAAAAGTTGTTTGATATAAATAGTTGAATAAGGCACTTGTAGAGTTGCCTATGTCACCATATAATCCATTAATTGAATCATCTCCTCCAACAGCATTAATATTTCCATCAGGACCAATAACCCGAATCGAATGTTCATTAGTATAGTAAATAAAATCTCCATTCTTAGAAACAGCTACACTAGTCGTGTGCATACAGGCACCAATAGCTGGAACTCCAATAGCAAATTCATCACAGGAGCTAGTTGACCCACCAACAGTACTAATAATTCCAGTGTCTGCTGAAACTTTTCTTATTCTAAAATTTTCAGATATAAAAATATCACCCAAACTACTAATTGCCAATGAGGAAGTGTATTGTAATTGAGCAGATGTGGCCAGAACATTGTTTCCATAAGTTCCACTTACTCCAGTTCCTGCAACCGGGTACACAGTTCCGCTCAGTGTTATTTTGTAAAGTCTTGGATTGGCAGATGTAAGAACAAGAATTTCACCAGTTATTGGTGATAGAGCAATACATTGAACATCCAATGGAGCATTGATTGCTAGTGTTCCATCAGGGACAATGTTTTTGTCTCCATTTCCAGCTGTTGTTAAATGTGAGTTCACCAAAGCAAACAATTCCACTTACCAATTGTAGTTATTATTCCATTCGTTGAAACCTTGCGAACTCGGGAATTCATAGAATCTGCAATATAGACCTCACCTGAGCCACTGACTGCCACACAACGAGGAGAGTTTAATTGGGCATTAATTGCCAAACCCCCATCTCCACTAAATCCACTTGTGCCATTGCCCGCAAATGTTACTATAGTATTATTAGGATATAAAATTCGTATTCTGTCATTGAAGGTGTCTGATAACATTATTAAGCTTGATAATTTTTACAATTTAAAACTTACCAGCAATATATATTTCCCCAGTATTAGCAGCTACTGCATGTTGTGGTTGTGCTAATTGAGCATTTATTCCCAATCCACGATCTCCAGAAAATGAGCCACCATGACCTGCAATAGTTGTAATAATTCCTGAGCTATAAGAAACAAGTCTCACTCTGTTATTGTATTGATCTATTTAAGAATACTGTGTTAATTAAAGAGTAACAAAAGAATACGTACCTACAATATATAAATCTCCAGAGGTATAATTGGCTGTGAGGGAAAATGGTTTAATTTGTACATTCTTTGCTAGCCCACCATTTCCAAGATCACCAATTACTGGAGAAACAGGACATATTCCATTTCCTGTTATAGTTGAAATAATTCCATTCGAATCTATTTTCCTTACAACACATTCACCATCAGAAGAAAAGAAAATATCACCCTTAGAAGTGGTGGTAATTGAAAATGGATATGATATCAATGCATTGATGGCCAACCCTCCATCTCCTGAGTTCATTATTAATTTTCTAATATTAAAAACGAAACAAACCTGAATAGCCAGCAGTGCCTGATCCTGCTATTGTAATAATTGTAGAATTGGATTTAAAAATTCTTCTAATTCTATGAGTTTCATAGTCAGCAATAATAAAGTCACCATTTGATGCTATAGCAAAGGAGCGAAAACGACTAAGATAACTTGAAGTTGCAATAACGTTATCTGAATTGTATCCACAGAATCCATAAACTCCAGCTTTACAAAATTAATTCATTGTCCTTAATAACAATACTTACCAATGGTTGAAATAATTCCATTAGCGCCTATTTTTCTAAGTAAACAATTAAAAGAATCAGCAAAGTAAACAGTTCCATCATTTGCAACATTAATACCAAAAGGAAATCTCAAGTTGGAATTAATTGCCAATTGACCATCTTTTTGTTTTAAAATCAAAAAGAAAACTCAATACTTACCAGCACTGTACCCTTCGGTTCCATAAACCCCAGCAACAGTAACAATAGTTCCATTAGTGAATATCTTTCTAATTCTATGTTTTTCAGCTTCTGTGAGATACAAATCCCCATTAGCACTGAATGATATTCCCATCGGATTCATTAACATGGCATTAATAGCCAATGCTCCATCGCCATAATTTGAACTGGCAAAACCAGTTCCTGCATACGTTGTAACAATTCCATTCGCAATCTTTCGAATGAATGCACCATATGAAAGAGGATTGAAAAAAGATCCGAATAAAGTATTTTCAGCAATGTACACATGTTGAGTAATTGGATGTATAGCAACTGCACTTGGTGAGTAAAGAGAGACACGTAAAGGATCATATCCCTCTCCCTTTACATTCAATCCACCAGCAATGGTAGAAACATTATAGCTTGGATAGAATGGTGTTGTTACTCCTGCAACAGCATGTGGTTGGTTACAAACAATTGAGAGTGCAACCACCACAGCAAAAAGAATCGATACCAAAGTGTGCATGAGGTTGCTGTTTGGTTTTTTTCTTTCTCTGAAACCAAAAGACACTATTACCCGTGTATGTCATGATGACATTAGGGGTTCATTTGGGAACTTGCCTTGACCTGTCATTCTGGAACAAGAAGGTAATGAATATTATTATGAACCTCAAAATCGGGAATTTTGAAACAAGAAGTAATAATAACTATCATTTTTGAAGCATGAATCCTTACCAGCAAAATTGTATTTTTTATATAAAATTAAAAATTAAATATTAAAAATATTGGCGTCCAGGCATTAAGGGAGCATACTTGATAACGGGTAAAAGAAGCGGAATATCATGAATGTAATCATGGTGTATATGAATTTGGTGTGCCTTTTCGTTCATGTGCGTTAGTAGAGGAACTTTTAATAGGCTGAATCACTCGGAATGCTACAGGGGTTCATTTCCAGAATTTTATTGATTGGTTATTTCAATTTCTCGAATTAAGAGAAATATCTACAGAACCATCTCTTGACCACTTGTCTCGGTCGTTTGTACGTGTTTCGAATAATAAACTTATATTGAATTTTCTTAATAATAATATCTGATAGTTGGTAGCAATAAAAACACAACCCAAAAAATGCTTCGAGAGGCTAGAGTTTCAGATAAAGAGAAAAAGAGAATTGTTGATGAATTTCTTCACCTTATTACCAATAGCAAGGCTTTCGATAGCAAGTGTCTTAATACGGAAACAATCGATTGTTTTGTTCTCCCATTCTTTGAGTGGAATGGCGTAACTTTAACGATGGAACTTTTGAAAAAGGCTAATTATCAAGAGTTGATTGCCAAGTTGGAACAATCGCCAATATTCTATCCTATATTAGTTAGTTCAATCTTTTTTCATTTTGGAATGGCTTATCAATGGAAGAAGAACTCAAACTCAAACTTAGAAATTCCAAGATGAGTTGCAAGGAAGAAGCTTTACTAATCAAGAGAAATTGAACATGGAAAGTATTCAACCAATCATCAAAAGTGAATTCCTTAAAGAAGCTGCCAGAATTGTTTCCAAATCACATCAAGAGAAAATCCCAAGCCCTCCTTCCCTTATTGTCCTTCATGAACTTGAAAAAATGGACCTAGATACTGCTGTTAAAGCCATGTTCAATATTGAGCAAAATTTAATGCTCAAACTAGCTGAACAAAAGGATGAAACAAACGAATTGGTTACGGCCATTGGGCAATTAATGGTGGAAACAAACAAATTGGTTAAGGCCACTGAGCAAAATTTCATGAGCAAACTTGATGAACTAAAGGTGGAAAATAGCAAATTGATGAAAGAAATTAAAAGTTGGAAGGATGAAAAGGCGTATAAGAAATGTGATTGTGATTGTTTGGGTTGCAAGGATTGTTCCAAGAAGACGAATCACTGTAAATAAATGAATCTTGATACTGCCATGTTCAACATTGATTATCATCATTCTTTCTTCTTCTGCGAACATAAAGTTGCATTGCACTAAAATTATGTTTGAGAATCTCATTTTGTATTAATATTCAATCTTTTTCAATTTTGATTGAGTGAGATATTCAAATAGTCTCCCTAAGCCAATCAAAAAATCAAAAAAAAGAACATAATGCAAACCATTAACAATACAATAGAAAACTCCACAGAACATGTTCGGAACAATATTTCCATACTCCATTCAATATGGTTTTTAATCATCCAACACCCATTCATCATGTTTCTAATGGATTTAATTCAAGTCTTTAGAGAACTCGATTCTGAATTGAGATTCAGTGGATTTTCTCAAATATTAATAGCTTGCTTACTGACCAAACATTTTCATCAGCATTCAGAAGCTTTCTTATCAGTAGTGTGGCGACTTTTATTCTCATCACAAGAGAAACTGTGTGGCGACTCTATTTGTCTCACACTCGATAAATGTCATGAAGAATCAAGGGTTGAACTCTTCCAAACTTTATTCACATCAAAATGTGTTTTGGCAGACTTACAACACGCACACATTCATCACATTCTGAATTTATTACAGCCCTACCTTTCAGAAAGAGAAATATTCATAGCAATTTCAATGATGAGGCCATTTCTTGCCTCCCCTACTTCTTAGTTTCTAAAAATTCTTCATTAACCATTGTGAGACACTGTAAATAATTTTAATTGGTGGAATGTTTAGCTCTGCACTGCGCTTGGATCTGAACATGTGGATGAAGGAAGGAATTCTTTTTTGGAGTGGTTACATAACCAAAAAAGAATTCCTTCATGAGGTATGTAACACCACCAACAAACTCTTTAAATTTCTCTTCAATTAATTTCACTCAACTGAAAAAATATCTTTAAACCTAATCATGGGACAATATCAATCAACATTAATCACCTCTCATAACAAGTTTGCTTCTTCCTTGTTTCAATCAATTACCACCAAAAACAAGCAAACTAATATAATCTTCTCACCAATTTCCATTTATTTAACTGTATTGATGGCCACCGGTGGTTCTAATGGCCAAACATTGTCAGAGTTTGGCAAGGGTATTTTCCTTGATCAATCACCATCCACTGTTGAAGTGTTTAGACTCATTATCGAACCATTTGCTTCCAATTTCTTTGATAATCTCAACACCTCAATCATCAATGTTGCTAACAATGTCTTTGTTGAGAGAAATGCCATTTTGAATGAAAATTACAAGGAACATGTTCAAAAGGCCTTCCAAGTCAATGTTGAACAATGTGATTTTGCAGGAAATGCCAATGGTGAAGCTGTGAATATTAATCAATGGGTTTCTTCACATACCAATCAAAAGATTAATAATTTAATTCCACCTAATCACCTTAATTCTCTCACACGATTAGTTCTCGTCAATGCAGTTCATTTCCTTGGAAAATGGAAGGAAGTTTTCAACATTTCTAATAGTTATACGACCACATTCCATGGCGCTGGTGGTGACAGCACTTGTACTATCATGCAAAAAGAAAGAACCAAAGAACAATATGGTGCTGAAGGTCTCTATCATTGGGTCACCATGTCATTCAATGATGCCAAGTATAAGCTGACCATTGTTGCTGTCAAAGATAACTCACATCAAACAACTTTCGATGATTGGTTCTCTAAGAAATTGAGTCAAGGATTCGAAAGTGGCTTCCCTACCAGAGAAACTCAAATGCACTCGTGTGGCTTCCCAAGATTTGAACTCGAACAAGGAATGGAATTGAATGAAATTTTACAAGCTTCTCCATTCAACATTCAAAAAGCATTTACAACTAATGCTGATTTCTCAAATTTGATCGTCAATGATCAAATTCATATCAATGCTGTCATTCATAAGGCCTATATTAAGGTGAATGAAAACGGTGCTGAGGCAGGAGCTGCTCTTAGTATGGATTGTGCTACTTTTAGTATTGTGAAAAATCCAGAATTTCTGGTCACCTCACCATTTGCTTTCATCCTTACTGATGATTCTACCAAGTCAATTCTATTTGCTGGTAAGGTTAACACATTGTAAAAGAGTAAGGTTTGGATGGAGTTGTTCGAATAGCTCAATCTTCCTTAATTACTTTCGAATAGAACAACATCCTCAATAAACTATTCCTTTCAACCAATGTACCTCATAATACTATTAATAATATTTTAAAAATAAACCATTTATTTTCCTCATCACCCAACAGGACTCCGTACCAATTAAACTTTTTTAAAACTGCAACCTAAAAATTGAAGAATTTGATTTTAAAAAAAACATAAAAATGGCCTACTATGATGAGATTGAAATTGAGGACATGATCTTCAATGAGGAGGAAGGTTCCTACTATTATCCTTGTCCTTGTGGTGATATCTTTTCAATCACATTGCAAGAATTGTATAATGGTGATGAAATTGCTCACTGTCCAAGTTGTTCACTTGTTATTAGAGTAATTTATGATCCCGAGGATTTTAAACAAGAAGAGGAAGGTGCTGCCGATGATACTGAAGGTGCTGCGGAGGAAATTGAAACACAATAATTTTAATAATATTATATATATTTATAATATTTACTAAATTACTCTCTAACCGACACTTCAATGCGAAAATTAGATTAAAAGGAGAGCACAAACTCTAACACTAGGAAATTAACGATACTAATAATTAATTCGATATTATCATCATTTAAATGAAATTAATTATCCAATTAATTAAATAATAATATACAAGTAATAAATTAATTTATAAACCATTTAGAGGAGAGTGAGCATATTTTCAGCAGTTGTCTTTTCCAATTGACCTGGAGAATCTTCAACGAACAATTCCTTAACTTTACCATTTTCAATAAGCATACTGAAACGCTTAGATCTCTTTCCCAAACCAGCGGCAGTCAAATCGACTTCAAGACCAACTTGTCTAGTGAATTCACCCAATGGATCAGCAATGAATTCAATTTCTTCATTACCAGAAGCAACCTTTTCCTTCCAGGCCTTCATGACAAAACTATCATTGACACTGAGGCAGATAATCTTGGAAATACCCTTTTCCTTCAATGCTTTAGAATTGTTAAGGTAACTTGGAACGTGCTTGTTTGAACAGACTGGAGTGAAAGCACCCTATTATTATATAATTGTTGTGTGATGTAATAATAATGGATATATAATTAATTCCGATCATTCCGATCAATTAATTCCAAAAATATTAAAATTATTATAAAATTGTTATCAAACAAGAAGAATACATTAGTAAATTCTAACGAAATGATACTTACTGGGACACCAAAGACAATAACCTTTCCAGAAGTGAACAAATCATCAGTAGTAACAGCTTCATTGGTAACCTTGAAGAGTTTAACTGGAGTGGATGGCTTGACTTCAACATTGGTGTGGGCAGATCTGAATGAAACAACAGTTGATCCAATCAATGATTGTTTTTTGAAGAGAGGAATGGTCTTACGGAGCATTTTGTTCTGATTTTTTTGAAACTTTAATATTAATAAATATTCAATCATGCAAATGTTTGGGATTCTCAAGCCAATATTCATCTTGTCTTTTAGTTAAGAATCTTCAAAAATACGCACTCCTTAAACTCTCATTCATTGGTTAGATTGGTGAAGAGAATATTAAATTGATTTTCAAATGAGTTAAATTTTATTAAAAACTACTAAGGATGTGAATCAATTTACTTCTTAATGGTCACTTCACTGGCTGCACATGGAGAGAATTTAATGTAAACTTCACCCATGGCTGGAGTGGCAAGAGCAGAATCTTTCTTACTGCCAATTAATTTACCTTCCTTGGCTTTCCAATATTCAGCTTCTCTGAGGATAAATCTTCTCTCACGTCCAATATTGTGTAAACGAAGGAGGTCTCCAACTTTGACTCTGAATTCACCCATATATTGATCTCTTGTCTTTTGATAGTCCATACATTTGACAATTAAATAATCTTCATAATCAAAGATGTGAATAGTATGTGGTTCATGCCAATCAGGATTGACAGTTCTATTGACAATCTTGGTTCTAACCTTTTGTTTCTTAGAACCCTTTCTGGTATTCTTTTCATTCAATTTAACTCTGAGGTAAGGATCTGCTGAGCCATGGTCAACCGGTAATAAATTTCTACCTCTGGAAACTTCCATTTTGAGACCTTCAGGTTTTGGTGCAATATATTTTGGAATGAGATTTACAATATTCTTTTCACCACATCCAACAATCTTCCATCCACCCTTGTATAATTCAATGACACACATTGTTACAATAATGTCATTATCACTTTCATCAGCACTATCGTAACCATCCTCATTGACTTCATACTTTTCTTCCTTCTTAGTATACTTGTCAAGGAAAACACTTCCTGCAGTTTGAACACGAATAATTTCTTGACCTGTTCTCATGCCAACAACACGGCAGTAAACTTGTGAATTTTCATTGAGGACACTTCTTGATTTGACTTCAATATTTGCAACAATGTATTTGACATTGGAGCTTTCAACAAGATCACGAACACGAACGTCGAATTGTTCTTCATCATCTTGAGTATAGATGGTTAAAAAGTTAATTGGACGATGCTTGAGTTTGGCATCCATATCACTATATCCATCAAAGACTTTACCAATATATCTTCCAAAGTGATCATAGAGTTCAACTTCTGCATTGAGAATATGCTTCTGACCACCATTACCAACTACACCGAAACCAAGAACCAAATCTCTCTTATCCTTGACAAAGTCCTTTGAAACTGAAGTTGTTTCCTTTGCTGGAACTCTGAAAATATCATTAGATGGTTCACTGATATCAAATTGGCACTTTTGCAAGATGGATCTCAAATATTTACGAGCTGGTGATTGGAATTCTATGATTTCATCCAAAACTTCAATGAACCATTCGTCTCTTTGACCTCCACGATAAGCAATGACAGCCAAATTGGCATGTTGATGACAATTGAATACTTCCAAAGCATCTGTTGAACCATCAACATTGTAAACATTTCTCATTTTGGCAATACACATGTCAACCTTTTCGTCAACATTCCACAATCTGAATGCATTGATTTGCTTTTCAGGAATGAGTGAATAATCCAAACCTTCCTCTTCTTCATTTCCAGAAATATCCTTGAATTTCAACAAGAAGCACATAAAGTATGGAGCATGAGGTTCCTTGCTATAGTTCAAATCAACACGGTGGAATGAGGACAAACTTTGCAACATTTGATCTTGTCTTGGAAGTTCATGTTCTTCATCCTCATCTTCTTCTTTGAGAACAAATGAACCAGTCATTTGAATATCACTGTTAGAGTCATTCTTTTTTGAAAGGGCAAGTTTTCTCTTTCTCAAATCATTTTCTTCATTGACCATGATTGGCTTAGCTCCTGTTAAGAGTTTACCATATTGTGAGAATTCTAACACTTGGAGAGCATCTAAGTTCTTTACAGTTGAAAAATCGAATCCAACAGTTCTGACTTCTTGCTTTGAGATACGGAAACAACGTGGTTTTTCTTTCTTTTCTTCTGACTTTTCTTCCACAACAATCAAATCCAAGTCATCACCAACAGAAACAACTTCTTCAACATTTTCCTTCTTTTCTTGAGGCTTTTCAGCATCACTGGCCTTGTCTTGTTCTGCTAACAACTTTTCTGCCTCTCTTTCACGTTCTTCTTCCTCAATTTCTGCCTGTGTTGTCAATTCAATACAAGGAGGTAAATCAATTGTGGTAACATAGGATTGAATTTGAGCTTTCAACTTTGGATCGATAAGTGGATGGACACCATATGAATATTCGCCAATATTGCTAATCTTCCATTTGGTAAGTCCAATAAATGATCCAGAAGATACCATCGAGTTGATTTGATTCTTCTTTGAGGTAAAGTTAATTCCTGAAGATTCATTTGGATTTCTCAAACAAGTCAACTTGCAAGCAATGAAACTTTGGTGAGCCTTATCAGCAGTGTTCAATTGATATCTGTACAAGTCACCAACTGATGGAGTGGAAATCTTAACAAATGGATCTTTGAGTTCTTGGAAGCCAGAATCTTGAGCATTGGAAGAAGCAGTCACAACAACCATGATGGAGTGGACAGATTTTGGAAGACGACTCAAATCAATTTCTGCACACAAATCATTTTCCTTTCCAGACTCGAAGAGATTGTCCTTGTAGAATACAGCTGCAGGAGTTGGTTTGATGGCATGTGAAGAGGTTGACAAGTTATTACTTGAAGCTGTGTTAGATGTGGCATTTCTAGGAGAATTGTTTCCAACACTTGGCTTATCGTTAGCAATTGATGAGCTTGAATTTCCAGCAGTAGAAGCTGTATTGGTATGATTTTCAATTCTAGCAAGTGAGAGCTTTGGTGTGTATTGATCAATGTGACCAAGACGAGTTCCATATTTACCAAAGAATAGTACTGTAGTTGTTAAATAATATCTAGAGTATGATCTTCCTGAAAGGGCTTGCCATCCAATGAAAATCTTGACACGATCCTCATTGAAAGTGTAGCTCTTTTGCATGGAAATTTGTGATGCAATGGATGGCTTTTCACTTTCCTTCTTTTCATTTTCATCGTAAGGATTTACATCCTTCTTGGCATTGATTTCTTGAAGGAGAGCTTCATCTTTCAAGGTTGGAATGAATGGTGGTTTTTCAGCACTCACTTGAACAGATGACAAATATTTGTGAACCTCTTCAACAATCAATTGATCGATCAAAATCGATCCAGTCAATTCAGAATAGACACGAACAATATATTCTTCATCATCATCATGATCATCATCTTTGAGTAAATTAGCAATGGCCATATTTTCCTTATTCAAATTCTTCTTTTCCTCCTGACGAAGGTGAATAATATAAGTTAAACGATTCTTCATGGAAATGAAAATATTCTCTGGCAATACATCCTTACACATGGCATACATGAAAGCATCAATAAATCTCTCATTGTGTCCAATATCTACTTGTTTTGAGACAATTTGCCAATAATAACTTGAATTTACACTTGCAGATGTTTCATCTTCTTGGGTAGTTTCATCATTTTCTTGTTCTGCTGGTTTCAAGTGACTGGAATTTCCAGGACTTTGTGAAATTGATGAATTATCCATAGCTGATCCTTCATCATCGTCATCATCCTTATTGGTATTCTCTTTTTCCTTTCCAGGTACCACAGATGTTGAAATAACTTCAGCATCTCCTCCTCTCAATTGAATAATTGCAAAAACTTGACCACTGACATCTCTTTGATTATCAAGTTTTGAAGAAATGGCAAGTTTCAATTCTTGATCATTAACATATTGATACAAATTACAACTAGCAAATGACAGTTCCGATAAAACTGTTCCAGCATAACAAGAAGCAAGGAAAACAATACAACGAACTTCTTGATCAACTTGTGAAAGATCCAATTCAATATATTCATTGCTATCAGAAATAGCTTTTTCAAGAGGAATTGTGTCATCTTTCAATTGTTCCTTCCTATTGTTGTTTTGATTAATATAGTTCAATTAGTTTTGTTATTATTTTAGAATAATAATATTGTAATTTGTTATATGAACATGTTAATATCTAAATAAACATAAGAAGAATACATACATTCTATTAGAATCTAGATTTTTAAATCCATTTCTATCATCACCACTATGTTTTAATCCCTTCACTTGATCCAAGTTATTGAAAAAACAAACATCATGAATACCACCATATTTGTTTAAAAGAATGGCAACTAAATCAACATCGTGTGTTAGTGTAGATTTTGATTTCCATTGTAAAGTTGCTATAAATCGTGTATTAGAAATATTGGATGTGGCTAATGATGGACTTGTTGATGATTCCGTATTTTGTTGTGGATTGATTGGTGGTAAATTAAAGACAAAATTATGACTGTTTTTAAAGGGAAAAGTTGAGAATGTTGTAGGATTTGTTGTGCTGTGGGTGATGGAAAGAGGTGAATTTGGAGGTGAGAGAGCAGCAGCAAGTTTGGTTTTATTTAACATTTTTTTATGATTGTTTATTGAAGAACGTTGATGGATGACATGACAAGTTTTTATCTACAGTTTGATTTTTCTTAAATCTTCTGATTGAAACTTTCCTTAAAACTTATTTCTCCCTAACAAACGTTTTTTCAAAATTATCATCACTTCAAGGTAACAACAACAATTTTCAAACTACAATTTTGGCGGTCAAATTCATTTCTTATTATTCGTTGAGCAAAAATCAAAAGAAGAGAGAACTGCTTTTGCTATCTATTTTCATAACTTGGAAAACTTTCAAAAAATTAAAAGAAAAAATTTAATGCTTCTTGTGTTGGATAACAGTGTTGCAGCGGTTCGATAGTAAGAAGAAGACTTGAACACAATTCTCTCTCTTGTTATCACTTACAACATTTAATTCTTTTTCTCTCTACAAAATGCCTCCTAATCAAAGTAGTAGCAGCTCTAGTAACAGTCCCTATATGATACCTCCTCATTTAGCTACGCCCTCTCATCATCATGAAAGACATTCATCAGAGTATTCGGAAGAGTCAACCATTTTGACTACACGAGGAGATAATCATTTTAGAAATAATTCTCAACCTGCATCATTTACTACAAATAATTTGGCATCTAGATCAAAATCTAATCCACCTGTAGGAACCAAAATATATGGACAAGGAATGCCAATACCTTTTGGAGTCCTTGATAGTTATACACCACCTCCTTTGAAATCTAGTAATAGTACTTCAAATGTAAATACAAAATCACCATCCATCCCTCCTTCATCTCCATCAACAATAGGAAAAAACAAAAAAGAAGAAATACAAATTAATAATACATCGGAATGGTTTACATTGACAACACAGAATCATGATTCTTTATTTCCTCTGGAAGGTCATCAAATTTTCTACTGGGAACAATGTTTGGAGGATGAAGATGATTTGACGAGTAGTGTTGAATCGACATCAATTTTCAATAGGTCACTCAACATGATTGTATTATTTGGAGGAACAGGTCCTATTCGTGGTAATACTAATCAAATATATTGTATGGTACAAAAACATTCGAGTATCAATTCAAAGCCAACTACTAATATTTCAAATTCTCAAAGTTGTTCACACCAATGGATTCCAGTCCCAAGTCATTATATTCCAAATTATTTTCCACCTTCTCTCACTAGTGCCAGTAGTAATGATATTGAGAAATTAGAAAGAAAATCCTCCAAATCTAATATTTTGAGTAATTCTAACCAAGGTGCATCATCTCCAAGACGTTCATCATTCGAATTATCTTCAATTGCAGAGGATGGATCAACTGAAATACCACTCTACAAATCAAGATATGACCACTCATTAGTATTATGTGGAAATAATAAGGCTTACCTGTTTGGTGGAAGAAATGGCATGTTCACCAAGACTCCACTTCAAGACTTTATTCTCTACTCTCTTGATATGGATATTTCCAATCAATTCACATGGGAGATGGCCCACATCCCACCAAAGAATGATAGAGACCCATCAATATTGAAACAATCTCAAAGAGGGTTGGACGATTTATACAACAGAGAGTCACCAATTCCAAGATATGGACATTCATGTTGTGCTGTAAATCAAAAACAATCGGTACTCCAACGATCTAATAGTACTAACACAGGAAGCTCTCAAGCTATCATAGAATTGAATTCTGAATCTGATACACTCTCTGATTTATCTATTGGAGGTTTAAATAACAATTTTGAAAGCAATTCTTCAAGTGCCAGTACTGGGTCAACCAGATTTAACACTGATGGAGGTGTTGTTTTAGATTGTGCAATGCTTCTCTTTGGAGGAGTAGCATTCACAGATTATTCTGGCTCTAAAAAATGTAAAGAAACTAACGATTTTTGGATGTTTAATTGTAAGGAACGAAAATGGCTTTCTTATCCAAGCATTATTCAGAGATACTTTAAAAATTCTTCTAGCATTTTACAATTCAAAACTGATGACAAGTATATGCAAGAAATTTCTCTCTCCTCTTCAGCAAGTGGAACAAGCTCTTCCAATAGCGAGAGTAGAAAACAAACCAAAAAACCAGCAAACAATAATATTATTTCAATCCACAGCTCATTCGTACCAGAGGCCAGGTATGGCCATCAGATGTGTGTTGTATCCAACTCGTTGATTTTCGTAATTGGTGGAGCGACACTAAATAAGGACGCCATGTACAAAGATGTTTGGGTTCTTTCGCTTAGTACTTTCGAATGGAGAAAGGTAAATTTGCTTCACAATAAGAATAATGAACAGTTTATCAATAAGATACCTATTCGTTACGCTTCTCACGTAGTTGTTGGTAGAAGAATATTACTCTATGGAGGACAGTTATCATACAAAACTGGTGATTATCTGACAGAGCTTCTTTGTTTTGATACTGAAACCTATAGATTTTCAATAATTGAAAACAGTATTTCTCCAAAATTTGATACTGGCCTTGTAAAGGCAACTATGATTCTTTACGGAATTGATCTTTTAATTATTGGAGGTAAAAGAGGTGTTAGCTCATATAGATATAACGATAGTGTTCAGGCATTCTCTTTCAAATTGCATTCCATATCCAAAACTAATCAAAAATTTATTAGAGAAAACACTAAAATGAAAAAATCTAATCAAATTCTGACTCCTAACGAAATTACATTTGAGATACCTACATTTGGAGATGAAGATGATGAGTTTGATATTGCTAATTCTGTTAAAATTGATTTAATATCTCAAATTCTATTAAGTGAAATGTCAAGCAGTGATTTCTCAAGAAAAGAGGCTCTTAAATACCTTTCAGAAGTGAAGCAAATAGATATTGTAAAACAATTATTTAGAAACAATTCCATTCACAAAGCTCTATCGATAATTATGCAATCGGGATCCAAGTCTGATATCAGACAGACTGCCAAAGTTTTAATCAGATACTTTAAAGATACTGACCAAGGTACACTACCATTTATCATTGCTCGACAAGTACTAAAATTCATTGAAAGCTATTTGACCTTGATTAACACCCTTATCAAACTTCGAGAACCAATCAGCCAAACATTACATTTAGATTATCTTAATTTATTCCACTTAATGTGTCAAAATTTTGAATATTATGAATCTCTATCAAAGGAGCTCATTTCAGTGTTTCAACAATGTTTCAAGTTGAGTGATCCATTATCAAAGGCATCCCTAGATATTTTACAACTAGCCGTTTCATCTGTTGAGTTCTTATCACTTAATGCAATGCATTTCGCATCAAAGTGTGATAAGGAAACAAGTATAATATTTAGAGATTTTATAACTCTTTGCAACGAGGCTAAATCCAAGACAGCTAAAAACTTGGAAGATAATCCAATAGAAATGCAAGGATCTATCCTTAAGCTTGATGAATTGGTAAACAAACTTCGCCAATCCCTCTTCAGACTTTCATCAAGAAGCAAACCAATCAAAAAATACCTTGGAAAATTACTGAAACGAAGTGAAGAAGATGATGATGATATGTAACAATAATTCATAAATGAAAGTAATAATCTGAGTAGATTGGGTATTATGTTTTTTTCTGGGACAATCATCAATTATCATTGGCCAATTAGAAGACATGTCAATTTACACATTGACATTTAAAAATTAATTATAGCAAGTCTTTTGCCATCGTATCGCTTACCAAATATATATCTGTATGTACATTGCTGGTTGAGTTGACTTACTGAGCAACACCATAACATATCAGCTGGAATAGTTCATTTAACTACAGTACAAACGTTTCTAATAATGCTTTACATACCAACACTAGTCATTTCCCTCCATATTTAAAAACCCTTTCGTTATCTAAATGATCGGCAGCACTAAGGTGTCAGTGGCTTGTATTAGAACAAATAAGCTGTAGCCTTCCAAATATTAACAAGAAAACCCGACATATTATTTGAACGTTAAAGTGCACTCACCATCTATCGATTATGCCACAAGCTGCATTGCAACATTATTAAAAAAACAATTTAAAGATGTTCGACACCTCGGTACTAGAAGAACCAATAGATCTCTACTCAATATTGATGCTCCAGCAAAGCAATACCACCACTACCAACTCAACCACAACAAATTCTACCGTTACGCATGCTAGCATCGCAGCAACTTTCCCACAAATGATGGAGAATGCTCTCTCAATCTCCAATTCAATCTTGTACATTATCATCTACTCTATTCTCATGGCTATCATGACTGGTTTCCTCATCAAATACAAGCAAGACATGAAGAGAAACCAGAAAATTCTCTATGGTCTTGTCTTTTTATGTATTCTCACACAATATTTTGGTTTAATTTTCAGATTAGTTTACAATGGTGAAGCCCTATGGATGAACATGACATTTCCTGATTATTCGAAATCATTGACCCAAATCAACTACTACAAGACTGTTCTCTATGTATTTTCATTCCTTGAAAATTTGTTTGTTGTCTTTCAGACTGTTAATATTATCATTGTGATTTGTTTTATGCAGAACTTGTTGTAAGTATTTTCTGATATGATTATTTAAACATTACATCATGTTAGTTTGAATACTGTCAAATTGTCAGGTGCTATGACCAATGGAGTTTATAAAGGGTTGAAGTGGACTATTAACATTGTGAGCTTACTTTGTGCTGTCATCATGAGTATTATGGTCATTTTGAATAGTGCCATTGGATTAATATCTAAAATGCAGGTTGCCAACTTGAATACCCTTCCAATTATTGTTACCATCTTTTTAATTTTCCTAGCAACTGTCATTGTTGAAACTGTATTGTTCCTTGCCTTGGGTATTCGTTTATTGTTAGTTGTGAGAAAGAACAGTCTCAATATTTCACAAGCTAAGGACAAGATTTCATTCCTTCAAAGACCTGAAGTCAGAATTAGTGGATTAATTATTGGAATGTTAGTCAGTGCCTATATCCAAGTATTGGCAGCTGTTGTATCTGTTTTCACTACTTCCTATGCCTCCTATTTGCACATTTTTGATTACTTTTTACAAGCTTTTGGTATTCTAGTTTTTGCAGTATTCGTCTTGCTTCTCTACAATCCATTGGTTTCGTATAGTGTTTCCTCTAAATCTTCAACATCAAGCCAAGCTCTCGATGATGTCAAGACCCACAGTGAAAGAACTGACTCTGCACACAACAGAAGACTCTCCTCTGCTCGAAGTGCCATCAACAAACAAACCAGTAATTTGAGTGATGCCTATGAGAAGGTACTTTCTCCTTCCACAACTACATCTACTTCGGTCTCTTCTCCCATCGGAAACAATGATTCTTTCACTAAGGTGTAAATAAACCCACAACAACAGATTCAATTTTTACACCTTTTAAAAGACCGTTCGTTATGTGGTTTTATGGCGTACAATTTACAAATGAAATCCAAGTCAAATTGCCAAACAGAGAAATTTACAAAACCAAACAGAGATATGAGTGAGGGTTTCTAAATCCCTACCCATCAATAACAATGTTGAAAGATGGCAACAACAAGATTCAAAAAAAAAGTTAAGAACAAATGTTTTGGGACAATCGACATCATTTTCACACTTTCAATAGTGGTTCTCTGCAAACATCATCAACAACAACACTTCTCTCCACAACAGCAACATCAACAACAAATACTTCATCAACAAACACAACAACAGATTACTCCAAAATAATTCCTCAGCTGACAGAGAATGCATCGTCAATAGCAAATTCCATATTCTTTATTATTATTTATTCGATTCTGTTGGCATGTATTTTGGCTTTTTATATTAAATCGAGAAAGCAAATGAAGAGGAATCAGAAAATTCTCTTTCTATTGGTTGGAATTTGTATTATTGTGCAATATTTGGGTTTAGTTTGGAGATTAGTTTATAATGGAACAGGTCTACACATTAACATTAATTATTCTGACTATTCTGAAATTACCAATTTCGAAGAGTATTTAATTGTACTCTATGTTTCATCAACTTTTGAGAATGCACTCGTATTGAGTCAGGTGATTAATATTATTATTGTCACTTGCTTTATTCAGAACATGTTGTAAGTAATTTTGTGACACAAATTCCACAATATTGACATTCACAGTTTGAGAACTGTTGAGAATGCTGGAGCTATGAGTAAGAAAGTCTACAAGATTTTGAAATATCTCATCAATATCGCTAGTATATTATTTGCAGTACTTGTCACACCACTTATCATTCTCAATTCTTCCATTAATTTGGCAACCAAAATGCAAGTTGTGAAATTTGACGTTACACCAATCATTGTGGTTATTGTAGTCACATTTGTCTTGGTAATATTTGGAGAATTAACAATATTTATTACATTAGGAGCCAGATTATTGTACGTTGTAAAACAGAACTCTCTCAAAATATCACAAATGAAACATAGTGAACAAGCAACTTTGAAAGAGATTCTTCAAAGACCTTATTCGAAAATTGTTGGACTTATCCTTGGAATTTTATTGAGCTCACTGCTCCAATTTATTGCTGGAATTATTTCGTTTTTGACCTCAAACTATGCTTCATATTTACATATATTGGATTATTTCTTACAAGCTTTTGGAATTTTACTGTTTGCAGTTCTGGTCTTGCTTGTTTACAATCCATTGGTACTTTCACATAATAGTATTGGAAGCTCAACTGTGAATCCAAATGATGAGCCACCTTCTCAGATTTCCAGTGCCAGACTACCATCCTCAAAAAGAAAAACCATGAGTACAAAGAGTATGGAATTGAGACACTCACCAAAGAATCAAACTACAAGTCAACATGAAAAGGAGGAACACATTGATGAAAGTGTCTCTACTCGCAATGATGGTGAGCAACCAATCTCCACTCCAGGTGAATCTCAAGTTTAATACCAATTGGAATAAACCAGAGTGCACCAATTCCATCACAACAAAACCAACTTTCTAATAATGTGATTCTAAACAAACTAATCTCATAATCTCATTCAGTTGATCATTTAATTTGAATACACTAAAAAAAATGCCTTGTTCCACTAATAACGATCCCAATGCGTTATTTTACGACTTGACTGATTCCTTCAGTGCAGAGAGACAATTATTTACTCACTGCATTCAAAATGATGAAATTTTAAATAATCTCATAATGTTTTCCTCCATTGGACAAATTGTTCCGAATCTTTATATTGGATATGAACAGTCAGATCATACTAGATATCCAAAAGATGAAGATGATATTTATAATGATATTTTGGATATGGATGGTCTCAAGAGTATTCGAGTGAAATTGAAAAATGTCAAGTTGGTGCCTGATGATGGTTTAGTGGTGCGTTCTTGCAATGGCTATAGTACCATTCAATTTAATCCATTAGAAATACACGAAAAAGAATTGACAGAATTTGAATTTGAAAAGAAGGGAAAAGTCCCGATCATGATTGAATTCAAGAAGGAAAATACCCAAATTCATGCACTTAATCAAGATTTACTATGCTACTTGTTCCAGTTTGTTGACACTAAGAGTTTACTTGCAAATTACTCTCAAGTCTGTTCGAATTGGTTCAGAATGATCTATTTTGATAAATCAAATGCAATGAATTATCTATTCGAGAATAGGACAGTTTCTTTCTTTGAGAAGAGAGGTGCAAGCTCTGAAACAATTCACACCTTGAAAAGATTGAACGAAAGATATCAACTAGATTGGTTGGAAACATACATGATGAGTGGAATGTTTCATTTTGAAATGGATGGAGAGGAAATTATGGACGAATTACAGACTCTGCTAGTATATTCTAGTGAGGAAAAATCATTTTTCTACACTTCAATTATCTTGGATCCACTTCAATATTTAAGAGATGTTATAACAGAGGATCACATCTTGTTCGAGAAACTTTCCAAACATACTCGTAAAGTAGTTTCAGTTTCAAAGAATTGTATCAGTTCAGCCATTGATCAACATATTCTAAATGGATTTGTCTCCAATTTGGTTGGTTTGGACTCCACTGATGATAATGTGTTATCAATTGTGGAGAGAATCTTACTCTCCCCATGCACAACCCCTCTCGCAAAAGATCAATTATCAATTGATATTAAAAAGTCAATCCCTTTCTACATTGACTTTTTAAGAGAATTGAGTGTTAAATTGCAACCTTTACTTGCCCAAACTCAATATATGCACACTAAATCACCCGAAAGAGCAGAGGCAATATATTGGATTAATGCTTGTTTAATTCGAATGAGGGAAAAAGCTCATCATTTCCTTTGCTAATGAGTACAAACATACAAGTGGATTGTGTAATTTAGAACCTCTTAATTTTGGAAAATTATTGGAAAACAGGAAACTTTACAACTCATCAAATGAATCATCATTGGAAAATGTTGATTCTTACTTGCCAGCAACATATAGGGTTGATTTGATGCACTTGTTGTTGAATGGAAAGAAGGGCAATACTGAAAGTGAACCACTTAGTTTGGTAGATCCCCACCTATTTCTACAACCAATTCATGCCATTCAATTTTTAAAAGAACATATCATTGATTTGAGTAAGGTTATGGACACAGCCACAACAGAAATTGAACGTTCTGAATGGATTGATAAATACAGTGAGGAATATAGAATATTCATATCAACAATTCATGAAAAATCAATCACTCCACCAAAGCAAGTAGACCTCTTCTTCCATTTACACATGTTGCACCCAAACAATTTCATTCAAGATTGTCAAAGATTGGCCAAATCCATTAAGGAACACCAATTTAATTTTGAATGGCAGAAAAACGAAGCTTCTCGGGAGTATGATGAATAAGCCATCATCTCATTAAATTCTTCTCCATTATCATCAACTCTTGAATATTTAATTAAAATTAATATTTTAAAATTTTGTATTAAAAAAATTAAAAAAAAATGGCGCGTATTGAAAATGTGCAATCAGCATTCACCTCTAGTTTTCAACAAATTCTCGAGATGGGCAATATAAAAGATCCCAATCTGGAGAGGGCTCTTGAGTTGTTGCGAGAAAAAATTATTCTTCAAGGATTACCTTCGGAATCATTGGTAGGTTGTTTTCCGATGATGATTTGTTATTTAATAATCGGAAAGAAACACAAAGATGCCATCTTGTTGGGAAAGTATGATGAAAAGTGTGAGGATTGTACTCTGAGATTCATGTTGGAAAAGTGTGATTATAAACGTGTTTTGGAATGTGAGGAAAAAGGTGATACAACAGAATTGTTGGAGAGTATTAAAAATTTTGAAAGGAAGAGATTTCAATATGAAGATGAATGGGATAAGGAAATGGAAAATAATACATGTTTTAAATGTCAAAAATTAATTGCTGATAATAGTATTAGAAGAAGAGTGTGGCTTGCTTTATTACGGATAAAACAAGTTGATTTGGATCATTATGTGACACTTGTAAAACAAGGATCACAAGCTGAGGACTATGAATCTTTCTTGAGAGATGTTGATAGAACTATTGGATATTTTCCTGTATGTACAATATATTTGGAGAATGTTCTGACATAATATTCATTTGTGAAACTTAGCATTTAAAAAGAAGTGGAATTTCAAAAAATAGACAAGAAACACTCAAATATGTATTATATAAGAAAATGAAAAGAGTTATCAATAGTTTCCTCCTAACATACGGACACAAGTTTAGTTTTATTCAAGGAATGACTGTTATTTGTACATTTTTGCTCATGCACATGTCAGAAGTGGAAGCCTTCTATTTCTTTGAGAGATTGATCACTAAAGTTTTTCCAACGTATGTGAATCCAGCTCAAAGAGTGGGCAATTCTTCAGGTAATAGTGCTGAGAAGGGTATTGAAGGAGTTTATGCTGCCTGTTACTTACTTGATCAATTGATGAAAGATCATGATCCAGAGCTTTTCAAAATTTTATCTCCATCCAAATTATGGGCTTTTGCATGTAAGTTGAAATGCTTATTAATTGGAATTCAAGTCTAAATGTTTTTTATTAGATATTAAGGCAATAATGTGTGCTATGAGTGACGTACAAAAAACAGCAGTGTATTGGGATTTCTTCATGGCAACAGGTTTTCATATGATTGTATTGTGTGTTTTTGGCATGGTGAAAGTTGAACGAGAAAAAATCATTGCTCATTTCAAAAAAGAGAAGGACTCTATGAAAACTATTACATTTATCAAAGATGAAATCATTCCAAACTCTGACCCACAAAAGGTGATAACAGAGGCTTGCAATACCATGGAGTGTGTGAGTGAAAATTTTTACGATCTTCTTGTGCGTCATACTACAGACCTAGCTCTTTGTATTGACCTGAAAAACAAAACTGTTAAATAAATTATTATTGGTCAATTTCCTTTAAAATCTTATCAATTTGTTGTGTTTCAGAGGAGGCATCACCGAGTAAGTCATCTTCATCGTCATTATTTTCATTATCGCTCATTTCTCCAAATTCATCATCTGAGGAAAATTCTTTCAGATCACTTGTCTTTTCACTTGGGGAAATAAGCTCCTCATCTACAAGTCCCAATTTCTTCTTTCTATATTCTTCTAATTTCTTCATTTCTGCTTTGGTTAACTCTTTAATCTTGGTCAATTTTTCTTTCACTTCACTTGACATTTCACTCTCCTCACAAAAGAAATTTTCAAAAATGATATGTCTGAAACATTGTAACAGAATCATCTTATCTTGTGAAATTTCTTGTGTCAGCAAGTTTTTGATTAATGATTTCGATCTCATTTCCTCACCTTCTTCATCATTGTCATCTCTCTTATCCTTTTCAATACCCATAACTTTGAGAAGTGATTTTACCTTTTCAGAGGCACCTACAATAATTTCACCTTTTTGTCTTCTCTCAGCAAGTACCTTTTCCTTTTCAATAATATGCTTTTTAGTTGGAAAGTTCTTTCTACGTTCCTCTCTATACTTTTCAATATCCTCTGGTGTTTCCATTGGTTTTTTGTAAAGCATTGAAAAGATTGGATTCTTGTAATTCTTTTTGTAATCTTGCAAAAATTTGATATATTCAGGAATATTTTCCTCATTCAAATCACCCTTATTTCCATCCTGTGAATCATGTTCATTATTTTCTGAAGAGGAGGAAGAGGCAGTTGCAACTTCATTTTCAATTTTTGGTTCCTTTGACTTGTTTTCCTCAGAATCATCCTCTGCAACCACTTCAGAAGCGTCTCTTTTTCTGTAATTATCTCTTGGTTTATAGTGCCCTCCACGTCCTCCTCCGTGATGATGATGATTATTTCCTCTGTAGTGTCCTCCTCTTCCATTGCCTCTGTATGAATGACCACCTCCACGTCCACCACCACCTCGAGCTAAACCTCCTCTTCCTGCACTATACATTGCTTGTAACCATGCTTGAGGATGTACCTTTTTTCCTTCCGAAGAAGCATTGCTTGATGATGCTGATTCGGATGTCGTCTTGTTTGTTGAATTTGGTTTTTGTTCACTCATTTTTTTATTTGAAGTTTTTCATATAATTGAGTTTATTGCTAATGCTCTGAATTAATGTTGATTTTAATAAATTGAAAATTAAATTACATTTATTCTTGTATTAGTACAACTTAGAGAATAAACCCTTTTTAACAGGTATTCTATTATTATTACTTGCTGATCCAGGTGTTTGAGAACTCATTGGTCTTGCCTTTTGGATAGGACTGGGGGTGTCTCTACTGAAAGAGATGTTATCAAGTGGTGAGGCTGTCAATGAGGATGTGTTTAATCCAGGTGATCTTGGTGACATTACTGGTATTCCGTCAACCAAAGACTTGCTCATATCCATGCTTGAACTAGATACATTCATTGGTCCAGCAGAGAATACACCGGTAATCTTTTGTTTGAGTTTTTGAAGTTGGTATTCATACTCTTCTTGTTCCTTCTTATTAACAAGATAATCTTGTTGCAATTGAGCTTTTTGTTCCAGTTTGGTATTTTGGAATTTCTTGTTCAAATCCTCCGATTCGATTTGAAGTTGTCTTTCCATTTCCCACATTTGTCTTTCGTATTCTAAACGCTTAGATCTTTCCTTCTTTTCATTATCAACTTCTCTCCATATTTCTCTCGATTTTTCATTTCTAATCTTTTGAAGCAATGTCTTTCTAATTTCTTCTCTTCTCTTTTCCTTATCAACCTCCCATTGCAAGTGAGCTTGCTTTTCGATGACTTGAACCTCTTCTTCTTGCTTCTTTTGGAGGAGTTTTCTCTTTTGTTGCTCCAAATACTCTTTTTTACATTGGATCATATCATCTTTTTCTGCTCTTATCAATGCCTTTCTAGCAATTGCTTTCTTTTCTCTATCATACATTAAGACAGCCTTCTTGAGATGTTGTTGTTGCTTGACTTTTTCAGATTCTTCAACCTTTCTGAGCTTTTGCTTCTCCAGCTCCTTCTTAAAGAGTTTTTGTTGCTCTTCCCTTAAAATTTCTTGCATAATACTTTCCCATTGTTTCTTTTCCCAATCAAGTCTCTCTTGCTCTAACTTGATACGAGCAGTTTCTGCTACTCGGAGAAGATCTTGATCCTTTTGTTGCTTGGATTTTTTCTCAAGATCGAGTTTTTCAACAGCAGATTGTTTTCTCTTTTCTGCTTCAAGTTCAACTCTTTCCTTTTCTCTTCTTCTTGCCTCCATTTGTTCCCTTCTTTCTTGGATACGTTGTTGTTTCTCAACTGCCAATCTTTGATTTTCTCGTTCAATAAGACTGGCCTTTCTTCTCTCGAGCTCTTCTTTGAGGAGAGCCTTTCGTTCTTCCTCCATCTTGATACGTTCCTTTTCTTGTTGCTCCTTCTCTGCTCTTTCCTTTTCTAATTTTTCTCTTTCAATTCTTTGGAGTTCAAGCATTCTTTCCTTTTGCTTGGCTTTAAGGATTTCGAGCTTTCTCTTTTCCAACTCCTTAGCTTCTCTCTTTTCTCTTTCAATCTTTTCTTGCTCCACACGAAGTTTTTCAATTCGTTCTCTTTCTTCTCTTTCTTTTTCTTCTCTTTCTCTTCGCTCTTTTTCCTCCTTTTCTCTCTTTTCTTGTTCTATCTTTTCTCTTTCCTTCTTGTCTTGCAAGATTCTCTCAAAGATTTCCTTATTCTTCTCGTATTCTTCCTTCTCTTTCTTAATTCTAATCTGTTCTCTAATCTTTCTAGCGACACATCTTCCAAGGAAACCTCTGCCAACTCTTTGCATTTTTATAATGTACTTTTCAAGCTTTTTGTTTCTTGCTGATTCTAACATTTTGTAAGTATCCGACTTTAAAAATACCTTAGTCTTACCGACTTGGACCTTGTCCTTTCCAAGACTTAAAGAAGAAATAATCTTTTCTGATGAACTCTTAAAATCAGTACTGGATCCCTCTCCAATAATAACATTATACTTATTAAAGAAGAGTTCATGAGGAATTCTCACACTGTAACCTTCCTTTCTAATTCTAATAGTTTCCAAAACACCAGACGAGTTCAATTGTTTGACAACTTCTGCATTGCTGAACAATCCAGGTTTCTTAGCAGGGTGAGGTTTGATGGTTCTGATCCAATGTGGAGAGGTACTATTAATCAAGTCTAGCAATTCGATCAATTGCTTCTTGAAAGATCCAGTTACGGTAGATGGTTTCTTGTCCTTCTTATTGGAAGTGAAATCCTTCTTTTCTGGACAAATAGTCTTTGCAACAAACTCAATCTTACTTTGACTAATGATATCAATAATGTCATCTCTCAAAATATCCTTATTTTTTTCAATCCAATCCTTAATATTATATTTAACTTCTCCAGCATAGTGCTTGACTGCGAATTCTTCTTTCCACAATGGTGCATGAATAAAGTACTCGTGTGATTTGTAAGTTTGAGTAATCATTTCAAAAAATTTCTGATCTGTTGCTGACTGAAGTGCACTTTGGTCGTCAAGTACCTTCAAAATACCAGACTTTGAACCTTGAATCATATCGAGACAAGGTTGATTATCCTTAAAGGTGACTTCTGTGACATCGATTCCTTCATTTTCACATTCCTTCTTATCTCTTTTAAATGTGTAAGAGTTGTAGTGAGCTTGAAGTGCTTCATTGGCAAAATTGATACAAAATTGTTCGAATGTGTTGAATTCAAACTTTTCAAACCCAAAGATATCCAACAAGCCAATAAAGCTGGTGTAATCATTAGAGTTGGTATTGTCGTTAATTTTTGCAACCAACCAATCAAACATATTAGAATATAAATTTTTGGATAAGGCATCTCTCGAATCAGAGGCAGCTTCTGGGGTGAGTGGAGACTCGAAAATTTTAGCCATGACAGCATAAGTCTTGACTGTTAAGGCCTTCTTCAAAGCAGCAGGTTCAATTTGTAACAATGTACAAGCTTTCTTGAGAGGCTCATCATTTTCCAAGGTTGATCCAGTGTCTTCATTTGGAATTTTGACAAATTTGATATTTTGAAGATGTAAAATTGCAGCACACACTTTAAAAACAGTATCTCTAATCTCATCCTCAAACCCAATGACCTTAAAGGCGTTTACCATGGCATGAAAATCAGAAACATCGTCAATAGTGTCCACTTTGAAACAATTTCCTTTCATGATACTGTCATAATCTTGAGCTTTAGTTAAGAAGAGTTCCTTCTTTTTTGCTTCATCCATACCAGCAAGCATTTGATAGAAAATGTGATATGATCTTTCATTAGGTCCCTGCTTCATTAAACGGGATTTTTCCAACAAGTCTATTTCCATGTTAATTAATTGAATCCAAACCAAACTTACAGTTTTCTGTGACGGCACCCTTAATGATACCATGTGAGTCAAATTGAAGTTTAATAAATTTACCAAATCTAGAAGAGTTATCATTGTTCTTTGTTTTAGCGTTACCAAAAGCTTCTAGAATTGGAGAAGCTTGTTGAATTTTAGAACTCATCCCATCCGCCACACTCTTAACATTAGGATCGTTTGTCATTGTTGATGAAAGTTTACATAAATATTTGATAACAGATTTACAGGCCTCAGTTTTACCTATTAAATTTGATATTAAAAGTGATCAAAATACTTAATGAAAAATTAAAACTTACCAGCACCACTTTCACCTGAAATTAGCAAGGTTTGATTTCCTTCCCCTCCTTTCATTGCTCTGTAGGCTCGGTCGGCAATTTGCCAACAATGTGGATTTAAGCCCTTCTTTCTCTCGACGTAATTAATCATGAATTCATCCTTACAGTATGGGATGGTCCACTTGAACGGATTGAGGGAGATGATAAGACCTCCAATAAATGTATAAATTTTGTCTTCCTTGAAACGGTTTTGAACACAATACAGCAATGATGATTCGTTAAGTTCAATCAAATCCAGCAAGTCATCATTCACTGCAGTTAATATATCTTCTTTGTACATGTTGAGATCACTTTCGGTAACCCAGGCATCTTCAACACCTTGCGATGAGCAAAGGTAAGGCGTTGGAATTTTGTTTGTTTGCTTCTTTTCATCAATATCCTTAATATTACCTATAACCCATGAGTGAACAGGATGATTAAATAAAACCTTAGCACCCTTTTCCCAACTTGTGGATTTTGCAGCAGCAGGTTTTGCTACTAATGTTGAAGCCCTAGGTGGCATTAAATATTTTTTCTTTGATAAATAATAACTGTAAAACCGTTACATTTATCAAAAAGAAGCGATCCGATTTACAGTTTAAATCTAAAACTACTAGTATGTAAGTGTAACGAGATCTGTTTATGAAAAGAAAAAACCACAAATCCTGTTTTGATTCTTGTTCAATTATTGATTTCAATTTAAAATTAATTATTCAAGAATAAAAAAATGAATTGTTTACATTCTCTAGTGTCGTCAGCATCATCAGATCAGGATTGTTATCATGGCAATGATGATCATCATAGTGGAATGATAACTCTGAGGTTTGGAAAGGATTATTTTTTAGATTGCAATAAAGAATCAACATTAGAACCAATTTTAAACGAATTGTGTAAATTAATTGTAAATTTAGAATCGGGACTTGGTGATGACAACAAGAATAATTTAATTAATATTGTCAGGGAACAATCTTTTTATTTTGCACACCTGCCACAAAAACCACTCAGAACAAATATTCCAATTTATCATTATTTGGATGGATTTAATTTGGAATTTGTGGAATTACGTAGTTTTTATTTGGATGGATTATTTGGACTTGTTGGTGGTAAAGGTGGTTTCGGAAGTTTGCTTAGGCAACAAAAGTCAAAGAAGAAAACCACCAATTTCAGTGCCATGAGAGATTTGAGTGGCAAAAGATTTAAACAAGTAACTGATAGATTGAAATTGAAATCATGGACTGAATTAATGGAAAAGAGAAAACAAGAATTTAAGGAAAAGAAAGAAAAGGAAAGAGCTGAAAAGATGGAAAAACTTAGAGAAAAACTCAATGAGCAAAGATTACTCATTCGTGAAAAGGAGGAACAAGTAGCATCAGCTGTTAAAATTGCACTTGCTGAACAATCAAAAGTGGTATCAGGTCAATCGAAAGCTCCAGCCACAACAGCTAATAAGAGAAAGTCCAAATTTGATCACGATTTGGGTTCTGATGACTCTGATGAAGAAATATAAATGCAATTGTGGATAATGTGATATTTTACTTTCTCTTCTTCTTTTCTGTTAACATTTCAATCTTATCCTTTTGTCTTTGTTCCTTAATTGACAAGTCTCCATGAGACTTGGTTGAGAGATCACGTAATTTCACAAGTTTGTCAGGTACGTCTTGTTCAGCTTCTTCCAAAACCTTGATAAGAGGAGTACACAATTGAACATCTTCTGGTGTGAAGAATGAAACAGAGTTACCTTCCTTTCCAGCTCTACCAGTTCTACCAATTCTATGGATATATGAGTCAATTTCGTGTGGCATATCATAATTGATAACATATTTCACATTTTCCACATCCAAACCTCTAGCAGCAACATCAGTGGCGACGAGAATAGGTGTCTTTCCACTTCTGAATTCTTCCAAAACCCATTCTCTTTCTTCTTGCTTTCTTTCACCGTGAATACTGAGTGATGGCCACCCAGCTTCTCTCAATCTCTCTGTCACAACATCAGTTCTCTTCTTTGTTTTACAAAATACTAATGTTCTGCAATCCTCTGGATTCTTAATTAATTTATCTAATAAATCTGTCAATCTGGCAATCTTGTCTGATTCTTGAATAAATAAAAATGATTGTTTAACTCTGTGATTTGCTGATGTTTCTATGGAACCTATATTTACAATAAAATGTGGCTCTGCCTTACTAACATATGACATGGCCATGGATTGGACAGATCTATTCCAAGTAGCACTGAAAAATAATGTTTGTCTATCTGGAGTAACTTGAGATGTAATTTGTGAAATTTGTGGATTGAAACCCATATCCAACATTCTATCAGCTTCATCCAAAACAAGATATGAGCATCGTTTCATGTTTGTAATACCTGCCTGTAAAAAGTCAAGAAGTCTACCAGGTGTAGCAATGATAACTTGTGGTTTGGATCTACATTCCTTGATTTGAGTCTTTCTAACTTCACCACCATAGAGACAGGCAATTTTCAAAGCTCTATCCTTACTATCTGGAACGAAAGCATTGCAAAAGTTTTCACAAGCTCCATGAATTTGGATGGCCAATTCTCTGGTTGGTGTCAAAATAACCATAATTGGTCCATCTCCTTTCTTTAATTCCTTTTGTGCCAAAACATGCATCAAACCTGGTAATAAAAAGGCCAATGTTTTACCACTACCTGTTTCAGCAAGACCAATCATATCATTTCCACTCATAACAATTGGCCATGCTTGTTTTTGAATAGCTGTTGGTTCTTTGAAATTCATTTCCTTAAATTGATTTTGAATAAAGTGTGGGAAATTGATATGATTAAATTGTGTAATTGGCTTTGGAATTGGAGCACCTTTACGTGAGCAGAATGCTTTAATATCTTCCTTGTTTCTAATTTCATCTTCATTAGTCATTTTCTTAATATCTGGATGTTCAACATATGGAATTTTAACAATATTCAAATCTTCAAAATCTGTTGGAGTTTCCAATTCAAAATTATAAAAATTATTTAGTAAATCCTCCTTCTTTTTTGTTGGTTTTGATTTAGATTCTCCTAATTGTGCAAGAAATTCTTCATCTTGTTCAATTGTGTCTTCAACAACTTCCTTTTGTTTTTCCTCCCTTTTTAGCTTTTTGGATTTTTTCTTTTCCTTCCTATCCTTCCTTTTTGGTTTAGCTTTTTCTAATTGTTCTTGTTCTTGTTGTTGCTGTTGTTGTATTTGTTCAGGAGTCATCAGTGATTTGAATTCCTTTGGTGGGTTTTTCTCTACCACTACTGGTTCTTCATATTCTTCCGATTTTCTCTTTCCGAGCAAGGAACGAGCTGATGATAATTTTTCCTTTAGTTTTTGGCTTTTCATTTTTTTTTTGAAGTTCAATACAAATTTATTTCACAACAGTTGCCAATAGCTATAGAAAGCTGGCAAAATGATAATAAAATTATTTTCGTATTGATTGGTGTCACTACAATTATTTACAATCTCATCCTGCCACATTATTATAATTACAATAAATGAACAATGACAAGGAATAAAGAAATTACCAAATAAATGGATAGAGAACTATGAGAAGCATTGGAATAGGTGAATGGAACAACTGCTGAAATTAAGTCATCTTGCAGAGTTGAATCAAAATCAAGAACTGTCCTAGTATTGTAATATGCTTCAACAATTGAAGATGAATTGAGCACATCAGTTTTTGTAACAAATGGATTCTTTTTCTTGTTATCTTCAGTAATAAGCATCAATGAAAGTGAGCTAGCCTCTCTTGTATTAAACGTTACCAAACCAATTGAGTTTCCATACATCATGGAGAAGAAACGGAGAGTATATGCTTTGGTGGAAACACTAGCAGTAACTAAACTGGTTCCTGTCCAATAAAATCTTTGATGTTCGTTAGTTACATCACATTCAGCGAAACCAATCTCATATAACTTGTCAATTTGATTGTATTGCTCAAATCTCTTGATACAAAGTCCAAAAACCTCACTTACAACATACACACCAAATCCTGATGGGTGATTGTAAATTCTGAAATAATAATTGATATCACTAAGGATAAAATTTGAAGCATCTGTTGCACTCATATAGTACATTGTTGTGGTATTTGGAATCAAATACTGTTGACCATTCGATGACAAGTAGTTATACAGAGTGGAGGAAACATTTTGCTTTGAACAACTCATTGCAAATTTCTCATTCACAATTGCAAATAATTGACCTGAAAATGCTTCAGGCAAATTACCTGGAATTGTAATCTTGAAGGAAGCAATACTATTCAAACTAGGCTCAACCTTTGATGATGTGTCGACTTGAATTACATTGTACCCATCCCATAGTACATAAAACACTTTCGATAATTTGTCCACAATACAAATTTCCTTCCTATAATCAATTTCAGTTTCATTTTGATAAGGAACAGTACACCACGTGGAACGGTATTGGGCAGCCATCTGCTTTTTCCTCAACTTGACTTGCACAGTTGAATTGTCTGTAACGTTCTTTAAAAAGATATCATAGGTTCCTATTCTTCCTCCATACGAGTATGTTATATCAGACCTATTTGTAACATTCTTCTTTGTTACTCTCCTTAAAACAAGAGCTGCTGCCTCATCCACATTCAAAACCATCATCCACCCTAGTATTATTATTATCATCGCTATAAGATAGGCATTTCTTCTCGTGGAGGAATAAGATCCCTTCCTATTCTCCAATGATATTGTACATTGTTTCATGGTATTATTATTAATTGATGATGATGATGGTGCCATTATCGTTCGTAACGTTGATTCCAAAACCTTATGATCGTTATTAAGGAAAAGAGTCATTTTTTTTGGACTTGGAACTCTTGAAATTGAACGGTTCTTCTAACATCTTGTTTGGATATAATTTCGTTAAGAAGCATAGAAGAAGGAATTGTGTTGATTTTTCACACCTGCATGAATCATATATTAATTTCAACAATTGTTTTTTTAAAAAGGGTAATGCACAATTACATTTTATATCATGTTGTTTTGTTGAAATTTAGAACAACAAGAAGGAGAGGATAGTAAGGATCATCAAAACCAAAGAGTAGGTAACAGTATTAGAACCAGAGAGAATCTTTGGCAAGATAACATTTGGAGTTGGAGTACCAGTAAATGAGAAACCATCAATATCAGCAGCAGTCCACTTGTCAGAATTTCCATTATACAAACATCTCATCAAATTGGTATAGTATGATCCACAGGTCTTATAGAGGGAACTTTCAGTATCAAGGAATGGAGAATCAACATCAGCTCTAGACAAGGAGAGTAAGCTTGCGATTAATGGATCAGTAAGACTTGAAACAAAGTTATTGTAAACACAGAATTGGAGATCCATGAGATAACCTGGACAATTGGTGGCAACGTTATGGAGACAGACACCAGCAGTATCAGTACCCTTATTACAAATACAATTTGGACAAGTGTTAACAGAGGTGACACCATCACAAGAAACAGCTGGAGCAGTCTTACAGACACCTTCAGAAGGATGGCAATAACCAGAGTGACAATTGGCATCCTTTTCACATTTTTGACCATTGATGATACCATATTGACGAACGCATCTTTGATTGGCACAAATAACCAATTCTGTTGACACTATACTTCCACCAATTGCAAAGGCCGAGTTCAAATAGCAATCCGAATCAGCTGCACAATAATCACTCAAAGCAGCTGGTGTTTGACAGACACGAGATGCCTTTGGAGCAGATGAACGACAAGTCAAAGTGTTGGTACACTCAACAATAGCTTGACAAGTGTCACCAGATTTCTTCAAAGTAGTACAGACATTATTGAGACAGTCGCCACTCTTACATTGAGCGTGAGTATCACAATAGGATCCATCAGCCAATTTAGCAACACAAATTCCAAGAGTTGAATTACAGAACATTTGACTGTTATCTTCACAGGTATCATAAGTTCTAGTAGTATTATCAGTGGTGATACAAGATTTACCAAGAGCAACAGTTTTTGGAGCATAACAATAACTAAAGCTAGAAAAGGTGGTACCAGTTTGAATTCTTTCAGGGAGACATCTGAGATTAGAGTCCTTCTTACAAGTAACAGTTAAACTATCAAAGGTAACTCCACAACGTTCTCCTTGAGAGGCAGTATATAAGACATTTGTGATACACTTATTGGTATTCAAATCACATCTACCACCAAGACATTGGTTGCCATAATCACAACTGTCGCCTGGCAATCTTGTACCATAACGAATGCAACGACCAGAAAAACATTGGGCTCTCAACTTGCTGAAATAAGAAGTTGTACCATCCATATTGGAAACATAACAATCAGCATCGGTACGACAAGCTTGTTTCTTATTGATTGGAGTGATCATATCATTGACCTTTCTACAGACGAAGGTCTTGGTTGGTGGTGTAGCAAAGTCGGTAACTTGTGTATTAACATAACCAATTGGGCAAAGATAGGTACTAGTGGTTGGAGAGAGACCTGCTTGATCTGTACATGCCTGACCTTCAGCAAATAAAACAAGAGCTGAGAGTATTAGACCAACAATGAGCAAATAGTTGGCAAGTGATGATGGTGGAGACATCTTGTTGACGTTTTTTTTGAAAGATGAATGCAAACGTTCTGTGAAAAGCAACAGCCAATGTGATTCTCTTCTAGAACACGCTTGATGATGGATGACAGTCATGAGGGTGTTGATCTGTGTGTTGGGTAAATTGGTTACCCGATCTATCAACAACATGTTTATTGTAAACAATTTTCTATCAGTCAATTGGATGAAAAGGAGAATAAAATTATTCAGAAAGAATGGTGCTCTTTGAGACCAATGTGGATATTAATTGTTGAGATAGTTCTTCTCCTCTAACTGTTGAAAATTGACATACATAGTACGAATCAGTTTCTTGTAACTTTCCAGAGTTGAGCAAGAGTTCTGCCTTTTCTTTTGGAAGAATTGAGTGGATACATTCTTTGGCAATATTCATTTGTTTGATTGGAAGGAGAAGACGAGTAGTGCTGGTAATGAAAACTTCCTCAAATTCCAATAAATTTGCCAAGTTAGGAGCTGTAATTTCGTATTGATCTTGATTGAGGAGAGTGTTCATATCAGTTTCCAATTTCAAATCTAGAGAATCCTCTACTGGACCAGGAATTACTGCAGCTCTAGTAGAACCAATTAAAACTCCTTCATTAGCTGTTTGTGTTTTTCCATTTGATTTGAGAATGGCAAAAAAGTTTGATGAAATTCCCTCTCTCAGAGAGCCATCTTCTTCACACATGATAACTTCATTCGAAGTTTTAAGCTTCTTATGACCTAATTGACTTCTTTCAATTGCCCAATAAGTATCCTTGACATTTCCCCAATGAAATCTACTTCCTGGATGAACATCTACATGAATGGTTTTTGGAGTATTTGGCATTGGACACAAGTGAAGATAAATATTATATTTCGATGACGAATCTTGAATGGATTCACGATTAATACTTTCAGGATATGAGTATCTATTTGGAAAAACAATCACCAATGTGATTTTGAATTCCAAATTTTCATCTTTGAATTGGTAGAAATCCTTCAATTTTTCAATTCCTGCCTTGGTCATTTCTCTAATGGTTTGTGTGAATGATTCGAGTTGGAATAAGTCTTTCAATGGATAGTGACCTTCCTCCTGTGCAAACTCATCAGTATTGGCATTCAAATTGGATTTAAAATGTTGCAACATTTTCAAAGAGGTGTAAATTAATCTATGAATATGAAAAGCAAACTCGAATACTGCCTTTCCATTGAGGGTACTTCTTGCAGTTGTGTAGGCTCCTCTCATCATTTGAAGTAGATCATGAGCTGAGTACGGAACAGATTTGCATTCTGCAATAATTCCGTTCTTGATGAGAAGGTTCTGGCTTTCCATGATGTGTAAATGCAACTTTGCAGATTGTGGTAATTTTTTTTATGAAAGACCAAAACAAATCAAAACAACGAAAAGACAGCCGTGGTTTATTTGGTATTCTTCTTTTACAGTTGCTTTATTTCAGCTTACCAAAAGCAAAAAGGAAGCAAAATTTGATGAGTGTGGGATTTGAACCCACGCCCTTGCGGAACACGGTATTAATCATACCTTAACGTGTCGTCTTAGACCACTCGACCAACTCACCATCGATTACGTATAAAATTATTTTCATAATATCATCAAGCGTTGAAAAACAAATAATTCCTTTGGGGTACTGTTTAAAATCTTGGTTCTATTGTTTTAAATTTAAATACCAAACACTAATTTATTTATTGAAAAATCAATTATTTAATTAAATAATAAAAAATATTCTCATCATGTTCTTCAAGAGTACAGGTTCAGCAGTCTTTAAGGCCACCAGAAAGGCTTGTTCATCAATTAAAATCAACAACGGAATGAGTGCCAATCGCATGTTCTCTACATCATGTGTTGCCAACAAGACCTTCTCTCTCACCAATTCTACCACTAGTAATAACGGAGTTGTTTTCTCTGGAAGCTCTATGAAGTTTAACAACTTGTGTATTAAAGGATTAAATCAAAATTGGTATGTAATAATCACTCTATCAATATATTTAATAATTATAATAGTACAATTGCCCAACAAGAACTCTTCCTTTCTCTTGATGATGATGATGCGTAATTTTCATTCAATTTTATATATAAATTCATTACTTTATTCTCTCGACCTAGATTCCTAACAATAGTTCATAATTTGATTGCATTTGAATGTACTCAAACTGTGGTGGCTAATAAAACTCTAATAATTTATTCATAATGCATCGAGAAGATTAAATCTATATAAATCTAATATATTTGATATTAAGAATATACCCTAATGAAGAATAATTTCTTATTAGAATGTGAATAGTGTGGAAAAATGAAAACGAAATAACATCATTTATGATTTCACTTGACAGAACAAGTCCTTTCCAAATATTACCATTAAAATAATGAGGATTGCAACCAAAAGTAGTATTGGAATGATGATTGCTGCTACTATACAAAAAACTTGTCTCTTCCCACAACCAACACTTTGTTTCGCTTTTTTACACTCGTTCAATTCATTTTCGAGAGCCTTATTCTTTTCCTTGAGTTGGATTATTTCAGATTTTAATGAACTCACAAAAGAGTCGACTTCCTTTAAAATTTCTTGTTGCTTTTCTATAAAACTGTTCCTGTATCTGAGAGCCTGCTGCAGAGCATCAGAGGCAGTTTGTACAGTCGAGATATTTGTCATGTAGGATGGAGTTGTGCTGGAACTATTTGAAGATTTCCCCAACAAGTAGTCACTCTCCGAAATTGTTATTGATTTATTGTCAACAACTGCAGGAAGAGGTTCCTTTCTTTGCACACCTTGTAAGGTATATTGAAAATTTGCTCTGCTCCTATTCTCATAATATATAGAGTCGTCTTCTTCCGCATCAATTTCCTCTCTCGTAGTCTTGCTTAACAAGGGTTGTTTAAGGCTCATTTTTTTAAGGAGTTGCATTTCATATTTTTCAGCGCTCAGTGAAGGTGGTCGAGTGCAATATATTGGATTGGTAGTTCTTGCTCTGAAACTATTTACGACGATATCAGTCAACTGTAATGATAATAAAATTAAATTGTTTATCTATGTACAAATATTGTCAAAATTGAAACGAGCATTTTAAACTGATTGAGATCCGCCTCTAGAGAACATACTTTCAGTACTAAATACTTTAGATAAAATAGTTTGAAGTAATCCTCTTTCAATAATAAAGTTCTTCAATTCACCACTAGTGTCAATTCTAGAACACTTGACGAATCCATAGAGTTGAATACATGTCAGAACCAATGCAAAAAGTACAACAATAATCCATTGGAAATTAAATCTAATAAAGCACACAAGTGAAAGTAAGATCCAAATTACTGGCTGAGCATAGAGTGATGTCCAGAAAATATACTTATCCAACTTGTGAATATTCTTCGAGTCGGATTTGTTTTCAAATCTCCAAACACTTGTTCCATCGTCCTTAATGTCATTCCACCATCTAAGAGCAACAAGAATTCTTCCTGTAACGTTTTTAACTGTCCAAAAATCAAATGAAAGTAAAAGTACAACTAGAACAAATACTAGTACAAAGTTATCAGTAAAAATCGTCAAAAACAAATAACAGAGAAGAGCAGCCACTTTAAAGAATAAATGGAAAAAGCAAATGATTGGATGTCCACATGGGCAACCTCTACTCCAAAGTTATTAAATGATAGTTAATAGTAATATTAAATCAATACAAGTTTCCAAGAATTGTTGACTTTGTACAAATTGTTCAT